AAGTTGTCACTCGGGTTGACCCATGTCAAGATATCTCCATACGAATCAGGATTTATCGCTGCTAGACAATTGATGTCCGAGTCAATACCAGCCGGATAAAGAATCGCTCCATTTGTCTGTAGAGTCCTTGAAGTTATTAGAATTGGTTGTGACGCGGATAGATTGAGTGTGTTTGGAAATGTTATACTTGATCCATATCCGGTTTCATTCACCTTATCGATACCAAGGTGCAGAAAAGCGCTTGAACCACGGGACCCTCCAAGGATCTTGAACGTTTTACTTCCAGAAGTTGAAACAGTCAGTCTTCGAGTCACTCCATCGTAAGACACACTGTACGGTTGAGACCCCGCTGCAGTCATTGCGCTTCCAAGAGCACTCAAAATGTTTGTTGAGTCGTACGTCCCTTCGGGCAAAGTCGCTTTTCTTAAAGTCGTAGATCCTGACTCGGCAAAAACAACCGCGTTGTTAAAATCGGATGTCGCACTCCATGACTGCAGTAGAGATACCGAAATAAGTCTCCATGCGTAACACGGGACGGTATTTTGAAGACGAAATGTACAATTATTCATATCTGGTAACGTACCAGAATTGAGGATAATCTCTCGAAACATCGATTTCTTATCTTTTGTATAATGTAAAGAGATTAATTTTACGAGTGCGCTAAATATGAGAATTGCTAAACCAAAAATTCCTTCCGAATATCAGATACACATAAAGGACAAGACGCCCGATGACTATCCGAAGAAATTCTTCACTTTGACTCTAGTCGGGAGTTCAAGAGCAGGGAAGACCACCTGTATTATCAATCTCATCCAGAATTGTGCAAAAGCGTATGAAAATGTTGTGGTTTTCTCTCCAAGCGCTGACTCGCCGGAATGGACAAGTTTGAAGAAATGCGATAACGTGTACATGTCCAGCATAGTATCGAATCACGTACTGAACAACCTTTTCGAGAAGCAGAAACTACTTTATAAACAAGATAAATCCAAAAATCATATGCTGTTAATTTTGGATGATTTTGGTATCCTTGCGAAAGAAAACGGCCCCGGTATTGGAAAGGAACCTAAAGAACCCGAACTGATATCGAGCGGTATAAGACAGATGTTAGACTTACTGTACTCCAGGGCGAGACATAATGGGATGTCGGTTCTCTGTTCTCTTCATGACACGAAACAACTCACACCGTTACAAAGAGTGAATTCCACCCATTGGATTTTGTACAGATTGAACCAAAAGCAATACGAAAAGATTGCGGGTGAGATTCGCTGTCATTTGTCCGAGTCGGAGTTTGTAAATTTAGCAGAGAAATACACTGTCAATCCTTACCACGCGCTATATGTTGATTTAAAGTCAGAGACAAACGAAGGAGTCTTTAAACAATTACAACCAGAAACGCATTAAAGAAAAAATTGTGGACTTAAAGTATAAGATGTTTGATAACATTTTCTATTTGCCAAATTCGCTAACCAAAGAATCGTTTGACAAACTTCTAGAAGAACTATCACAGGATAGGCTTTGGTTAGACATGCCGGAGGACGTAAGGACGAGAACTTTACAGCAATGTAAGGAAGAAATAGTTGTGAATATCGTTCAGTCGCATTTGGACAAGCAAGTTCCAGTTAAAACTCCAAGAAGAAAAAAGGCCGCCTGAAGATTTCCCAGTTTTTTCGTCCCAAATATGACGTAAAACTATTTTCCTGCAAGTTAAGCAACAAAGACATCTTCCGCGCGACCAAACTCCTGAACAATTAGTGCCATTTTACTATTTGGGTTGTGCTTTTTCAGGTTGATTCGGGCTTTACCTATACAGTTTGACTTCTTAATTGACTGCATCAAGCCCAAGAAACAGGCCCAGGTGTTTTTATCAATTTCACCCAAAAATGACAAAAATTGACCATAACATTAATTTGTGGTCAATTGATAAACAAAGATGGACTCCGACAACACAGGAACCTCCTCTCTCAGATATGAGCCCATCACTCCGGAGGATCTCCGGAACCTCACCAAGTTTTACTATCAGAATCAAAACTTTCTAGGACGAGACAAATTGTGGTATGCGTATAGAAAAGCATTTCCAAATAGCAGGATTTCACAAAGAACTCTTCTCAACGATTTTCTGAAGAAGCAAGAGATTTGGCAGAGATCTACAAAAGTTATGGGATCCCGAGGCTCGATAAAACCGATTTTGGCCGGAAAAGAAGGAAATTACCAGATCGATTGTATAAATTTGACATCGATAGCATACAATGGATATAAGTATTCGGTCAACGCTTCAGACATCCTCACTAAAAAGGTGTATAGTATGGCGATGAAGTCACAAGATCAAGCCACTGTTGTCAAGTTTCTAGGAACAATGAAACGGGATGGCGCTGTGCTAGTAAGTTTTACATCCGATGTAGGTACGGAATTTCAAGGTCAGGTGCAAGAGTGGGCCGACTCGAATAACGTGGAGTGGAAGTTCGGACAACCCGGTGTCCCCCAAGGACAAGGACAGATTGAATCCGTTAACAAAAATATAAAAAATCTGATCTATTCCTCGATACGTTTCGGAAAACGGGATTGGCCAAATTATCTTCAAAAACTCATAGATAATTTAAACAACACGAAAACGTATGCGACAGGGAAGGCTTCAAACGAAATCTTACAAGATGAACATGAAGCCATTTTCGATCGCATACGGAACAAGAAATTGAAAGGGGTGAAATCAACAGTTTTGAACGAATTTAAAGTGGGAGATGTTGTAAGAAAGATAATACCGTTACCAAGTGGTATTAAAAGGCGCGCAAAAGTTGGATATTTCTCGTCACAAACTTATAAAATTGCAGGGAAAGTGCAAAGTAACTATGCAGGTTATGTTTCATCGTATAAATTAAACAGAATGGATGGAACAAGACTTCCTGGTTTAACATCTGCTAACGACCTTCGGCTAGTTCCATCAGGAACCGTCAACGTACCGAACATCGCTTCCCAGCCAGATCCCAATGAAAACGATGAATGCGAAATCGATTCAATCCTTGATAGTAGAGTAGTACGTAGAGGCAACAGAAGGATAAAGCAGTACAAGGTTCTATGGAGTGGTTATGATGCGTCCCAATCAACTTGGGAAGATGAAGGGAATCTCGAAAATGCACGGGAGGCCATAGCCCAGTATGAAGAGCAAAATGGATAATAGGTTTTCAAAACTTGTCATCTAGATTTAAATCGTCATTAAGATCGTCGATATCCATCGCATCATCATTAGATGAGCCTTCGTTCTCCCTGTGAAGGTTATAATACACTTGTCGTGTTGCATAGGAATGACCATGCTTTTTCGCAAACTCTTTTTGGACCCGAGGATCTCCGTTATCCAATTTGATCGAGTCAATGACTACAATTTTTCAAAGTTCATTGACTCCAAGTTCTTCTCCGATATGTTGTTTACAAGCGATCTTCATAGCCCTTCCAAAACCTCCGCCTTCATAGGGTTTACTTGCGTTGCGCGCTTTTTCAAACAATTTACTTTGACCTTTAGCCTTACGAATATCAACCAGATTATCAATGTGCCTTTTGACAATGTCATCGATAATTGTAATAAGAACATCGGTGTCTCCCTTATTTTTATTACATGCTTTTATCAGAAAGGTATGGGTTTCCGTATCAAATGTGACATTATCCGCTTCGGAAATGAGCATAAACTTTGCTTCGCCAATGTCCGCTCTTCGAATGACATCTGAACCGACAAAACAAGCCGCTGCTATGAGCAACCCATACTTATATGGGTCTTTAACGGCCTTTTCTTTACGTTCATCCAATTTCTCGTAAAGAGCATTGATTAAAGCGTCCTTTTCGATGAAGCGGTTCGTTTCATATTCTTTATCCATTACGAGATCCCGGGCTTGTATCTCTTTGCAACGATCGCCGTTGATCTTGAGATAGAAATGTCCCATTTCGTCAATATGCGTAAGTTTGTCCATTGTGCACGCATCTAGGAATCGTTTCTTTGCAGTTTCACCATAGAGGCTAGACGAAAGCCAATCATACAATCCTATTTTTTCCTCGTTTGTCATAATTTTGAACAGAGCGGACAACACCTTTGTACAATTCGCTCCATCGTCTTTAGGGTAATTTTTTTTCAAGATTTTCATGACATCGGTTGGAGATGATAGGACATTCGGATCAAGAATCCCGTATGCTTCAAGTCCATTACAAGCCGACAGATATACCTTTCGGCTACTCGGAGCCAATCCTATCTTTCCATTCTTTTGTTGGACGGTATCGGCATATCGGTTGATAAGTTTCTTTGCTATTTCAATATTCATTGCTGTGTCGTTCTTTGGTTGTGCATAAACCATTACTCGTTTTTACTCTTTAAATAAGAAATTTAATAACATTGGTAATATCGATATTAAACGCATGTTTACGTCATCGCGCGCGAATACTTACAGGTGGAACTCCGATTTCATCAGGATTCAAGAAAACACCCACCCCCAAACAAAACTTTAATCAGTACAGAACCACCCCCACTTCCCCGAGTATGATCATGCAGAATCGCCCACACCTGCGCCGTCTATTCAGCCGAAACCACCCCCGCGGCAAGGTTACTAAAATTAAGCATTCACCCACATGCGGAGTGAGTAAAAATGGTACAGAAACAAATCACCCCCTAGAGGGGGTGATTTGACTCTTCTCGAAACAAAATACGGGGGGTGTTTCCATTCCATAACTGAGCAATGCAAGCGGGGGTGTTTTCTACCTCCCGTTTTCCAATGCCCGCGGGGGCGTTTCCTGTCGGTTACCACCCGGGTACTGTTTCTACATGTTGATATCATTTACTTTACAGTTAGGTGAGGTTGCGGATGTTGTTCTTTCCCGTTTGCGGAAAGGAAAACTGCCACGAAAAAATATATAAGGGTAAAAAAATGTTTGTTTCCCCTCAAAAAATTTCAAACAGTTCCTCACTCTTAACAACTATTGCACACAACCGCTTTCGCCATAACTTTCAACAAACGCACGTTCTCAACATGCAAAAACGCCAAAACACCATGGAATTGGCTCCGAAGCGCATCAAAATAGCCAAACGTACCGTCCAAAGGGCTGAACCGGGCTCTTTGGATGTGATCAATAACGAAGTGAATCGCAATGAAGACCATATCGATCTCTCAGTTGCGTTGGACTTGGACAATATATTCGATATCGATCCTATGAATTTGAGCATCGAGCCATTGGATTCTCATTCGACTCAAAACACTCCGACGATCAACAAGCCCGATCTCGTTGGCTTGCAGATGGATGTCAATCAAAATGAAAACGTCATGATTGACAACCAAACCGATGTCAATAACGATCATCCCCAGGAACGTCTGGAAGATGTGCCTGACCGAATCCTTCCGGGCACTCAAACGGTTATAATTGACGACATTCAGATCGATAACCCCAAGGAACTTGCAGAAAATATGCAGACGGAAGAAGTTCCGGGTTTGAACATTGAAGACATCAAACCTGAAGCAATTACTGTTACCAGCACCGCAGTTGTTGTTCATAAAGAAAATCCGGATTCTTCGAATCATGATATATCCTTGTGTGATTGTAGAGGATGTACCAAATGTCGATTATACGCGAATTTCGCTTACGCTTTGAGAGTATACAAGGAGCCGAAATCCGGGGATCAATGGATAACCCATGCTGCGGACTTCTTCGAATTTGATTATGGACATCTCATCCGCTTGGGCGACAAAAAGGGCTTCTTGCGATGTAATCCCTCGACGCGAACGAATATATGCTTGAACAAAATCGCCTTCACAGCCTACGTCGCCCAAGAATTGTTCGATATGTTCAATGCGGTCGATCAGAATGCAACCCCGGGAGCGAAGAACGAGATTACCCAAAAATGCAAGAAAGTGGTTGACATCCTATACGGCCGGATGCAGTTAAAGAAGGCTGAGGATCCAGTACCTCCTGTAGACAATAGCCATCTGATCGCTTTCAGAAACGGCTATGTCTACGACCGAAATATTGGTGAATCTCGAAAGCGCATTGATGAGGATGGTGAAATTGAAACGTTCAACTACGATCTTGTCGAGTGGGATACCGAGAAATATCCCACACAGCGGTACTTGTGGGATGCCATATGCAAAATATGGCCTGAGAATTCCGATCGCTATTATGCGCTCACCAGTCTCAGTACATTCTTGGGAAGCAGACGCGGTATCCGTGAATTGCTTATATTTCACGGGGAAAGTTCCAATGGCAAAAGTTTGATTGGAGGATTGATGAAACTTATAACATGTCATCGCTTTCTGGGAGCAACCGCGCAGACGTTACAAAGGAAACCTGGGAACGGAAATGAACCATCTGAGATTCACTGGAAAATGGGCCAAAAATCAACACTCGTCACTTGGTTTTCTGAAGGGGATGAGAAAGATTTATATTACGGTTCAGCAATCAAAATCGCTGTCGGAGGCGATTCTACTTCTGTCCGGAGGGGTCATAACAAATGTGAGCAGGTTACGGTAGAGGGATTGGTGATTCTCGCTACGAATCATTACCCTTATTTGGATTGCGGACTGTATGATAAGGATCACAAGGACATCACAGCCAAATTGGTGGTGATACCTTGCAAATCGACGTTCGTCGATGCAGATGAACATTTTGACCCGAGTCAAAATATATATTTGAAGGACTTCGAACTCGACCGTCTCATCCAAAACGCAAGTCCGGACTTGGCGAGTGCCATGATGGCACTAATGATTTCGTTTCACAACGATCATCTGCTAGAGAAAGAATATCCGATACTGAGAAAACCCGCATCAGTGGTTTCAGCGACTGAGGAATTAATCACGAGAGTACACCCGTATCGCACGTTCCTGAAGGAAATGTGTGTCATTGAAGAAGGCGCGAAAATGTCGCAATGCGTGGCAATTCAAACTCTACGAACATGGATGAAGGAGCATCCGGTATGGTACAAATCCGTACCTCGGACCCAGGATTTCAAGGGTTTTCTGCTACACGCATACGATAAGACAGTTACTTTCGGCCAAAACATACGAATAAACGGAGTACAGACAACCGGATATCACGGGGTCAGATTGAAGAACGAGGATAATGATGGAGGTTATAATAAGTTTCTGTTTGGCAGTATCGACATCCTTGCGAGAGGCATTGAAGAGTAGTTCCAGATATTTGCGTTACAATTGTAAATAAGTAAATAGTTCCTTGTACATATCAATTTGAATAAATTTCAAAGAAACAATGCGTCCTTGGTATCCAAAGCGGTCTCCTTCGGGCAAAATTATTAACCCGAAAGGAACTCGACAATGCAAGACCGCTGAATGCCAATCAGAACCTATTCCCTACATCAAAAATCGGCTATACTGCTACGATTGTTGGGTCAAGTCAAAGGAACCTAAAGGCTTCAAGATAGAATTCGATTTGGATTGATCCAGATCATCTGATTTCGAACTCAAAGGCTCCTTCAATGTCCTTTTGATGGTGATGTGTCTCCGCGTCCTGCATGATTCTACATTACCCAAAATTCGCGCAACAGTGGATGCGGCAATATCTAGTTTTCTAGCAAGATCACGGACGCTCCGGCCTGTGACAGTCTTGATTTCTCCATCCTCAAAGAGTGATGCAATATAGTTGTAAGGAATGTACATCTTTGTAGCAATAACGATGCTTCTTTATTGGTACATATATGTTTATTTTTGTTACTTGCGTTTAAATGCCATTTAAACTTCTAAGTGTATTCTTAGTAAAGCACCATGTCTTCCAAATTTGCTGCTCACGTTGAATCCAAACCTATCAGAGACATCTACCATTTCAAGGAATCTTACTTCGGAGGTGTTCCCGAGTTCAATTGGACACTCGAAGAATACGAAAAGAAACATATGGAACACAAGTGGCTTACCGAAAACTTTACAAAATTGGGCGCCAATGACAAGATCAAATTGTTTGTCGATTTCGATATGAGATTTGAGGAAGAATCCGATCTGCCCTCTGAAGAAGTTGAGACTGAAATCCGTAAAGGTGTTGATAAAGTATTTACCTCCTTGTATTTAAATGAGGATATTACTTTTCATTCTGCATTCCGTACAATGGGATACGCTCCTAAGCACACCAAGGACAAAAATGGTAAATACGTCGAAACCGGTGGTGGATATAAAGTCTCTTATCGCCTATGGGCAGATGGTATGTATACGACCCGGAATGAAATGAAGAAGAAACTCAAGAAATTCATCCCAGATTTGTCCGACTTCCCGGATGTTGTTCGAGACTACAATTTCAAGGATGGAGTTTTTGATCTTTCTGTCTATGACAACAATCGGTCCATGGTGATGGTGGACAAAGTCAAAAATCGTTGGGATAACCGACTTCTCATCAAAAGCGAACCAGATGCACCAATCTCTTCATATATCATTCAATATGTAGAGGCGGACTGGACCCCGGTTGAATGGACAATTCAATCTGATAGTAGAAAGCGTCCTGCCAATGATGAATTTGTCCTGGTTCCGGACTCGGACCTTGAAGACCAACCGCAACCAAAGAAGAAAAAGGCAAAATATCCTATTGACAACGATGCTAATACGGAGGTAATCAGCACTATTTACGATTCAGTTACCAAACTCTGTGGAAAAACGGAATATTTGGAAAGAGATTTTGGGGCCGTACAAAAATATGAGGATGCGATTGTGGTATTTTTGAGAACCACATACTGCATGTTGCACCATGCAGAACACGATGTCTCCGTTCCCAAAATATTTTTCATAGTGGATCGAAAGAAATTCACGTTCAAATGTCAGCACTGTGAACGCTCAAAAACCTATGGTCATAAAAGCAAAAAGATCTTGGACTTGTTCCCGCCGCCCATTACTGAACCCGCAAAAACGAGTGAAGAAAAGGATACTGTTGTAACTTGTGAAGATTTGGAAGGTCTAACAGGTTGGGAGAAGTTTGATTTCCGCCGAATTTTGAATATTAGCCACAAGAATACCGCCGAATGGTTCATTGAAGAGCGAGGTGAGACTTTATTGAAACATTCAAGCGGCTTGATGTTTGTTCTAGGCAAAGATAATATCTGGCGAAAGTATGAGGGCAGGGTCCGAAATAGCGACTTGAATCTTCAGATTGCAGACACGTTGATTAGCAGTTTTGAGAAACTACTAGATGATTTTGACTCACAAAGAAGTGATCACGGTAAGTATCTGAAACTGCGATGGATTTACGAAAAGTTTCGAATGCTGATCGAGGAGACTACGTACTCCATCAATGTAGCACAGAACGTGGAACGGCTCTGTACCGCGAACGACACTTGCATCGAACTTTTTCTTTCAAAACCTCACCTATTTGCTTTTAACGATAAAGTGTACGACCTGATTGAAGGAGAGGCAAGATCCATCAAATGGGATGATTACATACTATTCACATGTGGTTACAACTATCCGACGACGCGAAGCCCTGAGATGCGTGAGAAGATTGAAAACTTTTACCAATCTATATTCCGAACTGAAGAATTGATGACTTACCGACTTTGCAATGTTGCGAGGTGTCTCTACGGAGAACTAGTTGAGGAAATCTTCACGATCCTCAAGGGGCCGGGTCGGAACGGAAAGGGTGTGGAAGGTACTCTCCTTGCTGTTACGTTTGGAAATTACTTCTATACCTTGGACAAGAAAAACTTTACCCGGGAGCAGCAAGATGTTGACAAAGCAAACTCGCAACTATACAATTGCTTCGGAAAGAGGTATTTGATGACAAGCGAAACAAATAAGAATGATCGATTTTTATCCGAAATGTTCAAGAAAGTGTCTGGGAATGATAAGATAACAGTGAGAACACTTAACGGTAAACCCATCAGTTTTCCGATCACTGGGCAAACCAATGTTCAGACAAATGAAGACCCGGTCTTTGATAAAATAGACCTCGCATTGTGCAATCGGGTGCGAATGCAAGAGTTTCCATACAGTTTCACTCTCAATGGCTCTGAACCGATCAAGGAAGAGGGAGATGGAATTCAGGAGGAACAACTTCAAAAAGAAGGTGATATGAAATTGAAAGGATACTTCAAAACAAATGCATGCCGGGACGAGTTCATTTTGCTTCTCATTGGCATATTCCGCAAACGTTTTGTGAAGGAAGATAAAACCCTCAATATGAGCATTGAAGTCCCTGCAGAGGTACGAGCCTTCACCCAAAAGAACTTAGCGAACAGTTTGGCAGCAGCGAAATGGTTGAAGTTCCACTACGATATCACAGGAAGCGATGATGACCGGGTGACCAGATCTGATTTATACAAGGAGTATTCCGTTACGGTTCTCGATCAATCAAGGCGCGTCGGAAAGCAGCAATTCTTCAAAGAACTAACAACCATTCAAATCAAGGAACGAAAAATAAGAGGGAACATATGGTTCCTCGGACTGAAAAAGGCGACCAGAGAAGGAGAGATGTATATAGAATAAGCGGGGGGCATTTTGAGAAGTGGGGCAAAGTGAAAATGCCCCCCTAGAGGAATGTAGAGAAGTGGAAAGAAAAGAGAGAGTGAGGACGGGATAATAGATGTAGGGGGGCATTTTGGCAGTTTCAAAACCTATGAGAGAATATATAAAAAGTATTTGAGAAGCAATAATGAGAAAAGAAGTGTGATTTGTGTGGGAGAGGGTGGGTTTGAAAATTGCCTTTTTGCCCCCCTACATGAAATATGGTATGGGCGAATAGATAGGAAGGGTAGTTTGGCTAGACGCATGTAGGGGGGCATTTTGTTTTGCCCCCCTTTTTCAAAAATGCCCCCGCAGACGGGAAAAAGATACAGGGGGGCCATTTTGGCAGTTTCTAAACCTATGAGAGGATATATGAAAAGTTTTGAAAAGAAGAATGAGAAAAGGATGTCTCTTTTTGGTGGTGAGAGTTGGTTCGAAAATTGCCTTTTTGCCCCCCTACATGGAACACGGAATGGGGAAGTATAGAAAGGTTGGTTGGACTCGACGCATGTAGGGGGGAATTTTGACTTTGCCCCCTTTCCCAAATTGCGGAAGGATGGTTAATGGCTGAAAGGCTTGTGCGGTTAATGCATAACACCAAAGGTGTAGGGTACATTGTTAATACATTACACCATACACCCGCCAGTACGGTTAATGCATTACACTTTCAGCAGCCGTTACGGTTAATGCACAGTGTTGAGTGGAGTCAGTACGGTTAATGCACAGTGCAATTGTATAGTGGATCAGTGCATAGCATAAACCATTGGTTTATGCTATGCACTGATCCACACGCCGAACTCAATCTGGTGCTGGAGCAGGCAGGGGTAGGGACGACCGAAACTACTCCTGCCTTGCTCCTGGAGGAGTCTGCGTTGTTTGCGGGGCTTGGACGTCCGCTGCGTGGCGAACAGACATTGTGAACAACGTCAAGACAGCCAGGGCGGCCTGCAATAAGTGTGGGCGCGCGCAGGCATATCTGGACGCCATCGCTGCCCTCCCGGGCAAACCCGTCGTCCCCTCAACCACCCTCCCCGCACCCGCCCCAGCCACCACGCACCTCACCCACCAGCCCCCCGTCTCCGCCCACCATCCCCCCGTCTCCACCATCCCAACCCCCATCACCACCGCCCAGCCCCCCGTCTCTGCTGCCGCTCCCCCTGTCTCCGCCCCCCAGCCGCCCGTCGCCGCTGCCGCTCCCACCGCCCCTATCCCCAACCCCCTTGCATTCACCAGCCTCCTCAACCCCGCCCCAATCCCCAACCCCATCCCAATCTCCGCCCTTCTCAACCCTGCCCCCATCCCCACCTGCCCCACCCGCGCTGCCGCCATAGCAGGGGTCGCAGCCGCAGCAGCAGCAGCAGCAGCGCCCACCCCGACGACCGGTGACGAGGAGGAGGGGTATGACGAGATGGCGCAGGAGGAGCTGGCCGCGATTGAAGAGGAGGAGGGGCACTGGAGGGCGTTGGGAAAGCTAGTGAGGGAGACGTGCGGTTCAACAATACGCCAGGCGATGAAGGCCCACACCACGCCCCTCTTTGACGCACACCGAGCGCGCCTGGCCGCTGCAAAGCAGAAGGCCGAGGAAGTGCAGGCTTTTACCCCCGCCTCCGACGACGCCGATGATGATGACGAGGAGTATACGTCGGTGGAGAGCAGCCTCCCACACTCGTAGTCCGTGTCGTCATACGGATCTACATCTGGTGGCAACAAGACAGCGGGCTCCGAGTTGTGGGAGGAGGAGGATTATGCATTTGCGTGAGGGTGAGTTCATCATTGTCTCCGAGACAACTGTCTCCGCCATCTCCACTGCTCCTGACACACGCTCTCTCATAGAGCAAATCGCGAGGCTGCCCCTATTCCGGGCTGTCTCCATCGATCGCGGGAGTTGAGAGCGGAACGTTCCATGAGATCGGAATGCAGAGCAACTACGACGGCGACGGCGACGGCGACTGAATTTCATCTGCAGTCTGAGAGGGAGTGTTTATAAACAACCCATTTCAGCAGGAATAAAACGAAAAGGACCGTGAGGCAGAGGAAAAATGGTCGTGGCTCGAGCTGTTTGAGAGTGGGTAAGGTTGCTTTCTGTTGCGATACATAGTACGTACGGTAGTTGTGCTGTTCAGTTAACACCCACAAAGCGCCGAGCGCGACAGTAGTTACCACACCGCGCCTAGCGCAACAGGGGTCATAGTCTGAACAAGAAGTTGTCTGGGAATGGGAATTGAACTCGCTACCTGCACGTCTGCAGGGAGAGCAAGATTCAACTGTGCCAAAGCGCCAGTGTTATCAGAGTGCAATTACAGTAGGTGGCCAAAAGAGCGCGTTCCATCACGTGGGTTTCATCACGTGAGCGTTGCGCAGGCTTTAATAAGTCTGATGACTGATCCATGCACCCCTCAGCTCCCGAGACCCGTAAAATTCCCAGTATCGCCTGCAATCTATCCCTCTCAATACGTCGGCCCTCACAACACATTCTCGACAGCGCTATCGCTAGAACTACCCTCCAAAGTTCACCCGAAGTAGACTTTGAAGCGAACTTCTCTGAAGTCTCTTGTACGTGGGCCAGCGTATCGTGTGGTTTGAGAACACCAACCTTTCCCCCACCCAAGCCCTTTCCTTTCTTTTCTCCCCACGGACAACCAAAAAGCACAAGCAATAACGCCGTGCTCAAATCTGTTGGCGTTTTCGCTCGGTATATTATACGCCTTACTAAACGATCGGCAGCTGGAGATTTCGCTTCTGCTGCATCCGCAAGGGTATGGTACTTGCGGGTTGGAATGTATTCAAAGGGAATGTTAACGGCACCCACCCCGAGATTGTTGTCCGTACCCATACCTCGACGTCTATATATGAACGGCCGACATGACATGGAATGGTCAAAGTTATGTACGCTTTAGGGAGACAGCCCAAAGAGGTGTGCGAGCAAAGCAAGCGCAAGGAGCGAGTCTATAACGTCTCCTTGAGGTAGTGCTGAGGAAGCGAGAGATATCTCGGCGAGCAAAGCGAGCGCTCCCGGTTAATCTATAGATGAACGGCCGACATGTCGCTCGAGGAGGATGACCCGACAGCTCATGGAGGTGGGCGAGCAAAGGGAGCGCATCTAATACCGCACCGTCTTGCAGCTAGCAAAAGCGAGCGCTCCGTGCTAGTCTTCTTCAAAGGACAGGTGCTGCTGTATTTATTGGTAGAGAAGATCATATTGCAGAACCCAGAGTGGCCCCAGCTTCTGAACTACCTGCCGTATTTGCCGCTAACCTACGCTTGTTTACATCTATGAGCACCTCCAGCGCTTCAATCTTTTCCGTAATCTCGGCCGTCTCTTCAAAGAGACTTCTCAGTTCTACTTCTAGATCTGCATACTGTTCGCGTTGTAGTTTCAACGCTTCCTCGTGCTCCTGTACCAGTTCATCCTGACGCTGTAGAGCAGACAGCATTAGGGGGATTCATCAGCAAGTGCAAAGCGACCGGCAATTCTAGGATCGTTACCTTTGCAGCTGGAGTGGTAGCCGCCTTATGCTGTGTAAGCAGGGATAAAGTTTCCTTCTCCACTATCGATTTGTACTTTTCCTGCTATTGAAATGAATGAAAATGATAAGCTCGCAAAAACGCTTCCTCGGCCATCCGAATCTATCGCCAGTCTTAGCTTACGTCTCGTTCTATTTTCTCGAGCAGCTCGCGAAGGACAACGTCATGTAGGGAATATTCAGTCATCCATTTTAGCACCGTGGACCAACCTTCCTTATGCCGTAAGAGATGTCGTTGTCGATCGGATTGCTGTGTCCCTGGCGGACTCTCTACGCATTTGTGTGCGAGGCGCAGAAGAAACTGTGTGTCTTCCTCCTCTAAATTCTCGCGAAGTCTGGAGGGGCAGGTGGGTTAAAGCGAACAGATACCCGCTATCCCATCCGAGAGCAAGCGTACCGGTCGTTTTCCTTCTCAATGAGCTGATTCCAAAGTGTCTGCTTCACCAGAGTCGATCGCAAGTCATCCGCTTGCTGCTCACTACCAATCTCGCACAGTAGCGTTTGAATCTTTGTGCGAAGATAGGCTTTCTCGGCTTTCTGACTGATATGCGCCGCTATGACCAGATCATACTCCCTCTGGTTCCATAAAGTAAGTCGATAGTAGAACGTCTGGGCCGCGTATAGACTGCAATTTTCTTCTGCACCTTGATCTCCCTGAGCAGAGGTGCGAATGTGACTGTGTATTCGTTGATTGTGGTTTCAAACACATTCTGTAAACTCTCCACACGCAAAGGGTCTAAAGCTTCAGCGGCCGTGCCATATTGCTTCAGCGTAGCGAGCTTCTACACCCCAGGAGCGTCAAACTTGTACACGGTTACCTCAGCTCCTGAGTGATTGCGCACTTACCTGCGCGATATCTGCTTTTGACTGGTTGAACAATCCTTCATAGTGCGGATGCCGTATTCGGAAACAAGAACTACTTGACTGGACTCTTGTCATGTCTTTTGTCCCCATAAGCACACTCTAATTGTGGTCAACGAGGTGACGCTGAAGATGGGCAGGAGATGGAGCTTGGACGGGGGATCTTCCAAGGTTCATTGGGCGCTGGAACTTGATTCTGCATTGAGACCATGATTTTCGACAATCAACCGCGCGCTGTCGAATTCTTGTATAATATATAATGCTAGCGGAATGCCGTTCAATACGAATATAGGAAGCTCAAATTCACAATCTGTGTCGTATCAAGAATCTAAGAAAGAACCACTCTCAAATGCCTTCTACAACCAACACACCAATCACCATCGCTACTTCACCAGCCAAGTCGGCGATCTCGGAGAAGTTTCCATGGGAGGGCCGCAACTCGCTTGGGGTAAGCCACTTGCACAATACAAGGATACGTAAGGGAAACACAATAACGGACAGCAAGATTGACTCACTTTTGAACTTGCGCTAGTATATGAACGATAAGCCGACAGATAAATGGCGCAAATATATTGGCAGGGAGGAACGCAAGCAGCTTAGGAAGTACGAATCCAGGTGGAAAATCCCTGACTCGCACGCTGTACATATACACTGACAATGACATTCATCCAGAGGCACAGATCTCCTGACAACGTCCACCGCACTTGTGTCCGATTCATCGCAGTGGGCTACTAGCATCGCTGTGGTGGAGGTATGTGTGTCCCTAGGGCCGTGATGGCCGGCAGAGTGAAGTAGGAGAGAACTCATCTTAGCTTGGCTGTACGATCAACAGGAATCTTCCTTCATAGCAGTCGGATCTGCTTCGGAGACACTGTTCATACTAGAAAATGTTGACAAGCGTACACAGGATCTAACGGTACGCTCCCTTTCTCACCCACTAATCGGTCGTTTCCTTCACCGTTCCTGCGGACCCTCGCTGACGCCAGTGATTTGCAGCTTCGATCAGCCATCACCGTTCCAGATGCTGTGTACTCTCTTGCCATCTCGGGCACCAAGCTCCTGACTGGCGGACACAATGGCCGCGTGCAGGTGTTCAATCTGGACCAGTTCGTGCTGGACACGAAGAATAAGGGTGTCGATCATGTGGATGAGCTCAGAGTTATCCCAGCTGATCTAGTAGGTGCGAAGGGTGTTTCGGAGTGCCTTCCATAAGGGTTAATGTGTTCTCTTACGACGTCAGAAGCTAAAGGCACGGGATTAACAAGGCCCACTAACTCTTCTGATCTTGACAGAGAGCGCCTATCGCGCCGCCCCAAAGAATGGCGGGCAGCCTTCGAGTAAACGTAGTGGACTTCGAGAGGCTAGAGGGTGGAGACGAGCCTGCAGCGAGTCCTACATTTTTGGCAACCGTTGGGAAGCATCTTTATATTGGAGACCTTCAAACCGGCAAAACAACCGCATCCGAAGCTGTACGTAGACTGCGTTGCGTAAGTCGTTCCTTCATGGTCGCCGCAAGCTGAAAAAACCCTCACATTTGCCAGGTTGGCATGGACACCCTTCTCTCCGCCTCATTCACGCCACATCCCGGCGTGCGCCTAATCGCTGCGGCCGGAGTAGACCGGTCCATCAATATCCTGGACAGCAGGCAAATAGGCAGCGGGTCCGCCTCGAATGTAAGCCCTGAGGATACGCCTGGCCAAATGATGAATGTATACTCAATTCTACGACGACAGATTTGGAAAGTGCCCGAAGCGCATGGCCTTGCTGTGAATGAAGTCAAATTCAACCCGTTGATCCCGTACTGGCTCGCTAGTGTCGGTGAGTCCAGGCCCCCTTAGCTGCAAGCTGCAAGCTGCAGAGCGCTGGAATAGGGGTTGACCAGAATGATTCTGAGGGCAGGCGAGGACTCGGTGGTGAAACTGTGGGATATGCGTTTCCTGCACTACCCAGTTGGAAGGATAGATGCTCACTATCATAGCATCCGCTCGGTAAGACAGATAGTACACCGGGGATGTGGAGTATAGTAGAGTTTCGCTGAGTCGACTCCCATCAGCTTGCTTGGTCACCATCCCGCGCCGAACTCCTCACCACAGTCTCAAGCGACCGCTCCTGGCGCGCCTGGTCCTTCAACGCCTCACTTGCCACCACCCGCGAAACATGCCCTTCATCAGCCTTCATCGACAGTCCCGGAACGGAATGGGGCACCTCGCCACATACTGAAATGTCAGATCGCGCGGTCGTTGGGGCTTATTTGGTGGCCGAGTGCACGGATTATACGAGCCCGCCGATCAAAGTCGTGGCTGGGAGGGATCGGAATGATGCGTTCTATAGTGTTACGGGTACCGGACAGGTATGCTGTCATGTGGTGAGCGGGGATGTTTTCGAGATTGTCAATCCGCACAGGTGGGTGTAGGCGCTTCCGGTTCTTCTCTATCTGAATGCCTCACTGATATCCCGGACAGGTTCACTTCCGCACAAAATTCCACGGCCTTTTCCATCGAGCAATCCGTCCAAACCCGCGATTTAGCCACTGCGTACACCGACATTATCGCGCACTGCAGAGCCGCCCGTGCCGAAAACAAGTTGCTCGCCTCCCACGAGGTGGACCTAATCAAATTATGCACCTCAACACCGCCAGTCGGCGCAGAGGAGTGGAACTTACCCAAGTTGGAGATGGTGGAGCGTGTGGCTGACCGAGAGGCTGTGGAGAACATCCGGGAGGAGCTTCGGAGATGGACATATTGGCTGCCTCCCGGATTCGGTGGGCATCTGAGAGATGTTGGAATGGTAAGAGATCTTTCCGAATGCGTCCCGTCTTGAACAAGATATCCGGCATCGACGAATCAACTGCAGATAAGGAAGAAACTACAGCAAGAGTTCGATATCATGGTCGTTCGGTGCGATCTCGTTGGAAAAGCGTTGGAAGGGGATGGTGATGCCATTCTAAAGGAGGAAACAGCGTTTTCCCGAGGATTGGAGGTTGATCCGCTGTACATCAATGGGGCGACGCTCAGAGTAAGCCCGCATTTGCAACACTTCTCCTTTAGGTGCATCCTTCGAATCCTCTGACCCCACCTTTGCTAGGTCTTATCTCAAGCAATCATTCAGCACGACTACACCAAAGCTCTCACCTTCGGTCTGAAACTCGCCCAAACCGTCGAAGACACGCCTGGGCGCACGCTTGCAGATTGCACCGAAGCCTTCGGCGTTCTGCTATTCCCGACCGTTTTTGACAAGTCAAAATGGCAGCCGACCTTCGATTATCAGCCGCTAGGAGCAGATAAACCCGCCGCTGATCTACTCGCGACCCAGAGCGGGAGAGATGTGAACGATGCTGCAAAGTACGCACGCTATGCGACTGTGGCGGCGGAGTACGCTGCATTGCTGCAGCGGAGGGATAAGGAGGTTTTAGGGCTTGCTGAAGCGGTCTCGCCGTCACTGGCAGACCATTCCGGGGATGAAAACGACGGACGCTCTACCGTAGACGGAACCCTTCCGCCTAGTCAGCAAGCAGCGGACGACATGAAGAACCAGGCGTTGAGGACCCTCATCGCGAACGGCGGAAATGTGCTTTCGATGTTGCGGTTGCAAATGTACATGTACAACCCACACCCCAATCCAGTCCAATCGCATCATCAAAGACTCACGAAGGATCTACTTCTCTCTGCAATATAGTAAACTCACAAAAATCATGGCATCCCCACCGGCGGACACTTTCTACAACGACATCCTTCGTGTTTTCGACAATATGAACACGGAGGAGATGCAGGAAAGCGGTAGCACGCAGAAACGGCCTTTCGTAGAACGCACGATCTCGTCGTACGCGATTGTCCTTTACCTCGATGCCTTGTTGCATCATAATCGGTTTGAGGACTATTGGGGAACGTGCTTCGAGCTGGTTAATGTGAGTTCTATTAGAGTCTGAGAATCCAGGAGAGGCGCTGCTTTTTATTTCTCGGAGAGATCCGCTGACCATGGATCCCGTCTTCAAACCAGCAATACGCATCATACGCACTCCCCACAACCCTGTTAGCCCACGCCTTGAAAATCGCCACGCCCGACTTCAATGCTCAAATCGGGCTCATCTACGAAGCAGCAACGCACAAGCTGGCCCAAGCACTCGATACCAGCGGGAGCAATCGCGCGCTCGACTCGGTTCTCCTTCAAGCCATCGACAAAATCAAAGAAGGCATGGTGCTTGTGGTTAGCTGTGGGGTCTGTTTGGGGAGGTTGGGTTCGGGGAGTGCGGGCGGACAGAGGGAGAGCGTGGAGAAAATTAGAGGGGATCTGTTTTTGAGATGGCTGGGGTAGGTTCAATTTTGCGTCGGAGTCATTGGTGCTGGGGGTAACCGTGATACATATATCGCAGGACACTGCAATCATCCCTTCTTCGGGCATTGGATCTGGTCGACACAACGATGGGCGCCGGTAGCATGAGGTGCGTAGTTTTGCAGATAGCATGAATAGCAGAGGTCGATTACAGTGCTTAACATCGACACGAAACAGAGAAGCGGCGCAGAAAATCCAAGCCTCCATACGGGATTCGCTACAACCGGCCAGCAGTGGCGGACGTGCACGAGCAGCGCAGACTGCTCTGGCCATTGGAAAAGACGCCAAAGACAATCCCAACCCCGTCGTCAAGTTCATAGCTGAGATCAACAGCGTGATTGAACAGCTTGGCAAAGTCGGTAGGACGGAAGTCGCTGGGCCGGCGGCTGCGGGGAGTATTGCTGGCACTCTGCCTAAGCCAGCCGCTTCGATTCGAGAGTCGTTGGATACTTGAAACAGAGTTTTCATTCCTCAGATAGTGAGACCTGCAGTCGCCAGTGCTCAGGGCTTGTGGGCGTTTTTTCAAATGGTATGAGGAGCCCTCTTACCAGCCGAGGTGTACAAAAGGAATGCGAAATATCAGTGTCTGAATGATGGGGTCCGGATTTGGCTTCTCCCCAAAATCTTGTAGTTCAAAGAATTATCTCTCGCAGGGCAAACAAATATTCTGATTTGCCCACCTACTAGTGCCTGCTCTCCACAAAATACCGCGATAGCCAACTCCGCCCCCAACCACTACCCTCAACGTAAACAACCCATTCGCCGACACTTTTCCAACATCAATCAAGCACAACTATTCTTCATAACAAGACGGTTTCTGCGTTTGACAACGTTCGGAATGGATATGCGGAGAGAAGGTATGTTACCACTTTGCATTGTTATCTGGTCAGAACGTGCGCATACCAACCGTCGATTGATTCATGAAAGCCGTACCAAAAACAATCAAAGCACAACTTTCGGAACGAGCAGGTATGTAGAAATTTCGCAACTATTCCTGGTCAAAACGCCCGCATACCAAATGGTGCTTCAAATGCTACTGTACTTCTTCACCGTTTTGCCGCGCCAGCTAATGTCCATACCTTTCTCCCCCTATGCCACATCAGGAACCAAACCGACAAGCATGTGCAAACAGGATTTGCATCTCTCCGCGATTTTCAAGCCCGGCTTTGAGGCATATGTCGAGCAATGCCCCGGTCCGTGGCAGATATCGGACCAGCCCGGCTTCGAGGCATATGTCGAGCTTGTGTCGAGCAATGCCCCGGTCCGTGGCAGACATCGGAGCAGCGGGGCGTTGTAGTAGTGCGCTTCGAACTGCGCTTCTGCCGGCCACCACCACATTTACTCGAGGCATATGTCGAGCATGCCCCGGTCCGTGGCAGATATCGGACCAGCCCGGCGTCGAGGCATATGTTGAGCGTGTTCCGTTGCAGTTGAGAGTTCCCCGCTCTACCGGAAATCAGCGTTTAGCCGTGCGTCGATATATCGAGCAGCCCTGCATCGAGGCATATGTCGAGCAGCCCTTTCTAGAGGCATATGTCTAGTAGCAGCCGTGCATCGAGGCATATGTCGAGCAGCCGTGCGTCGAGGCATATGTCGAGCAGCCGTCCTTCGAGGCATATGTCGAAGACGCTGATGGTAGCGCGGGGTGGAACTGTCAAGAAATATGAATTGAGGTAGGCGTTGAGTGTTATGTGGGCAGATCGTTGAGGTGTAACAATCTCAAAGTTCTTCTTTCAGATTCTCTGAATCCACATAGCTTGCTTGGTAATGTAAGAACACCCCGCTCACCTCAGGATCGTATTCAGAGGCTTTGTTCTGAATGACACAGGTTAATCTGTCGCACATGTAGAAAGCCGAAAATGTAGTTCACAAACGACAAACAAGTGGCACGCACTTTGCGCGACCGTCAAGGGATTGTCGATAGAAACTACGTCCGAGCGGTACGTGGTGTCCCCCCGTTCGAAGTTCGAGGACAAACAAACTCACAATTTCTTTCCGTCAGGCGTCCAACCCCTCAAATGGCATTTGGGACACCTCACCAAAGTACACACTCCAAGCATCTAGCTTGGGCAGAACTCTCCCCGGTACCCCACACGCAAAATCATAGATAGGTTGAGTGACTTTTTGGGACCCCATTCAGGCCTGGGCTAGGCGGAACTATTATAATAATGTGTGTGCAAAACTTAATCTGGTGGGTGCATGGGGCAGGAGGTGATGATAGATATTGGCGTAATGTTCCACCATCACCGAGAGCCTTCAGCTGCTGGCAAGGGAGGGGTATTGTTTGCGAGCTCAAGGAGCTAGAGACTTAAACCAACCCAACCTAGAACGATGGGAACATTGTGATCCCTCTCCCACCCATCTCAGTTCGTTTCCCGTAGGAGCTCGGTATATGTCCTTGCCGTACGGGACCCTGCGGCATCATTCCGGGTCCACTGCTGCGAAGAAATCACTTCAGAAGGAAATCAAAACCGGAATGCGATTGAAGGCGGAGGTCGCAGCCGTGCTCATCTCAGCGCTCACTTTTCTCGCCAACTTCGTTGCATCTCATCCCAGCGCCACGTAGGACTTCCTGGCCAATCGTAATAGATACACTTACACGTATCACAGGCAATCCAGCTGTCTGGAGACGCTGGCAAAGCCCTCGACACACTTACAAATAGAAGCAGATTTCTGGACGATCTTCAACCTCAGAGCCTTCGGTGAAGTAGGATGTCGCAACTAATTTCGAAGAGAACCGCCTTCCGCGGAATCTACGCCCTTGAGTTTTTGGCTACTCGAAGAGCAGCGTCTGCCGCTCCAGCGTTCTGTCACTGCCACCGCCCTCTTACGAGATCGATTCACATAACACCCATTGCGAAGGATGATCAGGTACGGACGTTTCTTGTCCGCTGTAGACCGTTCGTTCAACTTTGAGACTGACCGTCCTTGCGTTATAGCCGATAGTTGGAAGCCCGCCGGTCCCGTTGGAGCCCGTCTCAGCATTTCCCAACAGTCCACCACCGGCACCTATCAAAGGAACTTTATGGTTTGACAACGTCTTCCCGCGACGTAAGTACCATGAGCGCCTCTGAGCACAAAACCTACAATGCAGCTCACTCCTTCGCATAGATTACGTCAAGTATGACATCCGCTGGCCGTGGCTAGCGAGCTACAGCAAGCGGATCGTTGAAACCGCAAAGGAGCGATTCATCCCGAAGAATCTGCCCGCTGATTTTGAGTACCTGGGCGCAACCCCGAATATGAAGGAGGGAGGGCTTTTTGTCCATTTCAAATACAACGGCGAGTCTGCACAGGAGGTCGTTGACCGGGTCAATAAGTACATGGAAGAGCAGCATCTGAGGTCCTGGGTCAATCTCAACAAAATCCGAGCCTACTACGTGAAGGGCGAGCCGTGGGTAGACGATATGGTTGGCCGGCTTCCTTCGAGACAGCTTCGTGTCGAGTTCGCTGGGCCAGATGTTTCTGTGGAGAAGCTCTACCGAGACTTCCGACCGTATGGGAGAATCAACAACATCACCCTCCTACCACCGAATGTGAAGGATCTTCCGCGATACGCTGTCGTCGAGTTCATTCGCGTGCGGTCGGCTACGAGCGCAAGGAACTGTTTGAACGGCGAGCTCATTGATGGGACTCGCATCAGCATCAACTACGAGGGCCAGAAGCAGACATTTGCCAAAGTATGGAACTGGATGACTTCCCATCCTCGCATCGTCATACCACTTCTGCTCGCTATGTTCGCAGGGCTATCTTACGCCGTCTTTGACCCAATTCGCGTGTTCTTTATCGAGAACCAGTTGACCGGAAGGTTCAGTCTGAAGGCATACAAGGGCGCCGCTGAGGAATGGTGGTACTCCACAGCGTCTAGTGTCTTCGGACGCAAGTTGCACGATTCTACAGTGGCACAGGAAACGTGGACTGAGCGACAGGAAGATTTTGCACGGTTGCAGCACCACTTGAAGCAGACACCAGACACGCTGGTGCTGGTTAGTGGACCAAAGGGCTCTGGGAAGAGCGCTCTCGTTAAGAAGGTGCTTGAGCATGCGAAGTATAAGATCGTCATTCACTGCGATGAGCTTGCAGGGCAGCCCAATCATATCATGCTCAAGCGGCTGGCGAGCCAAATCAACTTCAAGCCAATGTTCAATGGGTAAGGCCTTCATCGCTTTGGGTTGTGTGTTTGCGTTGTTACATCGACCTGACCGCGTTTGTCTGCAGACTTGTACAGATGTCCTCGCTTCTCGACGCGATGATCACTGGTAAGGCCACAAGACCACAGCAAGTTCGTGATCGCCGACTTGAACGCTAAGACGCATTTTCTTTCACAGCTACGACAGGAGCGAAAGCAGGTCTGTCCACCACCGACGAGGGCCAAATAAAGCAAATGTTCGAACTGCTCTCCGCTGCTGTGGCGCGCGTGGCGGAGGAGCAGAGAGAGACCAGGAAGAAGGCTTTGTTGAAACAAGCTCGACATGCTGAGAAAGGCACAGGGCCCGATGCCGTCGCGGCGGATGCGAAGACGGACAAGATTTTGGAGGATATTGAGTACCCCGTTGTGGTGGTGGAAGGTTTTTTGGCCAGCGAGGTCTCTAAGAGCTCGGTGATCTATGACATGATTCTGGAGGTATGTCATGCGGCGATCTGGAAAGTCTCTCTCCTCGTTTGCTCAACCACATCTTCTCAAATCATAGTGGGGTGCTTCCGCCGCTGAGAACCATTTAGTATGTGTGCGACGAGGGACGACAAGAGGTGTGAATTCATCTCCTGGAAGCCACCACTAACACTCACACGCTTAGGCCCACGTTGTCTACATATCGGACAACCCCATTGCCCTGAAGACCATCAGCAAAGGTAAGTCCTTTTGTTCTGCTGTCTGACATTTGACGCCCATCCATTCATCCGGCGTTCACGATAGCTCTCCCGAATAAAACCATCGAGCTGTATGCCCTCTCGGACGCAACCCCGGAAAACGCTCTCGCACTTGTAAAGAAACGCCTTGAGGAACCCGTGGATGACAACCAGCTGCGCGAGTTCGTTAATGGGCTTGGCGGTCGTTTGACGGATTTGGAGATGCTGATTCAGAAGATTCGTGCGGGGATGACTATCGATGGTATGCGAAAGGCCTTTAGTGGTTAAACCTGACGATTTGGTTTCACTCAATCTCGATATTCCTCAGATGCATACAAAGAGATCGTCTTCCGCGCCGTCAACGAAGTCCGCAAGGTCGGCCTTGGCGAAGACGCCACCACAACCGACACGTCCCACAAGATCCGTTGGTCACCCGTCCAGTTCTGGAAAGTCGTACAAATCCTCAGCAAAGCCGAAGAAGTCTCCTACGACGGCCTCCGCTTCAACGCACACTTCAAAGGCGACGAAGGGCCCATCCAGGCCATGGAACGCGCCGGCTTGATCGGCATTACCTATGATAACGGTCGGCCTTACGGCATTCGCGCCAGTCGACCCGTGTTCCGCACCGCGTTCCAGCATATGCTTATGGACCAGCGTCTGTCAGCTACCATGGGCATCCTGACGACAAAGCAGCAGATGGCGGACGAGGAAGCCAATATTAAGGGCATCACGGCGGAGATGAACACGTTAGATGCGCTGTCGAATAACGGTACTGTGAAGCGGCCTGTGAAGGAACGGTTGGATGATTTGAGGAAAGGGTTTGAGGGGAGTTTGGACAGGCTGCGGAGGCTGGGAGCGGAGCAAGGAGAGTACAAGAAAGTTATCAGTTTGCCGGAGTGAGACCGACGTGCTGCCGGAGGACCCCTATTTGCTTTGAGCGGAAGCCTGTTGCTGCCGGGATCCACATGGTTGTGGTACCCGATCAATTTCAAGCAATCTCATTAACATGGTGATTCCTCACCTTAGCAAGTTCAAATTTTGGTGTTTCGTGTTCACAAATTTTATCTCATAATGATAGCTAGTTCCTTCTAGTGCTATGTTCGACGTATCCAGAATCGAATCACTCCTTACACGGTCCACGACCTTAAATGCAGCGCAAAAGATCTCATTTATATACAGCTACTACGAAGAAAATCTACATCTTGAAATACAACGAAACCTCAGGACGCATTTGGAGAAATATGTACACAACTGCACAAAAGCAATAGAGATGTCAGGGTATATCGGAAGGGTGACAGGGGACTGAGAAAACTTATGTACAAGGGAGGAGTCCCAACGAAGTAAATGATACAGAATAGCCTGACCATTCCTAAGACACAAAATGTGAGCAAAGGGCACGGCACTTTTCAAGGCGTTCCTGGGTTGCGTCGACTTCATAGATCCGCCGTTGCTATTTCGTAAAAGAAGACGGGAGAAGCGGGAGATTAGGTTCGAGCAAAGCACTTCACTTGTAGCTTTGCTGGCATTTACCTCTTCAACACCAAGGAACGTCTCTAAAATCCCTTCCAAGTTGAGCACCTCCATGTAGAGCTCCAACACCTTGCATCCGAGCATAGCAACCTGACCATCGCCGAGTTCCCGAGCCGATTCGCCCACTACATGTCGATACGACAAGTACTCTTTGATGAGCACATTCATCGCGTCAACATGTTGCTGCCGATCCACAATGAAGGCTAGGAGGTACGCCGGTTCGTCCTGTTGGATCTGAAGCAGTTGTTCAGACAACGTGTGCAGGTCGCTATCGATGGGCGGCGGTGTGTATGCCGAGGGACCGGTGAACAGCTCTTCCACGAGGGCAATGATCTCGGCCATCGCATCCGGAGGGGTGGGTCCGGAGCCCTCGGGGTCCTGGAGACAATCGGTGGCAAAGTCAATCCAGTCCTGAACGAGCTGCATGGAAAGCTCGAATGACGCCGGGAAGATTCGGAACAGTTCCACACCATCTTCTAGAGAGATCGGCTTTTCTAATGTAAGCGCGACTTGGTTTGGAGCTTTTTGCGCCTCGACATTCTGTGGTGATAGCGAGCTCATCGGCGATGGTGGTCGGAAATCATCATTGGCAGTGAAGGATGCTTCCTGTGGTTGCGCGCGTGAGTCCTGAGCGGTGATTTGGTCCTTTAGCCCTTCAGGTAGATATGGTACGGTCAATCCCATAAATGCTGCAAAGGAAATGAGTCTCCAGTTTTTGAAACGAGAAAAGTCGGCTTTTCGGAATGCACTCACATAAGAAAAGATCTGGTTTGAACTCTCGATCCAGACTCCAAGTAACAACACCCTCGGACAACTTCTTGCCCTGGTTGGACTCCGGCTCGGGTGTCCCCAACAACTCGGCAAGCAACTCGATGTAAGCGGCGCTCTCCGTCGGTTCAGCGGCTGTGATCGTCACTGTGATCAAAACCGTGGCGCCTGTTCCGCTCTCCTCCGGTTCCACTTTCTCAAGAAAAACGCGGTTCGTTTCAACCTCCAAGGCATTGGCAAGATCTTCACACAGCCAATGCCCAAACTCTGGATCTTGCACTAGCTCCTGGTATTGCCTTTTCAGACGGAAAGTCAAGAAAGGTGTTGCCCCGGCGTGCATGAGAAGTCTTTTGGCAGGGGTAACAGTCGTTTGTTTCGGAATGTCCTGTTTGCCTGACGCGGAATCTGGGATCTTGGACTTCGACCTGGCGGATGTCATACCAAATATGTGCTGGGGAAGGTTATCGTCCAGCCCAGTAGTCCCACCCAAGATTCCATTGACAAAAATCGACGATAGAGAAACATCTCGTGTGAGCACTGGTCGTTCGGGATGATGGAAGACTTCGCCCGCTGAGGCTTCAGGGTATTCCTTGCCCTCCTGCTTGGTCATATTTTCCTGTGAGAACGAGTTTTCTAGGTTGCCCACCTCGTCAAGGTTCGAGTCGTCAGAGGTTGTGACGGTGTGGGAATCGATAGCCAGACTTTTTTGGCCATATTCAGCCTCGTGCTCGTCATCTCGACCAAAGAAAGCATCCAGGTCGTCCAGCGTATTGAGCAAGTTTCCATCTAAGTCGTCGATCTCCCATCCGGTGAACAAGGTTCCGGTAGAACTTGTTGTCTTGTCCGTACCGAGCGGAGGCGCTTTCCAGTCCCTCGAAGTACCTCCGACAAGGACGTTGCTTGTGGGACGAAGGCTTGAGAAGTGACTCGCTGTGTCATTTTCAGCGCCTGATCTGCCGACCGTGGAATGCTGTCTTCCGCTCTCCCGTGCCCCACCGCATGTAGAAGCGACGCCTGTCATATTATAGCGGGCAATTTTTGCGAAGGCAGCAAAATCCTTGACCCACCATCCGCTATGTTCGCCGGCTTCACCTCTGGGTGTTGACCCTGGTGCCAAAAGCTCCGGACCGTTTCCAGCTTCTCGAGCAATCTTGTAGATACTCTTTCCGCCGAACACTAGTCTGAGATTTGCTTCCCCTGAAGGTATACTCCCACTCAAGATTTCGTCCAGAACTTCTAGCGCTTCAGAAGCCAGTTCGGTATGTAAGATGCTCAACAGTGGAGCAATGAAATCTTCGTCCATTTCCGTCATGGCCACCGGAGGCATGCTTCCCGTCCTCGTTAAGATGTCCCTTGAGGGTATAGCAGACAGAAGCCCTTTGATGATTGAAAGAACAGCTGCTTTCGTTGACAAGCGGGGATTGGAGAGCAGCCCCATCAGAAACTGCCACACCTCGCCTTCCCTCTGCGGAAAGTATTCTTCCTGGATCAGTGATATCAGTTGCTTAAGGAAATCCTCCCGAGTGCGGATCTTCCTTTTGGCAAATGAGGACAGCAGTCGCGAGAGTGCGTCGTGCTCACTCAAGTCGGCCAGCGTCTGCGCTGTCCTCATCCATTCTCTCCGCGACCCTTCTGCGTCTTTATCGGCACCGCGAGTTCCCTCAAAGCATTGTAACCAGCGCGGAAGGTTTGCGAGCATAGCAAAGAGAAGTCTTCCGCCAGCGCTATCCACCAGGGTACTGTTCGTCAAAGAAGCTAATGTGTTGATCACGCGGAGACAATCATCATCGGTTGACGACGAAGACAGCCCCCTCAAGAGGAGCGGCTGAAGGCCCGTGAATTGGCCCTTCCATTTTGTAGGCAAGTTTATAAGGAGGATGTTCCTGCAACTGGGTTCTTCGACACCTAGTTTCGCTAGGATTTTCTCGAGCAGCGCAAGTCCTTCGGCGTATTCCCATTCGTGTGGCGAATGGAGGCATGCGACCGCTGCCCAGAACAGCTGTGGAAAGAGTATGAGCCGAGACCCGTCCAGGCTGTTGACCATGGAGTTGAGCGTCATCACTATCTCTAGAGCAAATCCTTGAATCTCCAAAGTAGGATCTGCGAGTGTGTTTGCCAATCTCTGGAGCAGCTCCCCCAACATGCGCTGACTGAAGGCAGGCATCAGCGTTCGGAATATTTGCAGTGAACGGCAGGCCGCGTGCCGCACTGGGCAGGTTGTGCCCCACATGAGAGCGGTCTCGCCCCAACTCTGAGCGATGTTTGGATCGACGACGAAGAAGAGCTCCAGAACGTCCATTACAAGAGCGCCTAACTGATGCTGAGATTCGATGTCCTGTTCCTTCGGTGTGATGTCTTCAAACGCCCATAGTCGTTTCCCCTCCTTTAGACTCAGCGCGGCGTGCACAGTGTCGATATGCTTGCCTGCAACGTCTCGTGGAATAGTGGATTGGATGATGTTTATAAGGAGCAGTCGATTCTGCTCGCAAATTAGCGTAATGAAATGATCCAGTTGAACGAAAATGACATGTAGAAGAAGCGGAAGATGGGCCCGTAATGCTGAGCCCAGCTCGACCGCCAAATCGACGAGTAGCACGCATGCGAGTTGACCTTTCGAAAATGCGGGTCTCTTGGGCATATCTACCAAAACTTGTTCCAGGTTGGCTTCATGATACGTCGCATTCGGCTGAAGTCCCTCCCCGATCATCTCAGGCTTCACACGTCCCCGATTGTCGGGAGCAAGCCCGGACTCCTCCAATCCGGTTGGGATCATACTCTTGGGGTTGATTCTCCCAATCAAGGCGTCAACCAAATGGGAGCAAACCACGGTTCGAGCGAGGTAGACAATCACCTTCTTGGCATGTGTTACGAACTTGGGGTTCCGTTTCTGAACCCCGATATCGAGCAGGAAATCGATGATCATATTTGTGTGCTGACTCAAGGTATTGGAGTTGCTCCTATCCTGAGATGGAGGTGCAAAGCCTTCCAGGCCGCCTTGCTTTCCGGCATTTCCCGTTGGTTCGACTAGCTGCATCCAGATATTCTCCAATTCCGCGACATGCTCATCACCGTACTTGACGGTCAGGTAGAAAAGATTCATCAAAACTGTGTGCGATGGGGAGCCAATCCGTACTTTCTGAGATGAGTCCGAGGGATCCGGGCCATCAGCGGAGAGCTGCACGTTGCGCACCCAAGGTACCATCAACACGAGGATATCATGCACTCCTTGGGGATACCCTGAATTGACGCCGTTGCCCATTGCGACGATTTCCAAGGTGTAAACCATTTCCGAGAGCATCTTCAAGAAACTCGCCTTAGAGCAGAGTACACGGGATTACAAAAGGAAAACTGTCATTACCTCGTGAGTCATATCTGCCCTTTCATTGGCCAATCTCGCGGATATCATTGCTTGTGCATATTTATATACAATCGGTAGTTGACTTGCAATAGCAGCAGCTTCGTATGTCGCGTGTTCTTCGTCGATCAATGCCATAGCCGCCATCATAGCAGCTTCGTCATCAAGGCGTTCGTGCATATCGCCTTGATCTATCTCACGGTCGAGCATGTGAGCGTCGAGATCCGCGAGTCGCGATGGAGGTCCGAAGAAATCCTTGGCGAGGGATATTACAGCACTGTATTTGGACTTATCCGTCATTGGATCTTCCCAGAATCTCGCTTCTATCGCACGTAACAGCCTGATGGCTCCTCTTCGAATATGCAGATTTGGATCACCCGCTTTGTAGAGAGAGAGCGCACACATGCGAGCCGGAGAGCACGGGTATCCGTCCTCGCGGGTGAAAATGTCTACTAGCGCCATAAAGTATCCCATCGTCACGTTGCTGTCAACATCTCCTACGTAGCATTGCTTGACCACGTCGATGAGGAGTTGCTCGCTACGGCGATTGTGGGTGAGCAATGCCTCGAGAGCTGCTCTCGCGATGACGTGGAACTTTTCATCCGGTGAAGCGAAGATGGAGTTGATCCACGTAACCAGGGCTCCAAAATCAAATGATTGAGAGGGATCCCGAGGGTTCACGACCGGTCCTTTGCACAATGCTGCCATAGCCTTCAAAGATGCGGTTTCCAAGGCTTTCCGTTGCTCTTCCATCGTTGAAGTCAGCGCTCCCCGTTCTCGAATGTCTTTGACTTGATCAAGAACGGACAACATCATCTTCGCTTCTCTATCGCGCGTGCGAGCACTGAACTGCCCGTAACCACACCACTTTTCGAACAGCCGGAAGAGGCCTAAACGAAGGTCGAAGGGAATGTGGCGCTCTAAGCTCTCTTCACCGAGATCCGGCGAACCTGCTTCGTTGCTATCCGAGTCCCCGACCGCGGCGACAAGGTAGTCGTACAAGCGCTCGATAAAACCACTGAAGTAGTACCGAAGCATCTGGTGATCCCATTCGTATTGAACTTCATTGTCCGAGAGAAACCTGGCCAGTTCGCGCACATATGTCATCATGTTCGCCATGAAGTTGGCGTTCCGCCTATGTTGAACGTATCCAACAAAGTCTGCTAGGAGCGACATGACATGCGTGAGCTCCATTCGTAGGCGTTCAGATCGTTTCGCTTGAGCACTGTGAGCGAGAGCTTGGCTGGATCCCGGCTTTCTGGTCGATTCCTTGATATCCCCACGCATAACTGCCGCACGCGTTCGTAAATCATCTACTACTGATCGCATCAGAGGCTGAACGTCTTCCAAGAACGTATGATAACTCTGACTGTTGATGGATGAGAGCGCAGAAACGGCAGCTTTACGTATCGATGCCTTCTCACTGTGAAGCAATGGGAAGACCATTTGCAGAAGATCATGGGCGGAACTGATTGTGTGCAGCATAAGTTCTCTGGCTGATTTATTCGCGGTTGGGTCAGGCCGTGATCGATCGGATTGATGAGCTTTGGTGTGATTGTACGTCGTGGATGAAGCATCGGTGGTCATACTTCCATATATCTCGATGCATGCGCAAGCGTAGACCATGTAGACCCGCCACTGATCTACCATTTCGTCAGTCAGCGGAATGACGGAAGCGGAAGCGGTCTTGTGCGTATTAGCGTTGCCACGATCATTTCCCCACTTGACGGTACCCGGTATCGTGGTTGTGCCTTTCCCACCAGTTGTATTGGAGGCTTCAGAGGCCGCTATGATGCTCGACTGAAGAGCAGAAAGCCGTGCGCAAATGTCGCGCAAGCACATTTGCAAGGTTCTAGGGTTGGCGTACTGGAAGCACCACTTGATGAGATCTGGGAAGCACCGAGCCCATATGACCGTGTCTTGCTGACTTTCCGATCCGATAACTTGGATCAATGTAATCCCTTGTGCAGGCCTGCAGGCCTGCTGCTGCGATTTCTGATGTTCACTGCGTGTCGAGAACGCGAGGACGGGATCGAGAAGGAACCGACGAACCAAGTCCGGCCCGCATTTTTCCAGGATGTCACGGATGCGGGTTTGATGAGATCTCATATCGGGATGGTGCAGTTTGCGGTGGAGCGTGTACCAGCGACGTAAATCGTGACGGGATTGTCGGCGTAAGGTCTCCCGGCGCACTTCATCTTTAGAAAGCCCAGCAAATGATGCATCTAGCCCATGTGGATCTGTGCCCTTCATCGCACTTTCAAGGTCTACAGCCATCTGAAGGATGACTAGCGCCTGCCGCCGCACGGCAGGAATCTGGGAACAGAGTAGCAGCAGGCCACGGCTCTCAACTTCCTCAACTACCCAATCCACTTCCATCGCGTCCCATGTCTTCAATGACTTCTTGATGTCTTGTAGCCACGTCTCGAGCAAGCTAATGTAATTTGCCGCAAAGGCATGGGTTGCGCCTTGCGTCCCATCGAAGGGGAGGTTGGTAAAGATGTCGAGAACCCGGTCGTTAAGCAGCGATGTTCCTGTATCAGCCGCGATGCGAACAATGTCCCTCATGAGAGGATGTTCCTCCCCGAAATGCCAATACTTAGGAGCGGGGTGTCCTTTTCCTAATGCAATCGAGCTGATTCTTTGCAGTGCGTCGCCAGCCGAGCGCCGCACACCGTCGTCAGAATGAAGTACATAGCGACTGAGCATGTCGACTAGTGCCACCGCGCTTATGCCAGACGGAACAATTCTGGGCAAACAATCGATATAGGTGTGCATTAGGTCATACAATAGCTGACGGTCTTTGGATACGACATCCAGTACGCTGCTTCTCCCATCCTTCTCAGTTCCACCGCCTGAGCCGTTACTGTTGGCCGTATCGGAAACACTTCCACGACGCAGGCCAGCAGCTGCGGACCCGAGAGCGTTCATGGTCGCAAGCATCAGTCCAGTTTCCGTCAGCATAGACCAGCCACACGTATTGTCGAGTGATGACGCAACTTTGCCCAGAGCATCATTGAATCGTTCTATCGAATCCTTCATACTCGTCCCCATTCGATTCAGCACGCTCTCGGACAGAAGCTCGCGGATGTTGCTTTGCCGCGAGTCGGAGGTTCCTCTTTCGCGCATTTTCACCAATTCAGCTATACCGACGTATTCGGGATTTGGCGTTGCCTCCCAACGCGGAAACGGTGGACTTGGCAGATTGATCTTCCCTTCAACAACAACTTTGCCGCCCCCTAAGCTTCCGTTGACAGCTGAGACGGTTCCTGCGGTGAGGCCAGAGCTATCTTTATGACCTCCTCCAAGTGCATCCTCCATGTCGGCCAGCAACAAGAGGAATGCCCTGAGCGCGATGATGAGCCTTTCCGGATTTGTCAAGGTTTCGCCAAGGGGTACCGTCGACATTGAAGACGACGACCCCAGTGTTGATAGAATTGTATTGCCGGACCACTCATCTGAGGATGACACGGTAATCCCATTGACAGAACTTCCGTAGTCTTTCACACCGGTCAAGACACTGGAGGTGCTGATCAGGGAAGCCGAAGATCCGGACGTTCCGCCTCCAGAAACGGAGACTGTGGGTGCATGATGTTCAATGCCTAGCAGGTTGGTAAGCAAGTTGTCGATGCCGTACTCGGGGAAGCGCACGCACACATAATACACATATTGCGTGAGCGATTGCCAGTTCGTATCCGGTGGCAGAACACTACGTCGCGACGAGGGGAACAGAACACGTGTGACAAAGTCTATCCGTCGGTGCATGTTGCTCGTCGATGTCTCACTGCAGCGGAATAAATAGACCCAGGCCAGCCGGACCAGCGAGCATAAGGCAATGACGCGGAGTTGTTTGTCACGGAGGTGCTTCAGACATAGGTCCGTAAAATCCCCCCAATGTTTATGAAAGAAGTCCTTCCGAGAAACGCTCAGGAGCGTGCTGATCAGTGGAAGAGCAGCGGCTAAGTGTCGTGGTTTCCCAAGCATTTTGTTAGCTTTGGGAAAAATCAACTCGACGGTTTTCATCCATGCCGGCAGATTGACCTCAGCGGTTGCGACAGCCGCAATTGGCTCGAGCAGCTGAACAAAGACCTCTGCGTACGCGTGTTTGATCCGCGTGGTGTGCGCATTCTGAAAGAGCTCCGCGCTGGTCTGCAAAAAGTCGGCCGTATCTTCCAGTGCATCCATGGGAAATATCTTCAGTTTCAGGAAACGCATCGATCGAATGATCAAATCCAGCTTTCCCTCCTTGAGTGCCACGGTCTTTGACAGCTCATTGATAAAGCGGCCACTGACACTAGCGAACCGGATGCTCGATAATGATCCAACAAGCTCCGCAAAAAGATCGATGTTCGCCTGGCGGTTAACGGACCGAACCGTCATATCTGGATCGGCGTTCCGGAGCTGACCGAACACCATGTCCTCCAGTTTCTCTTCGAGATCGTCCGGCAAGGTCTCTCGCGTCAAGCGTTGTATGATGGCGATGAGCACCCGACATAGAATAAAGTTTGACACCAGCGACTTCCGTTCTTTCACAATGTGCTCCAGATCTTTCCCTTTTAGGTTTGGGACGTTGGGCACATTCCGGCTTCCCTCGCTGTTGGCGTTCTCGCTCTTCGACTTTCGCCAGACCATGATACTGTCGATCATCAGCTTCGGACAGTGTTTCGAAACAGATCCTACAGATTCCAAGAGGGCATCGAATGCAGGGTCTGCCCCAGCACAGAAAGGATTGAACAGATCCACCTCACGGTCCTGCATCAGATGTAACATCAGCGAATACTCACACGACACGAAACGCATATGCGTTATCACGCACCAGAGGTTGAGTGTAAATGAGCGTATTCACTTTCAACTCAGCAGCCCGCACAAAGCGACCGAATACATTTTGCAGGACAATTTGTGCAGGATTCTTCTTACTTTGGACGTTCCTCGAGTTTGCGGTGCTTACGCTCGGCCTTCGTTTCGGAGCCTGGGATAATGACATCTCGAGTGGCATTGAAGCATCCCCAATTCGCCCTTCCGGAACGACGCCCGCTAGTCTCTGCGGTTCATAATCGAGTTCCCCACCTGCGGAGCTCATAACCACAGACAGCGGAGCAGTCGGTCTAGTTCTGTCCCGTTCTTCTCCACCCCTCTCCAAGGTCTACGAAGCGCCTTTCGGGTGGCTATGGTCCTCCGCTGGGTTTTTGCTGATAGGCCTTTCTGCTCGCGTTCGTGATATCTGACCCAAGAGTGGGTCAACACTTTCGCCGAGTTCCTTCCTGCCCAGATGCCTTCCGGAAGTCAGCGAGGAAGGAGACTTCTCGCGTCGAATCGATACTTAAAATTCCCGGGCGACACCGCTTTCACTGATCTTCTAAGTGACTGGGAATCGTCGCAACCTGCGCGCATGTCATAGCGCGCCGACGAGACTTTCTGGATTGACAGAACACAACCAGCAAGACCAGCTCGAACGGCAGAAAGTGGAGCCAACGGTCCAGCAAACATCGACAAGATGAACAGACGACACGGTTCGCAAAGTGTTATGAGAGGTATGATTATGATCATACATATATTGAACAGTGTAATTCAAAAGACAAATAAAGAAGAATGGAACAGACGATGAAGTCTACTAAACTGGACCATTGGCTTCGCTGGCAAGCCAGTTACCACAACAGGAACCACCACGGGAAGGCTGTCCAGAAGGCTCCCACGAAAAAGCACTGCGTACTCGCCCGTAAGCTTCCAACAGTGCCCGTTGCGTACTCGCCCGTATGTAAGCTTCTCAACAGCCGCCACTACTGCCGTACTCGTCCGTAAGCTTCCAAACAGTGGTGACCCGATCGTCGATATCTTGGAAATTGCCACTGCGTACTCGCCCGGTAATCTTCCAACAATCATCCCCTGCGTACTCGCCCGTAAGCTTCCAGCTCTGCCGTAGTCGCCCGTAAGCTTCCAAACAACAGTGGTCTTCCGGATATCGTCGCTGAATTAGCCACCATGAAGGAAAAGTGAGAGGGGCATGCGGCCCGAGGGTTCTCTTTCATACACCGCCCAGCGAGCGAGTTGCAGCCGTTGCGGACCGTTGCAGAGCCGCTTGAGAAGCTTGAGACCAGCGTTTCCCCAGGGCCAGGGCAATCACGCGTTCCATGATGTGTAACCCAGTCATGAAGCGTCATAACAGCTTCGTTCGCGTGCTTTTGAAGTTTAAACGCTTTACTGGCCCCTACCGCAATCTCCGTTGCGCGAGACCAAGGTTGAAGACTTAAACATCGTTGAGCTCAGCACTCGTTATAGGAGCGCTTGCACTGGCCGGTGGACAACCGCTAATACATTTCCTATGTCTCTTCAGTTCCGACGTCCTTGAGGCAGTGGCGTGCACACTGCACAGGACACACGCATACTCATTGCGGCTGCAGCATGGGTTCCGGGTGATAGTATCTATGTACACGTTTCTGAAGCTGTTCTGCACTCGATGAACATTGCTCAGCCCTGAGCCCAACTGCAAAGGGCGAGCGGTCAGTTTCCAGTTGGCTCAGCGTCGGTTACCATGATAGTCCTGATTGCCGATGTGCGGAAACCGCGTAACTTCGGGACAGCATTCAAATTGCGTCGCGAGTCCATCCTACGCTGGGCGGTGGTTAGTGACAGGCCGTTCAGCTGTCGCTCCGTTCATCTGTCCGCCGCAGGCTTGGTCGTCGATGTACTCTGGGCGGCTTACATACGTACACGATATGCCCCCTCGCATATACAGGCGCGGCGGATTCCGTTGATTATGTCGGATGTAATTCATGATGCTGTTTGCGCCGTGATGGATACGGGGCTACGGGATGGAGTACCCTTTGCTGCACGCTCTTGATGAGATGTAAAAGGCTGCGAGCGAGCATGAATGTTTGCGTCCCTAAGATCCCCGTTGTTGGAGAGGGTCACGCCGTAACAGCCTGTTGGGCGAACAGACGAGGGCGTAAAATAAATAGTACAAGGGATTTCATGAACAGTTTGACGGAGAACGCCAAAAGATGACCTTCAGAACCCTCGTCCTCTGTTCTTTTGGCCGAATCAGGTCACTCCAATGAAGACAAATGTAAAGCCAAAAAACTAAAAGGAGATCGGTGGTATGCAAACATTACGCCTGCTGGAAGGAAAAGGAGAAAAAGGGAAGATGACCCCAGCACCGCTCAGCACTCAACATTGACCGTTCCTTTCGCTTTTCGTGGGCAACTACAGTATCTATCCCACATCGTTCACAGCCCGTCGATATGCATATGGATGTGCAGCAGCGCATGGATGGTGATTGTGCATGTGGTATGGGTCTCTGGGTCTGCGCTCCTGTCTGGATCTCTGGACGAGCTGGACGAAGCATCGGACGCATCCGTCACACTTCCCGTAACAGCCCGTAACAGAGAGATTGCAAGGTCGGTTGAGTATCAGAAAGACGGTAAGTTGCGCTCGCTTGCTCTCTCACTTGCCAGGAATCCTCCCGTCTCAGGCGTATTTACGTAGAAGGGTGGCATCGGTCTACCCCCTCGGCTTTTCAACCTTGAACTCACAACACCTACACAGCAATCGCACCTCAACTCCGAGAAAAAGTCAGAGGCGGAACCCCAATTGAGTCAATGAAATCGCACGTCGGGAGCAGACTATCAATACACTTTTCACCCGACTCCCGTACAGCAACGACGCACAGTCCCTCATGCTCGACGGCAGTTGTCCAAGCATTTAATCGTCAGCCTAGGCGCACAATATCAGACAGAGATCACGAGGTGCGTTATTCTTTGTAGCCCCTTGGAAATATCTGTGAATCAGCAGGAACATCGCGGCGGCGGATATCGTATGGTGATGTCACGACGGCTTGAGCGGTCGCAACTGTAACCTGCCAGATCACGACCAAGAGTCTCGGATCGACAGTGCTTTGGCCTTGAGAAACAAAGTCCAAACTTGGACAACGATGTACGATATGCAGATTGCTTGTTCTGATTATTATTAAATACGACGAGGAGAAATGTATTCGGTGAAGAGAGCGTGCGGGAACGTGGAGTAGTGATCGATTGAGGGCCTCCGTCGAAGTTTTTGATGAGGGGAATATGAGGAACTAGTGCTTGAGGTTGGCAATGACGGCGTCCGTGAATGCGCTGTTGGTGGCCTTTCCTCCCAAGTCCCCCGTGCGTGCCTATAGAATTTACGTGTGTTATGAGATGGTTCGCGGAGGCGCACAAGCGGCTTCTCGGTGCATCACAAGTCAACTTACGTTTCCGTCCGCGATGGTTTTCAGCACAGCCCGTTGAATGTTGTCGGCGTGGCTCTCCATCTTCATATGCCTCAACATCATGACACCAGACAGAAGCAAAGCGGTCGGGTTGGCAAGATCCTTCCCAGCAATGTCGGGAGCGGTACCGTGGACAGATTCGAAGATACTGGCCTTTTGGCCAATGTTACCGGAGGGTGTCAGGCCGAGTCCTCCAATGAGACCGGCTCCCAGGTCAGACAAGATGTCTCCGTACAAGTTGGGCATGACCATGACGGTCTCGTTCCATCCCTTTGTAGGGTCTTGCACGATCTGCAGGCACACACGGTCGAGAAGCATGTCGTCAAGCTTGATGTCTGGGTAGTCCTTGGCGACTTCCTGGGCAGCAGACAAAAAGAGACCGTCGGACAGTTTCCTACGCGCACATGCGGTTAGCATGGGTGTCGAATGTTAGGGTATGTTGCTTAAGTTCAAACCTACTGGATGTTAGCCTTGTGAACAACAGTAACGCGATTGCGGCCGATAGCGCGAGCGTACTCGAAAGCGTAGGTGATACAACGCTTGCAGGCGTCCTCGGTGATCAGCTTGATGGATTGGACAACACCGTCCACAACGACGTGCTCAATTCCAGAGTACTCTCCCTCAGTGTTTTCACGGATAAGAACGGTATCAACATTGTCGAAGGGGGTTTTGTAACCGACAATAGACTTGCAAGGGCGGACGTTGGCGTAAAGATCGAAAGTCCTGGATGGAACGAGTTGGACGTAAGTCGCTGCGTCAGCATGAGGACGTTGACTATGGTGCCCACCTACGAAGAGTCAAGTTCATAGAGACGTGACCCTTTCCAATAGGGGTCTCAAGAGGACCCTTCAGCGCGACCTTGTTCTTGTTAATAGAGATAAGCGAGTCCTCAGGTATGGTGGTCTTTCCATCCTTCAGAATCGGATACACATCAACAGTTTCCCACACGACAGGTACCTAAACAAAGCCGTGGTGCTGAATAAGAGAGGGACCATAGGGAAGGCACTGGCATTCATTTGTTGCAAGGTACTCACACCGTCAGCTTCAAAGATCTTCACGACGGACTTGGAAATCTCGGGACCGATTCCATCCCCTGGGATCATAGTGACGATGCGCTTCCCCTCCTGTATTCGAGGAATTGTCAGCTCCAGCCCTCCCGCAGCCTGAAACCATGCCGGTTGCGGCGGAACTTACCTCATTGTATACTCCCTCGCCAGCGGTGGCGAATCCACGGCGGGCGAGCGGTGTCGCCTGCAATGGGACATCTTGGTGAGAAAAAACGAGCCCCTTCCTGCCACAGGGCGGTTTTCTTCGGACAATAAACAGAGTACGGTACCTGACGAGCAGCACGAGCGACGGCGTTTCTGAACATGGCTGTTTGTGTGGTGCTGAGGTGCTGAGGGAAGATTGTAGCTAACCGGCAGTTTGAAGGGCTTTAGTTCAGTTTCCGACGACCAACCTGAGGATCTTTGGGCGTCGCCTGGCAAACGCTTGTGGCGCAAGGAATCAAGGAATCAAAAAGAGGAGGGAAAATTGATGCCGACGCGCGTCCCTATCGCTCGACTTCCTTTGCACGCGCGTCGAAGGAAATGGACGGGAACAAAATATTCTCCATTTGCATGATATCGACACGCCATAGCAGATGTTAATCGTTTCCGCGTGGACACGAACCAAGTCTATACCCCAGCCTGAATGAGCTGAAAAGCTCGTCTGGACTGGTCGCCCCCTTCCGCATACGGACTGCCCAACCCCTTGAAATACGCCGTCGTTCCTTGCTCCTACAATTGTTGCAGCACAAGCGCCCCTCCATCGCCGACACCCGCCAGAAGGTTGACTCCAGCATGGATGTCAATGGAGTTGAATGGAAGCGGATGTCTTCGAGACTAGAACAGGGAAGAAGATCAGTAACAGGCATCCCACGCGTCCCTTGCCATAGCTCACGCAGCCATTCTGTTTACCTGATACCGGAGAACATCTGCCCTGTCGTTTGTTATCGAATTGGCATCTATGCCATCTGGACTCCATCGGGCCAAGCTAGGTGACAGATAGCTGATAAGAACTCCCGTCGGCGGCCTAAGGCGACAGGAAACCATACCATATGCTACCATCTTCTCCACAGCTGACGATCTCTCCAGGTGAATCGGGGTGGAACTTCACACCCCAGACTGAGGTAGCGCACTTTCTGTCAACCATTTGCTCAAACGAAACATCAGGACCGCCTTGACGAACTCTTACCATCTTGCCCGTTGTGCATCCTCAGAGTCTCCACAGCTGCTTCATCCATCTTTCGTAGATCCCAGACGCCTACCAGACCGGTGGTATCACCCGTTGCAATCTTGTCATGCTGTGTCAAGAGTCGGATAACCGTCGGGTGTGAGGCATAGCTAGGGAAGGACGATGACAGGGGGCACACCCACCAAAACAGGATGCACATCCAGACAGTTTATCGATAGAGACGGATTATGTTGGCTAGCACGGAGGGAGGCGTTGAGTTGTAGCGCATAATGAAAGCGGATGTTATCACAGCTGTCGTACTCTGTAAGTTGTCTGCCAGGCCCATCCTCCCTGATGTCGTATAATGTTATCCGTCCTGCTGAACTCGAAGTCACCTGAGACAACGCAGCCGCGTTAACCTAAGATCTTTTGCGAAGAAGCGCAGTGCGCGATAACGAGTTCTGGAAGTATCAACATACTAATTCGTGTGCTCCTTTCCATTGCAACCCCGTGATCTCGCTTGTCTCCCTGCCAATGTCTTGCTTCGCATATCCATCAATGTTCACCAAAGCAATCTGTCCCTTGGAGCCGACTTTCGAATCAACGCATCAGCAAAGACAATTTCATATGCCGCAAACAGAAACACGTCGCACTCACCGCAAGCGATATCAGCGTCCCTAAAAGCAACCTTCGTCACCCCAACCCCCTTCTCGAATGGTGCCAGCGCAATTACATCCTGTACCCCCTCTTCGCGTAACTTGATCGCCCTCAGCTCCGTTCGCCCTCCTACAAAGAGCAATTCGGGCCCAGCCCAACACAGGGCCTCAGATACTTCCGGTAACGCGACGGCGTAGGTGATCTTGGCCTCGATGGTGTCGGCATTCGTGGTTGTTTCCGAGAAAGCGTCTGGGTTTTGGATTTCGTGGATTACGAGTGTGGGCTTTTCGGTGTGAAGGGTTGCTAGATGGATGGTTTCGGGGTTCGGTGAGAAGCAGGTCACGACTGGATTGGAGTGGGGAAAGAAGTGACTGTGGGATGTGAGAAGAACAGTAAGAAATTTGACTGTAGGTTCGGAAACAATACTGGTGACTTCACTCGGCCAGCATACCCGCACAAGCGGCGCCTACCAATAATCGAAGTTTGTGCTTCCTGTGCCGTTCATCTTGAGGGTGTTTCGAGTCTGATTTCCGCGGAACGTTGGAAGGTGTTGAGCTTCAAATTGAGCCAGACCCAAAAAGCCCAAAACTGTCATTTTCCGGCTGATCTCTGACGCCCACGTCTCAACACATTCTCAAGACATGGCACTCCGCTTTCCGCACAAGGTCCTCCACAGAACCCCTTAAACGGGCCTCATATCTCCCACCCACACCTTCTCCTCTGTCAAAGTTGTCGAGAGCCCCTCCACCGTACTGCTATCGCTTTCACATACGGTGTACCACTTTGGAGGTGTGCCCGCTCCAACCACCACCTCGAGAACAACTCGTCATCCCGCTCAGCAGCTGAGGGGTGAATCTTATTACTGTTAAACCTACATGAGAACGTCCTGGGCAAGACGAAGTCATTGGAGTCTCCGCTAAACATCTGCCAAGTTGAATGCCAGCTCAAGCTGAGCCCTCGATCCTCCGAAGGACTCTCGATCGCCTCTGGGCGCCATTGGCAAAAAGACCTTCGATCCACGAACAACATATCGGCGATGAAGACCCGGAGGGAAGCGGTGACGAGCTCTCAGAGGGCGACCTCGAATCAGGTCCTTCGCAAAGCGCTCCGCTTCTAAGCGACTACAAAGGCAACTCTCGATACGACCTCGATTCTCAACCCCATGCCCGAGCGCCACGGCGAACGATTACCGCTGAAGGAGTAGCAATCATAATATACCCTTATCGCACAGGACCGCCTGCGTTCTCTCTCGATTTGCCGCCAAGTTTGGACGACGCCGCTTTCCCGTCAACACTGTACCGCTCGCATGTAGCGGAACTGAATGTTCTCTACAGGAATGTTCATACCGAGAGGCAACGGCAGTGGAAAATACTGTGGGGTCTAAATATGGCCATTGGGGTGCTGTGTCTGTTCAGCGCATTGTGGACATTGTTCAAGCAGCGACGATATACCCTTTCGCTTTTATGGTCTCTCACATTTTTGGCCTTGATCTTGTTTTACCCAACGCTGGCGCGTTGGTGGTTCGCAGATCTGTCCGACGCATTCGAGGTATGTCTTCTGAGCGATCCCTCGCAAAGGAGGTTCCGGAATACTCACCTCAGGATCCTTCTTTACGCGCGCGAGTAGACACAGATTACGCGAAGCCTCTTCGAATGGAACACTCGGGCACCTAAGAATGTCAGATTCCGCATAATAGGCACCGCCGCCATCGCCAGTCATCCTCGCTACGGTCGGCGAGATTCGCATTCAGCACACTCTGACAACTTCCACTACCACGCCAGCACTACGAGGCGCAATATCCCTTCATACAGAAGGAGGAACGTCGACACTTCGACTTTGGAGCTGACACGGGATGATGAGGATGAGGGTGCTCGGTTAATTGTCGAGTTGCTTGATCCGGGAAGAGTTGACGGCGAGAGGGATATGTCCTTCGAACGTGGGGAGGTGCTCATAACACCCGATGGCGACGGCATGATGTTGGCGGTCAAGGTCGTGCCTAGAGCCGCGCGGTTACAAGGCGGGTGACAAACTGTTGATGTGGAGTTTTTTGGGTTTGGGATTTCTCTGCGGGTTCTTCCGCATTTGTAAATAGCGTTTTGGTTGTCTCTCCTTTTGCGTGCGCAATATATTGGTGCGCTCCATTTGCCGAGTTTTGGTCAAAACCTACATGCTTCATGTTCCGGGGTTGCACGCGAGGAAGGTTTCTTACTGTAAACGTGCTTCGCGAAGGAGGCCCCTGGGAGGCCCTCCTCAGTTACGGCAGGTGAGAGTCACACAGCCACTTTTGTTCCCCCTACGCCGCGTGAGCCTCAAACAACCGCGCCATTAGTTAATTATGCGAGCGATTCGGCAGCGTCCGTTTGACGACTTAGCTCTGCATTCGTTGTGGTATCCGGTGGTAGCATAGCAGCTTAGCAGTGCGGAACAGCATCTCGCGTTGGGCTTAGGTGGTGCTTTTGAACGACGGCGAGGATTTTTTTGAAACGCACTGGGAAGTCGATTGGACCCGAATTTCGACTCCCGCCGAGGAAAGGACCGCAGCAAAGATGCCAGCCCCTCCATCACCTGCAGACCAGCGGATAGTCTCCCTGTTTGAGCACACAACGCTGGACGTTGACGTAGACGACGAACACGTAAGGAAACGATGCTCTCCCCGTTTGGACTTATTTCCCACCCAATGTTTGCGTCTAATAATACCATTTTCTTGTCTTCTCCACATAGAGTGTTTTCGAGTTCATGTCGGCTGCAGAAACGTCCCGGGAAGTTGCAATCCGGTTCCTGTCCTGCGTTGGGTACGAGGTGGACGCGGCTGTGGGTCGGTATCAGAGGTACCAGGTAGGGATAGGGACTTCAACCTTACTTCTTTGCGCGCAAAGAAGCTAACATCCTCGATGTCTAGGCATTAGCGAAACAGAACAGCCTCAAACCCGTCCCTGATCCGACAGCCCTGTTGGTACATTACCTTAACGTGCCATTGTTCTCGTTACCCGGGACGTCGGATAAGAATGGCTCGACTCTGATTATCTTCAATGCGAGATACTGGGTTGCTGATGCTGCTGGGACGAGGAGGATGCTGAAGGTGGGATTTTGATGCAACTCCATTGCTGGAGTATTGGCTGACAAGTTGCATTGTTGAGTTCCGTAGCTTCTTCAATACATATGTCATAAAGCGTCGGCCAGGTGGGTACACCCGACCCGCTCAGACTTCTCGAGCGTTGGACGCCATACTGAACCACTTCAACAGCGCACAAACAAGACAAAACGGGATCACACTCATCTCCAATCTCGACAAACTCGATGGACGGTCTCAGGTGGTGGAGGTGCACCGATGGCTCATGCAGATGTTGGAGGTATGTGTTGGAAGCCAAACTTCATCACCATCCCGGAACACGGTTACTCATTCATTTACGTGTATAGTACTATATGCCCGTACATCTCAACCGCGTACTGGTATGGCAAGCTCCATACTGGAATCAAATGTTTCCGTACGCGTGGCAGCCGGGGGCATGTCCGGATGGGCCTTTGAGCGCCGAGGTGAGATGAGGTTTGTGCAGTGGAACGTGATGTATCGATATTTACGTGTTTGCCATGCATCTAGATGGTGACTTGCAAAGACCTGACGACATATGTGGATGCCTCACAATTACCGAAAGAGCTTGGAGGGGACCTTTCCTTCAAGTACAAGGAATGGGTGGCAGATCAGCTGGTAAGGCCTGACATAAATCGACAATGAAAAAGGCAAGCGCTCTGAAAGCCTCCATCTACCCTCCTCAGCGCCTAGAACAATGTGCCCACGACGTATTGGTAGATGTGGATCTCGGAGGCTCCAACGCCGTTCCTTCCTCAAATACCGACGACCTCACCGCTTCCATCACATCCTCAACCACCATGTCCTCCGTAGTCGCATCAGAACAACCCTCCGTACGATCAAGCGCACCCTCCTCCCCAGCAGCAACTGACTCGCAAAGCCTCAAATCCAGCAGCACAGGAACACTAAAAGGATTATTCGCGCAGTCCCCACTATCCTCCTTCCTCCGCGAAAAGTCGTCTGACTACTTTGGACACAAGCAACCTGCGCCGCACATGGATGTCAAGACGGGAGATCGGTATCTGAATGCGAAGAATAATGGGAAATCGGGCGGCGCGCTGTTTCCCGTAACGCCGCCGCTTACGGCTTCGACGCCGACGTTGTCGGATACGGACGAGCCGGTCATTGATATGATTGAGCCGAATGATGATTTAGCTTGAGGGGAAAGGATGCGAGCGTACATCGGTCAAGCTCCTTCCGGAAGGCGAGAAGTTTTTTCTACAGTACATATGACTCATTTTTGGCAGTAACTTAGGCGTTGTATATCCAGCATTTATCTGATTCATGAAAACACGTATGCAAAACTCGAATCCAAAACACATTTCTACAATCCGTGGTTTGATTCGACGAATCTATTGATACTCGGAGCGATGGGCCTTTTGGACTGAGTAATGGACGGAGATATTAGGTTCGAGCGATGATGGGACGGTTTTCGCTGAACCTCAGGTTCCTGATGCGTCAGTGACCTCGGTTGTTATTACTCGTTACACGTCAAGCGCCAACATGCTCGCCTTCCTCTCCAACACTCCGGCAGACCCGGGCACACTCAAGATATGTCCCCTTGCGACGATATTTTCCGTATGGTATCATCCCGTGCGAAGTGTGCGCCGGTTGTGTGATGGACGTGGCTACGTCTTCCGAATGGGCTCCAGTAAGGTTCTCGGAGGCAACTGCCACGCCGAATGACAGTGGTGCTCAAAAGATGCTATTTCCGGGTCTCGCCGTTTTGGAGAATGCCTTTGAGCGTAGTATCAGATCCCTAATTCAGCTACACCGTATCTTCGGGGATTCCAAGAAGGAGGGTTCAGAGATACACTCCGCCGTCGTCATCTGGCCCCACTCCATTGTTCTGCTCCCCGGCGTTTTCATTCTCACGAGACTCGCTACCATCGACCACCTCATCAGCGCGTCCCGCTGACCCCGTCGCTCGCGCTTCCACTTCGGTTGAGACCCCGCCTTCTGGGTTTCCCGTCGCGGGTACTGCGGTCTCTACCACCGTCGTGTTTGCTAAGTGTCCAAGCTCCTGTCGACATGGCCCTCCGCTCTTGGCGCCTGGTGTCCCTAGAAGTTCTGCACGTTGTTGTTCCAACGCCGCAATCTGCCGGATACGGCGGGATATCACGCCTGTGTTTTCTTCGATTGCCTGCGCAGAGTTCAACCACTTAAGTACTGCGAACACGGAGTAAACGGCCGCACGAGTGGAGACGTACCTCAATGAAGTCCGGGTCTGTGGGATCAGCCATCCTCAGCTCCCTATTGCTTTCCAGGAGTACCTCCACAGACCGCCTCAGGCGGGTGATTTCCTCTAGTAGCACATCCGCATTTGAGTAGTCGAAGGCAGCAGCGGGCGGAGCAGTCGTATGTGCGTGGGAGTGTGGGCTTGAGAGATAGACGCCCGGCAAGACTTCAGTTTCGCCTGGATATGAGCCTGTTGTTTTTGGCGAGAGTGGGACGGTCATGTCTTCCGTTGTCTTTTGCTCTTGCTCTTTGCTTTGGAGGACTGGGCTTTGGGCAGCAGCTTTGGGCAGAGTTGTTTCGACGCGTTACGCGGTTCCATCGTCTTGCCGCTCGGGTCCAAAAATCTTCCACCATCAGGACCTCTTTGTGGCAGCTCTCCTCCCATCTTTCCAGTCCATGAAAAAGTCCAGCACACGTCGTCCATGCCGCCTACCCGATCTCCATCCCAACTCCCCGCCCAAAAAACAACCTAACCACAACTCAACCCAAAAATGGCAGACTACAACGACTTCGAAAGTTTTCGGTAAACCCCATCCCCACTCTCTCCCAACCCCAAACCCCATCTCATCAGATCCTTTCTCAACCTTCACATTAGAGCAACAATGACCCGCGAAGAAATCAGTGAGTGGTTCCAACGCCGCTTCAACCGCCCCATGGAAGCATACGACGTGTACAAGGTCGCAAAGGAGTTTTACCAGCTGGGCGCGTATTCGAGGGCGTTGGTTTGTTTGCAGATTTATGTGAGTTGGCGGATTTGGGGGAATGTATTGCCCTCTCCTCTCTTTCGAGAGGAATTTGATTGCTGATATATGCCAAATGGTAGATTACACTCCCTGGCGCAACCACACCAGGCCGACATCTCCTCGCATACTGTCTCCTCCATCTTGGCGAGACCGAGCGATCGTTACGGGAGTTCAAGAAATGCGTTAAAGGTAAGGATTCTCAATATCACATCCTTGCTTTGTGATTTTAGTGCGTATCTCACGACCCATCCCTTTCTAGAGGGCTATCATGACGATTGGCAGCTCGTTGTAGAACTCACCATTGAACTCGAGCTTGCGCGCCGTGCTGCTGCGGCACGGGAGCGGGAAGCTGGGCTGGGTGGTGGATTAGGAGTTCCGGCTACAACTCACTTTAGTGGCAGGGCACAGGCGTTTGGCATATATGGGGCGTAGGAATTTGATGCTCGATGGACAAGTGCTGATGCACAGTGTACAGTACATAGATCGAAGTGTGACTGCGTCCACGCCGTCTCCCAGGGTGATGTCACAAGATACTGTCAATCCACGCGTTCTCAGGTTCTCTCCCCCCCCCCCCCCCCCCCACCAGAAGGCCGCGTACGGGTTAACCGATCCTCCTGCTCCTCCTCGAACTTGGACAATAACCAATGGCATCGCTCTTGAATAACGATATCAACACCCTCATTACGCTGCCCCCAAGCGTTTTCGAGCAAATTGCCAAACACCTCTCTCCCACCGATTTGGTACATCTGCGGCAGACATGCCATGCACTTTCCTTTGACGAGATTGCCCCTACAGCGGCATATCATCTCGCTCACCTCCATTTCATTCCTCAAGCCGGACTCTTATTTTGTCTCGCCACGGGCCTGTTCACCGTTGCACCCATTGACGTGCACACTCAGATTGTGCGGTATAGCGTAGCTGCGGGCGGAATCGATTCCAGACGTCGCGCACTCGGCTTATATTGGAGTTTGTTCGCAGTCGCGCGGGTAGGCTTGCCGGCTCTCGACACAGCCAGGCGCTACAAGGATGTTTATTATGCCTTGAAAAGCGGAATCCTCTACTCGCCGCCGTCGAACAGGTGGATTGAGGTTTTGGCAAACGGTGACCGACCCGTTTGTCTCACGACACCGGACAAATACCCTAGCATGGACGTCTTGAAGGCGTTCGGGACAAGGCGGTTGGCCGTGGCTCAAAGCCTGGTGCGGGCCATTCAGTCAATTCCAGGGCTGGATCTCGACATATCCAAATTCAAGACGTACGCCCTGATGGTGGGCGAGGCCTGTTTTGTTGGCGACGAGGATCTGGTGCAACTCTTTCTGGAGACATTCGGACGGCCAACCCGAGGGCCAAAGGTAGCTATGGAATCGGCTGAGTTTCCGGATCCAAATTTCAGACCCGCAATCCTTGCGTTGCTGGAACAATTCAACGTTCCAGCCGTCTTTACGCGGTGGTCTTGAGAATGGTACCGTCACCCTGATCCATCCATATTGCATTGAACGCTCTCCTAGATCTGTTCGTTTCGCGGCTGTAGTCTGCTCGTATACCCAGTTAAGACATCTTTCAGTGTTTCTACTTTCGTCTGTATTTTGTAGAGCATTATGTAGCGTCTACGGTGAAATTGTCTGCATGCAACATCATACATGGCGTCTAGGTTGTCTTCTTCAGGCGTATCTACCTACGCCAGGTCTCCATATCTGTGATATAGCTGGAAGAATCGCAGGTCGTCTGCGGAGCCCGCTTGAAAGTCTGGACGGCGAGGTCGAAACGACCATCGTGGGTAGGACGACCCTCTTGGTCTCCTTCGTCTTGCACCTCAATGGCATAGCCTGTCGTCTGTAGCATCGTCGGTAAGCCGACGACTCCAGCCTCTATGTATATTGTCAAAAATAAATGACAAATCAGAAAGTCCTTACTCTCTTCAGATGCATGCCGTAGACATGTCGGGAAGCTGGTAAGTACCTAAAGAACAGTGTCAAATGGCTTCATTTGTCGTTGTCACCTCGATGATATCAGAGCCTCGTTTTCCGGGCTCGCGAACGTCCACCTCCATGGGCGGAGTGCGAGTGCCAAGTGTGTCCCGACTTACGTTCCGATGCTTGCTCACTTGGTGATGCTAACGACGCTACCCGGCACGCCGAGAACCCGGGACACATGTAGCAGCTATGCGCTTCCATCCACATCCGCCGGAAACGGTACCGATATGCGTTTTGCCGGCTGAAAATTCCGTCAGAAAGACGCCTGGCTACTCCGTTCACAATGTGCCTGCGGAATAGTGATAATAATGGCGGCGCGACCATTAATTGGATGGAAATAGTAGGTCACTGGTCGATCGTCGAGTTTGCCGTTACTCGTAAAAGCTTAGATTGCGCCCAGTTGTGACGGCTTCACTCTCCTTGTCAATAACCAGTCAAAACTCTGTCAATTGGAGCTCCATGAAAACTCTACCACAAGGAAAACCTTGTTGAGCGCGGTCATATCTGATGTATGTTACGGATGCGGCGGGTGTATCGTAATGACTGAGAAAGAGACGACGCATCGGAATCGTCGGATACGCACGTTATCAAAGGGAATATTGAATGTGAACTGGCGCACAGTTCTTTCAATCGCAATGCAGATGTAGATGCGATTGCAAACATTGCTGAACGGAATAGAGGTCGCCGAAGCCCATGGAACGGCAGTTGGACTGCAGCCTGGTCTGACATGCGTGGTAGTGCTGCCTCCGCTTCTGGGTGCTCTTCTCATCGTGCAGCCCTCCTTCCACTCTGTTTCGTGATATCATATTTGCAATATGTGAAATACAGGGGAATATGCTAAAGAACTAGGATGTGCACCCGTGGACTTGCCGGTAAGCCGACTCCAATACATCCAGACGGGTAGTTGCAACCACAGTAGCTACCAGTAAAAGGTAGACCGAAACGGAAAGGGGGCGTTGCGCACAGGCTTGAGTCGTAGGTTTTCCCACGGTGCACCTAAGCGACGATGTGCATACAGCAAGGTACTATAGCAGCTGCACCCCATCTACTTCCTTGCCCTCTTCTTGGGGCTCGCAGCTTGAGGCTCAACCTCCTCCTCGTCGTCGGCCTTAGCGGCACGGGTAGTGCGCGTACGTTTCGCCGGGGCAGTCTTCGCCGGAGCAGGCTTGTCTTTCGCTGCCGCGCCGCGTTTAGCTTTGGGCTTCGCTTCTTCCTCAGGCTCGGAGCCGGCGTCGCCGTGGTCTTCCTCCTCAGTAGCCTTCTTGCCTCGAGGTGCAGCTTTGGCCTTTGGAGCGGCCGCCTTGCGAGTTGCCTTTTCTTTCGGTTTGGGTTTCTCCGCCTCCTCCTCTTCCTCGACTTCGCTTTCGGCTTCTTTGAGGGTAGCCGCTTTCTTCGGGGCGGCAGCTTTCTTGCCCGCGGAAGATTTGCGGGACGTGACAGGCATTTCGTTCTTTTCCACATCATCTGTCACATCTTCACCGTTTTCTTCCTTCGGGGCGGCTTTGGCCTTCTTTGCCGCCGCCGCCGTCTTTCGTGGAGCAGCCTTGGCTTTTCCTTTTCCTTTGGGCTTCTCGTCTTCTTCTGTTTCGTCTCCGGCTGCCTCTTCTTCGTCGCTTCCAGCTTTAGCTCCTTTCTTCTTGGGCGCAGCTTTCGCTTTCGAGGATGTGGACTTTGCCGCAGGTTTTTTGCTTTCGGCTTTGGCGGTGGTACCATTTTCCTCATCGCTCGCATCTCCCTTCGCTTCCTTAGGTGGCTAAAGAGAGCAAAGAGAAGATCAATGAGCCACCCGTGCACAGTCAGGTGCGATGCCAAACAACAGCCTTCGCGAACAGAAGATTTGCGTATATACCATCTCGCCGGCCTCCCATGCACTTCGGACCATCTCCTGATCTTCTTCGGTTAACGAGTCGAAACCATTCAAGGCTTCCACATCATCGACTTTGGCTTTGAGATTTTGCAAAACTTTCGTAGTAACACAACCCCTATTGGGTGATACGTCGTAGACAAAAAGGTTAGTTGCTACCCCGATTTCTGCCGGTTGTAGATAAGTCCCATACCAGTGTCTGAAGGTGTTCATGGGTGTCCCGTTCTTCGCTTCGAACGACGTTCCTACACGAAGCTCCCCTTTCTGCAATAGTACTGCTATTAGATATCTTCAGACGTGGGGCCACTCCTTGGAAAACATTTCAAGTTACTTTGATGGTGGGTTCGGTGCAGGACTTGCCTGCCTTGCACTTTGCCCTTCCTGAAGACGCATACTGTAGAAACGGCGCGCGAGTTAGAAACGGCCTCTTGGGAACAGCACGGCCGGTCTCGCACGTAGCCAGAGCTGCCGAAACGCCGTCCACTGCCACTCACCTCGATAAGGTATTCCGTGTTGTCGGCCATGCTCCGAGATAGGCCCCGAGGTAGCGATGTGAACGAAGGTTTCAGGTCTACTACGTATCCAAGTGAGTGTGCGGTCCTCCACAGTCAAGTCACGCAAAGCCCAGAGTCCCCACCAGATTATCCCACGAGGGACTGACTGTTGGGGGTGACGCGTCTCTCCAACAGCCTTCTCCCACTGCACCACAAGGTGGTCGGTCGGCCACAGCGCAGAAGGACGTATCACAGAATTGTATCGTGTGCAGCACCGAAGGACGTGGGTCTTCCACTAGACTTCCCCGTTTCCCATGTGGAAGTGAAATTCCGAAGGCAAAGCCAAATCCCGAGGAGAATGCCATATCGCACAGACTACGACCCACCACAACCTTCGCACGTCGGCGGCCGGGTTCCGCCATTCTTCTCGGTACATACTCTGAAGGCGTATGGCCTCTCACTTGCAACCCAGGATAAACGTGTATCGTTCGCGGTTCTGTTTGTGACAGTGTTACTTGGCTACCTCGCCACAGTCGCCGTCTTCAACATATTGAGGGGAACACTTATGGCCGCTTGGAGGGGGGTTAAAATCGCTCTGATTGTCACTTGTGCGCTGTATGTCTTCATTCAGTATGAGAGCTGGAAAAGCGGCAGGAACCGTGGAACGCGAGGATGAAGCGGCCTACGAACATTGTCTGAGGACACCGAACGACTGCATGTCCCGTCAAGGGGTCCAGCTCTCATCATGGAAGAAGAATTTGGAGCAGTCAGCCCATCAACGTAGGAGGGCTCAGTGAATCCGCGGGCCCGATGCCGCTCGCTCCTAGAAAGGTAGCAAAGTGAAGGGTCCATGGAAGCATGAGAGCACATCTTGCAAGCAGGAACACGGGTATATTATCCAGGGCTGGCTCGATCGGCTGCTGAGATTACGACCGCATATAAATACCTTATAGAACCTCCATTTTTGTCAGGACGTTAGATGGAAGGATGTGGATTTGTTTGCGGAAGGCCGGGGTGTCATAGATTGTATAGAATTCAAAATTATATGTAAAGGTTACAAGTTCATCAACACAGCCCCTCCTGCGGGACCGTTTCCCATCCCCGAAAAGTCTAATCAATTGAGCCGCCGGGCTGAATCTAAAGATATATGGAACGAAAGCCCAATTTAGTAGGTGCGGTGCTATTCGCCACGGAACGGCGAAACAGTGGGAAAACAGAGGATTAAGCAAAGAGGATTAAGCAAAGAGAAGTCAACTCACAGTCGCAGGTATCTTCCTGCTCTCCTACCGGTCTCGACCATCACTGCCGCCGGTGGGAGAGCAGGAAGAGGCAGTAGTGGAAGTCTGTTGGCAACAACGGCCACTAAAGCATGGAACAAAATGACATCGTGATAAGTGATTCCTCAAGGAAGGGTGGGACGCTTTTGAGCCTCGAGGTATATACAGTACGTCGGTCAAGAAGGAGAGCCAACATTGCCCCCATCTACCATGAACGACAGCGTCTTGCTCTCTGCGGTTTGCACGCCTTGAACAACGCGCTACAGGGCCAGTATTTCACCCAAACCACCATGACGGCTTTTGCTCAGGAATTGGACGCGGCGGAGGCGTCCCTTACAGGCACTGTTCCTGCCGATCCCAGCCACAACTGGGCTGCTCAGGGAGATTTTTCCGTGCAAGTCTTGGACCGTGCGGTGAGGTCTCTTGGCTTGCAGATGAACCGCTGGCAGCATCAGAGTGGGACGGACCCTGTCCACGACTCGGGTGCGATAGTAGTACATTCAAGGGCCCATTGGATGGCATTCAGGAGGATCAATGGGTCGTGGTTCAATCTCGATTCCCTGCTACCGCAGCCAGTTAGTATGACTAATGGCGATTTGGTAAGTGGAATGATGCCGTTCCCTCCCGTTGGACAGGCTCCTCATCTCCTTCTCTGTTCCAGAGCGCATACCTTGCTCAACTGGTTGCTCCACCCGCCACTTACAACATATACACTATCAGCGCGGGTACCGTGGCCTTACCTCCTTCACCCGCTGACAATGTTGCTGTTGCTGGTCCGATTGCCGCGGGTCCGAGTACCGCAGGTCCCAGTACTGCTGGTCCGAGTACGGCTGGTCCGAGTGGTGCCGGCAGAGGATCTCGCGGCGCCGTTAGAGCTAGAGGATCTCGCGGGGCTGGTCGAGGAGCTCGCGGCGCAAGAGGATCGCGCGGTGCTGGTTGAGGAGCTTGCCCGTATTACATGTACAGCAACACAACACAACACGACATAGGCGCGGCGCGAAAGTGTACGCTGTTGGTTTGCCGCCTTTCCCCTGGCCTGATTGGCTTAGGAACGTCGCCGTGGCGGCTTTGACTTCGACACTGGTGGCTTTGACTTCGACACTGTCATGGTGATTTGCCTGGGGAATGGAGTGTACGTGAGTTAGTTGGGGGCAAAGTACGGTAGGTAGGTCGTCACGGGGGCATGGGAGCGGGTTTTCGAGGTAGAATGGCAAACGAATCGCGAGACTGCCTCTATTGGCTGCCTCAAGCGATCGCGAGTTGATAGCGCTGTGGACGAGTGTCGCTGCATCTAATTCTCACCATGGTGTTGCGGACCGTCCCGTTCCTTCCAAGTAGATGCGCGGCGTGGAGGTATGCCCGAGGTTACCTGAGCGCAAGAGAGAGAGAGAGAGAGAGAGAGAGAGAGAGAGAGAGAGAGAGAGAGAGAGAGAGAGAGAGAGAGAGAGAGAGAGAGAGAGAGAGAGAGAGACAGAGAGAGAGAGAGTGAGTGAGTGGGTGAGTGAGTGGGTGAGTAGGGATCGGGGGCGAGAATGGCGCTCCCATTGTACCTTGAAGAGGACGGTTATGATTGCAGCGGCATGTCGACACCGGCTCGCCTGCTTTTCGTTCGAAAGGACCCTGAAGAAAAAGTCCACTTTGGAAAGTCACGCCTGCATCTCCTGCATGGTACGTACCCCGCAGTCTGCCCCGCAATGCAAAGCTGGAGGGACTGTACCAAACAACCCTCTAACCTCTAACTGACCTATACCTTACTTTATCAGCCAACTACTATACCCCCCGGCGTCAACCTACAAAGCCGCTGCCCATGCCTGCCGATGTTCACCTTCGCTGTATGGTGCCGCCGTACAGCCAGATGCTTCTCGATCGCTCCCGCCCGTGACATTACGGTCAGTCCACTCGAACATTATCTCCAACCACATTCCATAACTCCAACTTCGATACCCGGCTCTCTGCCAGCAACGATACCCCGCGAACCCGGCCTATATACTCTATTGCTCTTGCAAGCCCATACCGCGTACCTCAGCAAGGCAATGTCGTTCTTCAGTAAACGAACGCACACGAGGAGCAACCCCGACGTGAGGCTCCTCTCGATCGTAACGGGAATCTACGCGGATAACAACGGGCCGGACGAAGCGGTCCGGTTTTTGGAAACTTTCAGCGGCAGAAGCGGCACGCGGCCCGACACACACTGCTACAACCAGATCTTAGCCCACTGCGCGCGGACAAAGAACGTAGCAGCATTCCATGGAGTGGTGCAGCGCATGCATCACGCCGGCATGAACCCGAATGTATTCACGTACCTACACACGATGCAGATTTATGTCGAGACCGGGGACGGCGCGAAAGCAATGGAGGTGTGGGATCAAGCGAGGCGGATGGGATTGACGCCGCGGCGGCAGATGGACCGGTTGCTTGTGTCGGCGTACTTCTTGGAAGGGGATGTGAAGGGCGCAAGGAGGGTGTTGCGGGAGGCTGCCCCATCTCAGCGGATGTACACGGTGGTGATACAGGGGCTTTTGCGCTCTGGACTGGATGAGGAGGCGTTCGAGGTCTATGATCAGATGATCGAACACGGATTCGAGCCCAACGCGGTCACGTACACGATGCTGATGGATATCTACGCCAAACGCGGCGATGAGGACATGGTCACAAAGTACTTTGACGAGATGGTCACCAGCGGACACCAGCCCGACGCCCATACCTACGGCGTGCTGATATGGACGGCGTTAAGGGTGCAGAGGTCGTATGATGTCGTTCTCCAACATCTCCGCGCGATGCATGCAGCCGACATTCCCCTCAACAAAGTCATCATGGCCACCATCATCGACGGCCTCTGCAGGCTGGGAATGACCGACGAAGCCCATACCCTCCTCCACGCAATGGACCCCCACCTCAAATCCCCCTTGGCAACCACATCCTACATCCACGCAACCCTCAAATCCTACCACCTCACACCTACCGAAATCCGCCACCTCATTTCCACCCTCCCGGACACACCCACAACCCTACAAATGGACGTCGTAACCTATACAGTCCTCATCACCGCCCACACCCGAACCCGTCAACACCTCCCCTTTGCAACCGTCCTCCTCAACGAAATGCTCGCACGGAACATTCAGCCGGACGCAGCAATATTCAACGCCCTCATCGCCGCCCACGCACGGCACGGCACCACCGAATCCACCCTCGCCGTGCTTACGCAGATGGAAGAATACGCCGTCCGACCCACCGTGGAGACGTTCACGACCCTCGTGTGGATGTACAACCGCAACGCCTGGTCTACACCCACCGATCTCACCAACCTCGACACGGCACTCACCAACATCCGCACCTGCCTAACCTCCCACTCCCCGCGCGTCTCACCCGACCTCCGCCTCTTCACGACCCTCGCCCGCGCCTACGCCCGCCGCAAAGACGGCCCCACCCTCCGGCGGCTCATCGGTGAGATGACACATCTGGGGATAGAGGCGGATGAGGGGATGTGGAGGTTGTTGCTTGTGGCGTGTGAGGGGGATGAGGGGGCTGTGGGGAGTGTGGCGCGGGAGATGGTGGGGAGGGGGGTGAGGATTGGGGAAGGGGGCTTGCGAGTGTTGGGGAAGTGGGGGATGAGGGTTAGGATGGTTGAGGGGGTTGTGAGGGTGGTGGGGAGGGATGGGGGGGTTGTGGGGGGTGGTTGATGGCGAAGAGTGGAGTACGATTTAGGTCCGTTCTGGATACCGAGACTCGATTGTGGACATTTGCATCATCGCCTGGTGGAGTACGACCTGGTTTTCAAGATACTCGGCTGTGGACGTTATCGCGGGAATGCATTCACACATTCATCAGCGGGTCACGCCGGATCGTGCCTCAACCCTCACGTCACACTCGAAAACCCCATTTCGTACCCAGTAAGTCTATTGGATTATCGCATTGGCGGATCGCACTTTCTGAGCAACCAAACCCCTAATCAATGATCTCTCGTTTCACCAGTCGCCCAACCGGGATCCGAGTCGGTATAAGACCACGCCCCCAGATGTCCTGTAGATAGACCGCGCCTCAGATCCCCTCCACCCCCCGAATCCGCAACCATGGCGTCCCCGTTCATCTCCCGCCCCCCGACATCGGCCGCTTCCCATCACCCCCAGTCGAACACAAACCACCGACCGAGCGATGGCGAGATACATCCCCCGCCTCCTGCGATATCCGTATATGTGCATGTATAATGTATATGGCCTGGCGAAACGCGGTGGGAAAGTGAGATTGGGTTGTTGGGAGTTTCGGCAGGAACTGGGGGGTTTTTTGTGAAGTGGGAAAGCTGGGATTTTGGCAGATCTGCGGGGATGATCAGGCTTGAGTGGGATCTCGAGGTTGGGGAGCTGGGGATTTTGCAAAAGTCAAAGACAGCAAACATGTCTCTTCTCTACCCAGTTCGGAACGTCCACACTCAAACGTTCGAACGTCTCGATGCCCAAAAACGTGGTTATATTCTCGATCTATGTACATTCCGGAAAACGGTGAGAGAGCTGTATCTCCTGCTGCTGTATCTACTGTATCTCAGCCCCTAATACAGGTGATACCTAAACCTGCGGGTAGACGCCGTAACTACCCTCATCAAGCGGTTCCAAAAACCCCGTCGCTGGTCGGGTAATCTGTCTACGAACGTGTGCATAGGCTGCTGCCTATTATCGTCTCCTCCCCTGAATTTGGCAGTGTGTTGCGTTGAGCGGGTATTTGCGTCTATCGACGTTTTGTCTGCCGGCCGCTTCGACCGAGGAGGCGAGAACTGGCCGCGGGGAAATCTGGCAGAGACGCGAGTCCTAGCTCCGGTTGAAGAGCGAGGATTGCTTCCCGAAGTCGTCGGCAGCCCGCCAGATGCACAACCGGTGCTTCGACCGGTCGTCGATGGAGGAAGTCTTGATTCGCACCCGGCGGTGCCGAACCCCTTTCCGCGTGCGGAGGGCCCCTTCCTTATCGGATTCGGGTGAATGAAGCGGTCGTTTCCCTCTGCGGATGTCCGTCCGTCGCGGGATTCCTGTTCGACGATCGCCAGATTCCTGGCCAACAGCATCATGTGAAGGTCCGGTGAATTTTCTTCTCGGTCCTCGCGTCAGATCGACCAAGTTCGGGTCCGCCCTTCATCTTCCGCTCACCCCGCTGACGCCATCCCAGAGCTTTACCCGTCTCAGAGAGTACCAGCAAGCATTGCGCCCGTTCGGAACAGGGATCTGCCAGCCACCACAACCCCGCGCGCCGTCCTCTTTGTTTGCCATCCAAAGGTGCTTTGGAAACGCTGGGAGTGTTCAGCGCCGATTGGACGCACCGCGGCGAAAGCTTTAGGGAAGAGGATCATCGATGCCGCATTCGCTCATCGCTGGATCTTTGTCGACTCGGGAGTTTCTAACAACACCAGAATAACCACCCATCCAAGCTACTCAGCAAATGCACGGTGCTGGTCTTCACGCGCAATCAAGCCCCCGCCTCCCGGACCCTCCGTGCTGAACGCCGTGGAAGAAGATGGGTCAGTTGATAGGTTGAAGCCCTAATGCGAGGCATCATCGGCACCATCATCAAGACCAACATGCCGAAGCGGAAGCGAACGCTCGTCCCACCCCTGGTGCTGGGCCAGCTTACCTATTCCCGTGAGTCTTTGCTGTCTTGAATTCGCCTTTTATCTTGCGTTGAACAACGGTTTCTAGGCTACTGGCAAGACATCCCACCCGCCCAATATGATCCAATCACGTATGCCAGGTTTAGAATCGGAACAGAACCGTACAAAGTTCACACGGAGCGATCAATTGTACAAAGCTTTAAGAGAAACGTGGGAATATTGTCTCGTGGACTGGGAGCCTTTTCCCATCGGAAAAGTGCGGAGAAAATCCTCAACAAATCCAACTTAAGTAGAAATCCTTTCTGGTCCGGCTGTCACCTGTTTTTCTGGAACGAAACACCCTCCACCCCACATGCAGGCCACTCGGGCTCATGCAGGTCCCCGTGCTGGCCACTCGGGCACGCGGGGACCATTGGGAATAGTGGGCAGGACCTGCCTAGTGAGTCTCCGCGGAGTCTCACGGTCCTGTTTAGGGTCCTTCATGCATGTTATCAGTCTGGCTCCAGGCCCAGGAACTGCGTGGGCCACTCGGGCTCATGTAGGTCCCTGTGCTGGCCCTCAGGCACGCAGGGATCACCGGTTCTGTTCAAAGGCCAGGAAGCATGACAGATTGCGTGCACGGAGGTCGTTCCTTCTTTTATACATCGTGCTAACCCGCTAGTCTCTTGTTAAAGGCAAGCGATTACTTCGGCGCTTTGTCTACATGGCTTGGGAGCCCGGAAGCAACTACATTGCAAACACTAGCGAAAGTGCAATCATCCGCCGAGCTGATCTCGGCAAAGGTAATAGCAGCTTCAGCATTTTCAATTTTCATGCGCATGTATTTTAACACGTCGCGATCAGACTGCCGAAACACATAGTGCCCTGGTTGCATAGCAAACATGGACCGGCTGTCTGGAAACAATGCAGAGCGAGGTAGGTGCTTGTACAGACACCCAGTCTTTTCATACGGGCCGAAATAACCTACTCCTGCTGCCGCATAGGATGAGGAAGAGCAACCCCCGTTTCCAAAGAAGCAACGGCAATTAACTCCACTTTCCTCAAGCTCCGATGAACATGAGCCTTTCTTTGACGTGACTCCATTGACTGACCTTCGGCCCAGCGCTGTTAGTGATTTGCGTCAAAGTCAACATATTGAGTCGCCCGACAACTGCCACCAAACTTCACATGCACCGTACATTGATCAGTTATGGAAACTCGCTGAAATTCTGGGAACAAATCACAACTTTTACCAGCGACAACGGGGCCGACATGCCTTAGCAAAACTGGATTGGAGCTGCGTACCGGAAGAATTGTACAAACAGGCGGGACTTCCCGAATTGCCAACCGAAGAAAGGCCTGCGAAGCTCCTACCAATGATAGACCTCAACACGGTTTCGCACATTCTCAACGAGAACTCAACAACGGCGCCAATCATCCCGGTACTGGTCGGGTTGCCAGTTGTAGGGAGGAGTCTGTTAGCTCGTCTGATTCCTGGCCTGTACCGCGCCCACTATTACATCGATTCCCTGACAATAATCTCAATAGTTTCAACAATGGTCACGTATTGCCCAACGCCGGCGAGAGGACCTGGAGCCAGGCCGTCGGAAGCACAAGTCCGCCAATTTTGGGCGAAAATCTTTGGCAAGGCCGTTTCATGTCATACAGCAACGGTCAAGTTAGTGATGGAATTCCAACATCAGCTGCCTGGACATTCCGGGGAAGGCTCCGCCAGGGGGGACATTGCGTTAATTGCATCTGGCTACGACGGTGCCTTCTTCGCGGGATTGATTGCGGAAGTGCAAGTCAACGGGACCGAACGCCACAAAGACAGTGTCGTGGTCGTTTCCGAGGCCGTATTCGAACTACCCGTGCCAAAGGTCTCGTATCATACTCGACCCGGTACTTCCCGCGCTGCGTGAAGCCGGGCACTCTCTTCCAGTGGCGCGACTGGAAGAGAGTGGCGCGACTGCGGGCGAGTATGATACGAGACCTTGGCACGAGTAGGACGCATACTAGCAAACGCGCGGGGGATAACAACTTCCGAAGTCAACAGCATCAAACTGTATGTCGTGCTCATTAATGGCTTACATGTGACGTTCTCCACCATACGCCCTATCTATAATGAAGCCGACCGGAGCCTTATCTATCTACAAGACGCCGCGGTACGCACATTCGAGCTCGGACCAGCAGCGGAAAGGATCCAAGATGCTCTGGATCTGATTGTCTTCCTGCGCACTACAATTATACCCAACAATGATCTTAGAAAGCGGCTTGTATCGCGGGAAGGTGCAGCGTATAATGCAGAGCTCATTTCTGCTTTGCCGCAACTTCCGGTCCAAGTCGCGGCTTCACGTACAGCTTCCGCAGTGTTCACTCCAGTGAAGAAATGTGGTTAAGCCATATGTATAAATGTTATAAATGTATTTATGTACAATGAAGTAAATTGCGAAGCCAATTTGAGAAAATGTGCCCTAGCTACCTTGCAACCATCAACCAAATTCTCTCGCGCGTGCTTCCATTCCACACCAATACACCCTGAATTCTCCCCGGCCGAGAATTCTTCGTACCGGTACTGCGTGAGATGAGTGTCCTTGGGGAGCGCCAAGATGTAATCACACTTCTTTGGACCAGGATCCGATTTGCAGGTGCTGCTGAGCGTTTCCGAGTTCCGCACAGGAGCCAAGGCACTAGGCCGTTACATGTTCCTTATACTGTATGTCCCAGTCAAATCCTTCCCTTTCTGCCTTCCCTTCACACTTCTCACTGATACCGGATCTTCCACCTTTTAGTCCGGCCTGTCCTACCGTAGCCATGAGGCCCCATGAGGCCCCATGAGTGGTTGACGTACTTCTCTCGGTGTTCGTTTTCAGTCAGTAGTGTTGCGTCGCCTATTATCCCCTCCCCTCCTCTCATATTTGTCGTCATGTAGTCGAGTTTGGGAATTGTTCATACCTCGTAGATTTGATCCTACTTTTACTCCACCTGCTTCACCCTTCGACTCGGTTTGAGAAATGTTTATGGCTCAAGAAAAAAGACACATAGAACAGACAGAGAATCAACAGATTGTAGAAACCTCTAAACCTGTCTGTTCGGCTTCACGCTCTGTCGAGGTCAGTCTTGTCGACCATGTCAGATTCGAGACACTCGAGAATATGAGCCACTTAGACCCAACTTCGTGTGAGCACGGGTCGCACCGTCCCATTTTCGATTTTGCACGATCGCTACTGTCGAGGAGGGAGTCTCGCCGTTATGGTAGTAGATATAGAAGCTATGGGGTTTTGGCCTATGGGTATGCGTAAATGATCCCAGGTTTACCGTTGATGTGGAAGGGCTGGCAATCCTCCAATTAGCTCAGCGTGAACGTCGAAACGAGACCCGCCACTACTTTCTGGAGCTGTTTTCCATCTGCGCGACATACACCTGAAGGCTCCTCAGGATACCGGAAGCAGGGCTTCCTAGCAACGTTTAACTGACACTCGCCAGGATTTTTTGATGTGCGACCTGGACCATGCGACACCTGAGTTAAGCACGGCTTACTGGCCATTGATAGCTTCGAAAACCAGGCAGTCGAATAGCACGTCGATTCACCCACCATGTATCGACCGCACTCACAATCGACGGCCCAGCTCTACCACGTAAGTCACTGGACTGATGCATGGACACCGCCATCTTATTGGATCTTCTGGTACATGGCCGCTGAATGGCGCCCATCGTTGATGTGGTTCGTCGGAGAGACGATCCGGCGTCGGACACCCTCGCTTTCATCTTCGATGTGCGACGGCGGCCGATTGACGGCATCTGTTCGCAGTGTGGGATTGCAGCTCGAATCTGTTGCACCGGTGATCGTATTCAGTGCAGGCAAAAAGGATGTATTCGGCCTCAATTTCAAAATATGTACATAAAATGCGCTCGCAAAACAGATATCAAGCCAAGACGCCGCCCCTTTCGCAACCCACATCTACATCTTACTCTTCACACCCCCAACCCCACTCCCCGCGCTCCCCCACTCATCCCGATGCATGGGGTCCTCCTCGGTAACCAATTTCGGGTGCTGATTGTTCTGCACCGCCTGCCTCCCCGTCGCCGCAGCGGCCTCGTCGGCGGATTTGGGAACGATGCCGCCGTCGATTTCGGTGCGGCCTTTGAGTTTGGTGAGGTCGGCGGCGGTGGTGGAGGACGGGGATGACGAGGGAGAGTGGGTTGCAGGCTCGGCGCCCGCGGCGTTGGGGCGGGAGGCGAAGGTGTCTGGAGTCGGTTTTGTGGGGGATGGGCTGCGAGGAATTGCGGGGATAGATTAGATGAGAATGCAAACCCCCCTTTTCTCCAACTGGCATGCCCAACTTGCGCAAAAGCTGGGGCCCCACTACACCTCACCTTTTGGCGCTCGGCTTGCCACTCTTGTCGAAATCCGTGGACGCGTCCTTGTCCAGCCCGCCGAACGTCTGCTTCCAGGTGGGTTTCGGAGTAGGCATGGCTTGTGTATTCGTGATCTACGCGTGGTTTGGATGCTTGCTGGTGGTGGATCGAGGTCGGATTGACAAAGATCGTGTTTCTTTTGGCCAAACGGTGATATCCCGGTCCCTCTGAGTGGTCTCGGGGGTATTTATGCAGTCCACTGGAGTCCAGGAATGAGCACCTTCCCCCGGCATCAGCCCCCGATGGTGAAAACAAAGACCTGCACTTGCTTGTTTTTCCCTGCGATCTGCAGGTGATGTCACCAGCGACGCACGGCCATTGGGGGCATTTTGCGGATCATCTGCCGAATTTGGAATTGACGCCAAATATCGACAGCGCGTCTCCAAACATCGACAGCGCGTCTCCAAATATCGACAGCGCGTCTCCAAAGCTTCAAGGTCGACGTTCAAACTTTCTTGCAGCTCAATGAGGATTGAGAACGGCGATGGGCGACACAACACGGGGAAATTTTGCCTACCGCAAGAGCTTTGGTTGGGTTGTGAGGAGGGGTGGCTGGATGATTTCCGACGCCCCGATATGTGTCGAGGCGTTCATATTGCCCTGCCGCCACGCGTCCTCTGCACCCAGTGACAGCTGCTTCACTCGAAAGGCGGGACGTTCGCCATGTGGAGGCAACGGAGAGCGGTAACCGGATGCGTCAATATTACATGTTATGATTTTCACGGGAGCATGCATTGCCGGGCCTGGAGGATAGAGGAGTTCTGCAAAGCCGAGGGGATGTAGTCCGCACCAGGCGATCGCCCAGGCGGGTAGGGTGAATGGAAAGGACATGGTCGCCAAGCTCGATGAATTTGTGGACGATCTGGCCGGAACCAGTAATTCATCTGGGATTGCTGTTGGTAGCCCACGGAACCATTTCTCACAGGAAGACTGTTCGCATTCGGAGCGGGGGAGGTGTATGCTCCATTGCTACCTCTCCTCATCCATTGAACTCATGAACTACGTTCCTCGTCCAGAGCATACAGTGATTTCAGTCTCCATCACGCGCACTTGTGAACATTGACATTGAGAGCAACAATTTTCATTAAGATAAATAAATAATAAATATAGTAAATAAAAATACAAAAACACAAACACAACGCCACTCGCGCCCCTAGTACCGCCCCTAGTACTGTACATCGGTATAGGAGAGCGATGTTGGGCATGCGCGTAATGTTCTCAACAATTCACCGTGGTACTCGCGTTCAAAAGCGCACGCTCGGAGCCCCAGGGCACGGCCCCGCAGGGACACCGGTCATCGCTTCGGCGGCAGTCGGCGGGCCAAACACAGGCAGCCCCACCCCCTGATTATGGGAAATGAGAGGAAACAGATGCAGTTAGCAGAAATCCTTGTGATTCGAAGAGCATGAGGATCTGAACAGTGATTCAACTTACCGGAAAGCCAACACCCGCAAAAAACGCCGCCCGGGCATCGAGCACGGCGGCGGCTGGTGCAGCCGCACCTGCGTACTGTTGCCGGGGCTGCTGGTGAGGAGGGGTGGTGGTGTCGGTGGTGGTGGGGATGGTGGTGTGGGGGTGTGCGGGGGTGGAAAGAGGAGGAGCGATCGCTGGCGCCCATCCCCCTTCTGGATGAGGAGGAGGAGGGTCCGGCGGCGGAGGAGGCGGCGGAGGAGGAGGACGACGAGGACGAGGAGGCGGAGGGACCGGCGGCGGCGGAGGAGGACGACTACGACAATGAGGGACCGGCGGCGGCTTTGAGGTTTGCATTTGGGCCGTCATTGCCGCGAGGCGTCGCTCAAGCTTGCGCGCCCTCTCCGCAGCGCGTAGGACCTGGCGCTTGCTCAGCTCCCTTTTCGCGACGCGCCCGTCGCGATTGGCGGCTTGGGAGTCCGTGGGCAAGCCGGCATCCGAGTACCTTGGCCCCGCGTACGACTTTGACCGCCGGTCTTTCTTGGCCACGGTGGGTGAGTGTGCGGTGAGTGGGCGGAGGTTTGGGTGGAGAGGGTTGGGTGGATGGTGGGGGTGTACCCACCGAGTCTCCAACCATACGCTGGTGTGTACCCACCCCAAAACGAGCCCAGCCGTTCCCCACGAAAGCAACCAAACGTTCACAATCTGCCACTTCAGCTCCCCTCTCCACAGCGCCTGTGGCAAGGCCAGCAGCTGAACATCCACCTTCTTCCCCGCCTCCAATGACGCCGAAAGCAGGCGGACCATGGTGAGAAACCCGACGGATCCCCACATGGACTCCCCGATGGGGACGTATAGACGCATAAGCGTGTACACCATGGCTGCAAGGTGAACAGATCCTTGCCATTCCACAAAACGCAATGCGTGGAAAGGATTTATCCGCCAGCCCCAACCCCACATATGACCCATCTGACGCTGAAGAAAGAGGTTGGTGGTGAATTTTCAGAGCCGTCAGAGGTACTACGAAAACTGAGGAACAACATACCAGCGCTCCCCTCACACCTCCCGCTTTCGCACCCCCCCCCCCCCCCCCCCACCACCCCCACCAATCGTCTCCCAACCGACTTTCCAGCCAAACCGAAAAGTCCGCGCATCCCAAAATGCATCGAGTATGTGTTTTCCTTCCCTTTCCCGACTTTGATAGTCCCCAGCGCCATCCGTCCCTCTTCGATCTCCTATTCGCTGTCATTATTGATTTGGTGATGTCTTCCTGTGGTGAGGAATGTGAATGAGACCTTCTGACCGGCCGATATGAATAGTGCGGGGGGTTGAGAAGCGGGTGCGCGTGACGAGACGGCGCAAGTCGGCGGGGTCGGGGCCGCTGGATGAGGAGGCGTGGGTGGGCAGTTGTGACGAGAGTATGGAGGCGATCTCCGTTGGGGGGCGGCAGACGCCCCAGTGCCTTGGCCGCGAATCCTTGCGTGTCAAAGTCGGGCGTCGCGGTGCGCTTCACCTCCTCCGCGTTCGACTCGATTAGTGCGTTTTCCATCTCGGCGTCAATGTCGATGGCAGAGACACCAGCTCCGACACCGACATCCATGTATCCGGCCTTGCTGGCACCAGCAATGTTTCCACAGCTCGCGAGACCGCTGGAGCATTGCTTGTTGACCGCGGAGAGGGCAACAGATTCTGGGTCTCCGGCATCGAGCGCACCCATACGCGACGTGGTCACAGCGGCTCCGACACCGACATCGATGTATCCGGCCGTGATGGCACCAGAAATGTTTCCGAGACCGCTGGAGCATTGCGTGCTGAGCGCGGAGAGGGCATCAGATTCTGGGTATCTGGCGTGGAGCGTACCCATAGGCGACGTGGCTAAACCGTTCTTTGGCTTCGCCGGTGTTAGGTTGTCGTGTCCGTAGTTGTACTGCCCTTCGTTGACGCTCTCGCTGATCTTCTCATCGTTGCAATTGCCGTCGAATGGAGCCGTGGCGTGCTTGCAAGGGGGGAGGCTGTGGTGGTGCGGGGCGGGGAGTTGCTGTGGATGATGTTGGGACGGGTGGTGTCGATGCTGTTGCCTCTTCGACTCCTTCATGAAGGCCGCGAACATCGATGCTGTTGCCTCTTTGACTCCTTCATGAAGGCGGCGAACAAGAGGAACCGTTCGGTATCTTCTTTGAAGCTGATGGCAAGCCACTGTGAATCTGTCGGAGTAGGAGGGATAGCTTTTCTCGACCTATTGGTATCGTGCCGCATATCCGGGAATGCGGCGGCAGCTACGTGTGGAGATGTCGGTTCGTATGCGGCGCGCGAGATCAGGCATCATCGTTTCGTGCGACACTTCAGATAGATACGGCGGTCTATGTTGGTTTGGCGGCATGTACATCATCGCTTGTGGATGCTGGTGTGGTGCGGGCATTGAGTACTGTGGTGTAGGATCTGGCATGCCGGGGGTCCGGGATCACAGCAACCATATGAACCGTTTCCTGATGTGCTATATGATCTTGGTAATTGTATGCAGGAGGGGCCATTCCTCGAGGTATTTCGGACGCGAAATTTGCCACTGGACCCAGCGGAGCAGGATGCACAAATTCCTTTGGCCGGTCAGGTTGAATATCGTGTCATGGCAACGGATGTTGGTGGTGATGCTGTTGATGCTGGTGCTGATGCTGGGGATCGTGGAGACTGATATGCTGTGATGGGTTCGGATGCAGTGTTAGTCCTAGGGACGCTAGTGTCGCACTCAGAGGCGTCAGCTCGGGGATGACGGCCAGGGTATCGTGGGATGAGAGCGTGGTAGGGTGGCCGGCGAGGTTTGCGGCGAAGTTTCCGTCATCGCCGTCGTTGTCCGTCTCGGCGTACTCAAAGTTGGGTGGCATCTTGTATGATGCAGAGGAACTGAGATGAAGCGAATGCACGAAGCTCGGAGGTATGGAATGAGTCTGGAAGCTAGTGTTAGGTGTCGAAGTACTAAGATCGTACAGCGAGCGTACGGTAGAGCTCACCCTAGCCCTAGCCCAAAGCGACCCGCATCACCCGGTAGAAGACCTTGCTTGCTCATCGGTCCTTGGTAAACCTGGACTGCACTTAAGAAACATATGATGAACTCAGATGAACTCGGGAGTTGTGTTCGATGAGCTTGCTTGATCACTCTTAACGAGTACATATTCAGCTTAGACCATGTCCAGCACTGTGTTGAGAGCGTTCACATCCTGTTCGGTCTAAGGCTACGTCATGTATATCGCTGATACGCCCTCGTCCAGGCTATATCAGGGATGGAAGCCGGTATGAGTAGGGGTCGAAAGTCACAACGAGAGAACGTCAAAGAAAGATGTACCTGCGGATCAAGACGAAAAAGGTTGAACACAGCTTCCGTCTTCATCTGCAACTCCATGAGATTTGTTTCCAGAGTGCGCTGGGTTTCCTGCTGTTCTGAAAGATCCGTCGTATGCTGCTGGCCTGAGACTTCTTCACCCTGTTCCAGAGCTACGATACAAGACCTGGTATTGGCGAGATCCACCGTTTGCCGGCTGAGCGTGGATTGCTGATCAAGCAGTTTGGACCTAAGACCCAGATGGGTGAAGTTAGAAAGCAGAGTCACATCACGCAGGCGGAGGTGGTGCGTGATGTGGCTCTGCTCCTTAACTTCGCCGATCTGGATCTTGTTGCTAGCTATGCCATTCTCGAGGGTTTGAACAGTTTCTTCGAGATGTTGCGCCCGTACACCGTTTGTACCATGTACCGTCCGTGTCCTTGGATCTGGAAGAAGAATCCAGTAAGAAAATGGAAGGACGATGATGACAACGAACCGACGATGGTGAGACTAACAGTCAGTTTTCGAAACGCATCCAGCAATTGCGAGTGCCACGTGAATCTCATCCTGGTAAAACTCATCCAGGGCGGGATCTGGGATATGGATGTCAGCCCATGTATTACGAAAGTTGAAGACGATGCATGATACATCATACCTGCATGTTCGTAATCCACAATGAAAGGGGACGGGGACGGGGACAGGGTTGAGGAGGGCGTTGATGGGGATGGCGGGGGCGGGGACAGCGGGGACAGCGGCGACAGCGGGGACAGCGGGGACAGCAGGGCAGTAGTAATCCACTGAAACGTACCGAAATGACCGCTCCTTCTTGATGTCTCGACAGAACCAGAGGTCACGCTTGTTTAGATCAATGCTGACGATGTTTGGAGCATCCCTTAGTTGACCGAACAGATGACTGGATTCGAGATTTGCGCAGCGGGATAGCCGAAAACAGCCGCATTCCACGGCGCTCATAGAGGCGTGAGAGCTCACAATAGGCACCTGTGACGAGGCAGGTGCGGACCATGATTAGACAAAAGAGGAAGCCGCGGGGGGGGGGGGGGGGGTAAATATACAGGACATAACTCACCTAAATATGGCATTGCGTCCACCGCAAGGCTGTACGCAAGCGGTTCATCCTGCGGAGGAAACAGAGCCCATAACTCGTCGAGGACGGTCCGCTCAAGTCGTGTGAGGCGCGCAAACTCTTCTTCGGTTGGAAACTCTTCAAACGTCGCATACTTTGCAAATTGACGGACACGCTGATAATACTGTCGCCGCTGCCCTCGGTTGGCTCTGGCTCTACGGAGATGCAGTTCGACTTGCTTCAAACCAATCCTGTCGTTGACGTCCCTGTCCGTCACGGCGGCTAGCTGCGCGCCCCAGTTAACCGAATCCACGGTCATATGGTTTTCAAGACGTCGCAGTGGCTCGTCGTCGGAGTGTAGGCCCGGCCGTTTGGAGCTAAAGCCTTAGCTTCAGGAGAGCTACAGTATTTTCACCCGACTCGGTGCGCTGGCGTTTGCAGCTAGGGCCTTGATGATGAGGTGGCCTGTCTTCCGTTGCCGCGGTGTTCTTTCCAGCTTCCTTAGACTTCCATAACCTTGTAGTTGGGCTGGCCCTGAATGAAAGCCCACCACAACGTCAGAGGGGTTCGACGATGCAGCAGCCATCCCTCAGCCATCCCTCAAGTTGGAAAAAGGCAACGGTTGAAGCAGGGTCTCCTTCAATAGTAGCGAACGACCCCTAACCCCAACCCTTCCCCTCGTCATGTGGCGATTGACGTACTGGAACGCTGGAAACCCACTGGGCGATATCCTTTGATTTGCGGACCTGCTGAGCGTACATACCAGCTCGATGTCCCCCAGGACACATCGTCAATGTCAGGATCGTACTGTAAGCTCGAATCTCGTCGTGCGTTGGAGGCGTTGGAACCGCGTCCGCGCCTGCCCCGCTTGCTGCGGCAGACTCGTCATTTCCGACAGGTTGGAGCGGGCTCCCTCGGGTGGTTGAATCTCCAGATGCGGATGGCCTCATTGGGACTTCATGACGACCATTGTTGTTGCCACCCGTTAGAGCAGACGGTGAGGGCACTGAGGGATAATCAACAGGTCGAGGTCGCGGCAGGCACCTTGACGGGTCGCTAAGGAATTTGTAGTAGTGCCGGAGTCTGTGGTGTCGCTTGCAGCAGGTGACTCACGGGCTATTCCACAACGGGGCGGAATGAGCGCGTGCGCTGTTCCACTCTTCCACTCCGGGAACATTCCGTCCCACCTGCAGGTTCACAGTCCGCACTGTTGCCCGCTGGGCCAGAGACGATGACGGTGCACAAGTAGGACCAGTGCCTAGACTGGTACTTAACCAGGTGCCAGACGCCAGTGGATCCACCTCCTCCAGTCCACCCCCCTATTCCGCAGCTGGTGCCCGTCCCCCACCCACTTTGAAGCAACATGACCATTACAGACACTCGTCCAACTGTTCCCGCCGCTGGCAACCGCAACCCTCTCGGCGCCGGCGGTCTCTTCTCGCTGCTTACCGTATCGTGGCTCAGCCCACTCGTTAACCTCGGCTTTGAGCGTCCTCTCGAGCTGGAAGATGTCCCGCCGCTCGGTCGAGGTCTGCAGGCCGGCCCTCTCGCTTCGAAATTGGACGTCTACTGGGACGAGTTGGCCCGTTCTCAGGGTAGCAGCAGCAGAGGCACACACAAACCGCCGAGCTTGTTGTGGCATATTGCCAAGGTTGCGGGAGGTGCATGGATGCTGTCAGGTGTCGGCGTCACTCTCGCCGTGGCTTGTGAGCTAGCAAGTGCTGTCATTCTGCAGCAGCTTGTTATGGTCCTTGCTCCCCACGGCTCGGACACGTTCGTGTGGATCGACTCGGCTGCGACTCTCGCCGTGACCCTGTTCTTGCTGCAACTGGTGCGCTCAGCGGCACGCTCGCTGAAGTCTTCCTTTGATATAGTGGTTCGACTGAACTGCCAGTCTCTGCTGACGGTACGCCATTATTGAATCATTCGATGAGACATTCCGATCAGTTTCCTAACATCCGTCATCTCCACAGGGCGTTATCTACGAAAAAGCCCTCCGATTACACTGCTCCGAAACGCAAGAGTACTCCGAGGGCCGCGTCATGAACATGATCAGCGCGGATGTGAAGGACATCTTTGCCTCGGCTTCCGATCTGCATCTCGTCTGGCTCACTCCGGCTCAACTTGTGGCGACGCTGATCTTGCTGAATCGCTTGATTGGATGGTCTATGTGGGTCGGTATTGGATGCATGTTGGTCCTCATGACCATCTTGATGGCGTTCGCTCCGGTTTACGAAAGATTTTGTGAACTCTTTCTCGAGCATGAAGATACCCGCCTCAATAAGATCCGCGAAATGCTTTTGGGTAAGAGCGTGGGCAACGGGGTCCTCACCAGAGAGTCGCTGGCCGTACAGGCCAACTCATGGCTTCCCGTCCGCTTACAGGTATCCGCATGGTGAAACTCCGCGCCATGGAATCAATCTTCGCCAATGAAATCAACAGCATGCGTGACAAACAAATCGACGCCCTAAAAAGCAAAGTCGGCGTCAACACCTTCGCTTGGACATTAACAGCGCTCATCACAATCATCATGCCAGTCACGTCATTTCTAGCGTTCGCTTCTCGATCGGATGGGACGTTCTCCGCAAGCATCATCTTCCCCGCGCTGGCGCTCTTCAGCGCCCTCGCTGAGCCGTTGAACTTTTACCCGGGGATGTTGACGGATGTTTGGAAACTGCGGGTGTCGTGGGCCCGTGTCGCTGGGTTTTTGCGTGCGCGTGAGGTTGATCCTGTTCGCAAATCGGTGGACAGCGAGAATCCGTATGATGTTGAGGTCGTCAATGGTACATTCACTTGGGCGGCGGCGGCAGCGGATTCCGGAGAACCATCCGAAACGGATCCGTTGCTATCATCTGAAGCCCGTCCTGCTCCCATCTTGAAGGGCGTCGACGTCTCCATACCCTCTGGAGCACTGATGATGGTTGTTGGAGCAGTCGGCTCAGGAAAATCGTCGTTCCTCTCTGCGTTGCTGGGCCATATGGTTCAGATATCTGGCGAGGTGAGCTCGCAAACTGGTTTTTTGGGCGCGCCCACTCGTACCAACGCTTACATAGGATGTTACATCTTACAGACAAAGATGAACGGCTCGACCGCTTACGCGCCTCAACAGCCGTGGATTACTACAGGGACAATCAAAGACAACATCGTTTTCAACGCAGCCATCAACGACGCAAAGCTCAAACAAGTCATCGAGGCTTGCTGTCTGGAGAGTGATTTAGGGCAGATGCGAGCCGGATTGGAGACCAGTATTGGAGAATTGGGCGTGAATCTGTCAGGCGGGCAGAAGGCCAGGGTGGCTTTGGCTAGGGCTGGGTATGCGGATGCTGGTATGAGTCGTGGTTTCCCGAAAAAGTTTCAGTGTGGCTGCCCTACTGATCTGAACCTCCAACAGATATCATACTCCTGGATGATCCGCTCGGCTCGCTCGACCCGGTCGTCAGTCGGGACGTTTTTGCGAAATGCATCCAAGGGGTACTTGCTGGCAAAACTCGAATCCTCGTTACCCACCAGCTCCATCTCCTCCAACATGCGGATCATATTATTGTCTTGAAGGAGAACAGTATTGCGGAGCAGGGCACGTACACGGACCTCATGGCAGCAAACGGCACTCTTTCCGCCCTTGTGAAAGATCATCAAGTGGACGACGCCGCACCAGCTTCTTGCGCACCCGAGATCTTCAACGCTGAAGACGTCCCGGAAGCTTCCGCGGAAGGAGACGACGACTTCCAAAAAACCGAATCCCGAATCCGTGGCCGCATCAGCAAAGCCCATCTAATGGCGTACATCCGGTCCATCGGCGGCTGGAAGATGGTCAGCGTGATTCTGATGTCGGTGTCTGTGAAACAGGCGGCGTCTGTTATGGCTGCTGTTTGGCTCGCGTGGTGGTCTGAGAAGCATTTTGCGGATTTCACACAGGGTGATTATTTTGAGGTTTATGGAGGGTTGGCGGCTGGGCAAGCTGTTTCTATCAGTACGTATCAGTTTCGGCTTCTGTTTCAATCGTTTGCCCGGTTCCGAGGATTTATCCCCCTTACTTCCTACAGGTCTCTTCCTCGTCGTGGTCTACTACGCCGGGTTCCGCGGCAGCAAATACTTCCACCCGGCCGCCCTCCAAAACATCCTCAGGTCGCCCCTCTCCTTCTTCGAACGCGAACCCATCGGCCGTATCATGAACCGCTTCTCGGGCGACCTCGACACTATCGACGATGACCTACCGTCCGAGCTACACCTCTTCCTCACCAACCTCTTTGACCTCCTCGGCACGTTCGCCATCCTCACCTGGGTATCCTATTGGATCGTCGTCATCGCGGTTCCCATTGTCGCGTGCTACTGGCACCTCCAGCGGAGGTATCGCCCCGTCGCGCGTGAAATCCGCCGTATGATGGCCATCCAACGCTCTCCACTCTTCGCCTACATCTCCGAATCCCTCGCGGGCGTGAACGTGATCCGCGCATTCTGCCGCGAAAAGGATTTCATCGCGACGCAGAGACGGCATTTGGACGCGAGTTTGGAGGTGAATGTGATTCGTGCGGCGTGTACGGTGTGGTTGGAGTTTCGCTCGGAGTTTCTGGCGTCGTTTGTGACGTTGGGGATGGCGCTTGTCGGGGTGTTGTCGGAGGCGGCGGCGGGGTTTGTGGCGCTGGCGTTAGTTTATACGGTGGCGTTGAATACTAGTGTGCAGGCGTTCGTCAAGTAGGTATCTCTCATTCCTCCTTTGAAGCTCTGGTACCGTTCTCACACAGCTTACTCCCATCAGGTCAAGCGTAGATCTCGAAGCAGCCCTCGCGGCCGTCGAACGTCTCTCCGAATACGCCACCGATCTGATCCCCGAACCACCTGCCAACCTACCCACCGATCCCACATCAACCGAGTGGCCCACCGAGGGCAAGATCGTCGTAACGGACCTCAAAATTGCATACCCCAGCAATCCCGACGCACCTGTTCTCAAAGGTCTCACCCTCATCATCAACCCAGGCGAGCATATCGCAGTGGTTGGACGTACAGGATCCGGCAAGTCGACATTCATGAGCGCCTTGTTCAGGGTCGTTGAATACACCTCTGGTTCAGTGACCATCGACGGCCGCGATGCCAGCACTCTCGGTTTGAATGTCCTACGTTCAAGTATCCAGATAATACCCCAGGACCCGGTTCTGTTCGAGGGTACCATCCGCTCCAACCTCCTGCTCGGGCATGCAAACTGGACCCATCATGCGTCCATCACCGATGCCGACATCTGGTCCGCAATCCGGCGCGTCGGGCTCGGCAAAATGGTCGAAGACCTCCCCGACAAGCTCGACCACGCCGTCGAATCCGGCGGTCGGAGTCTGTCATTCGGTCAACGGCAGCTGATTTGTCTTGCGCGAGCGTTGCTTGAACGGCCGAAGATCTTGGTGCTGGATGAGGCGACGGCGAGTTTGGATGCAGAGGCGGATGCGATGGTGCAGGATGTTATTGCAAGGGAGATGAAGGGAGTTACGGTTATTTCTGTTGCGCATCGACGTGAGTTTTCTTTTGTGTTGGCGAGCCCCATGTCGATGTACTTACTCGCCCCATTTCCCTTTCGTTCAGTGCACACGATCGCAGGCTTCGACCGGGTCCTCGTCCTTGACGATGGTGAAATTGTCGAATCAGGAACTCCCACGGAATTGCTGAGAAATTCGGAAACTCATTTCAACCGTCTTGCATCCGCCATGGGCATGGCGAACCGTGAGGCGTTGGTGAGGGCTGCACAGGCGTAATGCGTGAGCAGGACTTGCGTCTTTTTGCGATCTGCAGTCATAGTGAAAGTCGGTGGCGTTCATCATCGTGCTGGAAGGTTGATTCGCGTTTGACATTGATATATTTATCGGACCCCGTAGAGTACATAGATCATATAGATGTAGAGAACCTTAGATCTGGTCGTAGACTGTTTCGCATGTTCATACGACCTTGAGATTCGTTGTCATTTCGAAACAAATGGAAGAGTGAACCGTCTATACGCAGTATGTGCATGTTCGCAGATATGTCACATAGGGACTTTTATCCCAAATCCGACTCGTCGAAACCCGACTCGAGCGTCACAATTCTGATACGGTCCATCAAACGTCCAATTCTTCCTCCGATGCAGGCGCTAGCGCTGCCGTTTTCAGAGGCGATTCTGCGCGAGACGCCATCGACCGCGCTTTGGATGTTGCACCCCTCCCTCTCGCAAGATCCAGCTTTCTCACCCACTCCTCAAGCGCCCTCTGGCTTTCCATTTGCACTCGCAGTCGTTCACCGCCCGGCAGTTGCAGCAGCAAACTGTTGTCGGTCGTATCCGCTTCCACGCTAACGCTGTCGATGACGTAGAATCGTCCCTCTTTGGTGTCGATGTCGGTGAAGTCGATGTAGTTCTGGACCACTGATATCTGAACAGCTCGCCAGACGAGCGCAGCATCGGGTTTTACGGGGAGGTATTTGATTTTCTGGTAGATGCTTTGCGATTTTTGAGATTTCTACGGAAGAGTTTGAAGACCGACCAGATGAGATGATTGCTTTTTTGATGATGGCATATGTCGACAGAAGCCTATCCATACTCACCAAAGCAATCGCCTTGATTTTCGCTTCCATGGCGTCCTCGATCTCGCCTCCAAGACCGTAGAGCAGCCAAACCTTGTAACCAAGGAATGATGCGGTCATAGCAGCCGCAACGACAAACGTCACTGCGGTTCGCAGCGCGAATTGCGCGATCCCGTTCATCATGTTTGGAAGTAGAATGCCGGCGGACAGGATTCCCGTGATGCCCATGTTTGCAGCGTTCACCAGCAGCAGCCTATCTTCGAGTGCAGGAACAGGCCAGCCCACTTTGATGGTCTCGTAGGCGAGCTTGCACGCCGTCAGCAGGATTGTCCCCGTGATGATCATCAGGCAAGTTATGAAGCCGATCTGCTTCTTTTCGGTTCCCCAGCAGATCCAGAAGCGATCTTGCGATGCGTATGTCAGTTGGGGAGTCGGCGCCTCCACGACTCTCCATAGGGCAACCAGAATCTACATCGGAAGGAGACATAATGTTATGCGACGTGATGAAAAGATGAGTCCAGCGTCCGCCTGCTGCATTGGATACGTACGACGAAAAGAACTAGTGTTGCGGCAAGTGCACTCGCTGTTACTTTCTTGAAAGCCATAGAGAAGTCCGTCCCTAAGGCCATCTTATTCTTTCGTCGGGTATAATGTCCCCATGATTTGAGCATAAGACATCTGCGCGGCAGAATGGGTGAGCAACACCAACGCGGTTTAGCGGTACCTTCGAAATTAAATGCGAACTTACGAGGATGTCAGCCCGAAGGAGCAGGGAAGCATCCATATCTGCACCCGGCATGATAACGCAGTTGGCTCTACGGTGTCGGTGATCGGCAGTGCGAAGAGGCAAATGAGGCCGAGGGCTAGAACCCTGTGAACGATCAAGATACCTCGGATTAGTCATTGGCTATCCGGCCGGCAGATTCACGAGCAATCGACTCACATATTCAAGTTCCGCGTGGTGCCCTGAATCGCCTGTCCATTGCGCTTCATGAACAGCAGTCCCGCAAGCGCCAACACCGTCAGCATACAGATACCAGAGATCACGATGACCACCATAGATCCAGCGCTCGTGATTTTGGTGTTGGCCAATGCACCTTCGAGAACTTGTACACCCATCGTTTCCGGTGACGTTAACGTCTGTTGCAGCTTTGCAGACGCCACCTTCAGCTGCCGGTAGTCGAGGAATGCTCCACTTTGCGCATCCATTAGAGAGAATTTCATGTACACAGTGTCCGCGCCATCTCGTCGAGCTAGGTTCGCATGCCCAGAGGTCCAAAAATTGCGATAGATGACATTGTACGTGTTATTGTAGACCTCCTTGATTTTGTTGACCATACGATCGCGTCCGTCCACGGAGTAATCGAAAACGTCGGATGAACCCGTAAAGATCGGGGTCTGAGAGTCAAAGGAAAAGGTGAGACTGTCGTTCTCGCTTTTTCTCATTTGGCAAGCGATGCCCTCGTAGGCGGTATCGGTGCATGTGCAGTTCCCGTCCGATACGCACACGCCGGCCGTGGATGAACAACCTAACGAGCATTGGGGAGATCGACATTCAAGTTCGGGGGTGCCTGACGCAGCTAGCAGTTTGCGAGGCGGATCGCAGCGGGAGATGGTGAGCGACCGGAGTAAAGGGGAGAACTCGGAAATGTCGGTTCCGGAATCGTCGACCAATTTGATCCGGTAGGTTCCCGGACTCCCGAACACTCGTACATCTACAGATTCGGAAGCTGGTCAACCTCAGATCCGTATGAACGCGCAGAGCAAATCGAACTCACTTTCGAAGGTCAATTTCCCATTATCGACAACACCCATGGTCGGACCATACAGGGTAGCCACCCTCGAGATTACCTCATCCCCGTCCATATCAACCAACGCGATCTTCACAACCGCCGCAGTCTCCTGCTCGAACCCAATGAACTGCCCATAGGCGTCATATGTCGATATCCCGAAGATTGGGAGAGTGTCTCCCGGTAAAAGGATCACGTCATCCCAGTTCCCAGACGGGACGAACGTAGCGGATGCAGTTCCCCGGTCGGGTAGCAGCGGCGCCGAGTTATCTGCATATGTCACAGAGATGAAATCTAAGGATTTGCGGGCTCCGGTGTACCATGCGCCGCCGTACTGGAGCGCCGTGTTTTCGGTGAAGGAGACGTTTTGAACCACGAGGTTCGGCTGGCTGGTGAAGCGCTCGATGAAGAGGGCGCCGCCGTTGTTTGCAGTGTTGTTTGTGAATGTGCTGAACGGGGAAATGAATGAGTGATGCGAGAGAGCCTTGGGGGATCTGGGACCCGTCTGCTTACCTGTTAACAATGGTGATGCTGCACCGTCCAGCGTTGACGTTGCCGTAAATCGCCCCCCCTCGACCTGCGGCTGTGTTAGAATTGAACGCGGAGTTTGTGAAGCTTGCCGTGCCGTCGCAGTCACTGAGGATTGCACCGTCGTTTGACGTCCAGTTCTCTACGAAGGCGAGGGTTGAGTAGATCTTCAGCACATAGGCGTCCGGGACGCATCGTGAAACACCCACCGACGAACGTGCACTTATCAACGCTGAAACTGCTGCCTGAGCCCAGCTCTAGGAGCGATGCGCCCCTGCAGTGCTGGAACGAGGATGCTTCCAATTGGAGAGTGGATAAGGAACCAGAGAAGATCGTGTTCGCTAGCCCCTCGAAAGTGACCCCTTGGATCAACGTAGTCGGCCAATCCTGATCGGTTTCTGACCGTTCTAATCTGAATAGCGGTTCGCCGGATGAAAGACCTAGCGAAAACCAAAATTAGCATTTGCATGGCATTTCAATCATATGGCCTGCGAAAAGTGCGTTACTTACGGGCGAGAATCGTGTCTGTAATCGTCAGATCACCCATCTCGAAAACATGGAAGCAATGCGCTGCACATCTTTGATCTTCCGAGAGCATGTCAGTCAGAAAGAGGTTTGCAAAATCCGTATCCCGAATTCACACAAGAACCAACCATCGATCGTCACAGAATCCAGAACAGCCTTCGACGTGCCATTCAATTGCAAGATGGCTGTCGTCACGTTGATATGAAGATCAGTTGTGATCTTCGAATTGGTTAAAATGAGCACTCCCTTTGACGTTATTGCGAACAAATATGGCATCGCAGGGCTTCCCGGGAGCACCGCCTGGTTATCTACGTAGCATTGCATCAGCGACGGGTCGTCATGCAGCCACCCTTCGTCACCGAACTTACTGGTCATTAGCGCGTCGTCGATCGTGAGCGTTCCGAGCACGTTCGTTTGCCCGACATTTCCTACGGACGTGATGAACGGAATGCCACCCGAATAGTCGTTCATGCTTGCCAACGTACCAGATGAAACGAAGTTTGATATCTCGACCGTCGCCAAACTTCCAATGAATATCAAGTCCGTCGGTACGGGTAGGATCGCATCCATGAAGTTTGAATACACCGGTTGAGCGCCAGGGAAGTTTACCGTACTATCTGACATGTTGGGGGCATGAGATGAGCGCTGGTTTCCACTAGCGAGAAGCAATCAGTTTAGAGAAGGCTCCTACCGACGATGGATAAGCCATTGATGATATTCGTGCCGCGCCTTATGTCTAGCACACGCCCGCTCCAGCCTAATTGTACGATGATCAGCACCAGGGAAACAGCAGACGGATCAGTTCCATCGTCGTTTGAGTACCTTTGATTGTCACCGCTGACAAGGATCCCCCTTCCGATGACTGCATGCTCAGCACAGAACTGCACCAATGCTTGGGGTTCGACAAATCGTTCTTTTCGATGTGCACATTGGTCAGGGTTGTCTGACCGGATCCGGCTGTTTGCTGACGGTGGGACGTAGATTAGATACACAAGATGCGTAGGATGACTTCCGGAAGAACGATCCACTCACAGTGATCACCGAAGCACCCTCCAGACATAGGCTAAGAGTCGGCAGGCAGGGTCAGCTCAACATTTCGGTCGCCGCGGTCCGTGAATCGACAGCAAACGTGGCCTTACGGATCTAAATGGCCAGTTAAACCGGGTTGGGGAAGAGAGACCCTAAAACCCTATCACATGATATACAACTCACTTATGATGACAATATTTGTCAAATCGGTGGATACGGTTCCGGATCGCGCTTGAAAGATGGAGGGGCCTAGGATAGGTTAGGACTTGCGAATCCAATGCTGCCTAATGTGAGGTGCATCGGCTTGGGCGTACCTTTAAAGTATAGATCGCTAATGAATACCATAGCGTTCGGGAGGGTTGGGTAGTAAAAGACGCCTGCGAGGTGCATGCATTTCAAGTTAGATCAACCCGGCAGATTCATCCGTAGGTTGGCACCTAGCTTACCTTGCAAAACTTTGCAGCCAGTGTACGTGACGGTATCTGACAAATACACGAACCAGTCCAAATACACGAACCAGTCCAGTTCGAGTTTAAGGGACAGAACATCGACCATGCTGTCGAAGTCGGGTTGGGGGCCCCCTGCGTCGTGTATTTAGAATTTTTGAATTATAGGAATCGTAAGATGGCTTCCACTTCCATGTCATGCTGTGATATACCAGCGAAAGTGACATTGTCAAACGTCAGAGACACCTCCAACTCGGGGTTGCTGAACATAAATAAGAAGGTGGAGGGATCGGAGGATTGCTCAGGCAGCCCGAAAACGACGTTCGAGAATGCAATGGAAGGATCGTCGCCAATGATCGACATTTGAACCACGGAACCCTCTACCAAAGGGCCGCGCACGATCTTCGGCCCGCCGAGCACATTCCAAGACTCTTCCGTTCCTTGAATCGCCAAATTGACGGACAAACCATACTCGGCTTGATTCAAAGGATAGTCTCCGGGGGAGATGAGGTGAATTCGTTTGTGGCCTCCATTGGGGCCGAGCAGAGCTTGATTTATGGCATCGTCCAGCGTCCCCCAAGGGTTTGATTGCGTTCCATTCCCGCGAGACTCAGGTGCATTGCGGTCCACGTAGATGTCGATGTCGCCTCGAACTACAGGTAGAAGCGACACGCACAGAAGCGCAACCAACGTAACACACAAACTTCTGCGTTGCATGTCGAGGTGTCTAGAAAACTCAGTAAGGCGGCTAGTTTGAGGTTTGTACTTGTATGTCCAAGACGGCATCCAGGGTTTGCTCCCTTGCAATCGGCAGACGGATTATGGGAGGGAAAGGTACAGGGCAGGGAGCTTATCTTCCTGGACTTCTGTTTTCAACATAGTTCAAAGCTCCGACAATGCCTTGCGTCGGCCATTGTTTCGATGACTTGAAAGCATCGACAGAAATCGACAGCGCGTTTGTGGAATGTTCCATGTCTCCCAAATGGGAACCGTAAACGAATTACAGAACGGCTTACTTGAATGTACTCCGTCCTCCCCAGCAGAGCTCGCTCGGCCCGCATAGTTCTCGATGACCGCGTCTAAAAGGCAAATGGGAAATATGTTAAGCGTACGACTGCAGAGGCACCAGGATTCGTTTTGGACTGCCTTTTTACTTACCCCGGATTCGTTTTGGACTGCCTTTTTACTTACCCCGAATTGTTTGGGACTGCCTTTTTACTTACCCCCTGACAATTCCACCTCCATCTGCCAGACAAAGCGACACTTTACAATGTACAACGGCACTACAGCGCTGAGTGTGCTTTGCGTTCTATACCTGCTTGCATGCCCGGTTCTTGGTGAGTGCATATTGGATGTGCCGGCGATCCGGGTTGACACTAATCGACGTCCCAATGGCATCCGCAGGGATTGACGTGAACCTTCTGGTGGATGGGACCCTGTCGGCGGATGCGCCGCCCTCGTTTATGAGCATCGGAAACGGTAAGAGTCGGCCCCGCCACCGCATAAGAGTTGAGACTACCTGTCATTGACATTTGCATCCTGACAGCTTGGGAGTACGCAATAGCTCAGGCGAAAGCGCAACAACCAACAAATCCGACCATCACATTAACCTTCCGTCCGGGCTCCTACCAGATCCCACTAAACAGTACATCAGCCGAGAGACAGTTTGGAAATTGCACGCTCAGACATGTGGCCGAAACGCCGGGAACCGTGAGTCTGATTGCGCCGTTCCGCCAAGCGCGCCAGGACGCTATATCGACGATCACCAGCCTGAGCGAATCGAAGTGGGGCAAAAACACTACGTTGGAGTTCACTGGCCTCACGGTATCCGTCCCGGATACGAAGCTCTTTGCGTTCAAGCTTGAAGGCCTTAATGCCCGTTTGAACATCACAGACTGTACCTTCATTGGTAACGTAGACGCTGGAACGCAATTTCATGCGAACGTCAACTTCTGCAATAATTGCGGCGCTTACATTCGAGATCGAACACTCTGCAGGAGGCGGGAACTACTCGCGAGCCTATTTTCGTGTTGGATCACCAGACATCGCTCGTCAGGCTAGTCTGATTGTGACTCGATCCGTCTTCCGGAGTAAGTCACGCGATACAGGTTCCCCTCCAATTTCGAGATCGATCATCACTGACTAATGAGGAATCAGACATTCAGCAGGACATCGCAGTATACGGTTATACAAGCGTTACTGTGAAGGGAGGCGGGACCGACACCGGCTACAGATGGTTTAATACGCTTTTCAGGGCGGAGGCTGGAAACGTAACCATTGAAGATTGGACAGTCACCGGAAATGGCGACTCGGCGGCACCCCTAGTGTCTGTTCTGCAACACAATCAGACGCCAGGAAGGAGGGAGGCAGCTTTCTGGTATTCTGGATTAATTATGAGGAATGTGCTCATCAAAGGAACGAATTTCGGAGGGCCCGCCTTTCGGTTTGAAGCAGGCTACATTCGTCTGTTCAATGTAACTATCAGCGATTGTACCACGTTCGGCGGGATTGTCGGCACCACCCGCCTCTTGCAAAGATCCCTCATGCGGATTTATGCTGACACGAAGGTCACCATTGACGGAATGCGTGTCACAAGTAAGAAGGGAGGAGAGGTTCCAAATAAGTTCATTCTGAAAAAGACTCTCTCTCTGCCAGACACTAGCTTGGAGACCGGGGTCGACTTTTGGCAATCAATGATATCGATGGCCATGACGAATTCATACTTTGGAGGTAGTTTTGCGGCATCGCCGGGACATCAGTGGGCGCGATCTAGACACCCGCACTTCGATCTTACAGGGAATACGTTCCAAAGATGCTTCGACACCACGGAGAACACCCGGATCAACCTGACCGGGGTCACGTTTGGTGAGCGGCGATTGTCCCTATTGCTCGTCTATTGCGCATGACATTAATCCCTTCCAATCCCGTCTCTCCCATGTGGCAGAACGAAACAACTGCAACTTCATGCTAATGTCCAACACGACCACACACATCGAGAATTCAGCGTTTATAGGTGCGCGACCGATAAGAGTCCCGGTGCATAGCCTCGTCATCCTGCGTCTGACTCTCAGGAATGAATTGTACAGACAACACATACGCAACCGGATCGCCCTTCTTTGATATATCGGCATCGGAATTCGTCGCCACGAACAGCACTTTCACCGGTGCGTAATACGGTCCTGCTTCCCTGTTCCTTGATCACCAAGCACATGCTCAACAGATTTGTATCATCCCAGGCAACCAAATCGGACGTAACTCCATGTTTTCTGTCAAGGAGCGCTCTTCACTGATACTCGCCGGGTCCGATATCGCCAACACCTACGCATTTCGGAGCGTGCTGTCCACAGACGCCTCGAGTGCTGTCGAGATCAAGTCCACGATCTTTCGTCGAAATGTCGCAGACCTCCGCGATTTGGTGAGCCTCAACTATGCTGGGAACATCAATGTCTCGGACAGCTCCTTCCTCGGTGAGTATCCCGGCCTCTCATTCCAGCCGTTGTGATCCTTAGGCTGATGGCTTCTGCTACCCCAGGAAACAAGGCACTGAGTGGAAACCTGATCAGAGTAGCAGCCGGTACAGGCCTAACGCTCAAGCGCTCCACATTTACCGCCAACGCCGGCTCCATCTCCATCGACGCTAGCGGCACCTTACGAATCCGAGATAGCACATTGGAGAGCAACGGCCCGGCCCCGATCCTCTATTCCGAAGGCAGTCTAACCATCTCCGGCTCTACATTAACGAACAACTCGAGTCCCAACGGCGGAGCGATTTTGCATGTGCCCAAGAAGCAGAACGAGTACCTGATGGTTGATAGCACGGCTTTCGTCTCGAATGCGGCGGACGGCGATGGCGGGGCAATATATGTTGACGCGAGTGATTTTGATCCGTTGGTGTATAGCAATGTCACGTTTACGAACAACACGGCGAAGAGAGGAGGAGCAGTGTTCCAGTTGCAGAGCCAGTGGGCTAATGTCGGGTTCAACACGTCCGCGGGTTTGCGGATGACGAATAATGTCGCTGCGTGGCAAGGTACTTCCGTGCGACCCACGTGGAAGTTCTCGGGGACATGAATCGAGGTCAAGATTGACGTCGAGACGCACGGATTTGGAACTTACGCTTTGCTCATCTCCCACGCAGGGAACGATCTGGCAACAGGAATCGCGTCCCTCGTTGTGGTCAACAAAACATCCTTCTCAAGCTTATCAGGCGCCTACCTGGACGACATCACTGTACGCGCTTTAGACGGTGAGTGTCTTCCGACCCATCCAATACGCACCACCTCGGAATAACCGAACCATTTCACCAGCCTACGGCAACACCTTCCGCTCCCCCCGTTCCGCCATGCTCAAAATCGCCCTCACCCTCAACGGCACCGGCACCCTTGTCGGCTCCACATCCGGTTTCATCCTCACGGGCGAGGCTACTTTCAGCCGTCTGCAGCTGTACGCACCGGTTGGAAGCCAGACGCTGCACGTGAAGCCCACAAGCGCGTCGTACGATCCGGAGCTGTACCACGCGGCCGTGACGCTGAATACGCTGCCGTGCGCGACGAAGGGGATGGAGGAGAAGGTGGTGGAGGCGAGTCCGTGGGCGGCGTGTGTGCTGTCGGTGTGTGCGGGCGGGTGTTTGTCGGATTATGGGTATTGTCGGGATAACTTCTGCATATGCACGGCGGCGGATCGTGAAGGTTGGTTCAGCGTCGTGAGCTTTGAGACCTGAGTCCGCAACGTCCTCGGACTGATGGCCACTGCCTGACCAACCCCAATAGGGATCAACTGTGGCCTCAAAAAAGGCAGCCGCGACGCCGTCAGCCTAACCCTCCCCTCCACCTGGGTCCCCAACGCCGTAAACCGAGACAAACTCCTATCCTCCATCACAGCCAGCCTGAACGGGACAGCTACGGCCGAGTTCCGCTCCTACACCAGCACCCAATCCGCCAACAGCACGATTCAACGACGCGGCACATCCACTAATGTCTTTACATTCGCCCTGCTTGATACGCGCGGGCAGTATATCGAGAGCAAAGCGCTGGCGACGTACGGTGCCGCTACCGTCAATGCGCTTCCGGGAGTTGTGAGTGGGAGCGTGAGCGTGAACACGGTGGAGTCACCCAAGGTCGTAGTGGCGAGCAGGGATGCTGTCAGTATCGTCTTCATGGTACTTGCGGCGGTATCCATCGCCACGTCAGTTGCGATTTCTGTGTTCTTGGTGGTGTATCGTGATGATAAGGCGTAAGTTCTGGGTAGTGTGACCACTCAATCGTCTTCACATACTCATGATCTCTTCCTCCCTGCAGAGTCAAAGCGTCGTCAATCCTTTTCAGCCAACAGATCATCTTTGGCGTCACGCTTGGCTACGCTCTGATTTTTCTCGATATCGGCGAGCCAACGAAGGCGACCTGCATTTCACAAGTATGGGTTGGCGGGCTTGCTTTTACACTCGCTGTCGGGTGAGTGTTGGTAGCCGAAGGGCGGTGCCATTTTCCAAAATCATTGGTTGATCATGGGTGTGCAATCTGGGGCGTTATCAGAAACCTCATCGGCAAAAACTGGCGCATCTACAAGATCTTCACGACGACGGGCAAGTCTAAGGCGGTGAAGGACAAAGATGTACTGATCCTCGTCATGGGAATCATGCTTTTGGAAATCGTAAGCTAGGATGCTTACTCTCACGCGCGATGTCGTTCCGAAAACCTGCTGACAGGTCTTCATTTGCATAGGCCATCGACGCGATATGGACAGGACTAGCCCCACTCGAGCCAGTACGTGCTCACTCCCATTCTCCAGCCTCAACATCGTTTCTCAACACTAACATCCCACCGCAACCAGGTGCTAAAATCTAACGACTCAAGCCGATTCTACATGTGCGACTCCGATGCGGCGGCAAACTCGGCCATGACGATTATTGCGCTGACCTACAAAGTGATTCTTTTGCTCATCGTCTGCGGGCTGGCGTTTCTGACGCGAGGCGTGGATGTGCTGTATAGCGAGAGCAAGGCCATTGGGGTGTCTTCATGTAAGTGTGATGTCCGGTTCTCGATCCTCATTTATCCCTGCTTGACGGATCTCCTCACCCCTTTCTACAGATACGATGCTCCTATCCGGCCTAATCATCATCCCCCTCGTCTTCCTCCCCCAAACAACCTCCAAATCCTCCTTCTACCTCAAATCAACCGGTATCCTCATCTCAGGCCTCGTAACAACCTTCTCCCTCTTCTGGCCCAAACTCTGGCTCGCCGTCTTCACCGACATGACTACACGGAGCATTTCCCGAACGTCCAAGCGGCGCGGGAGCAGGAAAGCGCGATCGCAGACGGGCGGCGGGCAGAGAGGGTCGATTATCTCGGGGGAGAGCGCGCGGTCCGGCAGCACCACGCAGTACCAGGGGCAGCCGACGGAGGAGGATACGAGGGTTGTGCAGACGCCGGCGGACTGCTCGTTGTATGTGAGGAGTGGGCTTGTGGGGAGGTTTCAGGCGGGCGAGATTTGGATGGATATCGAGACGAATATTATTTTCGTTTGGCGGGTGTCAAAGGAGGGGGTAAGTGGCTATGGATGCTTCCTTGTTTTGGAGGAACGAATCAACCACATCTCATCTCATCCACTCTTCTCTTCTCTTCAGACGCGGGGAGATATCCCAACTTCAGGCGTATCCTTCCGCCTACAACATCTGAAACTCTGCAGCTGGGACCAATCCGACAACTTCCTGCTACTCCAAGCCGGCGAAAACAGCTTACAGCTGACGTTCGCCAAGAGTGGGGTACTGCGTTCGTACGTGGCCGAGATTCAGGCGCGGATTGGTGAGTTTGAACTTTCGCAAGTGGGGATAGTGACGGCCAAAGCTGACCCAAAGATTTCATTTGCGTTTTGAAGCCAAGGCGGGCGGCACAGGTACGGTGACAGCCTCTCAGCGACCCATGAGTTTCATCCAAGGAATGATGACCACCCGGGGCGGGTAGGGATTGAAGTCTTTATGTACTGTACATATGCAGGTCCGAGTCTACAATGGAGGACCGATTTGGGCTGTTTTGACGGACGACCGTGAAGTCGGGTGCCCTGATATACAGTATTCGTTCTGCCCAGCTGTTGCGAGCAGTCGTCGTCCCGGGGGGGAGGGGGGGTGGGGGGGGGGGGGGGGGGGGAAGATGTCGGGGCAGGGTTAAGCCTATTAAGCAGGTTGAAGCCGGTTGATAAGCCAGCTCGGAAGAAGGCAACCCTAACCGCCCGCGTCGCAAAAACGACCGACTTCCTGGCTCGTCGCAACCTTCGATCCCACCCACATCACACCCAACCCCCGGACGCAATGTCATTCATCCTCCCCCTAACCTCCGGCCTGCTCGCTGGAACTGTCATATACCACCTGTTCCAAAGCAGGATCCGCAACGACTCCACTTATGCCGCGCAGGCCTTTGCAGAGATGCGGAGGGAACTTGAGCTTGTTTTGCCACCTGGGATTAGGGATGAGGTAGGGATTTGAGGGGATGGGAGTGGGAGTGGGGGGCGAGGAGGGGTGGGGATGGGGGGACGAGCGCTAGCGAGGGGATGCTTGACGGCCCAGCTTCAGCGTGGAAAATGCGGCGAGTGGTATTAACAATGGCTGCAAGTCCGAGCGTCAGCGAGCAAATGCGCAAGAATGCTTGAGGTTGCGAGTCCGGAGGAACGAGGGGGAGAAGCAGCACGAGCGACCATGAGAGCATACTGCGGCGAGCGATAGTGAGGCACAGGAGATGCTTGAGGCCAACCGATAGGGAGGGACTGCGCCGGAGGCATAGGAATGCTCTCGCTTCATCTTCGCCCCGACTCCTTGTCGCGAGCGAGTCTAAAGTCGTTTGCTTCCACCCTTCTCAATTCATTTCATTCACCGTCACCATCCCTTTTCTCGCTCTCCCTGTCGTAGTCCGCGATAACCCCACCATCCACCCTCCTCTCCCCCCAACAAGAGACTCTCACCCCCTACAGCCACTTCTACCGCACGCCATCCGACAGCGTCTCCCTCTTGGGCTTCAGAGTGCCTACGTCGTCCGCATGGAGGAGGAAGAGCGAGGAAATGAAGAGTAATTGGAATCGGAGTGTGAAGGGGGTTGCGGAGTGGGTTTCGGGGCCTTATTAGGGGGTGGGATTGTCAAGTTTAGGAGTGGGTATGGGATGAGGGAGGGATGAAAGTAGTGGAAGTGGAGAGTTGCGTATGGGGGGGAGAGCAAAGCGGCAAGCGATTACGGCGGTGGGACGTTGTGGCGCATCGTTCACCATGGTTCACCTCGATTGGACATCCGCGGCGCCCCGGCCACCCTTTTTCGGCTTCGCACGTCCCTCTTCCGGTCATGTACGCCTTTGCATGTATATACACAATGGCATCGGGGCATCGAGTCCCGCCCTTTTCATTGAACCATTGTAAATCATAGTAGATGTCTCGCTAGGTACCTTTCCTTCAACCTGAGAATGAGATGTAGTGAAACGGACCTATTAAGAGCAGCTGTCAAAAAGCGAACTCCACCAACGCAAACTGAACACCACCAACGCTTGCAAACCAAACACCACCACAACTGTCTTTATTGTAACTCACAAGGGAAGGAAGTGAAAGGGAGGTTATCCGAGTTGATAACGAGAGCTGTTATCTATGTATATGTACTGTATATGCCACGGATGGGCACGTAGTGCGGGAACAAGCGAGTCAACTGAAAGATGCGACAAGGAACGAGAAATTCGACAGCTCGTCCCGCTTCCACGAGCTCTTACACGCGCGCGGTCTCACCCCACGCCGTGCTGGACGCTCAGCGCTCACATCCGGAAGGCCGGGATCTCTTGAGGGGGCCATATCGCGCTGCAGTAGCCAGGGGCTAGGACATTGCTTCTCCAAGTATGGGTCACGAATACTTGACTAACGGACAGCACGAAATGCAACAGTCCCGTCGTTTCTGCACAAGCCGTCAACAATCTCCTATTCCCGCATCCAACCCCGAACCACGCTTATATCTCCTTCCTATCCTCTTCGCCCTCCACCTCTTTATCAACACCACTTCTTCGCTCAAGGTACACCCCGTCATTAAACTTCAAAACCTCATTCCCCCAACTCGTCCACCCCGGCAAAAGATTCCGCGCAAACAGTTCCAGCTTGCGTGCGGTCGCGGGGATGTAGGGTGTCAGCACGTCTGGTTGGATGATGGAAGACGGGGGATGTTAGGATCCATTCTTGATGGGTGGGTGGGAAGCAGTGTGGGAGAAGGTGAGCGTACCGTCTAGGAATGGTTTGCGGGAGTGGTATTTGCTGGGGACGGAGCAGATTGCGCGGCGGGCGGGGATGTCGATTGTGGGCTCCTCCTCCGGGTCGCCCGGTTTGCGGCCGATGATGAGCTGTAGTGAATTTCCGGAAGCGGGGGCGGATGTTAGCTACAACGATGTTTCAACCAATCCGGTGAGCGTACGTCGAGCCTTGGGGACAGGACACACTTACCACTTCATACGGCTTCCGGTGTAGGCTTTTCACACCAAAGGAGTAACGAAAAATCGTCCCAGTTAATACCCACGCATCCCAACCCATCACCCACACAACCCAGTCACCCCCCCAACCTCACCTCCCCAACTCCAAAACCCACTCCCCGCCCCTCGTCACCTTCACCCAATACCACTCCGCCTCCACTCCAACCCCCCACGCCGGAAACAGCTTCTCCCGCACAAATGTTTGGTATTTGGGTTTATTGGTCACCCACACTGCGATCAGGGCGCCGGGGGCCAGGAGGGAGGGGAGGGGGAGGGTGAAGAGGGTGTAGATGTCGAGGGGGGTGTAGTGGGCGGATCTGGGGAACAGGTGGGAGCGGATGGGGGGATGGTTAGGTGGGGGTGATGTGGGAAGAAAAGGAAGGGACTGGGGTTTACCTGCGAACGCTCTTATTGGGCCATGCTGTAGAAGGACGGGATGGGAAAAAGAAAGGTGGGTGTCAAGGAGGATTTTCCGACTTTGTATCATAACAAGCACGGAATGATTCAATACTGAACGTACGTGGATCCATAACAATACAATCAAACTGCCCCACTAACATCCAGAAACGAAACACACACATATTATTATCCATATCCCCCAAAAAACCCCCCAAAAAGATACAATCCCCAAACATACATGTCCCCAACACCCGCCCACACCTCCCCAGATCCGACATACACATCACAGCCCCCCGCGGCACGACATATGTATGTCCAAACACTTCGAGCATGTACGTCCCTCCAGATGCGTTGCGGAGGATGGTGTTGAAGAGTTTGCTGGCGTCGTCCTGAATGTCTGTCATTGTCCGGGGGGTGTTAGCGGGGAATCGTGGGAGTGGGTCGATGCACGAGTTCTCCAATCGGGTACCGGAGAATGAAAGTTCCTCCACGTCGCTGTCGAAATCACATCCCAAGCTTGCCAGGTCGCCGAACTTGACGAGATGTAGGTCCTGGAATCCATCTCCCGCGTCCCTGCTCGTATCCTCAGATATCCCTTTGGTCCCAAGTGCCGATGTGGGGCCGCTCAACGCCTGCACAAGGGCTTTGCGGGCTTCTTCCAACCAGGCGAGGAGGTGTGGGTCGACGGTGTCCATTTGGGCGGGGTTTGGGTTCCGTTTGCGTTTTCGTGTGTTGGGGGGTGCGACGACGGGCGGTCCGGTATCCTCGTCCTCGTTTGGTGGTTCGTGGGCCGCGTCCTGGAAGTTCTCACCCGCATCGCCCATCCTACTCTCCCCGTCCCGTATCCCCATCCCCGCTCCACCCGTTGTTCCGTCCCCATCCATCTGCCCATCCCGTCTCGCGTCCATCCCCACCTCCCCACCCAACGCCTCCCCAGCCCCTCGCTTAACATACGGCTCCATGACAGCAAACGCCGAAGCCGGCCACGCCCATCCGTCGCCTAGATCGTAGAGGTGTGGGTGAAGTGTCCAGCCGTAGTCTGTCGGAGGGGAGGCCATTTCTGGGAAAAGCAAGGGGGTTTGATGTGCGTGTTGTCGACAGAGAACGGTGTCTTGCTGAACGATCGATGTCGATTCACGTTTGGCGGAGGTTGAGCATCGCGAGAGAGAGAATCCGCATGTTGCCAACCGAATGACGGCACTGGAGAACACGCCTTCCGTCGCGGCTTGGCAAAACTCGCGAGGACGCCTCCCATCGTCGCGGCCAGAAGGTCGAGCGACGAGGACCCTGATGACTTGTCCACACATCAACCCGCCAGGAAAAGACCCTGAGCGGGGGTTTCTCAGAGGCTGATCCCCTATTAGAGTGTGCGGCCCTAGGGATCCCCTGCATCGTCGGTCATAGCACTGCAAGAAGCATCTTGCGTAGGTAGCTGCGGGTCATTGAGGGATCGGAGGAAAGATGTGCGCGCAGTGATTATGATTGAAGAGCGCAGCCGGAGGATATGGGCTCTCAGGGCTATGGATCTCCGGCGTCACTACGTAGCTCTACCGTGCCCTAAGAAGTCCGAGGGGCCTCCGCGGCTGACGCACCCGTGACACGGTCTTACGTAAGCCACCCACGACAAGAAGAAAGTATAAGAGAACCCATCGTGTCGAAACGATTTTGTCGCCGGGGCTATGTGATCGGGCGGTGTTGTGGTTGAAAGGCTTGGGGTTGGGGATGTTGGACTCGTTGGGGAGACTAAGTAGCCGCCGGGGATGCTCTCGGTCGCTTCGCTGGGATTTGTCTGCCGAGTCTTTCTCGCAAGCCGGTGATCCCCCGAGCACGCATCGGGAACATCGTTGCCGACGAATTGAGGCAACGGCGGTACGATCGCGCGAAGAGAAGCTGAAAATAACGAGAATTACGGCAGTTAGGGTTTGAGCGCAATTGTCCGGCTTTATGGGACCTCTTTGCAGGGAGTTGTCGCAAATTGGCGTGATTGCATGTTTCTATCAGTGCTGCTCGCGACGCTTCAGGCTGTAGGAAACACACTCTGACGGTTGCGACGGCACATATCCCATTGCAGGTAAGACAGCGGCAGGTCTTGCAGTACCAAACGGCCTCGCGACAGGCGATGAAGTCAGAACCCCGCGCCTGGACACCATTTCGGTTGCCGTAGTGGAGAAAAAACAGAATTTGTACACGATGAGAGCTCGAAGAGATCGCCGAATGTTCCCAAAGCCCAATCCGTGCGTTTACTTGCAATCTCCTTGAGCTTAATGCTTCGTGTATGTTTAGAAACGGACCTCGCGTACATTGCCATTGCAGCAAGGGCGCTTTGGTGACCTTCATCGGCCTACTTACGTCTTCCCATGGTCGAAATATTCTTTGCTCATCTGCGTCTTGCCAAAAGAGATAAGCAGCAAGAACCGCCTTTCCGCGACCGAGACCGCATATCTATCGTCCACGCCGCCGATGCATGCGCAAGCCGGTCATCGCAGCATCGTCGCGTTGTAATAGCGGCCACGCATCCTAAAACCCGCCGGTCGCACCTTATTCTGGTCTGCTTATTCACGAAGGTTTTTAAGTTTACAGAGTGGGTGCTTATAGATTTCATACGCGCACGGATGCCAGGGCACAATCCGCCGATCGTAAACGGGTTAGAGATGGGACGCGAATCAATGCCTCAGGTCCCTTGGTATGAATCTCTCCATAGTTTCCGCGCCTGAATCGGTGCCATTGAGGGCTTAAAACCTTGATAGCTTATTCGAAGGACGGACGCTTGGATGTGGCCCCCTTCCCGTTACGGAGCTTCTGTCCCAAAGCGGAAAGCTGAACAGGACGTTCTGGCATTAATTTGCACTTCAACGCCAATCAAACTGACTATTGTTCACATTAGCACGTTGAGTTTGGAGAGGTGCTAGGGTTTTGCGGGATCCTTGCGTGCACAGGGCATCAATGACCGTCGCGCGAGCTGAAAGCAGTTACATTGTCCCCAAGCTGAAGCTCCTACTTCTCAGCTTATCCGCTCACAAAGCGACACAATGACAGTCTTTTTCGGCACGGAAGTGACATTTTCAGCTTCTCAGCCATCCACCTCACAAACCGATTTTCCGCTGACCAGCTCACAAACTGACACAATGACTCTCAGGCACGGAGTCGAACTTTCTAGCTTCTCAGCTGGACACCTCACAAACCGACTTTCCTTAGCTCACAAACCGACACAACGCAACATGCAACACTTTCCCGGCATGGAATGGAAGTTCTCAGCTTTTCGGACCCAGCACGGAATCGAAGTTCTCAGCTTTGCAGCACAAATCCGCACGATGGATCCTTCTTCAGATCGGAATCGAAGCTTCCAGCTTTCAGCTGTATTTCAGCGCGGAATCGAGGCATTCCTGTTCAGCCCTCACAAGCCAACCGATTGAGATCCTTTTTCAGCAAGGAATCGGAAAATTCGCAGCAATATATTCGAAAGCTAAGCACGCTTTAAGATTCTGATTCTGTATGTGGATGTGGGCTGTAGGAATGGTGCATGGAAGCTCGGATGCCAATCGAGGCGGTAACCGTTGACGACAGGATGTCCGGTGCCAACAAGTAGCTTCCAAACTCGTGCTCTGATGGGCCAACAGGGGAAAGGCTCGTGCCGGGATGCCACGGGGTGGGCTCTCGGAGGCATGATAGGAACCTATTCTCCATTGTATCAATTGCCTGAATCTGCGGTGACACCGTTATTTCGAGGCGGGAAGCGGGCTTCCCCGTTTACACCTTTCTGTAGCAACCGCATAGAGGCATCTCGCCTCGTGCCATGCCCTGAGGGTGTCTGAATCCGGTATCTCATACAGAATGAGTAGGTTCAGCTATGTCAAATATTAGCAAAGTCTCTTGCCACCCAGAGACACCTTAGGCTGCCGCGCCAGAACGGTGAATCAATTTGCCTTCCCGTGGATTCCAGTGGAAAGTTGGAAGCGCGATTGTTTAGACTTTTAGACTCTGCGCGCGGTTTGGATATTAAATTCTTTATTACGTAGGGGAGATTAATCACGGAATGTTCCACAATCTTGATGATTCGCGCCGTAAAAAATGGATTTTGAAGATCAGCCGTCCGCCGTCCATTGAACTCCATTCTGGCCCACTCTGCCGGCCTAGTGCATGTATACAGGGTAAGCGGTAAAAACGTGATGCGAGGGAGAATCCGCTACATAGACGCATCGGTCGTGGCCCGGATGCGGGCTTCAAGGACCAGGAATGTATCACTGGGAAGTCATTGCGTGGCGCAAGAACAGATTTCTCACCAATTTGAATCCAGGCAGTCGTTTTCCGCTTCCGTTTAGACCCATCGCCCACCCGTCATATAGCTTCTGCGTACCGAACGATAGAAGCGGTATGGTTCTCCTGGATCGAAGGCGGCTCCAAAATAGCTGCCCTTCGGCCGCTTAGTGGGCGGGATGTCGCGAAAGGTAAGGAAACGCGTGGTCGGCTCCATAACGTAAGCACGCCTCTCGCCCGCCGCCTTCCCTAGACGCATTGTGGAGAATGCCCACCACATATCCATGGTCTTGCGCCGCGGAAAACCACCGCCGCGTCAGAGATGACAGAGATCAAGCTGTTAATGCACGTTGACTCCTGGTGCATAAAAGGTGCGATTCCATATGACTGCGTGTCGTATGGCAGCGAAAACCGCAAATGTTTTATGATTAGCACTTGCCGCGTTAGGCCCTGAACATCACCGCTCCTTATCATGCTCCCAGCGTCCAATGCTCACTGTCGATCGGATTCGTGTTGTGCATCAAAGTCAATACAGCGTTGTTCAAGACTATTGCGTCAATTGGGACGTCCAATGGATGATCCGAGCTTATGTTGCGAGCGTTGTCTAATCGCACGACTGCAAACTCTATGCACAGGTTAAATGTGCAGAGGCGGTATCTCCGCGAGGTCACAGGTGCAAGGTCGGAGGCGTTACTTGTCAAAACCTTGGCATGGGTAAGGGAGACTAAGGCTGCAACCCCGCAGTAGAAGCGCAAGAGTGTAGCCTTGCAAAAGCACATCTAACAAAGGCATCTTCCACTTGACCAGACGGATAACAGAAGACGGGTCTTGCAAGCGCATGGCGAGATCCGTGAGCCTTGCCGTGGTAGAGACGCCGGACATGTACATATATGGTCAGCGGGAAAGCCGCATGAATGAAACGGTTGCAATTGCGGATGACAACATTGCGAGGACATGACGAGAATGCGGTTCAGCAGTTCCGGATTAACGTCAGCAGTTCCGGATTAACGTTGAGCGCCCCTCATCGAAAGCGGGTCCGTCGTTATCTACAAATCCGACATGCGGTAGTGAGCCTTATCCGTCCGACGGCGCGAATGGATCACGGAAGGCTGCTTCATAGATGCGCACGTATTTCACACGATACCGTTTGCAGCGATTGTAACCGCCTGTATTCATTCAGGTAGACACAGTGGGATACCCAACACGCAGAGATAGTATGGGGATGTTCACGATATAAATACCCTCTACAGGCCTACGAAATACCTCCTAAAATACTTGGAACGGCGATGAAGGCTCACAGCTAAACTCCCGCCAGACACCGTCCCACATACAGACCCAATCCACTGACATATGTTCGGGCGTCGCATGTAACCCTGGAGCAAATACCTAAAATCTCCAAGACCATTGACACTTCACCGCAGAAGCGCGAGTCCTTGAGCGACGCCACTGGGTTCACAACCTTCTTGCATGTGTGCACGCTGCGACGTAGGCGTACGGATTAGGGGTCGTAGGTTATCGGCGAAACCACGTACATACGTAGCTTTGAATATGCGCGCTGGCTCGCACGTCTCAGATCATTCGAGATTAGCCGGCATGTTAGACGACCGGTGATGGGTTACTACTGGTAGACCGTACGTTCGCTCACCGCTCCAGAGGTGTGTGTCGCATAACCTACGGGGATCTGTTCCACCCTGAATATTGGTTCGAAGTTCAGACTCGACGCAGATTTGCACAGGTTGCATGCAAATGTCATATGCCGTCCATATGACCCAACTGGGCCATTCTCGCCATACGTCACATCCAGCAGCAAATCCCTCTCGACCATGAACGCCGCGATGCCCATCACCACAGGCCGTCTCAACGAAACCGACGCTTGTGCTTGACAATGACGTATTGAGTGTGCGATATGGGCGCCCCACATCCCCTCGCATACGTGAACAGGGCGGACGCCAATTTGCAAAGAAAACGGTACTACGCAAGACCTTGCCTACAACAATCCCGGATCGAAGGCGATGGCGGAGTTGGGAGGCCTTTGCACCGTGGAGCTATCGCGACGTACGTGGAAGCAGATTTGGGATTGAAGACATGTCCCGTTAACGTGTGATGTTTCATGTGATGGCGTTGTTGGGTGTAGGAGGCGAGCGATCTGCGTGTGACGGGACAGGTATGCACATTTGGGAAGTGGCCAGCACCTCGCAACCCACCGCCGCATCAGATGCGAGCAGCAGGGTCGGTCGTTCTCCGAAGGGCCATCGATCATCTTCCCTCCCTTGACACCCAACGGCAGTCATTCGCCGGCGGCGAACATGTTACGCGGGAGGATGGTATAGTTGTGCCATCAAAATATGCACGCTCTCTGCAGCGCCGCACAAGATCGAAGGAGGGGTTTGTGTGCTACTCGCCGATTTGGATGACCAATGCTCCATCTAGATTTAATCAGCACCGTCCAGGTACGCAGCCCTTCAAACGAGGCTTATGTTTCACGCATGTCCTCTTCCGCAGTTTGTTGGTGGAGCCATTGAAGGATTTCCGGCACGTTTGCGTGGATGCGGCCCAATCGGATTTGCTTTGGGGTATATCCTTCCTTTCGATGTGTGAACAGCCACTGAACAACTGCTAGATCCCCCTTCTCAATCGCGGCGTCCATGGCGTCTTTCGTGCATCCCTCCTTTCTATGGAAATGCAGGAACTTGACCACGTTGAGGTGACCCCCTGCAGCCGCTTTATCCATGGCTCGCGTGGTACAGCCTTCAGCTCTGTGGAAATGCAAGAATTTCACCACTTCAAGGTGACCTGAGCCAGCAGCCAAATCCATGGCCAATGCTGTACAGCCCTCCTTGCGATGCGTGTGGAGCCATTCGACTACTTCGAGGTGACCGTTTGCAGCCGCCCAATTCATCGCATATGTCGTACATTCGTTGCCATGGGTGTGGAGCCACTTAAGAACTGATAGGTGACCAGACCTAGCTGCCCAGTCCATCGCCCGGTACGTGCACCCTTCCGAACGGTTATCGTGAAGCCATTCAATCACCGAAAGGTGGCCATTGTCAGAAGCATAGTTCATTGCTTGTTCACTGCAACCTTCCAATCTGTTTTCGTGAAGCCATTGCGCTACCGCCAGATGCCCGTTTCCGGCCGCATGGTTCAATGCTTCCCGCGTGCACCCTTCCAATCTGTTTTCGTGAAGCCATATCACCACGTTAAGGTGTCCCTGTGCAGCTGCCCAGTCCATCGCGTCTGCACTGGCCATCCCTTCCGGCCCGTGGTCATGAAGCCAACGGACTATGGCGAGGCGACCAGCGGCGGCTGCCTTATCCAGTGCCACGTAGGGATCTGCTTCGAAGTTAGGCCCGCACGAGGGCACAAGGTGACGTTGAGTGACAACCCGCCTCAGTTCGTTCGGGTACTTGGTGTGGATCCATTGCGCGATATCGAGATGGTCGTTGTCCAGAGCGACTTCGATAGCGCTGGCTTCTACACACCCGGAGATACTGTACTTGCACAGCCAACGCAACGCTTCTAGGTTGTTCGATCCCCATAAGTTCGGGCAGGCATAAGCTGGGGAAGAGAGGAGCTTCCTTTTGACTGCCTCTCTCTTGAAAGCGATTGCATAGTGCACCGGAAGATATGAGAGGATATGATCGAATATTTCGACGGGAAATCGTGGAAAGTTGGGAATGCCGCCGGTGGGTTGGCCTTTATCGGACAGCAAACGTCTACTACAGGCCTGTTGATATGGCTGGGGTGGATGCATTTCGGTGGATCGGTGGCTTCAATGGCACTGCTTTGTGTGAACCAGATACAGCGACAATCAGGGAGAGGTCTTCTGTTGCAAACGACATTCCGGACATTCCTCGCACAAGGTCATACCTGGTGGGGCGTGCCCGCCTATGGGGTGTTTCTGAGCCACTGTGGACTGTGCTTGGGACCAACGGAGGTGCTGTGGAGAGGCGGTCGTTGCTGACCTTGCCAGGTTGAAGTCTGGGTTGCAGTCGCAATTCCCAGCCCACACCCAACTGGAGAACACCCTCCGCGAAGCCCGACAGGCGGCTCCATGTCTGGCTCCAAAGTCCGCGAACAAGTAATTGGTCCTCTGATTTTGGAAGAGTTTAGGTGACAGTGTTCTGACTTTTGGATACAGAGGGTCCGTATTTCGATTAAAGCGTTTGGAGGAGGTGGGAGAGTTCTTGATAAAATGTATGTATGGGTGGGTAGGGTAGGTTGGTGTGAACAATAAGTATAGATATAGAGTTGAATAAATTGTATAATGTATCACTTTTCTTCCCATATATCCCCCTGTACAAGCCGTGCTCTCTGACTCTGACTACATGGTAAAGCAGTAAGACGCAACTGTAGGCAAGGTCTTTCTTTGAAAATGTGGTCTCGCATTTGACTTTTGTAACTTTTGGCGGTGGACATTGACGATTCTAGAGGCTGAAAGAGGTGTTCTGCGAAGCTCCATTCGACGGGAATACGGAGATTTACGGATTCGAAGGAATTCAAAGTGGGGATAGAGTCGCTGTTGGCGATGTTCGAAAGAGCATTGGGACATCATCAAGGCTTTGCGCGAATAATGCAAGTAAAGAACGGCGGTGAACCGATGAAGGATGACTGAGATGAAGGAGCCGAACGGCAAGAAGCCCCTCGTTTACGTTCCACCCATGCGAAGTCGATGCCTTTGCCGCCTCGCTCATCCATCACCCATCCAACTAGATTTTGTGAAGCTCCATCCGATATGAATACCGAGAAGGAATAAGGCGTGGAGAAAGGGTCGCTGTGGGCCACATTTGAGACGGCGTTTGGATCTCACCACGGCTCCCAACGGATCAAAGCGCGCGAGGGACGCCGATAACGTATTGTTGAGACGAAGGAGGCGGATGCGAGGAAGCCGCTGCTGGTCTTCTTCAACCCATACGACTATGAGGAGTTTGCGGCGGCAAACCATCAGCTGTCAAAGAAGATGCTCCTTGGCATTGCGACACGTGGAAGACGGACGAGAAATCTGCTGCACCAACTGCAATGCAGATTACCGTCCAGACTGACGTACTGTAGTCCGCATACGACGAGCGTTACTCTCCTGCCATCGCGTCTGGAGGTATCAAGCCTTCTGTCGTCATCGTCCATCTCAATGCATGCAACACCTATGAACGCGTCCCCATCGCCGACATCTTTATATTTGCATGTTTGGACCACCGACATTGGCCGTTCGACATTCCTACATACACCATATTCTTCCAACACATTGCCACGTTGCGTTGTCGTCTGAGCCAACGCCCAATTGGATTTGCGTTGTTCCCATATCTCCCATATTTCAGTTTTCAAGCCGTTTTTCATAAAGACCGCACGACGCAGAGCGTTTAAAACCCAGTAAGTACGTAGTAGAGTTCAAAGTAGTTTTATTAAGAGATAGTATTATGATATAGAGTACAAGACAGAGATAGATTACAAGAGAGATATATACAAGTCTTCCCCGTCCCACCCGTCCCACCCAGCCCATTACTTGTCTCCCGAAGGAGCCACCGAGTGTCACGGTCGCTTTGCGTTGATTTGCACATTCCAGGTTCATAACGCCCATTACGCGGGCTATTTAACGTGTGTCTTCCATCACGGAGCGTTTTCTGTGGTAGCCCAGCACCGGCCCTTTAACGTACGCATGCCTACCAGCACGAGGCGTTTAATGTGGTTGCCCAGCACCGGCCCTTTAACGTACCCATGCTCCCAGCACGATTGTCTCCCGAAAGAGCCACCGAGTATACCGGTTGCTTCACGAGGGCCTTTTAACGTGGGTGCCCAGCACGTCAGGATGGATGTCGACCATAGGCTAAGACTAGTAGTATTGGCAACCCAGTAGTAGTAGTCGGCAGTAGGCCAGAGACTAGTAGTACGTGAGCGACCAATAGATACGTAGTCGAGAAGAGTAGTAGTCGAGAAGAGGTAGTAGTCGAGAAGAGGTAGTAGTAGTGAAGAGGTAGTAGTAGTGAAGAGGTAGTAGTAGAGGAGATTGTTGTGTGCGGAACTGATGCGGAAAAAGTGGAGGGGAGGGCGAACCGAGGTCCTCCTTTTATAGACTTCGGGCTCACTAGGACGCACCTCGTCCGCCCGCAACGGCTCTCTCTCTGGTCGCTACTGCTCTCTCTGGAAACGAGGTCCCGAGGAAGAACTCATTCTCAAAAGGTGGCACAGTATAGGACTGCGCCCGCAATCCAGTGTCTTTTGCATGACTCGCCAGGAATTGCGTGCTCGCATTTCAAATGCGCCGATGATTCATGGGCCTAGAGCGCTCCACGGTGGTCTATGACTGGCGACGAAGGTCTGGGCCTGGGTGTTTCTTGGTATGCGTTGTGGGATGCACAATGTGTGCAAGGGGGAAAACGCGTGCAAAGGGGGTTGCGACGCGAGATGACATGTCGACGCGCTCTTGGCACGGGCCGTGAGCGCACGAGGACTAGGGATAGGCCCGTGGAGTGCCGTGCCTGGATGACCTGGGCCTTTGACGAGGAATGGTACGACTGTGACGACGACAGGGGGAGGCGGTGACGACGACGCATAGGTGGTGGTGGGCGCACGTGGAATGGCGACGAAGTCCAGTTCAGTTCGAGGATGACTGACGACGAGCGAGGAGGTGTTGTCCGGGTGGTGCGACGAGGAGGTCGGTCGGTAGCGTATGGGGATGGGGATGGGGATGGGGATGGGGATGGGGATGGGTATGGGTATGGGTATGGGTATGGTAATGTCGTTTCGTTGGTGAATGCTTTCGGCCTATTTTTTCTCTCCTCCCTTTGTATCCATCGGCGTAGTTGAGCTTGTAGCCCAGAGCCTCGTTTATAGTAGCTTAGCGCAGGTGTGAGGTATGGGCTAAAGTCTCGAGTCGTATATATAGCGTGTTGATATGGGCCAGGGTTACGACGGACTGGTGGTTGATATGCACAGAGACGACAAGTCCAATCGCCTGTGAATATGGAGACGTTTGTGCATGGCGAGTGGGTGGGAGACTGAAGACCAGTTCTTTGACGAACTTGAGGACGCCTCGATCGAAGTGATCATCCGCCAGCTGGAGCAATCTCGGCCGCCCATCCACTCCAACGGGGTACCCAAAGGTAGTCTGGAAGCCATCATTCGCCAACAGCCGCAGCTGATGAGTAGGTGCGTAGTGAGTGGCTTTGAGAGCGTCAACTCTACGCCCTCACCTATTGATCTTATCTGACATTGTCCTTTCCAAACACCTCCATGGACCGGAACATTCCCTCCTTCGACAACCATGACCGTTCTCGACGACCAATGATTGGCGAAGTGGATGGCAAAACCCGTATTCACGCCGAACGGTGTGTGCAGCTTGGATCTGTCGGACTGGAGATAGTTTTTTATGTATCATGCACAAGTAGTTATAGATCATCACTGATGAGATAGGTTAGAAAATTGGGGTTGTATGTGGATACGTGTAGGCTCACAATGACAACAAACATGCATGGACCGAATTGTAAGATCTATCGGTGAACTACGCTATGCAGTATCTACGTGGAGATGTGCGTCCAACAAGGTTTCAACTGGATGGTTCGTGCTTGTTCTACGGCATGATAGGACGAGGTAGTGGGAAGGAAGGAAACTACAATGAAGTGCATATTGCCCTCGCCCACCGGATGTCGTTGACGCGGCAGAGCAATACCGAAGACGGCTGCATTCAACTTCAGGAGGTGTGCGTCTCTTCTCCAAGCCCGTGTATTTCCGGGGTTTGGCATTATTGAGTACCGAATACCCACATCCAATCCGGAAACACTGTGAGATCCCCATCAAAGCCAACAAACTCCTCACTCAACGCCATCAGAGAGGGCGGATATGGGTTCGGACGCCACAGGCGCAAAAGGGATGTCAGCACCCGCCACAGCCGCACCGAATAACAGTGATCGCAACCTCGTGCGTTCCCGCAACCGTGTCAGCTAGCTTTGCGTTGAACGTACCCGCCGAAGATTAGAGTTGAAGCGTGGTGGTAGATCTTCGGCAGATCTTTCGACGGCTTTCGCTTCTCTTGCGGCAATTTCTTCCCGGCCTCTCTTCTGACCCGTGCCGAGCATACGTAGCCCGTGATGACCGTCTCCCCCCGACGGTTATCGAACAGGGCTGCGTATGCTTCCGCGTACGGGGAGGTGCCAGTCCTTATCAAGGATACCTCGAATTACGCACAGGTAGCGGCCAAAACTTAGGTTCAACGCGCTTCAGAAATTGACAGCGCTGGGCGACTGGCCAGACTCGCCGGCCCCCCGTCAACCACCTTTCTGTGAGGTGATGGCCGGTGACTTTCTGCTCTCTTGGAAGCCATCAGGAAAGACTTCATCGCGCGTTGAACCTGTACATGTAAGTTTTGGCCGCTACCTGTACATATATGTAGGCTGCAATGCCTCTAGGAAGTCAAGAGCCTCGGTGCACAGCGGCACAAACACGTCGATCTTCTCCGAATCCTTGGCTTTCCGCTTGAAATGGAGCTCGGAGCCTCGGCTTTCCGGCAGATTCGAAGCACGGACTGAGAGCATGATAAAATGTCTAAGTTGGTATTCTTCGACCCTGGCACACATTTCGAAGGGGTTCGAAGTCTTACATGCCGAGGTCTTCGCAAGTGTGAGCATCCCAAGCAGGGTATCGTCAATGTTCAGCACCAACGGCAACAAACGCATACTGCGCGTCAACGAGACCCCAAACAGATGAGCGTCAGTGTGCTCGCTCTGCAGACCTCGCCTTACGCATCTTTCGCGTAGTGCAGGCCTCTTTCCCTCCAAACTGTCGTTCAGAGTCTCGATGCGGAACCCGCTTACCTGCCGAAGCAAGGGGACGGGTCGCAAGAAAGCCCGCGGCCCCAATGAGCATCGATTGTATGCTTGGAGGGACACGCCTCCTTGGGGCACATGTCCACATACCGGCAAAGCCGCTCGCTGCAAGAGAGTGAGGAACAAGACGTTAACACCATCTCAAAACGGAACGTTGCAATGCGAGTACCCCACTTTGGCTTCGTCCTTGGACATTGGCGACGGTTTCGCGGCACGACAGCAACGTCAAAATCCACACGCCAAATGAGCTAAAAGGTTCACGTCGAGGCAACTAAACACTTCACAATGCGCTCCGCCATAAAGTTGAGGGCCGATAGCAAGAAATGGTACAACGCCCGTACAAAACGCCGGTATGTTGCCTTTCGTTGACGCACAAAGTCACCTCTTGCTCTGAAACCTCGTGCATACATATAAGCGCCTCGCAAAAAGAGAAAAGGAGCCGAAGGCGTGCCCGTTTGCGACCGTGAGTACGCGAAAGGTGCTGCGGCGATGAACTTTCTGGTCTTGAATGTGTTGAAAAACCTATCCGCCTTTGGCCACAACTCTTACAACTCTTTGGCCGTGTAGAGCGCGCTGTCACGGTAAGCATGCATCAATGGAAGAGTCCGACTGCCAATTCCGAAAAGACATTGATTGGCTTCTGCGCAAACCCGGTGTTGGGGCCTCGGCGGCATGGTACATCGTGGCGATTGAGCCCGTAGACTTTCCCGAGATGTGGAATATTACCGCCTCAAATGGGGTCGATGTTTGTGCTCCCGGCCCGCTTGCTGCCCGGGGGTTTACTCATCGACGTTATGGCTCGGACGGGTACTCGCATGTAGCAACGGCCACGTCGGGCCTGTTTTCGGCAGCGCTGTGTTTGTATATCTGGATCAGGCTCTGTTGGGAGATGATGCATTTGCGAGACGAAGAAGCAACCATGACCTTTCAATAAATTCCCTCTCCCCCTCCTCTGTCGACTTTGTTGGTATCTCCTTAGCTCCAATAAGATGGAGCGAATTGCAATACATGAATTGAAAGACGACGGCTCCTCCGGGGCAATCTTGACCCGTCCGTTCAAATTGAGGAGCACTGCCATGGGAAATGAGGGCCATACTTCGGGTGTAGGGCCGGATGAGCGCTTCCTGCTCGACAGTAATGATTGAAATCCATCTCAATCGCTCCTGCAAAATATCACGGCGCTCCAAAACTGCTCTTCCACCTGCCGTCGGTATCCTGCTTTGTATATTAACTCGAACATTTGAGCACGCGGCGTTTTGTCCTGCGTTCGGAATGGTCGGAGGCATGATCATGGACTTTTTTTTTATCTTTCTGTTCCTCAATCACTGCGTAGCTTGAGCGGAAGTCAGATGTGGTGTTTTAGCAGCGAAGCTAATCCGTAGACTGGCCAAAATTTGACAGGACCATGAAGGTGACTTGGCGACAAAAAATACAATCCATCGGAGCCTTTACCTCCGACTCAACGACACGTCCAAAACCACACCAGCGCAACATCAAGATCCAGCACGCAAAACGATACTGCAAACAGCTTTTAATTCTTGTTTGATATCACACGCGAGAGTTACTATTTTCTTATACGAGTACAGCGAGCGCTGGAACGGGAAGAGGAGCAATGGATCGCACGAACATACCTAGGGAGCCGACGCAGGGCTGCGATGGCCGAAGTTTTGGGAGATACGGTAGCGCATCTCGACATTTGGGATGCAGAGTCACGTAAGCACTTATCCAACTTAAAAAAAAGGAGTCCGGCAGAGCGTGCTGCAACTGTCGTTGGTGATGTCCTGAGGGAAACGAGAACGTGAGCACCGATGATTGACGCAAGCCGCCGAGACTCGAAGGCGCTCAGCCGCATTCGCATCCAATCCAGTTCCCTTTGCGAGTTGGAATTTTCCTGGCGAGGAACGTGAAGCGCGACAGGAGAAAGCGGTGATCAGCACCGCATCGACCGCGAATCGGACTATCACCCGCCTCGATGCCGAGCGCTCGTCTGTACTTCCCTTGAACCGAATTCGCGTTTCAGGCTGTTGAAAACTGGCGTCCATCTACAGAGAGCCGCCGTAGGCGGGGAGATTGCTATGGCTGCAAAGCCCCTGCAATGCCGTTATGCTTACTAGTGCACGGTGCCTGGAAGCCAGTGGACAGTCTCTGCCTTAGAGGAATGTCAGGAGGGGTTAGGGTTAACCCTTTCATTAACCCTAACCCCACATGGAGCTAGAGATTGCAATTCATCAGCGGCAGGCAGATCCCAAAGGCACTCACAGCATTACCGGTTCAAGCGTGAGATGGTTGCATGTAGTTCAGCTGACTATCCCCAGCTGGTCAAAGAAAAAATTTCTCACGTATGGGGAAGATGTTGGTCTTTGAAGTGGTGAAGGCAGTAAGAAGGGAACGAAAGCAACGGCGCAGAGGCCGGTGAAGAAGAGTCACTGTCAGTCAGATGCGGCACGCGTCGCGGCCGTTGGTCATATGAGCCCTGCGCGTTTCCCCCGTACGGGACACCATGCGACGAGCGCTAGGGCTCTGTCTGCTTTGCAGCCATAAAAAATATGCGAATGCGAGCGCTTGCTGCACCCGTTGGGCACTGGTCTCTGATGTCGGTAAGAAAGGAAAAGAAGAGTGGAAACCAGAACCACTTCAGGTGTGCATCGATACGGTCGGCCGCCTCCAACGCGTCGACGCACCTATATATATAGACGTGATTGATCTTTGGCCTCGCCTTGATTCATGTACTATCCAACGCCGCTAAAGACTTTATGCGAATGCGGAGCAGAGTGGATCCTCCAGGCTTCTTAGCGCGTGCCGAAGGACTGAAGAGTGCTGCGACGAGGATACCTCAGGAAGAGAGATGCAGTGTAAGAATGGAGGGACAAGGAGATGCGCGTTGAAAGGTTCGCATACGTACCGCCGCAAGTTGTAACAAGAAAAGGTGTTATGAAAAAATTTAGGGAGCTTCCACGCTGGCTGTACAAGTACATCCAGTTGGTAACCTCCGCACGTCGGCCCCCGGCAACGCACGTTTACGGTCAGAGCTGCAATCTTGTCCCAGCCCGTACGGACAAGACCACCTCCAGCACCCAGTTGCAGGAATCAAAAAGGACCCACGACCGGAATGCTGGGTACCCCGGGCTCCATAGCCTTCCCATTGTGCCGAACCAGGACGCAAGATATTGGGCCTCCACTGTAGTATACTCTATATGTGGGCTGAAACGGAAAGACATTAGCGAGACGTGCTTCACCTGTTGATATATGACCCTCACGCGTTCACTCACCATTCGGATCAGCAGCCTCCGCTGGTGACTCTACTTCGTCCTCGCTCTCCCTACCCGAAAGGTAATTTTCTGACTTGCCCAGGTCGTCCGCCCACTTGAGCACGGAAGGCGGCGACCCGACTCGACCTCCTTGAACCCATTCATCGTAGTCTTCGAAGAACCAGTCGTGGAGGAGGAGCAGAGATGTCTGAGGCAATTTGGTATCCCAGAAATTTCCTTTCGTAGTCGCGACGACCCTCTGGAGTGGTAGTCAATTGGGCAGAGGAACATTAGACATCCATACCCATCTCCAGGCAACGGAAGTTGGAAACTTGGGGTCGTCTAACCCATATGTGGTCCAACTGGGAGCTCGGCCACACTTCTGTCTTATCGTCGAGGATTATCGGGTGTGGAATGCAACTGAGGTGAACAAAATACGGAGGTAATACTCCCAGAATGTCCTTCTGAGGAGGCCTCATACCCATCTCTTTCGCGAGCGCACAATCAGGGTACAGTTTGACGTATTCCCCGAGGAAGTGTTGGAAGTGGCAGGATATCATTCTGCCTTTGATAACTTCTTGACCACAACACTCATTCAGGAGTTTCACCACAGCTGCAGCGTACGGGCTACTTCCGGCAGTGCAAATAGAGATCTCGTAGTCCTTTGACACCTCCTTGACGAACTTGAGAGTGCCAGAACCAAGTAACACAAGCTTGCTTCCAAAGACCTGCCCCCGAATATCTCTGAGTTCAATCTCATGGGTTCTGCCCTTGAGATCCGTTTGTGCAAGGACTGCAAAAGGAGACTGTGAGCAACAGTGATTGCAGCACTTCAGGAATAAACCATGATTTTTACGCTCTACCTGATCCTTGCTGCCTTGCTGCCGATGGCGCGCAGCAAGGTGTTGTTGATATCCAAGATCAACGTCGACACCTTGGATATCGACGGCGAGGCCTCCTCAGAAGGACATTCTGGGAGTATTACCTCCGTATTTTGTTCACCCCAGTTGCATTCCACACCCGATAATCCTCGACGATAACAGACGACAAGGAGCCTGATGTGCACATATATCGGCCAACTCTCGACAGTCCCGAGCCTTCGCATTTCGACATCCACCAAAGTAGTCCGCATACGGATTAAACCCAGTGATCCGAAAGCCTGACGACCCTGGCTTACATTCCTGCGCTATATCTGGTAGGGCGACGAGGCCGTAGACGGAGATGCTATTTCTACGTGGTGGGATAACAGGTGTTCAGAGGGCTGGAAGTGATCTGCGGTATTCGGCAAAATCGACAATAGGCTCGGGAGCTGCGAACGCTACAGAGTGCTCATGTAAGTCGTCGTCGTCGCCTTATTTATCATCCTCTTCTTGATCATCGTCGCCTTATTCGATATCGTCGTCGACTCTTCACTCATGTCCTCATCAGCTTTCTCCAAACCCGAGCTATTAACTCGCGTGGCTGAGTACTCTTCGTTCTTCATCGTCCGCAACTCCTTCTTCGTCACATCCGGTTGCTAACCGACCCGTGTTCTCGTCCTCTTAGGGATCAGGACTAGGGAATCATAGGCTTGCCGGGAGGATTCCCCAAGTCACAACGAGCTATTGCTACTTGTTCAGGTCGGTTCTCTCTTCTTAGTCGTCCTCAACTCTAGATACATCCCTCGAATGCTTGCCATAACCGAGGTGTTCTCGTTCACTTAGGGATCAAGACTCGGAAACAATGGCTTGCCGGGGGAGTCCCCAAGCCAACGAGCTATTAGTACTTTACGCAGGTCGGTTCTCTCTTCTTCGCTCCATCCCTCGTATGACTGTCGTTCAACCAACTATGTTCTCTTTCACTTAGGGATCAGGACTCGGGATCATTGGCTTTACCGGGAGATTCCCCAAGCCACCGAGCTATTACCAATCCACTCAGGTGGGTTCCTCTCTCCTTCGTCATCCTCCTCTCCTCCTATCCTGTGACTGCTGCTAACGTTCTCTTTGGCTACCTCCCCAGCATTGCGGTGCTGGTGGTCATATGGTTGCAGTCATAAAGCGCCTTCACTAGTCGTAATATTATGAAGTAAATACAAAACATTACGGTCTATGATAATTGCTTGTTCCATTGGCTGTTCTTATCGGCGCAGTTGAGGATTGGATGTCATATTGGCCATGCCGTATGTCAGATCGCACGCATCAACAACGGGGATGGTCGTTCTCGTTGGGGATGCGGTCGGTCGACTTTCGTACGTCGACCACATCATTGCTCTGCGCCGGTGAAACGCATCCAGTAGGTGGCAGGCGGAGAATCTTCCCAACATTGGCCATGTGAACGCAAGGAGGATCTGAGGACCAGCTCCCTTTGGACATGCGGCAAAGAGACATGGGCCCCTTTCATTTTTTCGCTGTCGGGCCGACCTCTGTGCCCCTCTCGTTGCTATGCTCAGTTTCCGGGATATCTTAACCGTTGGTGGGGGGTGAAAGGGTCCATACTATGCAGCCGAAAGTCGCAATGCCGGTTAAATGCCGGTCTCGCGTTCTCCAGCGGAAAGAGGCGGAAACCTTCATTCCAATTCCAACTTGCCAACACCCGAGACGAAGCACGAAAGGGAACGACAGGCTTCTCTTTGCTGGAGCGACATATACCCATATATCCTATCGTCATCCATAGTGCAGTACAGCCAGAGAGATCAGCGGTTCCGCCGTCCAGTCTCAGCTTTCAGTACCAGCAGCCTGCCATTGCCGGCGCAACGTTGCGAACCGACAAGCACTAAAGCAACCCAAGATTCTGGAGACACCCTCGTCGAGGTTGCGTACAGCCGCCACAGTACCTACGGCGTTCACAACTGCCTTGTCACGGCTACCCACGGAGGAGGCATCCCATTGCCAAAGCATGCCGGCCGCGGCAAGCACCCATGAAAACGACCGCAGACCGGACCCACGGCCGACAGATCCCGAAGTCGAAGGACAGCCGCCACAGCCTGCCAAACCGAAAGAAACAAGGATGTGGAAAGCGTTGCTGGAACGGGAGCGGGAGCGACGGAAGGCGCGGAGAGAACAGCCGAAGGAGAATTGGGATGAGATTTGCTTTGTTGCTGTCAAACAGGTTCGTAAAAACCCACCGTGGAAAACTGCTGGAGTGTGTTGGCTCACTGTCACTCATACTAGACGGACGAACGACGAAAGCGGAACCTGCCACCTTACACGAAACTCGTATGTTTCCAGCGTCGAACAGACACGACGGAACAGGGAGGGGTATCGCAGACGGCGCATCGGGTGCATATGCTTGTATCGCAGGATCTAGCAGAGTCCGCGCAGCATCTTGAGGGAATGTCGCAGATGATGGAGGAGGTGTCGGATACTGCCGTTGAGAGCAAGGTTGAGGTTAAGGAAGCCCAGAAGTCTTTGCTCAAAGCCAAAGAGCCTCCTAAGTTGACGAGTTGAGTCCCTTGTCCTCTTCGTGCCCCTTCAATCCAGCATATTCTGACTATCATTGGTCAACCTCACAGCAATAGAATACCTAAAACGCATCTACCGCCCCAACATCGAGCTCTATACCAACTACGGCAAAAGCTGGGAGAACGGCAATTCGCGTCGGCTATTGGAAAGCTACATTGGGAGCGTGTGGAAAGGCGACCCGGTGCGATTGGCGTCGCAATGCGTGGTGAAGTGGAAGGAGTGGATAGCCCAGTTGCAGAAATAGGTCGTGTGACGGGGAGGGATCGGGGGTTGGGGGGGGGGGGGGTGTCTGCGACATTCGTGCGTTGTATATATTGGGCATGGTCCCATCTTTTTTGGTGGTCTTGTAAATGGTTTTCTGAGCCTGTCCTTGTTCTGGAGAGTAGACTGAAAACCTTGAGGCCTGGTTTCGCTTCTGTAGCGACAGCACGACCAGCTTCCTTGTCGCGAGTTGGGCAATCTGAGCTTCGCGTCCATCTCGCCCGAAGGGGCTGATCGAATCGGACCTGGCCGTGTAGCTTCCGGTGATGATCACAATGCGGGGACGCTACCCGTTGCCCCGTGCGTCAAAACACCCAGGCGTCGCCAATGTTGGCGGCGAGGTCTAACGTATCTGGGACAGTATGGTGCCGAGCAACATGCCCGACGCGCGCATCTGGTTTCGGGGTCGCATCAATGAAACGAGTGACCCGACGATAGATTCGGTAAACTCTTGTATTGTCATGTACGGGTCACAAACAGCATCATAGAATACAAGTCAGCGATGCATACGTAGCACAAAAAGGTCCATATCATGTAAGCCATATCACAAACGCAAGGTGTGCGAAGTTGCTGTCTACATCATCACAACAACAGCAGCGACAACCCCCAAAGCCCACACAGCACGCGAGACCCTAACCCCACCCGCAGCAGCACTCTCCCCATCCCCAAACTCTGCCCTCTCCAGCACCTCGCTCCTACGTGCCTTAGCACCCGCACCCTTCAAATCCGGCAAAACAACATGATCAATCACATGCACGACTCCGCCCTTGACGAGGATATCCGCCTTCGTGACCTTGCCCGGCGGCAATTTGAAGCTCCTGGTACCGGCGCCGGAGACGCTGACGACGTTCTTGGAGACGGAGACGGTGAGGTCGGCGCCCTTGAGCGCGGAGGCGACGGTGACGGGCTTGCCGTCGGTAGGGAGGTCGGTGGAGAAATATTCGTGGTGGGGCGCGATGTGGAATTTGAGGATGGAGGCGAGGAGGGCGGGGGTGATGGCGACGTTTTGGGATTTGGCGAAGGTGGTGATGCGGTCGAAGGCGCGGTTGGTTGGGGCGAAGCTGGCGGATGGGAAAAAGAGGGGGGGTGAGATTGTGAATGGACTGCTCCCGTTAACTCGGGAGGAGTGGGAAACAGCGTAGATCAGACAGGTACAGCAGGTACATACAGAGTGAACTTGGTAAGCCCCGCGGCATCCTTTGCAAGCCCCGCGGTCTGCACGGCCTTGATCAACGAAGTCAACCCAGCGTCCTTCGCAACATCCGCCAAAGCCCGTGGCGGAGTCAACACCGTGTCAACCACATGCACGACCCCTTTGGCTACGGTAACCGACTCAGTCACTTTAGCCTGCCCGCCGTCAAACTTGACCGTGACGTCTTTCCCCTTGACATTCACCTGCACGGCATCGTCGTTCAGCGCGGTCTGCGGGAACGATTTCGCAGGCGCCTTGCTGGGGTCAAAGGCAACCCCCGGGAGGAAATGGTACTTGAGCACATCGAGCAACCATTCGGGGTCAGCGGTCACATTGGCGTACAGGTCCGGGTACTTTTTCTGAAACTTCTCCAACGCGGTGTTGGAGGGTGCGAAGAAGGTGAATTCGCCGGCTTGGGCGAGCAGCTGCTCCGCTTGCGGTTTGAGGTCCTGGAAGAGGGCTTCGAGGGCGGAGAGAGCGCCGGATTGTTTGAGCGAGTTTTCGACTTGGGTGATCAGACTGTTGAGGTCTTGGGCGGTGGTTGGGTGGAGGAGGGTGAAGAGGGTGGCGAGGAGGAGGGTGAGGTGGGCGAACAATTTCATTTTGAATGGTGTCTTAGATAGAATGGTCCCGGAAGACGGATGGTATGAAGATGTTGAATCTCAGATCAGATCATAGAATGTGTCTTTCAAATGCGTTGCGGGAACTGGAGATTCTCGCTTCTCCCCAAAACATGCCTCTCATTTTATAGCCGGACCGGGCGCCCTGATTCCATGCGGAACATCGCACCTCGATTCACAGGCTGTATCCTGCCCGCTCAGGGTCCTAACGCACGTTTTTTTCCTTGGCACCCAATACCCACTCAAATTGCGCACATTCTCCCATCCCACTGAGTCATTGTAAACGCCGCAAAAGAAGGCGTTCACGTAGCCTCACGAGACCAACCACTTAACTCTGACTGAACCATATCCGAGCGCATAAGACAGCCGACGAACCAGACGAAATTGAACCCTCCAGGAAAGAAGCAAGATGGCGCAAGCCACGACTCCCTGGCGCGAAATGGTGTCATTTTCGGGACCACCATACCGGAAGGGATGGGTGTCATCCGCGATGGTTGAGCCTAACTGGAAGTGCATATGTCGGGATTGCTGATGTAATCATGGGAACGCGCTGTCGAGTTCTCGCCCGAGCGTTTGAGCGATAAAGCCCCCCTCACAGTATTCAGCCGCCGGTCAACCTTAGCTGCTTTAAAGTGTAGTCTCCCTGGACGGCCGCAATTTGCGCCGACGAAAGGATCGGACGACAGAGATCAGGTGTTTCCCTCGCTCCTTTCGGGAATTCCGCTTTTCCCGCTCCCGCCGGCGGAACGGGTGTGTCAATGCTGGCCGTTTGCGGCAGGGACCTGATGGAGGACCGAGGTGAAGCCCTTTGGATCGGGACCGTGAAGCACAGAGTCATTAGCCTTCGTCTGTGCAGCATTCGTGTCCTTGCGCCTTGGGATGACTGGATAATTTCTGAAGGCTGGGGAGTTGCCAAGGAACAGTTGATGAGTCAATGACTGCTGCTTCTAGTGGAAACGGTCAGGCAGATGTCATTTGGTAGACATAGGGGCTGCAACTTAGAATGCTGCTTTGTGGATGTTACGCTGGTTGCGTTATGTGCGCACTTACAATGCATCTGGGACGTCAACACCGAGTTGACTGCCCAACTCCATTGATCTTATTGGTAGAGACGAGGAGTACATATACAGCAAAGGGGTGTCAATCTTTGAATCCATTTAGGACTAGGACATACCGATACTCCCCATCGTGCCTATGGCACTCCAAATGATCAGGTGCAATGCGACAGCTTTTCATTTGATGAGAGGCCTGACTGATCCATCGGGCAAGGCGCCGAAGTACTTACAGTCATTTACCTCCAACATCCTGAACCAACAATCTCGCAACTGCATACCCAGGAAATCTACTCCACTCCACTCAGCCTCATCCATCAACCCCCCGCGCTGGGTTCGTTGGTCTTTCGGTCGTCCAGATTTGCCATGTCCCGCAACGCTTCCTCCTCCAACCGAAACGTCGTGCTATCATCGACGATTCTGGCCCCGACCCTCTTCGTATAAAACTCCGCGGCCTTTACATTCCTGGCTCAAACCCCCAAAGGTGAGACACACAATCCTCCCAGCAAAACGATCAATGCTCCCAGAACCTACCCCCTGAAAGCGCCCCACTCCATCCTCCCACAGCCCCTCTCCACGCACACCTTCGCCAACTCCCTCAAGATCGCCGTTCCAACGCCGCGCCCCCGGTACTCCTCCGCGACAATCAGATCCTCCAAAAAGAAACACGGCCCCACCGCCGTCGAGAAGCTGAAGAAATAGATGGCTAATGCGACTTCATGCCCGTTGAGGACGGCGAAGATGGCGGACGCGTACGGGTGCGGGGTGAAGAGCGTGGTGAGCAGTTTGGATTCGGTCGCATGGCACTTTGTGGGGGCGCCTTCGTAGGCGGCGTGGAGTTTGATGAAGGCGAGGATGAGGGGGACGTCTTGGGGGAGGGCTTTGCGGATGTGGATGGGTGTTGTGGTGGCGGACATGGCTTGGGAAGAGTCGAAAGCAACGGATAAGTGCCGGAACAGAGCATCGGCAGAGCGTCACCCACAGGCCACTGGAGAACACGCCTCGGTCCAGCCTGTCTGCAATTCATTTTGACAGCGTCGCTCGTTTCATCTCAGTCATTTTGCATTGCATCACGCACCGAGAGGGAACTCCATCTCTCAGCGCCGGACACCTCTGAATATATACGATATGTACAACCACCTCTCAGTGATGAAACGTCCGTCCAGTCCAGCAACATGTCCACAAAAATTCGGCATGAAACAAGTCTGCATTTCACGACGATACAGGGCTCTCCACCTTGTCTCCCATCGCCGCTGCCATACCACCGCCCTCCCTCCCCACCTCCCTCTCAGCTTCCCTCCGCCGTGTCGTAGTCCCCACCTTCCCCACATCCATCCCCTGTATATACCACTCAATGTAAGCCCTATTACTGCTCAAATTCTCCATAAACCCCTTCTCCATCCACTCGCTCACATGCGCGACCGCCTGTCCAATCTGCCTTCCTTGCAACCCCGGATGATGTTTCTTGACGAGGTCGCCGATCGAGACCTCTTTCTTCTTTTGGGGGGTGGGAGTGTCGGTGTTGAGGCCTGTGATGTGGATTTGGGTAATGTGGCCGGTGAGTGTGAACGGTTCGGAGAGGGGGTCCCAGTGGGCGATGAGGTTGCTATCGGCTGCTTTGCCGCCGGTGCGGACGTGGAGAGTGATGTGTGGGGTATCGTTTTCAGAGAGTTTGAGGGTCGGGTCGTGCGCGTGCTCGACTTTCACGGCGGTGACCTTATCGGGGAGGGTGCCGTGTGCTATGACACGAACTGTGACGGGTGCGCCTAGACCGCCTAATGGGTCGACGAGGTGGGGTTTAGCGGGCCCGAGGTTGATTGTGACGTGGTGGTATTTGGTGACGGCGTCCGAGTGTGGTGGCGGGAATGCGGTGGTGAGTTTCGTGACGCTGGATGGGTCGAGGAGGATGGCGGTGTATTTGATTTGGTCGACGAGTTCGAGCATTGTGCGGAAGAGGGAGGCGCTTGTTCGGCGTTGGAGTTTGCAGAAGGGGGTTGGGGAGGAGGTGGAGGCTCGTGTCGTGAGGGGTTGTTTGTCTTCTCTGTTTGCAACGTTGTCATCGCTGCAATCCGTCAAGGAGGCCTGGCTCGCGCAGCTGCTCGTCCGTGACATCGACCCATCACAGTCACCTTCACCACCTCGACCACCCCGCTGCTGTTTATGCGCATCCTCCTCCCTCCGTTTCGCCGCCAAAATCCGGCCATTGCATATCGCCACCAACTCCTTCACCAGCTCCTTCTCACTGTCCTCCGGCATATATTTCGCCGACTTGTTCGTATGCACAACATGATGCACCGCGAAAGACCGCAGCTTCCCCTTCGTACTCAGACTCCTCAACCGGTTCGCAAACAGATCTAGATGCCGTTTGCGATCATCGTAGATCTCGACATGTGTGATGCTCGGGAACGCCGTGAAAAGGCTGTCCAGCACGGCCAGTTTGAAATCCAGCGTTGTTGCATGGTACAGTGGTGCTTTCGCGGGGTCGTGCCCTTCGCGGAAGAAGAACAGATCGAATTCCAGTGGCGGGTGATGCACCTGACATATGCGTTTGATCCGCTCTCCAAACCGGTCGTGTCTCCGTCCAGTTAACAAAACACATAGGGTGTCCTCGTCCCGTCGCGCGATACCCGCAAAGACGGCGGCCACCGTCTCAGAATGGTACCAGCTTGCATCTGGGATATCGGGAACGTAGGGCGGCTGCATCGTTCGCGGGTCCTGGAACCAGCCGCAGTCGCCTATCAGGGCGCCGCGAAGTTGGTCGGACCAGAGATCGGGGTTGGGCATCGGGGAGCGGAAGAGGGTCGAGTCGAAATCGAAGATGAGGAGGCGGCTTGGAGGTTTGCGTCGTCGGTGGGGTGGTTGGTGCTGGGCGGTGGATGGAGTTGGGAGCGATCCTTCACTGGCTCCGTTTGGGGTTCCGTCGGCGGTGGTTGCTGCATTGGTCGTATCGGTCGGGGCTTGCACCATCCCGTGTTGGAGGTCACCATCCCCATAGACCGTCTTCGCGAGGTCTGCATGACCGTGAGAGCAGTTTAGAGTGCTTCCCGGGTATTGACGACAAAGGAGCGCTCCCGCACATACGAACGTACCGTTTATTGCGCTCTCGTAAAGGAACCGCTCAGCAGCCGACATCTTTTTGCGCGTGGAACTGTATAGGATTCTGGACGAGGGAAAGGGAAGGGAATGGATGGATGCAGCAGGGCAGCTCAGCGCGCGCGTGTTCCGTCATCCGCAGAGCAACATTCGACAGCTGCTGTTACTGTACCTTCGCAACTCCCTCGCATTCGGATGAGACTAGCCTTCGGAGGCGTGCATGGAAGACGATGGTTAGGCGCACGTCTGTGTCTACGGCGGAAGAGACGTATCGAAGGTCTATCTGGGAGGAAACGGATGCACGCATCGCCCAGAACAACGCCGTTTGGCCAGGGACTAAGGCGGCACGGTGAGGGATCGGATATCACTAGTAATGAAGGGGCTTGCGCGTACATGCGACAGTTCTGCGAGATTGCGTCTCGGGACGAGCTGTAGCCTGTCTGTCGCTTATCAGGACCAAGCCCCTTAGCCGACCTCGCCATGACGGCCCGGGGCATATCAGCCTTTTATGAAGTAGTGCCACTATCCACCAGTATATTATTGATAACAAGTTATGAGGAATTCCCGCGAAGCATCTCCCGAGTCGACTCAAACCGCCAAAAACCGTACGCAATGTAGTCCAAGTCAGGCCAACTCCACCAACCGGCCTACATCCGAGCCAGTCCTAACAAGTTTCCGATGCTGACCACTCCATTCTACTGCTGCCCTATCGTCAGATTCCCGGACCCCTGCTCGACAGCCGCATCGCGTGCGGGACCCGTGATGATGACCCGCCGTCCATTCGAGATTGAACGGTCCTGGCGAGTCCGAGAAGGGCGTCTGCTCTTGGTGTGTTATCCAATGAGCCTCGTCCTCAGCGTCTTCATTAACGTCAGCGTCCGCGTCACCCTCCGTATCGTCCTCAAATTGTTCCTCTTCATCATTATCGACATCACCTTGAGATGGATTCGAACGTGGTGCATGGGCGTGCTCGACGACTTTTGGTAGCTGCTTCCGGACCTTCTTGTAATGCGTTCCGCATGTTGTAGTGCAATTTCCGCATCGCTTCGAACTTGTCGTGTCTTGCCCTCTCTGCAATCCGGGGCTGAAGCGCATTCATACAGGGATATCGTTATCCAACAACACCCACGTTCAGCGATCATCCCCTGCTCCGGTCCATCGCCCCACTCATCCACCGGCACCCTTCTCGTCCCGACATCCGGGTGTGCCCCATTCCCCCCCCCCCCCCCCCCCCCCCCCCCCCCCACGCGCTCGGCCTTCCCCCTCTCCCTCCCACAAACCCAAGAGCGTCTGTCAGCCCCACCAGTGCTATAGCAGCCGTATTCCGAAGCACCATATCCCAGGGAGAGTCCTAGCGTATGTAAGGCGTTTTGGGCTCGGTGATCTTCATCGTGGTGGATTTGGCGTTTCCGTTAGTTGAAGGTTTGTTTCGTCCCGTCTTATGCATCTTATGCTGGAAGACCTCCTGCATGTAACGTTGGCAGAACAGGAAAGGAGGGGAAAGGATCGAAAGACGCGGCGCTTTGTCACTCACTTCTCGTTCGAGAGAATTGGCCGCCACGATTGCCTCCATTGGGCCTCCATTTCCCAGTGGTGCCCATCCACGTTGCAGGCGGTCTCACTCAGTCATACGGCCGGTGAACAGGCACTCAAACGGTACCTGTAGTGTCACATACCGTCGTCTGGAGTGCACCGCTCCGGTTTGCAAACAGGCATGTCTTCAGACAACCTGGAAAGTCTGAGGCGAGGCTTACTTGACCTCAACGGGGCAATTGAAGTCAGGCGTCAGGACATAAACACCAAAGCGCTCGCCGAAGACGTCCTGGAGGCTATCGGCTCGCTTGACAAACCGGACTTTGGTGAGACATCCTTGTCGACTTGTGGTCAAATGTGCTGCAGAAATTGAACGCTACTTCAGCCCTAGCGAGCGCTTACATCTTCGACTCGGAGAATGGTTTGTTGACCTACCTCCGATCATCTCGAGGCCGGAAGGAGCATGAGGATGCGCAGGCGGTGCTCCTCAATGCGTTGGAGCGCTTCATGTCGGCTTCGCCTGCTTCGTGCCGACCGTATACAGCGGAGATACAGGTATGCGGCTTCTTCCGCCAAATCTTGTTGCAGGAAGGCGCTGATGTGGTGGCGATCAACAGACGGACTGCATCAATGCATTCGATTCCGCGAAAGCTGCTAGAACGAAGGATGCCTCGTTGATGCCACTGAATGCGTTGATCGTTCCGACGATCGGAGCGGGGGATGCAGAGAAGTTGCAGGTCAAACGGATTATTTCCTTGTAAGTTGGTGGATGGGGAAACGCTCTTGTCCCAAGTCGATACTCAAAAACTCGTCGTTAGCTTCTTCGATGTATATGTCAGACAGCAGAGTAAGCTGGGTGCCTTAGTGAAAGGATCTATCCTGAAGCTCCTAGCCGCCGCATGTCGCCACCACTGGAATGTAGTGGAGGGAAATCTTCCAAAACAGATGGACAGAATGCTTCAACAAGCCATTTCAACCCTATTTGGCAAAGACCCGAACCTGTCCTACGTAGAAAGCGCCCTCAGGGCACTCGACGAGTTCATGTTTGTATACACCGACGTTGACCTCACCGCCGTCTTCACAATCATCAAAAACATCTTGGGCCTATTGGTAAATACTTCCTCACATCCTTCCGGCGTACTCGTGTCCTCACCTAGACCCACATATATAGAGCTCAGCCGATACCTTCTCCCGCTACGGCGTCTTCACTGCCACCATGCAGATAATAATAGATCATGCGACCTCTTTCAAATCGTTGTTGTACAATCGCGCTATGGACGTGTGGAATGATCTGAGGGCTGCGTGTACGAACAGAAACTCGGATGTGTCGAGGTTGGGGTACCGCGCAATGGATTCGTTTCTGGGTGCTGTTGCGTTGGTGCTGAGGGAAGATGAGGGGGATGAGGCTAAGCGGTTGTTTTGGGTTCGTCGGCGCACCTGCACCTTGAGTGGGGTTCATGTCGAACATTTGTTGATGATACTTCGTTATAGTGGTTTATGACTCGCTTCGGCGAGTTGATCGGCCAGGAGCTGACATACAAGGACACATCATTGGCTGTCCGTGCGTATGGATACTTTGCAGCACCTTGCCGACGTCACGGAACGGCTGAAGATCTCAGAGGCATCCTCGACACCCTGATGAAGAAGAGTGCCGCGTTGCTTACCGCAAAGTATGCAGCACGGATGCGACTTATGGAGTTCGTTGCGACTTGAGCTAAACTCGTTTTGTTCGCGGAAGTCCGACACAGAACCGAGACGAGAGTGTGCACGTCCCCTCGTTCCTAGAAGCGTACTCGTACATGGCCGAGCAACATGCGGAAGCGGACAAGAAATTTTACCTCGCTATCGGTAGGCCAAATGCTGCATCGATTGACTGGTTTGGCACATTGAGCTGACGCACATATCGCTAGCTGACTTGAGCAAGAGCATGCTGTTGCGGTATCCGTCCATGAGTTCGGCGTATCAAGGCCTTAGCGTGGCTGCACTGCGGAAATTGTTGTTGATCTTAAACAGGCAGGGTCCTGGGGGGCGGAATGTGTGGTCGACGACAGGTATGCGTGCTTCTGAACGAGCTTGTTGAGTAGTGGGGATTTCTGACCCTTTGGCACTTGCAGCCTACGATGCCCTCCTCCTAACTTGCTCAACCCCCAACTCCGACACCAACATGGAGTCCACCCGCTTCGCTTTCGATGACTACATGAACTTCTGGATCCACCTCTTCCGCAGCCCCAGTGCCGAATCCCACATCGACCCTGCCGAAAAACAAAACCTCAACCGCATGCTCTACGACGAAACGGTCACCGCCATGCTCCAAATGGCCGAAAACCTTAACCTCAACATTATCGAACCCGAATCCGAGCCCACGGACGCATCTGAGTTGGCCGTGGTGGTGACGTACGCGAATCCTGCGGATATAGCCATTCTGAGCAACCTGACCCGTTTCGCCGACCGCTTCCTCACCGACGTCCAGTCCCGCAACTTTGCGGCATGGCTATATGTCGTAGGCGACCGGTTGATCGAGCTCTCCCTCCGGAACCCGATGATCACCAGCATATACAACCTCCTCAGCGTCGTGCTCAAATTAGCCGCCTCGCTAGATTTCTTCAAAGACGTGCTGAAACCCGAAACCCTTGGCGCGCGCGAAGGGATGGACGAGGAAACGTTACCCACAGCAAACTCTAGCCAGAAATCGGCGCACCTCCTCTTCAGCAGCTACATCAAAACGGTCGCGGTCCGCTCAGAAGGGTTCAAAGACGACTTACTCGCGAGTTCCCTCCGCTTACTGCTTTCATGTCCCACCGATCTCGTCTCCGTGCGCGCGTTAACCGAACCCCTCCGCACTGCATTTCGGTTAGGACTCTCCTACCAACCCCTCGCGGAGGCGGCGATCACGGCGTTGGAGCGGTGGGTGAATGATATACCTACCGCGGTGCTCAGGACGGCGTATCCGAAGATTTTGCCGGCGTTGGCGGATTATCTGCTTTTGGATGTGGAGCAGACGGCGAGGTTGGAGAAGAAGAAGGTGAAGATGAATAGGGGGATTTTCCATATGAAGGGGGTTGCGGCTAGTAGGATGCGGATTGCTGCGATTATGAGTGAGGTACCGTAAACTTATCGAAGTAACATCTTGATCACGATATGTGTTCTGATATGGGTGAGGATAGACGGAAGACGCTTCCGCCCAATCCTGCGCCATCCGCCTCCGCGTCATAACCCTCCTCGGCAACATCGGCACCTCCAACCGTCTCATGCTCGCCGGGTTCCGCGAAAACCAGCAGATCCTCGCCTGGGACACCGAAAAACGGCTGGCATTCGATGTCCCCTTTGCGGAAATGAGCTGCAGGATTTATTTGGACGATATGTTGCCAAGAGTGATTGAGTTGGCGGAGAATTCGCCGGATAGGAAGACGAAGGTGGCTGCGACGGAGCTGTTGCATGCGTTGGTGTTGCTGATGATTGGACGGAGCGCGAAGCAGTTGAGTGGGACGGGGGAGACGGAGGTTAAGCAGGTGAGTATCACATTTTCTTACCATAGGATGTGATGTAATATTCACGTCGATCCACCCCCCACAGAGCCCATTCCACAAACTTTACAGCAAAGTCTTCCCCGCGCTCCTCCGACTAGCCATCGACTTGGACACTGTAACGCGCGAGTTGTTCCGACCGCTGGTGTTTCAGATCATCCACTGGCTCACTCGGAACGCGCGGGCGGAAAACCCGGAGACTATGGCGATGTTGAATGTTTGTTTGGAGGCTGTCAGCGGGACCAATGGGGCTGTAAGCGTTCTTGTGGATATGTCTCGGTGTGAGGTGTGGGCGGTTTTTGATGGAAGGGTTTTGACAGCTGCGGGATTTTGCGGGTGAATGTATTCGCGAGTTTTTGATCTGGTCTATCAAGCATACGCCACCAGCGGTAAGTCACTCGACGGGCAGAGAGTAGTCGGGATTGAGTATGTAGCTCAACCGTCTTTTGGTTGGGGGTCAGTCCAGAGGCCAGGATCTGGACGAAGACCAAGACCACGAAACCAAGACAGTAAATACAAAGTCCCTCCTGAGGCGCCTATTCCGCCTGCTCTCCCACAGCAGCTCGCAGAAAAGGCTGGGCGCGGCTATCGCGTTCAACCGCATCTACCGCGTCCTGCGGTATGTATGCACAATCCTCCCGCTTCCGCTTGACCTTCACTAACATCTCGATCCCAGAGAAGACGACGCCCTAATGAGCGAATTCCTCTTCCTGACCCTCTACAACCTCCTCGGCGCCCTCCGGCTCGCCGACCAAGACCCCCCCGCCTCCGGCGTCCATCGCGAGATCAAGAACGCCATCGGACACTGCGTGAAGATCCTCAAAGCCAAAAAGGACGTGTTCAATCGCGTGTATAAGAAACGGCGCGAGTTTCCGGGGCTCAGAAGGCAGGATCTGGATGGTCTGCTGGATTGGATCTTTTTGGAGATTGGGAAGCCGGAGTTGGATTATGCGCAGATGATGAAGGGGTTGTTTATGGAGATTGTGCCGTTGGTGTCTAGTAAGTGCCGTGTAGGGGTGACCGCTCATGGGAGTGTTATCACCAATACTGATGTGGATTTAGGTCCTAAGTCATGGGTCGGGAAACGCATCAAAGCGGATTCGAACTACGTGCCCAACATCCTCAACAACAACCTCCAGAATGTACCGAGGGGATTGAGATTGTCTGAGCGTCGGGCCAAAAAATGGGTCGGACGCCTGATTAGTTCGCTCGAGGGCTACACGTTCTTGCTGGATACTCGAATCCTTGACGGGACTTCCATTCTTAGCAACAACCGCGTCCTGCTGTCGGCAATAACCTTCTTCGTGGAAAACTACGCCCTTCGAAGCGAGGAACCTGATCTAGACCCTCAAGCTCGGCTACAAGCCGACGAGCTCCGTTCTTTCGCGACCGTTCGCGTGTTTGGCATACTGGAGGCATTGTTGCAGAGCGGCACCGAAATCCCTGACAGCGTCGGCCTATGGACCCCGCATTTCTTCCGTCTCGTAGCTTTAGTGATCTTCAAACCAGCCGCCGCGGGATTTGCACCCGAAAGCGAGGACGTTAAGAGGAATCTACCTTTGCGGATGGTGTCTCTGCTTCGACTCATTCCCACATCGACGCTCCGCTTCGACTGCATCAGAGATGTGTACCTTGCGGACGACTGCGACATTTCGAGTCTAGATCTCACGGACGGCCGAAATCGGCTCGCAATCAGTCAGAGCGTTATTGGGTTGCAGCAGATTCAGAAAGCCGGGTTGTTTGCGAAGTTTATGGAGAGTACTGATGTCGATGTTTACAACCAGCTGTTTGATGCGACCAGGCAAATGAGGAAGAATACTAGTCCTGGAACCACTATCATTGTCGGCAATATGGTTGAGATTTGTTTGGAGAGTGAGACACACCGGGAACGCTGTTTTCGAGAGCTGCTGGTGGGTTTTGGGTGCAATATTTGCTTGTTTTCACATCTGATGCGCTCGTTACCAGGGTTTGGAAAGCAGAAGCAAGTACGAGAACGGCATCGCGTTCTATCAGCAATACGGGAACCATGTGCGTAAGAAGGTGCCACAGACGTATGCCCGTTGATCTTTTACTCACTGGTTCGGTCATGTAGATCAACCCGTGGATCGCGCGAAATCTTGGAGCTTCGATCCCGACATTGGAAAAATACCTCCACCATCCACTCGTCAGCGACATACTGCGCTGGGTCTCCAACTACCTGTTGGTCAATCGTAGCGCGAAGGATACTTGTCACAAGATCTTCATCGACCAGGTAAGGTTTCCTTGCGTATCTGCGAACACACCGAAACGTACGCGCTAACGATTGGGAAACAGCTCGTCGGGAACGATGGTTTCGTACGGAAAATGAGTGAAGTGTTTGACCCAAGTGATCTGCTCCAATTGTGGCATATGATTGTTCGGCTGGATCCTGGCATCGTTGCGAGAACGCAAGGCACACGATTTTGCAGGATCTTCACACAAGTCTATGTTTCATTCCTCAACTCTTCGAACCCACGGCCTTTCTTGAATGATGCGTTTGCATTGCTTTCGGTTTTCTTGACACCGGAGAATGCTGAAGAGGTGAGAATCAGATCGCACCACTCTCATCTTTCGGGAGGTGGCATATTAAACCCTGTGTCACAGGTCGAGAACAGGCTAAGCAAAATCGTAAACGACCATTTCCCGCTTTCTCCGGGCGACATGAAAGAGGGCTCGTCGCAACAAGTCGACTACGCGCAGAGCATGGCCACATTACTGGACGGTCTTGGAACCCTCAACACGATTGTGATCGCAAAAGTTTTGATCATGCATATTTGCATACATCCGAATCACCCCTTTGCTGAGCAGTTAGGGGAGCGACTTGCGAATGCCGGGCGCCGATGCCCGCCGAAGGACGTCGGGAATCTGCTTGCATTGTTGTGGAGGTGAGCAGCGAAAACTCTGTCGATACATCCGCCTTCATGCGGAAGCTAATGCTTCGGGCTAGTTATTTCGGTGATGCCACTATTCCCGCGGACTTCCGGAAGAACGTCGTGCGCTATGCCTTACTACCGCTCTTGCGAGCCTCGTCCCCTGACTTCGTCGCGAAAACGTTCGAGCAAGAAATTAACAATATCATGACTATCCTAAAACAGACATTGTCTCCAAAGCCCTTGGATCTACTGATGAGCAAAACCGCGGGCTTCGAACTACTCACCACATGCTACCAGCACAGCGACGTTAGCGCGCTGCACAGCGCCGAAGGCATTGTCATGCGTGCCTTCATCAAAAAGTTCCCGGACACCCCGAATGCCGATAAACCCAACGCCCTGTCTGTTGCAATCATCCGGCAGGCCGAGGATGCGCAGAAAGAGCGCATTCCGGACATTCCCAATGCGCGCCAGTTGGGTCTAGAATTCCATCAGGCGGCTTTCAACGCCTGCTGCGCGGTCTTTGCTGCAACGCAAACGAAAAACCTCGAGTTCTTTTTGGTGAAGAAGATCTTTCAGCGGGATGCACCTCATTGGAGCAACATCGTGGACATGGAGGTAGATTGACTGAACAAGTTGATGCGAAGTGTGGTTGAGAGCTCTGACATGTCCATCCTCAATAGGAGAATGTTGAAGACGTGCTTCAGTTTGAGATCCAAAACGACGCAAACGCAGCGGAGCAATCTACTGGCAGATATGTATCAACGCAGTTCCTTGCAGAGAGCAGTTTGAGTCAGGTAAATTCAAATAGCTCTATCTGCGCCTCCATTCGCTAATGCAAAAATCGTTTCAGACCACGAGCTTGAGCATACCAGACGGAGCCTTCACTCAGGAAGCACAAGAGAATGGGTTGGAGAACAGAGCTCTCAACCACGCTGCAAGGGCAGATCGTGCACGATACGTAAGTGCGGCACACTGTGGTAGGTATGGCTTGACGAACCCCCAAATGACCTCCGATCCTTAGATATACGGTCATAACCCATGTACGGGAACAGTTGTGGAACTGATCTCGAAGGTGTCAGGCACGGTACAAGATGGTGCGAGTATGCCAGGTTGGATGACCGAGCTATTGGAGAGAATGCAAATGAAGGGTAAGACCTTGGTGGGAAGGATACTTTTTTGCTGTGGTGGTCCGTAACAGGTGACTTTCACCAGGCACACCGCTAAACCTTCGGGTGTACATTGCGGCGATCGTTTTGAACCGAAAGGAGCTGTTCAGTGCTTATGCGGAGCAGTGGTGGAGGCCGGTCGCCGAAGTGATCCAGGATTATCCATACTCCAACGGCATTGGCCCCATGATCCAGGTTAGCCCCATGAGTCTTTGTTCAATCTGGGAATACCGATGTAATTCTTCATAGAGTCTTTGCAACGAGCTTCTTCTTTGGGGCGGGCACCTGAGGCATGGCAAGACCACGACGGCGCACTTTTCCCCGCCAGACAAGTCGCAGTCTCGTGCAGTCATCTACGGCATGATGGTAATTGCACCCCAGTGTTCTTCGCGCATATCGTTGTTGACTGGACGTTCCGCTGCAGCGAGCATTGGTTGGGGGTGCAATCAGGCCAAAGTCGATGGCCGAAGTGAAGCGCAATATGAGTATCATATCAGCATTCGTTGAGATGTGGAAGCATCTGATGACCCCTACAACGGTATGTCCATTCCATTTATCGTTCTCGTTACCGTGCAAATTTGACATCTTGCATCTAGGAGGAGATACTAAACTGCATAAGTGACGGCGAAAAGAAGATCAATGAGAAAGACAAGAAGGAACTCCTCGCTGGCATTCTGCTGACTTCCGTCTTCATTCTGAACGATATCAATCCATTCGATGTTGGAGGATTAGGCAATCGGAGTATGTCAGAGATGCAATTCTGGAAGATCTTCTTGTCGCTGCTCGACCACAAGCGGCGCGACGTATATGCCTCTGCCGCGGAGGTCTTTGGACGATGGTTGGCTCTCGTTCAAAAGCAAAACCTGGATCTGTATGAACTGCTTCAGACGGAATTGCAGCAGCGGGTGAGTCCTGGCGAGAAAGTATCTTTTTATTTGAACGACCGAGTTGATTCGCTGCATGCAGATATCCTCCCTGAACGGGATCAAAGGAACCGCCGTCGATCAAGATCGCTTCATTCAGACTTTAGCCAGCCTGAGCACCGGTTACCCAGAGATTGTCAAAGGATCTTCCAGGGACCTGCTGTACATCTTTCCTCGCCTGAGTGGAAAGCTGCGCGCCCGATGCCTATATGCAATCTCATCATGTGGTCCGCAAATCGAGAACATCTTTGAAGACCTTCGCGCAAAGAATCTCAAAGACCTGATCGCGCAAAGGGACGAGGAGACTCAACGGCTCATTTTGGTCATTTTGTACAACCTTGTGCCTTCCTTGACGGTGGATCAGATATCCTACTTCCTTCCGACCATGCTGAGGACCTTCAACAGTAGCTCCTCCGAGCTATGCAGAACGGCGTATTTTAGTCTGTTGGTGCGCATCTACGATCGGTTGGAAGATAACGACAACCTGAGGAACAAAGTCAGACTGGCCATCCTCGAAGGCTTGGTTGACCCCCTCGAGGAGATCCGAAGCGGCGTCGGCACTTTTTTGAATCAAGATGGGCAATTAGGAAACAAAGACATATATCAGCGCACGCAATTGCTACTGGGAATGTACGACCCTCAAATCGAGAGTTCGTTCTTGCATTTTGTCACTTCATTCCTGTTGGACGCAACCAAGGAAACTCCGCAGTATACTGCAAAGCTGGTAAGCACTTTTCGGCACACCGACATAATCCTGGTTGCAAACCCTCATCCATCATCAGTTCGACAGCGGGCTACCGGATGCGAAGTTTGTGGATGCTCACATCGACGTCTCTTGGACCCCCGCCGGCTCAATGCAGCCAATCTTCGCTGCTACACAAAACGGCAATGCTTCGCTCGCCACTGGCACTCCCGCATCTCAGTTTGTTCGTGCCACTCAACAGGCGCAGTGGACATTGACCCAGGACATGAACCCAACCCAAGCCCGAGATGCATTCTCAGTCGTCGAGTCTGAGGTTTCGCTCGCGCTGGGGAGTCTTCAGGACACGTCCTCAGGGGCGTCTCTAGGAGGTCGTTCCCGAAGGACGGAGGTTGACGTCCGTCGACATTACGCTAACCAGTCGGAACGACAGAGGCGAATCAAGCTCCAAACTCAAATGTTGCAGAAAGCGGCGCGAGCAAAGACCGTTACGCTTTCCCGAAAGTATCGAATCGGAGAGCTTCCTGACATCGAGATCGGACACAAAGAAGTCCTCGCCCCTCTTCAACATTTGGTCACTAGGGATGCCGAAGTCGCGCAACATGCGTTCAGCGCGCTTCTCACGGCCATAGTTGATAATGTTGGCGTAGGGCATGGAAAGGTATGAAATAGAGTTTGGCCAGTGGAGCTAGTGTACCGTCGTTCTGATATGATGTTCTGTTTGTAGAGGCAGCGAGAGAGCGATTCCTTCCGCACTGCCATCGAGGAGGGATTGTCACGCATCATCTCAACTTCGACAAACTTTCACCCTCCAATGCTTGCTGCGGCATTGAGGTCAATGTATTCAATGTCTTCAACGAATTTCGATCCCGTGGCCTTGTCGCGTGCTAGCGAACAGAGTTCCAATACGCAACTGGGCGTTTCCCTACTGGAGCAAGCACTTCTGGCTGGGAAAGCCCCTGCGACGAAACGGCGGCGCACTGATGACGATGTGGGTCCGGGCATCAACAAGCAGCTCTGGCTCCGGCTGGCGTTCCTGTACAAGTCGATTGCATACTTCAATGTGTATCGAAGCATTGTGGAGCATCGAATCTCGACTTCGCCGTTTGTGAAGGAAGCGATCGCGGCCGAAACCATGAAACAGTACGACAACGCTCTCCAGAAGTACAAAGAATCACTGAGTGGAGAGCGTCAGGACCGAGTTGACCAGTACGAGCGGGACATTTGCCACCGCGGCCACGGGGAATGCTTGGAAAATCTCGGCCTATGGGAGGCTCTTGCGGAGCATGTGATGGAACATGTTGATAATCAGACTCAGAACCTGTGGAAGTCGGAGAATGTCGACCCGTACCTGGAGCAGTTTTTCAAAGCTTATCTGCGCTTGCGAGATGGAATAGTTGACGAATCTGGGATCTTTATTCCATGGGAAGGAACGAGCCCGTTGATGTCCTTGGTAAATGTCGGATTGAACGATGCAACCAAAAAGTAAGGGCAAGCACAATTTCTCAGCCGTTTTGGTGATTCATGCCATTGATACCTCTCCCCCCTTTAGAGAGCTACTCGAGAACAAGTTTCCGGAAGGTAGGCGTGGTCTCGGACAAACCTGGTCAATGCTTATGACTTACGCAACGTTGGGTGTCTCTAGAACTGTGTCTGTTGATGCTCTCCTCTGGTGACCTGCAACGGGCTCGTCACTACAGTCAGCGCGCAATCGACGGCATCCTGGCCTCCTTCACAAGCCTACACCCGCTCGCATCCGAAGCTCGCCAGATGCGGCTCTCATCCCTGCAGATCATCGTGGAAGTTAAAGCGTTTGTGGATTTGTTGGAGTCTCGCGGAAACACTGACTTCGGCGTGAAGGTCGGGAAGTTCTTGGCGTCATGGGACTCCCGCAGTCTCTCGCCCTTGCAGGATCCCATGCCGTTGTGGCTTGATGTGGTGCTGTCGCGAGAGCAGATACTCGAGCAGTTCGGCAGGCTGGACCTCATGGATGTTGATCAAGCGGCTCTCCAACCCGTTCTCACTAAATTGCATAAGGGGATCAGGAAAGCGGCTACCAAGCAACACAACTTCGTGGTTGCGGAGCGGTATACAACCGCGTCTGAGGACTTTGATCCGGAGGTATCCCTTGCGACCTTGAAGCTGGCGTACAAGCGTTTGATATACTTGGACGATGTGGCGAAAGCGGAGCTTGCATCTCGCACAGTCGCGAGCTTCTCGTATTACTCGGTAAGCAATGTGCTGACATCGCTTGTTGGAGATCAAAATGCTGATGGCGGCGCTCGCAGGCTAGGATCGCATCCCTCGACACGACATTGCGAGCCAAATACATGTTCCTGCAAGGCCGTCTGTTCGACGAAATCTTTAAGGGATTGATCGCGAGTGAAGACTTCAGTTCGACCCTGCAAGGCAACAAATACATGCGCAAAGCTCTCAAATCTGCAGGAGGTGGTCGCTCGCCCAACGCATCTGGATTACTCGCTTTCGCCATCGAAGAATCACTGAAGTATTTGACCGAAGGTGTGACACTTGCACCGAGCAATAAGCGGCGGATGTATCTCGCTACGCACTGCGATTCCATGGTTCGATTGAAGGAGGATTCTCCGGATTCGGTGAGTTGGACAGAACATCGAGAGGCCATCTAAAGCCTTCTAGCATCTAACTTGGTCACGTTTGCCAGCCGTGCGATTTCGATCTAGCCCGATACGCTGTCATAGCCACCGAACACACACTCGCAGCGATGCAAGACGTTTACGCGCCCGCCATCGAGATTTTCCCCCGCCTCTTGCAGCTCCTCCACACCTACGACGGCGTCGGAAATACCTTCCTCCAGCTAGCAACAAACGCACCCGCCTGGACATTCCTCCGCTGGCTTCCCCAGATAACAGCTCTCCTCGACAAACCCGCCGCCACCGCCCTATTCCCGCTCATGCACAAGATCGCCGCCGAATATCCCACCGCGGTCTATTTCCCGCTCTCCATCTCTAGCGAGCAGTATGTCCTCGACGACCCCAACCGGTCCAACAACGGGAAAGAGGTCGCGGCGTTGAAGGAGGTTATCCATTCGCCGCTGCTGGACAAGTTGAAGATGGAGTTGAGGAGACTGACGGAGCCGGTGCACACGTTCAAGGATTGGATTCAGGAGACGCAGCCGTTGCTTATGACCAACCCGAAGGACTCGAAAGCGATTTTGGAGCTGTTTGAGGACATGAAGGCGTATTGTTTGAACACGGACCCGCACGTGGCTGGATCGATTGGGATGGCGTTCGCGACGAAGTACTCGGCAAAGATCTTCCAGTTTTGCGGTATGTCCACTATTTCCAATGGCGGTTTTGTTGTGGAGAGCGATGTGTTTATCTGACGCGGGGCACATTTGGTGCAGGCAAGGACGGCAGAAAGCTTTTGACGCTGTCCAGCAAGGATTGGCGAGAATTCAATGACTACTGTAGGAATAATATCTTCAAAGAATCGTTGCCCACGGGCATGATGCCGTTGAAGAACTATTCGCCGTGGCTTGCAGCGTTCAATGCCAAGGATTTCGAAGAGGTATGGCCGGGATTCTCGCTGCCATGTGCTCACAATGCATTCTATGCTAACAAGGTTTTGTCGCAGGATCTCGAGATTCCCGGCCAATACACAGAGTCGAAGAAACCTATTCCCGAAAACCTCGTCACGATCTCCAGTTTCCAATCGGAGGTTTTGGTTATGGCATCCATCAGACGGCCGAAACGTTTGACTATAGTGGGATCCGATGAGAAGAACCAGCATTGGCTGATTAAGGTAGGATCTTTTATCGGAAGGGAAATACGACGCACCGTGGCTCACTGTTCATCATATAGGGAGGCGAAGATCTCCGACTCGATCAGCGTGTGCAGGAAATGTTCTCCGTCATGAACAACATCATGGCGAACGATTCTGGGTGCCAAGATTTGCAGCTCCGCACTTACAAAGTATGAACCGATTGCGCTCCCTCATGCCTTCAATGGCTGACTAAACCGTCCATCGCCAGGTGGTCCCAATGTCAAGAAACCTCGGCATCCTCGAATGGGTCGACAACACCAAACCCCTCCTGGAAGTGATGCGCTCCGTCCCCGGCTTCAAAGAAGCGTTTGCCAACGCGCTCAAAAAGCATGACGAGTTCGTTCAAGCGCATGGGGGGAACAAGAAGAGTCTCCCTGAACGTGAGTCTCATCGACTCCCATCGACTCCCACCTCACAATGCAACTCACCCACCATCCAACGTTGTACTCCTAGAACACTGCAACATGTTTAAAACCGCCTCCGCGCGGAAAACCGAAGAGCACCTCGACAGCGTGACCCCGCGCGAACCGTACCTGAAGAGGTGGATGCAGAAATTGGCGGCGAGCCCGGAGGCGTTTTTGACGATCCGGGGGACGTTTGCGAGGAGTTTGGCGACGTTGAATATTTGTTCTTACTTGCTTGGTAAGTGTAGTGAGGGGTGGGATGAATATGTTTGGGGAGCGGACGGGGGGTGGGTAAAGGACGGTCGCTGAAATGAGGGTACTGTCGGAAGGGATTGGAGATCGGCATGGAGAGAATTTCTTGATTGATATGAGCAGGTATTTTCTTGTGCATTAAAGTCCATCGTCATGCGCCATATGGGAGAGCCTAACCACCACATCCGCCCTTTCCCGTATCCCAGCGGTCAGATCATAGGCATCGATTTCGGTCACGCTTTCGGGTACGTACCATCCTCCATCCACTACCTTCTCCCCCAGCACATTTGCAAGATTAAAACCCATATTTACATCTGTGATCTTCCGCCACGCACACACAGCTCAGCAACCGAAGTCCTTCCCATCCCCGAACTCGTCCCCTTCCGCCTCACAAAGCAGATGGCGCTCGTGCTCGAACCGCTCGGCGTGCCCGTGTTGTTGCAGGACACGATGATCAACGTCATGTCTGGTGCGTATATACGCGTTCGCGGTCAATATCTTTGCATCATGGCCGAGTCTCGTTCATCTAATCCCATCACGTTTTCAATGCATCACATAGCAATGCGCTCCAAAAAAGAAGTCCTGTTGAATGTGCTCAACATCTTCATCAAGGAGCCGTTGATGGAGTGGAGGACGTTTGCGCTTAAGCAGGCTGCGAGACAAGGTAATTGCACCCTCCCTACCTCCCATCTCCCCTGCATCTCCGGGGTTTGGAATGCAAGTGAGGGGGCGGATGATTTACGCGATGGGTTTAGGTAAAGGAACGTCGCTGTCGACGACACCCGCGGAGGGCAGCAGCAGCTTGAACGCCCCGGAATGGTATCCGCAGCAGAAGCTGGATATCGCGCGGTGAGTTACCCCAGATCGATGCCGGTGTTAGAGCGGAAGAGGATTTGAATCGAATTGATTTTTTTTCGTTTGTTCCCAGACGTAAATTGAACGGGGAACATCCAAGTCGTAAGTCCCCTTCGTCACGTCCCCCCGTCCCATCCACCCCCACCTAACCACCCCGCACCACCTCCCCATCCCCAGACCTAACCGCGCTAGAACTGCAATACGGCCATTCCAAAGAACCGTGGTTCTCCGCCGCCCGCGACATTGTCCTGGGCAAAGACGCGACGCACGGCAAGCGGTACGCGGTGGGACCCGTGTGCAAGGATGTGCGCGAGCAGGTGGAGTGTACCGTTGAGCAGGCGATGGATGCGAATGTGTTGGGGAGGGCTTATAGGGGATGGGCTGCTTGGGCTTGAGGGGCGGGCAGGGTGTATACCGCCGGGTGGGTAGGGAGGGGTGTAGGCTGGGGTGTAGGGGAGGTCTTTCTTCTGAGGAGCGGCGTATAGACGTATTCATGTCATGTCATGTGCTGAGATACCCTATGTGAAGAAATCATATCGGAATCTACGTCCATGTACAAAAAATGAGTCACAGCGACGAAGAAGCGACCAGAGCGACCACCTCGTATCGACACTTCCTTCTGGAGAACGCAGGAGGAGGACATGTAGCACCAGATCACCAAAGTGAAAAGCCGGCATCGTATTCACCAGCCCATACACTATTACACTATCCAAGAAAAACACACTACGCCCCAGCGAAAAACCGACACCAGAAATGCGGGAGGAAGGAGAGGGAAAGTGAGGGGGGGGGTGAACAGAGGTGAACGCTACCGCAAATCTACGTCAAAAAATATACAACCAAACCCAACCGAAAATATACACCTCCGCACGCTCGAAAAACATGCCGTGAACAGAGGGGTTGAAGGGATAAGTGTCAAAAAAAAAGGGGGGGGGGGGGGGGGGGGAGGGCGGGTTCTATATACACAGTGTGGGGGGGATACGATCATGGCTCCCATCGTCGGCCCGGGGGGCAAGGTAGCGTATCACTCGGGGGGCTGAAAGTACACGCGGAACATATCCTCGTTCCTCAGCCTGCTGTCCGCGACGACATAGTAGACGTGCATCAGCAGGGCGGGGAAGCGGGAGGTGAAGTAGGCGACGAAGCCGGCGGGGAGGGTGCCAAGGGAGTGTTGGACGTCCGGGGGGAGGTCCTGGTAGTGGTGTTTCTACGAAAAAAAAAAAGTCAGACATCGCTACCGGGGGGGGGGGGGGGGGGGGGGGGATATACAATCGCCCCGTTACCTTATTCCGCACGACCCTCAGCAGATCCCTCACAACCGCGCCATCGTACTTCCGGTACTTGCCCAGATTGTCCAGCAACGCGCGGTCGATGCGTCGGTACCAGTCCTGCCCGACGACCTTATGGGCGCCGCGCTCGAGCATCTTCAGCAGCGGGCTCGGCGGGTCCCTGGGCTCGATCTCCAACCTGTCACTCGCGTCCGCCAGGAAGTTCAGTCGTTTCGTTGGGGGCCAGAAGAACGGGTGGATGAGGACGTGTGACGTCGTTGGTCGCTTTAGCGGGTCTTTTGCGATCATGCGGCGGATGAGATCTTTTGCTTCGATGGCGGATTCGGGGAGGGTGTCGATCTTGTCGAGGCGGTGGTTGCCTTTGAGGATGTTGATTTCGCGCGCGAACTTGTCGCCGAAGGGGTGCGAGCCCGCGGTGAGCACGTAGTGGAAGACGCAGCCGAGGGAGAAGATGTCGATCGATTTGGTGATCCTCACCGCCGGGTTGGGTTCTACTCCACCACCGTTCCCGGTTGAATCGGAGGATGAGGAGGAGGAGGAGAACGAGGATGTGGTGGTGGTGGTGTTGCTGGCGTCAACGGGGATCGGGAACGAGTTCTGCGCCAGGATGCATTCGGGAGCGCGCCACCCGACCGTCCCGCCCGCAGTGTGGTGGGTATGGTGGAACGAGGACTGGTCATCCCCTAACCGCTTGCCAAGTCCGAAATCCGATATGAGCACACGCGGGTGAGCCCCCGTTTTCGAGTCCTTATGTGCTCCCACCAGGATATTCTATCATTGAAGCATGGCTAGAGATCAGCATCCCACACCCCCCAAGGGTATCACAGCACTCCGAACCGGATATATCCACAAACCTGCGGCTTGATATCCCTATGCACAATCTTCAACTCATGCAGATGATGCAACCCCCTCGCAATCTGGAACAGCACCGACGCCGGCTTGAGCCGCATCCGCAGCGCCGAGATCAGCGCGTCGTTCGGTTTCTCAATCACGTCCGCCAGGGACGCCGGGCAGAGCTCGAGAGCTATGTACATGAAGCCTTTTGCTTTTTCCTGTGATATCAACACATAACCCATCAATGAGTATACGAGAGATCACAAAGGGCAGAGAAAAAGGATGCATAACAAAACATACCCGATAAAAGTACCGCACGACATTCGGATGATCATCGCTCTCCTGCAACATCCTCACTTCATGATCCGCAACCTCATAGAAATCCAACAACAGCCGCTTCACCGCCACATCCCTGCCTTGGAAGGTTCCTTTGTACACCACCGTGCCGTGGGAGCCGTAACCCAGGACTTCGTCGCCGACGGTGAGGCTGGAGAGGGAGGTGTGGCCGAGGGTTGAGGGGAGGGATGATGTGGATGTGGCGGTGGGGGTGGGGGAGAGGGCGTCGGAGGTATCTGGGGTGGTGGGGAGTTTGACCTTTTTGGAGGGTTTCTTCTTCTTGGGTTTGGACGTGGGTGTGACGGGGGGTGATGCGCCCCGTTCGGCGGCGCTGTCCGGGTCGTCGGACGTTTCCCCGCTTTTGATTTGGCGGACCTCCACCATCGCTTCCGACGGTCCACCCACGTCAACCGGCGTATAACTCGACCCCGCAGCGGTCGAGAAGACTCTACGCACGTAGTTCCTTCCCCATTTAGCGACACACGCCGCGAGCACCGCGACCGCAAACCCCACCCGCATCGCAACCCATGCCCACCCCCTGCCCCCGCCCATCTCCAGGCCCCGCACCCACCCCACAAATCCGCGCGTCTCATACTCCACTAACGTATGCGTCCCCACCAAACACCGCGCAAGCATATCCTCGCTCGGGTTATTTGCTCTCGCGCAGTAATCAGCCCCCGCGGCGGGTAGGGAGGGGACGACGGAGGATGAAGCAGCAGCGATGTTGGGAAAGTTCTTTTCGGACATGATGTAGAAGCTGCCGTTGTGGTGGCCGACGTAGGCGTCTTGTTTTGTGAGGGCGGAGAGGGAGGGGGCTGTGGGAGGGGAGGCGGAGGGGTAGGCTTTGGCGAGGTGGAAACTGGGGGTTGTTGTGGAGGATTCTTGACCGATGTGGAAGGCGGCGACGGCGGGGCTGTCGAATTGGAGGCGGAGGGGATAGTCTGTGATGTGGTCCGAGGGAGAGTGAGTTGAACTCGCTGTGCATGATGTAGGCGCGTAATGGGTGCATACCTGTTCCTTGTCCATGTACAGTCAACCAGCCATCCGCCTCGGCAGTGATCGAGACGTCTTTTCGACCCGCCGGGCCAGACGTCTCGGAAGGTGGGGTTGCCAGATCACCCAGTACGAGATCTGGTGCGGTGGGCGCCGAGAACTCGCCGTAGGTGATGTTCAACCTGGATATGTGTGAATGGAGATGAGGACATGAGGCTGCTGGGTTGGCGGCAGAAGGCGACAACATACCTCAATTTCGTATTCTTCTTATCCCACATGCTCAATACGTATTCTAGAAGGAAGTGAGATCCGTCGTCAGATGCCATGGACTCACACCACCTCCGGAACCCCCACTCTCAAGTCAAATGATACTCACGCGTCCGCCCGATATACAAGTACGACGTTTCCGCCGGCCCAGGTAACCTCGCAGGCCCCTCCTCAGCGCCATCCCCACCAAAAGTGCGAAGCACATCGCCAGTCAAGGGGCTCACGGCGAGGAGTCGGTTCACTTTTTTGCCCGTGAAGACGTAGTCCCCGAACATGAAGGGGTGGTTGTCGTCTACGATCTTCTTGATGGGGAGTGGGAGTTTCCTTATAGCCTTCCCCGGCTCATAATAGTACAAATCCCCGTTGCCGGTCGGTTCGGGGATATACAATCCCCTAGGCATATCCTCGTCTCCATCGAGATTCCCACCCACAAACGGGGCGACATCCGCGTTCCCTCCATCCCCATCCCTTGCGACGACATCGGGCACGGTCGTCCCAAACCCGTCCTCGTCGTTTCCGTTCATTCTATCCTCAGCCGCAACATCCCTAACATCCACCAGCGGGCCCCAAGTATCCCCTTTAGTCCACAACACTGTTCCCGTTGGTTTATGCACGGCATGAAGCGAGCCGTCGACGGTGGTGACGATAAGGATATCTGTTGGGTGGATGTTTTCCTTGGGGAGGTCGGGGTCTGGCGGGAGGAGGGCGAGGTGGGAGAGGTCTTGACGGGTGTAGCCTGGGGCGGAGTTGGAGAGGTGTGGGAGGAAGGCGAGGAAGAGGAGGAGGAGGAGGGAGGTTAGGGCGGAGGTTAGGGAGTGCATTGCAAGGGGTGGGTGGGGGTTGTCGGTTGGTTGTGGGTGAAAGAAGGTGTGCAAATGGTGTGCGGGCGGGTGTTCCTTTTCAGTCTTTTCAGTCGTTTTCTTTTTTTCTGAGGGTTCAGTGGTAGCGGCGGGGGGCACGGTGGCCACAGCGTACTGTAGGTGGTGGTGACTCTCCGTATGTAGTGTATGCGGTGGTGGGTAGAGGCCTCTAGTCTCTGAGGAAGAAGTGTGTTTGGGGGACGGGGTGTGATAGATGGCCCCCTCAGATGACAGGCCGCTCTCAGTGCGCTCTCCTTCCTCTCTTGCTTGCTATCCCTCTATCCCTCTACCACTCTCGCTCACCACAACCACCAGGCAGCCGTCCGCTCAAACCAAACCCCTCCCGTGGCTATGGAACCGAACACCGCAGCATGCACTGCTCACGTACGTACCTTCCGCCGCCGCCAGAGACCCCCTGTTCGAGATTCACGCCGCCATGCTACGTACCAAACTTCACACCCGACGAGAGACGCCACCTGAACATCGTTCTTTGCTCATACAAGGACCGCCCGGAGGCAGGCGGCAGACCTCTCTTCCACAGCTTACAGTGCGGCCTTCTCTCCGATACTCGTCTCTGGCAGGCACATCGTCTCTGCCAAAAATTATGGATATTGCAAGGCGAGACGCAGACAGCGAGCTAGAGGCCATGCCTGCAACGTTCATGATAGCGTTCCTGCACTGTTTGGACTTTGCACCTGGACTACCAACCGGAGGACGCACATCCGCGGAAACGGCAGCGGCGGCAGCAGGCAGTGCCGGCGATATCGGACTCGGATTCCAAATGGACGCCGGAAACGTTGCTGCAGAATGTCAACGCCGTTTTCGGGTCGGTCTCTCTTGACGCTTTTGTTCCACACCAACCTCTTTTCCACAAGCAACATCCTTTTCCTCTTGTTGTGATTATTGGCACGGGCTCCTCAAAACGCATTCCGACCCATGACCCGCACCCTTACGAACGGGCCCAGGCATTCCGACCACGGAGACGACGGGCGATGTCATCCTATGGCAACGGATTCCAAACTCAAAGCACTTTCGTATGGGTGTCCTATAAGTTGGAGATTCCGGAGCAGAGGGAGGCGTTTGTGGGGTTGTTGCATAGCATCGCGTCGTTTTTGGAGGATCGTCCGCCGGCGTAAGCGTAGACTGAGGGCTGATGAAATGCGGTATAGGCTTGATGGACGACACGGAAGTAGTTGAGCATCCCTTTCCTCTTGTGTGTCGTCTATCAAGGATATCTCGAACATCGCAAGTCCCGGTCTGTACCTCTCAAGATCAACATATCGTCTAGGTTTTGGAGACGAAGTGTCATGGACGGGTGTGTGTTTCACTACGGGATAGATGCAAGTGCGAAAAACGGAGGAGCCCGCATACCCTCGATCCATTCGAATCCTTGTGTCATGTTCCATGTCATCGCAATATATTTGTTAGCTTGGCCCATCCTTCAGTTGCAGGAGAAAGAGGTGAACGGCGGCTCCTGATGTAGTTTAAAGCGCTGGCACGTGACGTGCGTTCCTTTGTGTGCCCGGCTGGTTGCCCTTTCCGCACGTTCGCAAAGCAACCGACCGACATCTTGCAAACCCAGCAACCCCCCCAGGCGAATCAGCGCATTACGAGTGATCACCAACACCCAACAATGCTGTCCTCACTCACAGCCCTCCGCCTCCGCCCACCATTCCCAGCCTCCCCACCCCCATCCCTCCTCTTCCGCCCCTTCCTCCGCCCCGCCTCAGCCAACACTTTCACAACCCTCTCAACACCCATGCGGTCAACGACCCTCCGTCCACTACCACACATACAACCACTACCACAACCACACCAGGGGTGGAGTATGAACGGGACGCTACTGCAGCAGACACGGGGAAGCAAGCATCCGTCGTATGGGGGCAAGAAATTGCCGGGGTATATTCTGCCAAAGTTGAGGGAGAGGACGAGTGGGTTGAAGCAGAAGCTGAAGGTGGGTTATTGTCCCGGCGTGTGTGGGGGCTAAGGGGTTGGACTTGAGAGTGAGGAAAGGATGGGTGGGGACTGGAACAAATCCGAGGTCGAGGGCGGACGATGCCCGAACAGCGATCGAATCTATGGGACCGCTGAGGGCTTTCCTTGCGACCGCAGAACGAACTCTGTGCGGTTGTGTGATTCTGGCATTTGGACCTTGCGACCCGCTTTCGCTTCCATCTCCCATTCGCATTTACCAATTTACCGACTCTTCCCTGATTTCTCTACGCTCAATAGATGAAATGGTTCAGAATGAAAATCGGCAAAACGGGCCAGCGGCCGAGACGTCCGCGCTACGGGCGGGACGATTTCATCCTTAGCAAGATGAATTTGTAGGGAACGGCGGGAGGAGTGGTTGCGCTTCATATATATATCTGGGGATTTGGTTATGGAATAGATAGGATGTTGGGGATGAGACGGTGAGGATGTGCGGGAATGTTGTTGGGCAATGCTGACCATTCGGTGGTGGGCTGGGGCCGGCCGGACGGGATTTTTGCGATGACTTTTCGAGAACTCGGCATGCTGAGGATGCGACCCCAGCTAATGCCGACAGGTATAGAGACGCACCGCCGCCCACGTGGCCTGGGAATTCGATATATGTCTGTATCTCACGCCAGCGTGTGTTGGAGTTTGATTGGGACGAATGTACGGTTGTACACAAATTCGGATGGATCATGGCCGAGTAGGAGGTGGTTTGGATGAATAATGACACGAGATTTGCCCAAAATGAACGGAAGAAAGCAGCTCTTTCCTGTTACATCTGAAGCATCCGATGCAGAGCATTCCTCCCGCATATCGTCATCGCGAACCCCGCACCATACACCATCTAACACCCAATATGGCCTCCGTCGACCGGCGATGCTTCTTCGTCTCTGAGAATACAAACAAGGATGAACCCCATATTCCCAAACGGTCGAAATGCCCCTATATCTACATGGAGTACTCCATCGGTCACTGTGTGTACACACAAAGGCTTGACCGCCAGACCCCAGACATCTGAACCTTCTTCGGCCGGCGTAGGGACGGCAGTCTACTCCATTCCTCTGGAGATGAAAAGCCAAAGGGGGCGGTTTCGATCGCAGAAGATGCTGTCAATAATGCTGTCATTCACGCTCCGCTCCGTTCTTTCCGCTCTCCTTTTTCCTCGCAACCCCTCAGGCACAAAAAGCATAACACTTGGAAACTCAGCGACTCACACTGCACATCCCAACCTTGCTTGGTCACTTCCGTTAGTACAGGTGTTCCAAGCAGTACCCGGGCCACGCCATTCCCGTATGGCCGCAGGCAGGAAAGTCCGCTCGCTTCAAAGAGCTTAACCGTCATCAGCTGGAGCTTTCAGAGAACCGAGCTGCCCCCAAACCGCCACCGCCTCCAAAACCTGAAACGCACCGTTTCCTGTGAGGGTGGTGGGATTGCGCTTGCCGTAGCGGAGTTGTGGTGCTAAGTTGAAGGAGGTTTGGGGTTATTCGTGGGAGGAGGTGTGGGGCATCTTGGGGCTCATCTGGGCTGTGGAGAATTATTGTGTGAGGTTTGACGACGCTTGAGGGAGGTCAAAATGGTAGGTTCTTTGCGATATTGACGGGACTACGCAAGGGGCTTGCCCCGAGTCCCACCAACAACCGATACTCATTTCAGCCCTACATATTCACAGGCCACAACGGCACCGACCATGAACCCGCACCAGCAACGCACTCGCCGCCAGCTCCCGGGCATCATCCGTCGGCAAAAGCTCAAAGCCATGATGCCCAGTTTCGCCCATCCCCCAATTCACCCAGCTCCAACCGGCACCACCGCCCAGTCCAAAAAACTCCCCTCCCTCCCCACCCTCATTCCTACCCGGCCCGACCCGACGGCTCCCGCGACAATCGTGTGGGACCGTATCGCCGATACACTCGTCCCGAAGTACTTTGAGCGGAACCTCGAGCGCATCGCGGCCATTTTCGAGCGGTTGGCGGTCGTGCATCAGGGCGGGCTGCCGTTATCTGACCTCGGGCCCGTTGCTGAGTTTCTGGGGACCGTTTGCGATCGGTTGATCGGTGACGGTGATGCCGGCCATGCGAATGAAGCCCTCAAAACCCGACAGAAAGCCCTAACAGTCCTCCGCGACCCACTCCATTCCTACCTCCGGATCCTGCACAAACCCTTCCACCCCCGCAGCAACTCCAAACCCCTGCCAATCCTCACGCGCGACCTCCGGCTCTTCACACGGGTGATCGGCCGCCTGATCTACATGCGCGAGGCACACATCACCGACGCGGCCGTCGCCGTGCTGTTCAAGTTGGCCGGCGGGCCCAAGATCCAGACCCCCATTGCTACGTGCAGGATTGTGGCGATGCCGTGGCTTTTGGAGGATGTGGGAGGTGGGGGCGTGGAGAGCGTGGATGGGTGGAGGGCGGCGGAGGTGTTGAGGGGGAGGAGGGAGGGGGAGGAAAGAGCAGGGAGGGAGTTGTTGGCGATGTTGGCGGAGTGGTATGTGCATTTCTCGCATGATGTCCACTGGACTTCCTCACCCCGCCCGCTGCACGACTTTACTGATTCCTCGTTTCTATCGGCAGCGATGTGGCGGAAAATTTGACGAAGGCGCTCCGGCCGGATTCAGCGACAGAGTCGATCGTTACGTCCTATCAAGTCGACGCATTGCGCGCGTTACGCCGCTTATCCACCTGCGAGGCATGCGTTGAGCGGATGCTTGGAGGTAGGTGGTTCACCACTCAGCATGCTATATCAAACATGCTTATCTGCGCGAAAACTAATCACGCAACTGTTGGTATTCAAGCCGGAACATTCGAACTCCTCATCTCCACAACCCACTTCACATCCCACTCCTCCTCAACGTGCGCCATCATCGTCGAAATACTGTGGAACGCGCTAGAGACGCATCACGGGACACGGGTTGCCGACGTTCTTTCCACCGAGGTAAACGCGTCCACTCAAATCATCTCGCCTAGTCACGCCGTCTGATATCCACTTTCAGGCCGCCATCCAAACCCTCAACACAACCCTCCAAAACCCCCACCCGCCCGACCTCCTAACCGACCTCCTGATAATCACCTCCCAAACGCTCGACCTGGCCCCCTCGACCTCCACGTGGGTGCAGCAGGGCGTGCTGGATACACTATGGCGGCTGCTGATTAGGGAAAACCCCATGGGGACTGGGAAAGGCGAGGAAGAGCCCGGGATGTGGTTTATTGCGCAGAAGGAGATGTTTGCGTTGCTGGAGAGGTTTTTGGGCGGGGGACGCGGGGTGTTGGGGAGGTTTTTGGAGGTAAGCTATTTTTGGGTGGGTTTGTGGGGGTGGCGAAGGGGGGTGTTGATGAATGTTGATTTTTTTTTTTTGGTTTAGGATGGATTATTGGATTTTGTTTTGGACCATCTTTCTTTCACCGACCTCCCGCCTTCGATCGGGTGTTGGTCCTTGCGGCATCTCAAGGGGCTTCAGATGCAGGTAAGACAAACGTACATCCCCCCACCGTCCCCCCACTCCCCTCACAAAACCCGTAACATCCATTTTCGTTTCCCCAGGCCCTCACAATCCTCCAACACATCCTCACCTCCACCCTCCGTCCCTTCCACGCCCACCCGACACTGCACACCACCCTCCTCTCGTTCCTCGCGCAGGCCCTCGAGCAAGACCCACCGACGCGATGCCCCCACGACAACGGCGGCAACGCGACGTCGGAGTATGTGGGTCTGGTCCCGGGCGTGCTGCGGACGCTGGTGCTGATGTGCGAGAGCGAGGGGAGGAATTGCGGGGTGTTGGGCGAGAAGGGTATTTTTGAGATATTGCTTGGTAAGTTGAGGGTGGTGGTGTTCCGTTCGTGTCATTAAGGCCACATAGCACCGAGCTGACCATCATCGACCTTCGTTTTTGCAAAAATAATAATAAGATATCCTGAACCATACACCCGCACTTCCGCACCCCACCCGCACCACCACCCTCACCCTCCTCACCACGCTCCTCACGCCCCTCCCAAACCGCCACATCTTCGCCTCCCACCCCCACGCCATCCCCACCCTCTTCACCCACCTCCCCCTCACCCCCCTCGGGGCCCTAACGACTCTCTGGGCCTCCCTCCCACCCTCCCTGAACGCCATCCTCGCGCACGACGGGATTCAGAAGGTGCTGGACACGCTGGTGTGTGTGGGTGATTGGGAACGGTTAGGGGCCGGGTTGGGGTTCTTGTGTGACGTGTGCGAGGTGGAGGGGTGCAGACGTGTTGTGAGGATGTGGCGGGATGGGGAGGGGAGGGGGGTTGTGGGGTGGCTTGTGGGGCTTTGGAGGGGGGTCGAGGGGGAGTTGGGGGGTGAGTAGAAGATGTGCTTTTTGGGGTTTTGTGTGTTTGGCGGGGGGGGGGGGGGGGGGGTTGGGATCAAAACGATTGTTTCCCAACCAAAAAAAAAAAAAAACTCACTATCTCTCCGTCCCCTTCCTACCCCCAAAAAAAAGTGCCACAGGGCCCGCAAGGCTCGCTCGTGATCTCCACCCTCCCTCCCAGCCCGGGCACGACCACCCCGCTGATCCGCAACCCGCTCACCGGCACGCGCACCGTCAAACCGCTCGCGCACCAGCACCACGAGCCGGCGCTCCAGGACGATTTCACGGAGGAGTTGGAGGAGGTCGGGTGGAATCTGCGGGCGAAAGTCTGGGCGTTGGTGCAGTATCTCGGTCCCCCGGGTCTGGATGCGAATGGGACTCATCGGGAGGGTGCGGAGGATCCCGACGCGGACGGCGCCGAAGACCTGACCCCCGAAGACAAAGTCAAACTCGTCCTGGTAAGCCCTTTGCGTCGTTTCATAAACCCCCCCTTTGCTCACCCCTCCGGTAACAGATCAACAGCTACCCGACCTTCAAGCACCACCTCCTCCTGCGCACGCTGCACACCTCGCTCTACAAATCCAACATCGCCCCCACGGCCCCCGACCGCGCCGTCCTGGCAGCCTCCGAGCGCATCCTGCTCTCCAAGATCCACGCCATCCACGCCGAGCAGCAGCGGATCATCGCAAAGCATGTCGAGAGGGTGCAGAGGGAGGAAAGGGAGTTTTGGGGGATGGTGAAGGGGGCGGTGGGGCTGATGGGTGTGCAGGAGGGGTGTAGGCCGAGGTTGAGGATGGAGGAGAAGTTGGGGAGGGAGTGGAGGGCTGTTAGGGCGGGGAGGGTTAGGATTGGGAGAGAGGGAGGAGGTGTCGGGGAACGGAGTGTGTTGGAGAGGGGCGATGCGAGGGAGGGGAGTCGGGTTTTGGTGGGATTGGAGTAGCGAAAAGTCTTTTTGGGGAGCGGACCATGGGACACTGTTTTTTTGGGGAACGTACTGTACTGTGATATGGAGCTTTTTGGGGATGTTACATTACCAGTAATGATAGGAACACAAGTTGCCCATGACCATACTCTATGCGTCTATTCTGTCTACGCCCCTACTTCCCTCCCCTTCTCCCAACACTATAAATACTTTGCATCGAGAGTCTACGCTACTTCCCACTCTCACAACCCCTCGTCAAACGTACAGACCGGCAGCCTATAAACCGGCAAACTCCAATACGCCCTCTTGATCCCCTTCCACGTCTCATCGCCCAACTCATCCACCTGCACCTCCCTAAACTCGCACCTCAGCCCCATATCCCTCAAATCCGCCTCCGCCAGCGCACACGCCACGTCGTGGAAGAACGGGTTGGTCCCCGCCAGCCCGTTGAAGAACGAATAGACGCCGGATTGGGCGAGGAGGTTGGGCACGTGCTCGTGGAACTCTTTGAGGTCGTCGTAGTACTCGCCGAAGGTGTCGAAGAAGATGCCGTCAAAGGGTTCAGGCATGGCGTAGAGTTGGGGGAGGGCGTCTTGCCAGCGGGAGAAGATGACGGTGACGTTGGGGCGGGTGGTCCAGCCCTCCGCGACCATGTGGGCGTAGACATCGGGATGCGCTTCGATGATGACGTGGTGGGATGGGGAGAGGGTTTGGAGGTCGGTGTCGATGAGACCGAGGCCGAAGCCGACGTTGAGGACCCGTTTGCCGGGGGTTGGGGCGATGACGGCGGCGTGAAGGGTCATGAGGGGGGCTTCCCAGCCCATCATGACGGCATTGGCGTCGGAGTCGAGGAGACGCCCGGAGGAGAAGGTGAGCCGGCGGGAGAGGTAGCTGGCGTTGGAGGGGTGCGCCGAGGCGGGTTTGACCGTCGCTGTTGCGCTGGTTTCTGTTGGTTCTGCCGTCTCCTCGTCAACTGGCGTCTCCTCCGTCTTATCGTCGTCCTCTTCATTTTCATCGTCATCATCATCACCTATGAGAAAAGAGAACGAATAAGTGATTGCGTGTTGGTTGGTTGGTTGGTTGGTCGAACGATACCCTGCTCGCTACGCTCGCGAAAAGGACTTTGGGCGGCGGTGGGCGGGAGCGTATCTCGCTTTGCTCGCTAAGGACAGCAGTGAGGGGAGTATTGTGCCCCTCCGGCGCATTGTGGCTCGCCTGCCTCAAGCGACCCTGCACCTCGCTCCGCTTGCCGTAGTCCGCAAACCAGGCTCGTTCTCACACCGTACGCTCTCGCCCACATCGTTCTCTCGCACTGCCACTCACCATAAGCGTCGGTACTCCCCTTCCCCAACGCCATCAACACCAACTCCGTCCTAACCCCCTCACAAACCAACGCCTCATAAACCTCGTCCCACCCTGCCTCCTTTGCATACTCGCCCACACTAACCCCCCTCGCATCAATCGCATTCCACGGCGCCCCTTTCAACAACATCCATTGCACAGCTGCCAAGTTCCCCTTTCGGGCAGCAATGTGCAGCGGGGTGGGTTGGTTTTCGGGGTCGGTAGGGTCGGTGCTTGTGTGGAGGAGGGTTGTTGGGGAGAGGACGGTTGGGAGGACGGGAGTGGGGTCAGTTGTTGGGGTTAGGGAGTGCAGGTAGGTGAAGAGGGCGGTAACTGCTGCTGGTGAGTCTGCTTCTTCTTCTTCTCGCGGTGCCGGCTGGGAAGGGTCTGCGGTGGTCATTATGGGCGAGCGCTGGGTGGGTGGGTGGGTGGATGCAACGATGCCTTCTGTGTGTGCGCCGTTCCAGGTCTGATTGTGGTTTGATTCTCGTCTGATTGTGGTCTGATGCCAAGCGGTTCAGAACGACGCCGTTCCCAGCCTTTCCTCGCAGCCGGTCAAAGCCCAAAGACACCACCGGCTTGCCGGACAGGGAGGGCCATCGAGGCCATTGTTCATACATACAATATACACACACTCTCCCTCACGTAGAGCTGGAAGAGGGAGCGGCGCTTGACGCTTCGCCATCGCCCCTAAAGGAAAAAGTCAAAATGGAGGAGTTCAAGGTTGAGCCTTCAAAAGAAGTAAATAAGAAGGAAACTTACGCCCCAGTGGAAGACCCACACGGGGGCGAAGTAGAGTACCACTACGATGGCGGCCACGGGTTTGCGGACGGGATCAGAGACGACGACTACGGTTTCAACTGCGGTTACGGGATGGGCTGGCAACCCGAGGACTCGGTCGGAACCACCACTGACAAAAAGCCGACGAGCACACCCTTCAAATGCCCGGGTACATATTCCGAGGAGCACGAATACGGAGACGACATCCCCATCGTCGAACCCCACATGGTATCCGCCTCAGTCGAGTCGCCAGTGGAAGCCGTAACCCGCACATCCAATATCCCCACTCTGGCGCCCTTCAGCGAGTCCTTTCACGACAAAATTCTGATGTATAAGGTGCCTGGCTTGCTCGGAACGGCGACGGGGCTATCCACAATACCCCATCACCCAGCTCTGATATCACTCCGCGGTCGCCTGTATCGCCGTGTTCTAGGCACGCCTACTCACATCCAATAGCGTTGATCTCCCTTTTTCAGCAGCAACTTGCGGTCGTGCCAGGCATAATGCCGCAGGGAGACGCGTCCGGACAAAGTGAAGTGGTTTCGACACATCCCGCTCTAAGCCCGTCCTGACTCCTGCGAATGTTCGGTCGGATTGAGAACTCTCTTGTTACAGGATGCATGCCTCCGAGTTCCCTGTTTTCCGCTTTCCAGGAATAGGAAAATGCAGCAGGCTGTTTGACGGGAGTCATCGTGCGTGACATGTTGTATGCGCAGTCCGGGCATAAACTCCGCTTCCATGTCAAAAAGGCCATCCGGGACGAATGTTCCGAATCTCGGATGCAGGACACCTGTTCGCGAAGGGCCTGTCCCACCAAGTCCAAGCCCAGTCCGGGCAGGAACGATCCGGCGCGTTCCCATCGGCCTTTTCTCCAGCCCTATCCAGCCCTACACGTGAAGCGTATGAGTTGATATGCTAGCCTATGCAAGATGCGCGTATGTACCTGGTTTGCCGATCCCGCTCGACTGAAAGGTCCCGCGGCTTGTAAAGCAATTGCTTGTGGACCATGGGAAAGGGACTGGTCTGGTCAGGATGGTGGCACTGACGAACAATCATCTATGCTGTGATGACCCTTCCCGCAATATTGGAGAAACGTTCTGATAATCGACAGAACAGCGATGATCCTCACGTCTTCCTCCTCAAAGAACGTCCATTAACGCGGTGTGATGGCAGTGATTCAATAGTGGGGCCAGGTATGCTCCTCCTGACCTTTGCTTCGAATTAATGACCGTCGCTGTCTACCGGTCTCCCCCAAAACTGTTCTTCGCGGATATCTGGGAGAGTGTTTCACACACTCCGTGTCGTTCTCGACGAACCCGAACCGTCCCCGTTGCACGCTCACCGCAAGCGGTCCGTCGCACCCATGTACTCTTGCTGCGGGTAGTGGTCGGTGATGGTACCCGGCAGAGATCCAGATGTACAGACCCAGATTTCCCCGGTACTCCCAGCGAGATTCCCGCCGCGCAATCCAGCAAGTAGACACCCCGCCTCAGAACTCCAAGACAGAGCCGAGACATCCATCAACTCCTGCCAATAGTCACCAGCGCGGTCACCAACTCCCCTCTCGAAGGCGTCGAAGGTGGGGACAAATGTGGAAGGGAGCGCCAGCACGGCGAGTGCTTGAGGTTGATCAGCGAATGCCACGAAGGACGTGATTGGGGCACGCGAACCTGGTGTTGCCACGTCCGGAAACACGCGAAGCTGGCTTGCGTTCACGGTTCGGTGCACGGGCTGAGCCGAGGACTGGCCAACAGGAGGTATCGAGACCGTCCAAGAACGAGACGGCTACGCGCGAGAGTCCTTGAGGTATTGTGCGACTTGGCCCGATGACCGACGAGGCCGTAGACAGAGATGGGTTCAGGCAGTCGATAGCGGGAAGCCGCAGCAATAACACGCGAAAACAGGAAGCGAGTGGGCGGCTGCTTTGGAGACGCGTCGGATACACCGAAAAGTTCCTCGCGTGGACGAGAGGCGAAGGCAATCGGTCGGGGACGAGCTCCGGAACGACGTTTGGCCGAACGCGAGAAGCTGCGTGCGAGATGGGATGAGAGACCGACTGTAGGAACTGGGTACTTGATTGACGATAGCGCGCCAGGATGAGGGGCGAAGCGCGAAATACATGTTGGAAAACCGTGAGTAGTGGTGGTTTGGATTGCAACGTGAGAGACTTGAAAGGTGGCCCAAGCTGCAACTTCAGAAGAAGACAGAGCGCAATGCGCAGGAAAGGTCAACATAAACACTGAAGAAATGCGACGAAACCGTGAAAAAGTGATAAGACGCCCTGGCACAATGAGCATACCAGGCACGACAAAACAAAAAAAAGGAATAAATGCCATAGACACATAAAAGTCAATTGAAAGGTATGCTTCGACGCTGGTTGTCTGCAAGTCCGTGTCCTTGTTCGGGAAGGACAACGCTGTGGCGACGACAACCAAAAAAAAGCGGATTAAATGCCTGTGAAGAATAGGACACATAAAAGGCCATTGAAATGTATGCTTCGACGCTGGTTGTCTGCAAGTCCGTGTCCTTGTTCGGGACGGACAACAACCAAAAAAAAGTGGATAAAATGCCTGTGAGAATGATACATAAAAGGCAATTGAAAGGTATGCTTCAAGGCCGGTTGTCTGCAAGTCGGTGTCTTTGTTCGGAAAGGACAACGCTACAACCAAAAAAAAAGCGAATTAATGCAAATCGTCTTTGTTCGGATGCTCCTTCAACGACAACCAAAAAAAAGCGGATTAAATGCCTTTGCAGAATGGACATAAAATCGTCTTTGTTCGGGAAGGACAACGCTACTGCAACGACAACCAAAAAAAATGGCGGATTAAATGCCTGTAAAGAATCCGGTTGTCTGCAAGTCCGTGTCCTTGTTCGGGAGTTTACAAGGACAAGCAAAAAAAAAGTGGATTAAATTCCGGTAAAGAATGGATTCAAAGGGTGATCAAAATGTACATTGCCAGCCATTCTTCCTCCGCGAGAACGATGCTGGTGCAACGAGCGGGTCGAAGCAGGGGGGATTTGTATGACTGCAGTGGAAAGATCGACGTCGGTCGAAACGCGTTGGGTGCTTAGTCATGACGCGTAACTAATTCAACACTCGTGCTAAGGCAAACCAACAAATTGCATACGGAAGAGTGAATAATGAGTGCTCCTAGTACTGATCGGCATGAGATTGGTAGCCCGATGCAGTTCATTGTTGTCTCTCGTGTGATTGATGTCAAGGATCGCCTTACGTTTGTGCCTGTTCTTGTTGGTGAAAGTGGGGCAAACCCGATACGTTTTCCAGTTCTGCATCCCCGTACCAGACGGGACTATGTGTGTGTGTGAGAAACGGCCTTTAAGAGCGGCACAGCATAAGTTCCAAAGTCCTCAAGGACACCCAACACCGAGCAGCAACTCAACCGAGCAGCAACTCATAAATGTCCTCATGGTAGGCAATAAAAGTCGCTCAAAATACATAATCAAAATAAACACAATCGAAAAGACTAAATTACAGAACAGAGGCAAGGGAAGCTACAGCTGACAACACTGATATTTACCCTCCCTCCCAAACATCCCCACTACTTGAATCGCACAGGCCATGAATAGCCATCCCCCCCTCACGCAAACTGATCCTCCAACTCCGCTTCATTACTAGCAGCCACGCCCTGGCCAACAGCTCCCAGCCCCGACTCCTCCAACCCGCTAAAGTTCAAGAAATGACTCGGCCGATGCACCTCGTGGTAAAACTCCTTGGGTGTGTCGATCGTGACTGTGTACTTCATGTCAGTGCGATGTTTCGCGCCCATGAAGTTGTAATTCCACACGCCGTCGCCTTCGGGGACCATGAAGAATCCGAGGAAGCGGTCCGAGAGGATGATCTGCACGCGTTCGTAGTGGGACGGCAGGTACCCCTGTGGGTTGACGCCCATGTCTTTGTTGTTGCGGCCCCACTCGAAGCCGGCGGGGGTGAGCTTGTAACCCGCCAGTGAGCAGGATCCGGGCGTGAAGGAGCAGGTCATGATGATAGTCTTGTCGCCGTCCCAGTAGCCTTTGTTGTCCGCCATGATCTTGGCGTGCATCGTCACGTCGAGCGGGCTGAGTTGGGGTAACTCGTTCGGCTGCGTGTGGATCCACCCGAGGGGCTCGTAGTCTTTCAGGTACTCGTGCTCAGGCAGCATGTGCGGCAAATGCACTTGCTGGTGAGTACCCCATTGCGGAACGAGGACGATGGCGCGGATCTCCTTGACTTGCTGGTTGCCAGGTGCGGTAACACCGTACATGAACCCAGCTATCTGCGTTCTCAGATCGGAGACGCAGATGAACCGCTTGAACACATTCTTGGGCAGAATGTACGTGTATCCCGTCTCACGGATCTCGTCCGTATTGACATAGATCTGGTTCGTCCTGAGATGCAAGTTCGTCGACGCAATGGCACGCACACGCCATTCGGTCTTTGAGGAGAAGGTCTGCGTCTCGTAGTTCGACGTGGTGGTGACAATCATCTCGTCACCGTGGATGTTTTGCGTTTTGGTCGTGACCGCCGTCAACTGCGTCGAATCCTGCGTCTGCTTCTCAATCTCCGCAATCTGCTGCCGTTGCAACGACGGAGCAGAGATCTCCATTCCCAAGATGATGTCCCTCACTTCGGAAGTCGTCAGGGACGCGACGTTGACATTGTTCTTCTTGCCGTAGTCAGCAAGGATCAAGTCCTTCAGCTGCACTTCGACCTTGATCCACTCCTCATCGGTGAGCGTGGGCCAGATGTGATGCGGCTCCGTAACGATAGACTTGTCAGGTCGAAGAATGATTTTCGTCTTTTCGTTGTTCACATGCAACGCACGGAGGATCAGGATAAGACGCGAGAAAGCCGTGTAACTCGAGATGGTCCGTAGCCAGTCGTCGTACAGGTTGAACAGAACCATTTGTGGTTCCGTGGCCTTCAAGATCAGATCTCCGAACTTCTCGATCTTCAGACAGGCCTGGAAAGGCATCTGCAGCTCGGATCCCTTGATCACAATGTTGGGGAAGTCGAGCTACACGAACAAGGACAACACAAATGAGTGGATGCACTTTCACCAAGACACCGATACTTAAAAGGCTTACCAAGTGAACTTCCAACGGATCCAACATCCCTTTCCTCGTAACAATAATTTGCTTCGGCTGCTCTTCAACAGGCAGCGATCGAATCAAGGCCGCGACTTCTTCAGCCGTCTTCCATTTCGCCAACTGTCCCAAACGCTTCTGCCCAGCCCAGACGGAGGTGTGAATGATCTTCAAGAACAGTTGTCCCGTCCGTGGGTTGAAGATGAAAATGGCACCGTTGATGGGTTTGGTGGTCTGGGGGAAGAGAGCACAGGTTCAGGACGCCCGTTCCTTTCCCCTCAAACACAATGAAAGTCATATCACAACTCACCAAATTCCCTTCAAACGTCTTGTGAATAGTCACACGGTAAACATTGGTATCGTCCACAAACCAGATAATCTGATTCGAGAACAGCTCCCCATAGTTCTGCGACGACAGGTACGGCTCCGTCGGCTCTGACGAGTACAGCTGCAATCCTTTACGGATACGCTCGCGGAGGACGTAGAGGGCCGGATTGGCCTTCATGATCTTGGCCATCGCCTGCTGCACGAGCGGCTTCATGCCAGGGAACCAGTTTCCATAGGCGCTGTGCAGGGAGTAGGCGAGGTCGATGCCGATCATGACTCCCGTAGGCGAGGGGTAGATGGACATGTTATCCGTGGTGTACTATAAACGAGTCCAACTATGAGTTTACTGTCTTGGTAACAAGGGTGGGCCCACCGCGAGATCAACTTACATCCAAGAACTTGGCCCTCGTGTATCGCTCAATATCGTGCGAGTCAAAGTCACCCCACCGCAGCTGGACATCCACCCAGTACTTCTGCGTCGTAGCCCCATCGAACGAGTCCTTCGTATCGTTCAGAAGCGACGGCTTGGACACGTTCCACTTGTACGCGGCAAACAGCAAGATATCCTACAACCCCGAAAATGAGCCAAAAAATTCCCGCACATTTGCTATCACCCTGAAAAGTACGTACCGCGCACGAACTATTCATCTTATAAGATTTCCGAGGGTGGATAGTCTCCTTCTGCACCGTCTCAATCTCCAACGCCTCCAACTCCTGGTCAAACACCTGACAAAGATCCATGACGACGCTCTCGTGGATCTTTTGCCACAAATGGGCTCGGAAGATCTGAATCAGGGAGATCTTTAAGGTCGGGATCTTTCCGTGCATGAAGATACCCGTCAAGTCGAGTTGCACTTGGAAACCGACGTAGACGTTGGCCCTAAATGCAAGGAAAATGTAAGCGCGAGACCTCGAGTGTAGTGATCTGTGGAGGTGTATATTCCTCACCTGTTGATGGTAGGCGACCACCACAGCGTGAAACGACGATTGGGAATCTGGTTCAGACCGGATCTTTGGGCATTCGTCAGCTTCTTGTACTTCATGGATTCCTCGAATCCTAAACCGCAACATAAGATCAGCTCTTCATGCGTCGAGTAATTAACATACGGCATGCCAAAACCTACCGGAAGCCTTCTCCCAGAAAAGACCTTCCCAGGTAGGGAAGTAAGTCCCCTTGAACAGCGTGTGTTCCAAAATACCTTCCACACCACCAAGCGCCTGGATCATATCCGTGCGGTAGTTGTTCAAGTTCCACAGCTTTCCGTCATGCTTGGCGTGTGTCCACCTGGAACGAAGAAAAGCCCCAGTCAATAACAACCTCGATGAAATCGCCATCCGATGTTTCTGAACCACTCACCAGAACGGGTTATTCTTCAAAACCTGAAACTGCTTGAAATCCGTCCTCACCCTCCACCCCTTATCATACGCAAGCGTATGCCTATCCTTTTGGAACAGCGTATTGATCCTGGGTATACCCCTATCCCACGAATCCTCCAAATCCTCCAAAGTCAGACGTCGATTCTGCGCGTTAGCTTCCTGCCGCTTGAGCGCGTACTCGGCCCACACGCGCTGCGAGTCGATGAACTCGGATTCCCAGGGCTGGATGTAGCGGTACAAGTTGGGGATGGTCTGGTCTTCCTCGTGGGACATCCCGGAGCGGAAATGGGTGATGCCGGTTTCGGTTTGTTTGGACCAGCGGAGGTCCGATTGCGGGATTAGGACGTGGCCCATGGAGAGCATGCCGAGGCCTCCGAGTTCCTTCGGGGTATAGAATACCACGGGGGGGAACCTACTCGGCATCTTCGAATTCAGCCCAATCTTAATCCTCGTCTGAATCTTATTCTCCGCCTTGACGAGCAGATCCAACAACTCCCTCGTATGCACAACCGCTTCTCGGTAATACGTCATCAACCCCACAAGCGCCGTATTCCACTTATTCACAATCTTCGTAAACGTCGTGCTTCCACTCGCCATCAAGATCTGCCTGACTCGGTTATGGAACTTTTGCAAGCTCTCCTCGTCGACCCGCAGGAACGCTTGCGCGGTGCGTTCCTTGGTGCTCTCGTTGATCAGGTTCCACACACCCTCGTTCAAGGTGAACTCTTCATGGCTGGACCTCAATTTGGGGAGGATGCGGACCTCGAATCCAGACATGCTGAACAGTAGGTTGGGGTTATCGCGCGAGTACACGGATACGAAACTCTCCTCCCACTCGATGGTGGTGAGGGACCGCGGGAGCCGATTCTTGATATCCCAGAACACCGCTCGTCCGAGATTAACATCATGCTTCATGAGACGCATACGGCAATCACGAGGCCAGCATTTCTTGTTATTGTACCCTACGATGTTTTCGTTGTTCGGGTCGGGGTGTTCGGTGAGGTACCGCTGAATCAGATCGCGGGACTCGTCGGCGGTGAAACGGAAGAGGATGTGGATGCGGTCGATGTAGCGTGAGTAGAGGCGGATCGGGTGGCGGACTTCGGTGGAGACGTCTCGGAATTGGAGGAAGTCGTTGGGGATCGCTGGTGGACCCGCCATCTCGCTCGCACGGTGCAGACCGAGGATAAGCAGATCCAGGATCAATCCATAGTACTGGAAAATGAATGAACCGAATTGCAGACCACGAATGAGACCGTAGGCATTGACGTGGTTCATATCCTTGTAGGTCATGGCAATGTTGTTCTTCGCCGTCATGTAATCCGCAATGTTGTGATCCACAATCAACCGCAACAGCCTGTTCAACAACGTCAAATCGATCTTCTCGTACACCTTGCTCAGCTTCGTCTCCATCATCACATTGCACTCCCCATCGCTCGTCTCCCAGACATCCGTCAGGTTGTTGATGCCCTGGCACCACTTGTACACGAGCAGCGGTGGCGGCTCAGAGTCACCGGGCTTGATCCACGCCGGGAACAAATGGCGTTTGTCGGCCTCGTACCACAGATATTGATCAAGATAGGCATCCGTGATCTTCTCGAGGGGTTCGACATCGTAGACCGGGATGAGGTGGCTGTAGAGATCCATGAACTCGATGCCGACTTCCTTGAACGCGCGCTGGGTGAGGAGTAATCGTTTGATTCTCGACAAACATTCCTGTAGACGGAAAAAGAAAACCAATCAGTACAACGTCATGTAATGCCGATGCAAAAAAAAAGGTCGGGGATTACATGAGGATTATCGTAAGCTTGTTCCACAAGACCCAATTCCTCTCGCTGAGACTGGTTCAATCGTCCCTTAACAGAGTAAGCTTCCTTCAATCGCTCCAGTGCGAGAATGAGCAACTTCGTGTCATGTTTGTACGAAAGCGGCGGGAAAGGGATGGGCGAAAACTTCCTCGACTCAAGCCAGTGAACTGTTGGAAAAACATATGTTAAGATGATGACAAATTGACACCTCCATAAATCCCCCCGAAAGAAATCTTACCAGTCGTAGTATAAATCGCAACAGCCTCCTCCGCCGTGATATACGGCCCATCCTTCAAATAATTATGCTGCCGTTCCTGCTCGCTCTTCAACCACAACCGCGTAAGCCGTCCCAGGTTCTTCTTGCATACTGTCTTGTCGACCGTGGCGCCACGACGGATTCGCTCGCGGTTGTAGTGGGAGACGCTGGTCCACCAGTCCGCTTTGGATTTGACGTAGCGGAGAATCATGTTTTCGATGGGGGTCGGGAGGCCGGGGACTTTCCAGGGGATGTTGGCTTTCCAGCACCTATGTGGAAAATTAAGTCAGTTAACGATGCAGTGATCTGGCCTCATCGAAAGCCTACAGGAAGCATATATGTAACATACCTCCAAGCTTCACTCAAATGCTGCAAAATAGTCCTTGACTTATTGGCCTTAATCCCCTCGGGCATCATATCCAAAATATCGTGCATAACCGCCGCCCTCAATTCCAGATCATAATGCGATTCCACCCTTTGTTTCGTGACGGTTTTGGCAATGCCCTTCGACTGACGGCCCTCGAAATGACGGGCTAGCAGGTTCCCGAGCCATCGCTCGAGGAGGGGTACGATACCGCGCATGAAGAAGAGCCACACGCGCCAGCCGGGCGCCCAAATACCGCAGCCGGGGCCTTTGCCGACAGGGCCGGTGTTGAAGCGGTGGTAGATCAAGTGTTTGAGATCTTTACACCTATTTGATAGAAGGCAATTGGATTAGAGACGTGACGGAATAGTTTAAGCAGTGCGTACACCACTCACATTCGGATCTGTCTCATCAGACGGTACTTGTAACGGTACATCCCCGTCAACTGCCCAACATGCGCAAAGATATACTGCAGCCCATCCGCGAGCTGGAACGCATCCACATTCCCCAGGCGGTATTGCACATGCGAGTCGACAACCAACTTCGTCAACCTCAAGATCTCACGCATCAAATGGAACGCGTTTCCGAAGCGCGACTTTTTCCGTTCCTTGGTCGTGAGCGTCTTGACGGGCTTCAAGTTGAAGTTGTAATCCAGGTGCAGGTAGTTGAGGTTCTTACGGTGGATGAGGAGGTTGAGCATGTTGTAGCCCTGGCGACAGACTTGCAGACCGGCCTCGACCCAGTCCAGTTCGGTGGACTGGAAGAATTTGGTCGCTTTCAGTTGGCGGAAGAGGTACTTCTTGGTCATCGCTTTCGGCGGGCGGTGCTTCAATGCGTTCAGGACGTAGCATTTCAGCAGCTTTTGGTAGGACACTCGGACCTTGACGGGTTGGCCGGCGGGAACATGCTCGAGGTACCAGTTCTTCACCAACGGGATGTCGATCGCACGACGAGTGCGTCCGCTTCGCTTGTCGAAGGGATGAGGAGCCCAGTAGAGCGCGATGGCGTTCGCTGTGTTGTCTGTGTACAGCGGGCGCCTTTCCAAGAACGGGGTCACGCTTTCGGGAAGGCTAAAGCTTTCGTCCTCATCGGCGTCTCCGAAAAGCTCGTCCTCGTGCGAGACCTTTGCGTTGGATTGAAGGTTGCGGGAGGAGATGGGGTTGATGATCGGATCGAAGTAGAACGCGGGCAGGTCAGGGTCTTCTGAACGAACATAGACCACGGTAGGGTAGTGGTACCATGACACATGGACTGATCGAGGGCGGGAGTTGTACAAGAATGGGAACGCGACCTTGTATTCGGTACGAATGGGCTGACGGATGATGATCTTGTGGATGTCGTTGAATTCGTTCCAGTCCTCATCTGCTGCATCCATGTCCCTGAACAGCGGCTCGAACTTGGGTCCGCCAGGGATGGCCATGTTCAGTGCCTTTGACGTAAAGAAAGCGTTCAGATCGAACAGGTAGAAGTAGTTCTGGTCCACGAGATCAGACAGAAGCTGATGCGCCAATCTGTACAGTGTCGACATGATAGGCAGGTTGAGGTGCCACTTCCTATAGCTGCTGCCGTTCACGAACTTTGTGCCCAGGAGTGGCTTGTGGTCGTAGAACCAGTCGTAAACGGGAGCATCTTCCTCTTCATCCAGATCCATCTGGATGGCTTCCAGCGGCTCGACATCGATGATGTTGTCCCCGTAATCCAATGGCGGCTCTTCATCGTCAAATGGCGGAAACCTCATACGCTTAAAGTGACGACGATCCCTCTTTTCCCTCCTCATCATAATCCACATCGTTCCCCACTGCGCTACATACACGGGTTCTATGACCCAAGGCACTTCGTTGACGAACGTAATCGCTCCAGTGACGTGGTACAGTACGTTTACTTCGCGGACCTGCTCCCACGGCATAGGCATGTTTTCCAAGAGCTTCAGTACAGCGTGCGGAACGTATTTCAGAGCCCCAAGGTAGATCCGTTTGTCGTGTCGAAACTTTTTGCTAGACATGTCACCGTGATCTTTGATGATCTTTCGAATGTGCTCTGGGGGCATGTTTTCCTTTTGAGGCTCCACAAACCCAAACTTCCGCTTTTCGCCATAACGCTTAGCATTCATCTGAGCCCATTTTTTCGCCTTTTCCTGCAGCTTCTCTTCCGACAGCTCCGGCGATGGACCTGAAGCTACGTACGATGGTGGTGGACGTGCAGCGCCATAATGCGCCCCGAAGGGGGTGGGCGGCGGAGGGGCAGCCATCTCCGTTAGCCTGCTGTAATGACGACAACGTACGACAAGAGGTGAGTGCCCAAAGTGCAAGATCAAGTTTCCAAAAGTACCTGAGATGTACTTGTCGTCGTATCTTTACCTGATAGCAGAGGACTTTGTAAGATTTGAAACTCAGCCGATGATGCTGTTGATGTCGTAGATCAAGAACAAACCAAAGGAAGTCCGAAAGGCCAACGGGCACTCCCAAGAAGGGGATCGAATCGCTTGTATGACAGGCTCCAGTTCCCAAGCACAACAGCGGGTATGCACACGGGTGTGTTGGGTGTTGAGACGAGCGTGGGAATGTTTCAGGACTGGGCAAGCGTCGACGTCGGATGTCGAGTGGCCCTTGCGAAGGCTGCTACGAATTGCGAGAGGGACAGCGTTTGGATGCGGGAAATCACGCATAATGCACTGTGGTTTACCCATTTCACGCCAAGCCACCCTGCGCCACCCATGCGCCACGTCCCAACCGGGGCTTCCACTTTCACTCCAACAAAGGGAAAGCAGTTTGTCGTTTTGCAGACCAACGGCGACGACCAACAGGCGAATATCCCAACGACACCCCCCACTCATTCGCACCACAAAGAAGCTGCAGCCATGAGGTTAGATCCAAAGCAACTACGCTACATGTCAAACGACGAGTTCCGTGTCCTCACTGCAGTCGAAATGGGCTCCCGCAACCACGAAGTAGTCCCCACCCAGCTCATTTCCCATATCGCAAAACTCAAGTCCGGCGGTGTCACAAAAATCCTCGGCGAGCTCGCCAGGACAAACCTGGTCGCTAGGATCCAGAACGCAAAGTACGACGGGTACCGCCTGACGTATGGAGGATATGACTACCTTGCATTGCGGACAATGTCAAAAAGGGGGTCGATTTACTCGGTGGGCAACCAAATTGGTGTCGGGAAGGAGTCGGATATCTACATTGTGGCCGACGAGGAGGGCAACCAACGGGTGTTGAAGCTGCACCGATTGGGACGAACGTCGTTCCGGAACATCAAGGAAAAACGTGACTACCTGAAGAACAGGAACGCCGGTTCCTGGCTGTACCTCTCCCGCCTCTCAGCCATGAAGGAGTACGCTTTCATGAAGGTTCTCCACGAGAATGGATACCCTGTACCTGAACCCTTCGACCAAAGCCGTCACACGGTCGTCATGGGTCTAGTCGACGCTTTCCCTTTATGCCAGATCCAGGAGGTCGAGAATCCCGGCAAACTCTACTCCAAATTAATGGACCTGATCGTCCGCCTAGCCTGCGCCGGACTGATCCACGGCGACTTCAACGAGTTCAACATCATGATCAAAGACGACGGCGAGCCCATCTTGATTGATTTCCCGCAGATGGTATCCACGTCGCATCGGAATGCCGAGATGTACTTCAACAGAGACGTGGACTGTATCCGGACCTTCTTCAAGAAGCGGTTCCATTATGAGAGCAAGCTGTATCCCAAGTTTGGCAGAGACGCGGAGCGCGAGTTCTCGCTTGACGTGCAGGTCGCGGCGAGCGGGTTTACGAAGAAGCAGCAGAATGAGTTTGAGAAGGTAGGGGGCGGGAACGGATGTGTTGCAGAGTTCATCCAGCATGGTCATTAACCTGCGAAATGTTTTGGATCACAGTTGCAAGAGGCTATTGGCGATCGCTCCGACTCGGAAAGCGATTACGACGAAGAGATGGTTGAGGAAACGGATGACGAGGAGGACGCCGAGGAGGAGGTAGAAGATGTGGAACGTGAGGAGACCGCTGAGCCTGCAACAAACGCGGATGCCGCAGAGCAACAAGACGAGGCGGACGAGCCATCACCGCTCGAAAACCTCGCGGACGACCTTCAATCGGCCACGCTCAACCCCACCGAGCGCGACATCGCTATCTCCTCCCATGACGACTCGGACGCCAGCGACGCGCATTCCGCCTCCTCCCTCTCCGACACCGAATCCTCCCACCCCAACAACCGCTCCCACCGCCCCTTCCGCGACACCTCCTCGCACCTCCGCTCCAGCTCCACAACCTCCCACGCAACCTCCACCTCACGCGTCGACACCGACGAGGTCAAGAAACGCGTCACCTCCAACCTGAGACGGCAGCATAATGGTGTCGGGAAGGGGATGAAGGGGCGGAATAGCACGAAGGGGCGCGCGGGGAGGGATGTGAGGAGTCAGGTTAAGCAGGGGGGGAAGGGGTTCTTTGATTAGTATGTGGATTGGCGTTGCATGTTTGGGTCTTGCTCGCAGGCTTCGTCTAGGCGATTTTGTATATACACTATCAAATAACTCCCTTCTTCTCGTTAGTTGTAGCGTTCAGTAATTTATCATCCGCATTCTCCACATTTCGACCATGATGTCCTCCTGTGTTCGAGGCAACCTATGACGATCCTCGCACTTCTCTGAATCTACAATGCGTTTCTATATACCCAATCGGGATGTTGTGGCCGCCACTGGCAAGCCAGCTACGCCTTCTCGCCAACCCCACTCCCCTCCCCGCCAACCCCCCTCGCGACGCCCGTCCCCAACATCCCCCACATCGCCTCCCTACTCGCCACATCCCCACTCACCACCTCATCCCCGTCCCCCTCCGCAAACTCCAACCCAACCTCCTTCCCCAACCGCCCCACCTCCTCCCTCCCCACCTCCTCCAACACCCGCCTCGCAACCCTCGCCGCCCCGCCCTCGTTCCTCACCCGACTGCTCTCAATGACCGCCTCGACGCGGCCGAGTTTCCGCATCTGCGAGCCGAGCCCGGCGCGCACGGGCGGGACCAGGGCGGGGTACTTCTTTGCGTACAGCTTCCACAGCGTGTCGGCCATGCGGCGTTCCAGGAGGGTTTGTTTGGCGTCTGCTGCCGTGCTCCTGGTGGCGGACCCCGAGATGCGGGCGCGGGCACACGCGGGGACGAGGGACAGCACATTGCGCAAGGTCTTTGCGTCCATGGTGAGGGTGGGTGGCGGGCGGGCGAGGATGGTCACGACCTCGTCGAACATCCCGCAGCGCATCAGGGCCTCGAGGCGGGAGGTGTAATTGTTCGTGTCAAACGGGAACGCGAGTTTCTTCAGCTGTTTCCATGTGGTGTCGAGCGGGGTCAGTTGGGCGGACCACCCGAGGGCGTCGAGGATGAGGGAGACGGTGCGGTGGTCGACGCCCCAGTGTTGGGAGGTGTAGGCGTCGCGGAGGGCGGGGGGGAGGCTGGGGTCGAAGTTCTCGCGGGCGGATTTGGGGTCGGCGGGGGATACGAGCATTTTGGTGAACAGATCCAGCGCGTTCTGCCATTCGCCGGCGTACCCGTAGCCGTCGATGAAGATGTTGAAGGTGTGGTTGTTGGCTCTGTACTCGACGGCCGCGGGGCGCGGGGGTGGGACCCGTTCCTCCGCGGCTGCTGGGATTGCGACGACGGTGGTGCGGCGGTTAGCCTCAGCCGCCCATACCCCGCGTCGCATCTCGCCATACACGCGCTCCATGTCCTCCGCTCTTCCTTGTTTGGCGTACCAGTCCAGCACGGCGTTCATGAGGTTCGCGTTTGTGCCCGCGTCATGGGCCTCGAAGCGCGCGCGTTGCACCCACGGGATGGCCTCGGCGAACTCACGGGCGCTGGTGTACACCGCGATGATGTTGGCGAAGAGGTAGCCGTCGAGGACAGTCAGATGCGCCGTGATTTTGTTGATCAGTCGTTTGACGGCGTCCATGTCGCCCGTCTGTTCGGCGACCGCGCGGAGGAGCGGGGAGGCGAGACCGGTGTTTACCAGATCTTTTGCGGGGAGAGTTGCAAGGGCTTCGTCGACGTATTCTTCGGCCAAGTCCAGCTTGTTTTCTTCGACGAGGGCGAGGACGACGGAGCGGTAGGCGTGGTATCCGACGAGCGGGGTGTGCCGTCTGTTCTCGAGGCGTTTCATGTCATTGAAGACGCGCAGGACGCTATCACTGCCGCGGCCGTGGTGAGAGTAGACCCGCATCATGGTGGTGAAGACGGTCTGCGTCGCGTCGGGGCGTTTCGATAACTCTTCATACACCCGTTCCACTTCCTCGTGGCGCCCGAGCCTCCACAGCGGACCCGCCATAATCGTAAACGTGACCTCACCATACGATTTTATCTCCTTGACCGTCTCCCACATCCGCAACGCCTCCTCCGTCCTCCCCGCCCGGACATGCTCCGTCAGCTCGATATTCGCGCTCACCATATCCGGTACAACGCCCTTCGTCTCCATCTTGCTCCTAAAGTACTCATACTGATCCAGCATGCCCTCGCGCAACAATCCCTGGCACACGATATTGAACACGTATTGGTTGGGCTCAATCCCCTTCCGCGCCATCCGCTGCAGCACGCCGTTGATATCGTCCCATTTCTTCTGCTTGACCAGCCGCTCGATGATGAGGATGTACACGTACGTGTCCGCCTGGTGGCCGTCTAAGTGTAGGTTTTGTAGGATCGCGTGAGCCTCCATATCGAACCCGTTGCGAATTGCGTACTCGAGGATGGGTGTGACCTTCCGTAGGGAGGGTTTGTCTTTGAGTTCGCGGAGGCGGTTGTAGAGGTGCATAACGCGGGGGAGGTCTTTGCGGACTAAGCCCTGTTCGATGAGGTCCCAGAACATTTCCTTGGTGACGGGGCGGTCGGTGGGACTTTTCGAGAGGTGGTAGGGGAAGGATTGGAGAAGGAGGTCCATGTAGGCGTTGGCCTCGTGGTAGTCGTCGAGGGCGAGGAGTTGGCGCACAAGCATCTGGCTGAGGATGCGTTGCGGGAAGACTTGTTTGCTGACGAAGAGCTGGGCGAGTTCGAGGGCGGCTGCGGGTTGCTCTTCCCGGATGAAGCGCTCGAAGAGGAGGGTGAGGACGCGCTGTTGTTTGAGGAGGATCTGCACACGGACGGATTGGGGGCGGTCCTTGAACCACTGCTTGAGTTCGGTGATATCGCCTTGTCGACAATTCAGCCAGAAGCGCAGCGGATCCAAATTCTCATTCCCTTCCAGTCCCCGTTTCGCCGCGTCCTTCAACAACGTGGCCAAGGCGTGATGATTATCTGCAGCGATGAACCGCTCGCCTAGATGTGCGACCGTTTCCCAATCGGGCTCGAAACCTTCCACCTCCATGCGCTGCAGGAACAACGCGGCGCTTTCGTAGTTCCGCAAACTGAGTATGGGAACCTTAGCCAGTATATTGTAGTGCCTCGCAGAAACCTTCCCGTCGCCCATGACTGAAGAATACTGCACGAGGAGTTGGCGCATCGCCTTCTCCACATGCGTCTCAAGTTCCGCCAGATCCGTGGCGTTGTAATCCTCCGCCGTCACCGAGTCGTAGTGCCGATGCCATGTGTTGAGCAAGATATCAATGGTCTTATCGAAAAATGCGGGCTGCCACATGAGCCGGTTCCGATCATCGGCCAGGTACCGTTCGAAGAACCTAGCGACCTCGCCCGACTTTTTCTGCTTGATCAGGCCCCAGAAGATATGCACAAACATTGTCGGGCTGAACTGGGCCCGCGCGTTGTCCAATTTCGCAAGCGTGCGGTCGACATCCGCCACCGATTTCCGCTCGTCGTACGTCGTCCGCAGGAGGGTGACGAGATCCTTCATGAGGACAGGGGCGCCCATCTCAAGCTTCCAATCAAAGACGGCGGTGACCCGCGGTCCAGCGACGTGCGGGGGGCCGTACGAAACCAGCCGCATGGCTTCCCGCCACAGGCTATGGTCTATAAACAGTCGAAATCTTCCCTCCTTGGCTCTGTTCACGAGTTTCCACAGCTGGTTGAACACTTCCTCTGGGCTGCCTGTTCTGCCGGCGTTGTCGGGTTCTAGCAGCCTGCGGAATTCCGCCATTTCCTCTTTTGCGGTAGCCTTATCGTTCGCGTAGTTGATAGCCGGAACCCGGCTGCGTCCAGACTTTGAGGGGGCATACAGGGGGATGGTAGGAAGTGGTTCTGCGAATGATAGAAACTCTTTCACAAAGTTGGTCGTCTTATGGGCTGAGGTGCTTTTGAACGTCCTTGCGCCGGATGCCCTGGGGATACGAAGGCAGCCCGGTTTCGTCCCGTGACTGATAGTGCTATTCGTGCAGAGGCTCCGCGAGAGCTGGTCAGCGCATACGGTCAGCAGAACCGCCCCAGAGTGAATGGCAGTTCTCCGTCCCGCGGCGTTGCAGACGTTCGCATGCCTCACGGTTTTGGTGCTAGGGGGAGCTCGACACTCCATGCTGGCCACCTTTGCTGAAAAGTTTCTTTTCATAAAGAATCCGGATGAGATAGTGGTATGAAGCCGGACGCGGCGACACTAGGCTTGGGTGGACAGTCTATGGTACAGTATGTATGTATGTACACTGTCCATATGGTACAGCACAAGGGACAAGGGAGGGGAGTGATCTCCGTGGGCGGAAAAGGTTCTCTCCAGGTTGGGCCGTTGCAAGTGGGAAGAGTGGGAGGCCAACGCGTTGAACTCTTCGCTCGCAGAACGACGACTGCCACCACAGGGCCCAGCACAGGGCCATACCCCTACGAAGCCTACGTACCGTACGAACACCCTGCTCAACAGGCCTCATCCTCCTCTCTGCCCTCTCTGCCTGCCTGCCCGCCTGCCCCCCCCCCGCCGGTCCGGTCCGCTACATATCTCGGCCACCTGGCCCAGATCACTCGGGCGTTCCACCGACCACACCGACACACCACAATAAAACAGCAACACCGCATTGTCCGCTCAATCCAACCCACCACATAAGACTCCTGCAATATGTCACCAACACCACCACCCCAACACGCCACCGACCCGTCCGCTCCCACCTTAATCTACCCCGCCAACTGGACCCCTCGCTCCTCCAAACGTCTCGCACACCACCTCCCCGACCCCTCTCTCGCCCTACGGCGCGCAACCGACACAGCGCAGCGGCACGGGTACGGCTTCTGGCAATATACGAGCGCCGCGCGGATGGGCGGGTGGATGATTTGGATGGTCGTTGCGGGAGTCATGATAGCGAACTGGGTGTTGGGGTGGGAGGGGAGGGGGTGGGAGTGGGTTTTGGGGTCGAAGGGCGGTGTGGGGATTGGGATGGAGGGGGATAGGAGGTCGTACGTTGTTAAGGCGGGGTATTGAGGAGGAGGGAGGGACTATTTACGTTGGGGGAATCACCGACTCGATTGACCGCCTTGAACGGAACCAGCGTCATTCCAGATGACTGACAGCAGCTTGGGACATAGTCTGGAAGTACTACTGGCTGGAGGCTGAAAATACCCACATAGTTATGTCTCTCGGTTCACACATACGACGGGCCGGAAAGAACTCGCACAATTACTCCATGTACTGTACATATATCAATCGGAGAAACATGCTTGCTTCAGAGCTGGATCTTCCCTCAGAGGCAAGAGGTGGAACCCCCTGCCAATGCCATTTGCGTTTGCTCTGGAGTGCACTGCTTCGAAGATATGGAGACGAGGGTCCCGGAATTTGGATGCAGGGAAGAGAAGTGGCGATCTACTGCACCCTTCACTTTCATTACACCGAAAGCGGCCCTTTAAGACAAAACCATCTGTCTGGCACTTCAGTTGAAACCCATTTTCGCTGTGGAGCCACAACCCAAGCACCGGGACGTTTGCAGAGAAAGAGATGCCAGTCTCTGCAATGTGCAAAGATCCTAAGTTAAATGACCAAAAATGTGTTACGCCGATTGTGCGCAATCCCAAACTGCGACCATTCCATCTCACCGCCCCCAGCCCACAGCCCACGCCCACTCTTGACCACCATCACATCCGCCTCTCCACCCTACTTCAACCAAAGCTTCAACCGAAAGGCATCCACCCCATTCAAATAATATCTCTCCATCCGCTTATCCCTCACAAACCCCAGGTTCTGGTACAGCGCCAGCGCGCCCTTATTCGTCTCCTCGGTCTCCAACACCACCTCGTCGGCTTCTTCGGCCTGCATTGCTGCTACTGCTTTTTCGACGAGTGCTGAACCTGCGGGACATAAATCGGGGGGGGGGGGGGGGGGGGGGATGAGTGGTTGGGAGGTGGGGAGGTGGAGATGGGATGGGGGAGGGAACATTACCGATGCCGAGCTTGCGGTGGGATTTGGAGACGGCGAGCATGGCGATGTACCCGCGACGTCTGTCGTGATGGGTGTCAAGTTTGCAGACTACCACGCCCACTACTTTCTTCCCCGCCTCCTCACCCGGGCCTTCGCCCACGGTCGTCGTCCTGTCTCCCCCATGATCTAACCCCTTGTTATCCCCGTCATCGACGACCAGGAAACAAAGCTGGGGCCAGTTGTGGATGAAGTAGCGGTAGGTGTAGATGGAGTAAGGTTCCGAGAGGTCGTTTTGGATGAGGGCGACTATGGGGGGGAGCTGGAGCTCTGACTCGTAGGGGATGTAGTGGAGCATTGTTGTTGGCTGGGAGGGAGGGAGGTGCTGCTGGCTCTGCGGCCGTGAAGTCGATGCCCTCCGACGAGAACGAGACGAGAACGAGAGAACTCAGCGCGAACTCGAACTTTCCCTTTGTAATTGCGAGCGCCCAAAAGAACCCCCATCCTCCTCCGGAAAAGCGGCAAAGCACACACACACACCCAAACACCACCCCGCACAAAAGCCGTCGGAAATGGGGAAGAAGCCAGGCAAGGCCATAAACCCCGCCGACGTACGTCTCTATCGCTTTCCACCGCTCCAACCTCCTCGTTGTCAAAGCTAACCTTGCCATTCCTGCAATTCACAGGCTCACCGCAAGGCGCAGCGGAAGAAGGAGTTGAAGAAGGTGTGTGAGGGGCAGGGAGAAAGCCGCGGTACATAGTCTCTCTCCAATGAAGCTGATGTCTTTGTATCGCAGAATAAAGAAGATCGGAAGAAGGTCCGTCTCTATGCTACGGCGCAAAAGGATACCAAGAAGATCTTCGAGGAGTTGCAGGCGTTGCAACGTGCAGGTACGAACATCAGCACTTCGAGTCCTCATTGATGCAAAATCTCACATCGCTCTTGTTTCCACACAGAACGCCTCGACCAAACCCAACACCGCAAAAAACAACAGCTCGCCGAGAAGTTAAAGAAGATCAACGAGTCCCGCAAAGAGCTCGGTCTCGCCCCCATCGACCCCAACGCACCACCGGTATCGCAGCCGAAACCAAAAGTCGATGATGTGGAGATGAAATGGTATCACCCGACGTTTAATCCGCATGGACCGAAGAAACCGGCGGGGTGGAAGGAGGAGAGTAGTAGTGGGAGTGGGAGTGAGAGTAGTGAGGAGAGTGAGGAGGAGAGTAGTGAGGAGGGGGGGAGTGAGGGTAAGGGATATCGTTTTTGAGGGGGGTGGGTGTAGTTATGGGAGGTGGAACTGACGGTCATATTGGAAACACAGCTGAAGACGCACCAACGCCAAAACGAGAGCGCGATGACGCATCACCATCAAAAACGGACGCAGAGCCAGCCCTGAAATTCTCCGATCTGGCCTATATACCCCTCCCCTCCTCGCCAGCCGGGAAGAATGCCGAGGCGCAGATCTACCATACGCTGGAGCTTCCGGAGATCCGGAATAAGGCTGATTATATGCCGACGGAGGCTGGTGGTGGTGCGCAGAATGCGGTGAGACCGCCGTTACCGCAGCATCCGGTGATGATGCCCCCACCGCATATGCAGCAGGGGTTTGGAGCGTACCCGCCGCCGCCGCCACCGTTCAGGCCTGGGATGCCGATGCCATGTGAGTTTCATCGTATCTCCAAGTATTCACTTGGTTAACAGTTCACTCAACACCTTGTCTCATTCATCAACAGCCCACTTCGCCCCACCCCACCCCTTTCCCCCACCCTTCCCACACAACCTACCCCCCGGGCCCCCACCAGGGGGTCCACCACCCTTCCGCCCACCCTTCCCCTACGGCATGGCCCCACCACCCCACTTTGCCCGCCCACCACCACCACCACCGTTCGGCTTCCAAGGCAGACCCATGCCGCCATACCCATACCCGATGCCGCCACCGCAGTTCGGTGCACCGCCACCACATCTCTCAGCGCCGCCTGCTCCCCCGTCTCATGAAGCTGGACACCCATCACCAACACAACAACCCCAACCCCAACAACCGAAAGTCATAGCAGCAGCACCCAAACTCCGCGACCTGCACGCCGAATCCGTGAAACTAGTGCCTACAGCCCTCCGTCGCAAAAAACCCGCTCCAAGCTCAAAGGCACGACTTGCCGCCACCCCGGGGTCAGCTACCTCACAATCACAATCACAACAACCGTCGGTGATACAGCCGAGCGCGGTCAAGAAACCCCGCGTGAACGCCGCGCCGGACGTCGAGAACCCCGATACCATGTCCGGGATCAGCTACACCGCGTTCCCGACCCCAGCCACGACTGTGGGCACGGGGAAGGTGCTGCCGACCTTGCAGGCTGTGACGGCGGCGAAGAAGAAGGACGGGGGTGAGAAGACGAAGGGCAAGACGGCGAATGATGAGTATGAGGAGTTTATGCGGAGCATGGAGGATTTGTTGTGAGCGGGGAGACGGGAGGGTGGGAGAGGCAGTGTAGGACCCATATCGATGCGCGTAGGGTAGGCGTAGTATCTTGTAGCGAGTATGGGTGGTATCATGTTTGGGCCTATTGGGCGTCCCCTCAAAGCTGCATTTTTCGTGCCAAAGATGGAGTGGTTCGGGTCTACCCTTAGTGACATGGATTCTTGACTGTGAGGAGTGGGCAGCGCGAGACTCCTTGCTGCTGATCAGGACTGCACGCCTTCCATCTGTCTGCGTCCCCGAATGTTAGCACATCCTACTGCACCAGCCGCGCTCCCAAGAACGCACAGCGGTGCCAGTCTAGTAGCATCCCGTCCAACCCAAACCCCGTCGCACTCCTGCAGAGACTCTCTTCCATCCACTCCTTCCCCTCCTCAAATGCCTCCCTGGGCCCACTCATCCCCCACACGATTTGTAGAAAAATGGGATATATTTGGTTATTTCGATATTTGTCCCTCACAGGGGAGTCGAGTGTTGCTCTATGTGACCGTGGAAGTGTCTATTCCTCGGCCTCGGGTTTCTAAAACGAAATCGAAATGAGTTGGGGTCCATATGAGAAGATGAGGACGGGGAATGCCACTTACGGGGTTTCCTGCGGGGAAGTAGAACAGGTTGTTGTCTCCCCAGGGGTTGGCCTGATGAGATATGGAGCAAGATCATCATGTCAGTAGGAAAGTCGACAGGTTGTGTTTCGTTCAGCGAGGCGATGGACTGATGAACGTGAGACAGTGCTCGCTCCGCTCGCGACATGGAGATATGGGCGATGCGCGGAATATGACCGATTTTGTTTCGCTGTCGCTCACAGTTGAAGACAGGGGCTTGCTTTGCTCGCCTTGAAAGCACGGTTGTTCGCTGCCGCTCAAAAGTGTTGCTCCTTCGACGCGGCGCTCGCTGCGCTCGCCGCGGAACACCAGCATCGCTCCCTGACGCTCGCGGCCAATCCACTCGCCAACACCACCACAAGAACAACCCTCGCTACGCTCGGTCACCACCCTGGCTATCGCTCGATAACCATCACTCGCTCCACTCTCGGTGCCCCAACATACATTCTTCCGCTTGCGCAAGTAAGGAATAGCCTTCCATTCCAGCGGGTGTTCCTTGATATGGGCAATGTGTTTGATTTCCTTAGGACCGGTGAAGTAAGCGACACCGGCGAGGGCGGGGAAGACGAGGAAGATGTTGATCTTCAACCATGAGGAGGTGGCGTCTAGGGGAACCAGGGCGAATTTTTGTCAGCGAGGGTGGAATTTCGTAGGGCGGTTATGCAATCCTGTCTGTAATTCGCGATTCGGGATTCCCAGGCACACATTGTTTGCTGCTTTCACCACCCAGTTCCAACTTCCTGCCACTAAATATCCATCATAACCAGACGTTCCCCTCAGTGCCCTCAGACGCATACCTTTAGCGTGGTGCCTAGCGTCGTGGTTCTCCTTGAGCATGACGGATTCGAGAGGGGGCAAGGAGGATTTGGCGGGTGTGGCTGAGGCTGTGGTGGCCATTGACCTGCGCTGGACTGCGCGGCGAGCGAGGACGAGACCCGAGCGGGAGTTCATTGTGCGCTGTGTTATTGCAAGAGTGCTGGGTTGTGTATTGGATTTGTTGTTGGGAGTTTGCGGGAAGGGAAACGAATGAGGTTTGCGTTTGCGTCGTCTGTCTGTCTGTCCTCAACCTGGTCCTAAAGGGTCTGTGAGGGACGCAGGAGGGTGCGCGATTAAGCGGGAGCGCTCCTTCGCACGCACCTCCCCCTTGTGGCAAGTCGACGGTGCGAGGCTCTGGCGCGCACCCACGGGTCCAAGGCCAGTCATGTGACTCTGGGCGGTTTTAAATGGACGACCGCCCGGAGCAACCCGACAACCACCACCACCAAGGACGACGACGAACGACGCTTGCATCTGGTGGGTTCGCACGGAACTAGAAGACACTCTCCCGTCACAACACTCTGCAGTCATGTTCTTCACAAGGAACGTCGTCAAGGCTGCGGCCCCTATCGCCCAGGTAAGGAGAAGACCGCCCCTCAAGCAACTAAGATTCCACCACCAACTCGCTATCGAAGAAACGACGGAGGCGGTGCACATTTGACAAATCCCAGCGGGAAACTAATGCGATCTTTTTCCCAACGGGACAATCAGCTCAGCCGGACCTACGCCACGGCTGCCACCGCCAAAGCCGTCCCCGTCCCAATAGCCCTCCACGGCATCGAAGGCCGTTACGCAACCGCCCTCTACACAGCCGCAATTAAGAAGAACTCGCTCGAAAAGGTGGAGAACGACCTCAAGACTGTCGGCCAGGTCCTCTCCACCCAACAAAAGTTCAAGACCGCCCTCGAGGACCCCCTTGTCAACAAGAAGGACAAGAAGGCTCTGGTGAACAGTGGGCTTGGGGCGGCCAAGTTCAACGAGATTACAAAGAACTTTTTCGATGTCCTGGCTGAGAATGGAAGGCTCGACCAGACTACGAAAGTCTTGGCCGCGTTTCAGCAACTCATGGCTGCTCACAGGCGTGAGGTGTCGGTGACCGTTATCTCTGCTAAGGTGGGTGACAGAGAGAGCGAGGACGAACGCAGTGGGTGTGAGCGAAGCAAGTTTTGGTTCGGTCGCGAGCAAGGCGAGCCACATTGCGCCAAAAGCGCAATACTCCCCTAAGCACGGCTCTAAGCGAGCCTCAGCGAGCGAAGCGAGCACCACATTGCGTCAATAAGGCGCAAGATTCCCCTGACCCACGCATTGTTCCAACCAACCCAATGAACCTTCGCTCATTTATTCAACCATATGTGACCACTCCTGAACTTCCCTACAGACCCTCGACTCGAAGACCTCTTCCACCCTCGAAGGCATCCTCTTGAGGAGCAACCTGATCGAGAAGGGCTCCAAGGTTGTCGTCAACAACAAGGTGCGTATGCGTATTCCCTCCTCTGCCGAACTCAGTTAATCAATCGCACACCCTAACCACGAAATCGTTCTTGTGTTTAGGTCGACTCGAACATCCTCGGCGGCCTCATCATCGATTTCGGAGACAAAACCATTGACCTCTCTGTTGCGTCCAAGATCAACAAGCTTAACAGGTTGTTGACTGAGGCTATCTAGATACACGCATGCGAGGGATTGCCTTGGGACACATGGAAATGCATGAGTGATGAATATATACCGTATCATAAGGATGTGATGAGGGAGTTGTTGGGAGGGGTTTGTGTTGTTGGGGGGTTTGCTCGGGTCTGAAATCGGGGGACCTTGGTGATGGGGATGTCTGGTCGACAGTTTTTATGTTCGTGTACCTGAGGTGGGGGTGCGCGGACATAGCAGGACTGCACACGGCGGGTCGTTCAGGTCGCGTACCCGTCTTTGTCGCCAGGTCTGCCGAGCACAGGTATCATCGTCGATGCTTTCGCAGCACCTTGCTGATCGGACGGGCCAGATCTCGCAACCACCATGACCGTCCCTCATTCACATTCAAAAAAAAAAACCATCCCCAAAATCCAATATATGTACAAATCCCAATTCTACCCTCCAAACACCCCCACCAGACTAAACCAACCCCTCCCTCCTCCCCCTCTCGTACAAACTCAACGCCACAAACGCCTTCATATCCCTCGTAGCCCTCCACAGCTCGCTCAACCTCACCAGCCGCACGGTGATCCGCTCCCCTGAGGCTCTCAACCCGCCCTCGCGGCCTTCCAAACGTGTGATGTCATCGCGGGAGAGGGTTTTGCGAGCTAGGTAGATCTTGATGAACTCGTCGGAGCCGCCGGGTGAGGGGAAGATTCCCGCGGTGCGGAGGTCGTCGGCGTCGGATATGTGGTTTCCCGAGTTCGAGGTGTACGGCAACGCGGAGAGATCGACCAACTCGTCTTCATGGATACGGATCCCGCACTCTTCCTCGAGCTCACGCGCGGCGGTGCCCGCGAACTTGTTGTCTCCGTCCAGCATCCCCGCGGGAAGTTCGGCGAAGGAGAGGGAGGCGATCGGGATGCGCGGTTGGAGGACGAGGACCACTCTTTCCTCATCCTCCTCGGTAGTCTTGTCATCGCTATTATTGTTTTTGTCTGAGCCCTCAGGCCGCACGAGAACCAAGATGGCAACAGCCCCACCGCGCGCGAAGACTATCCCGGGTATCTTGGCCTCCTTCTTCCAGCCATCATCAGCATTGGCGGCAGGAGGATGCGCGTCATCACCGTCTTTCCAAACCACATCGGCCCGGAACTTGACAAACCCAATCTTCCCGCTGCCGAACGTGTCCACGTCTGTGACTTCCACCCCGCGGACATGGACGTGATCGCCTACATGCGCATTCGTGGTTGCATCGCCCCGTGATGGCGAAGACGATCGGCGGTGTGATGACTCGGGATCCCCGGCTAGCTCACGCGACATCGCGGCCGTCCATGCCTGGAACGGCTGGAATTGTTGCACGGCTTCGAGATCGATGTGGGTGGCGGTGGGGAGGCGGGTTAGGGGTACTTGTTTGTTGTTGAGGGTGATTGTGTGGTGTGATGGGGACATGGCGTGGCGGTGGAGATTGAGAGGGCGAAGGTGGAGATGCAGACGGAGGGCGTGCCGGTGGGTGAGACGGAGTTGCTCGCTGGACAGTCTGTGCATAAGATAGTACGGGCGATGTGGGTTGCGTTTGGGGGAGAGAGTGATGAAGCTGGGCGGCTTCAGCGGTTTCTGCCCCTTTTGAAGTAGGGCAAGGGGACGCGTACCGTCGAACGCTATCAGCGCCAGGTGCTAAAAACCACCTCACCGTATGTAAAAAACATGAAGCCCTCGGCTCCCTGAACTGTCGTCCATTTGGATGCCCATAATGGCTCGAAACCAATTGAAGGCAGGGCGGCTCAAAGGGGATATGGCTATAGAGAACATCGAGCGAACACCACCGGGGCATCACAAAGTTAATCATACAATCTTCTTTTCGCCTTCACCCACCGCAGAGGCAGAGGACAGCCATGACGAGACGAGATACGTACGTGGCGAGCCACTCTTGCAGCTCCAACAGCACCAGTTTGCGAATCGTATCCTGCATGATAGGGATGAACTTCTCTGCGCACAGGGACCCCCGGAACGTCGTAGGACCGAAAAACTTGGATGTAGCAGAGGTAATACTCACGCGTGCTCTGCGCAAACGTATACTGCATCACCGGCCGCAGATGCGTCGTCTGCAGTTCTTCCAGCATCTAAACCGGAATCATCCAACAAAGCCGGGTCGTCAGCGCTCCATTCAACAAAGGAACCGCACCCATTGATCCACACGCACCTTCAAAGCCGTGCGGTGATAATTGTGTGCTAATCGTTTATATGCTTGACGAGTTCGGGGCTTGCCGTACGTTCAAATCAAATCGAGCAAACTGTCCGCGGCACCATTCCATTGTTCGGTGGTGCGAACTACATCACCTTCGGTTTGTCTAATTTGGACACAAGCTTGTTGATGATAACCTCCCTGGCCACAGCTCATTTTCTCGGTGACTGTAAGAGTTCCCAAACACTTGGCGAAACCTTTTGTGTGCCTAAACGTGCTCCAATGCCTTCTTCCTAGCTCTTTTTCCTGACATGGAGAGTCAAGCTTCTAAGTAAGTATGCTATCAGTTATCCGCTTACAAGATCTCTCTTGCATGATGTCGCTGTTGATGGAGGCTTTTTCAATCTCCTCTGCCAAAGCATTTCTTTGCCAGTGTACATGTCCACTCCCTTCTCAGCATGAGCTGGTCCGCATCATGAATCAATCTTCCTGCTGAGGTACTGTACATGTGCGAAAAACATAAAGTATCCGTTATATCTGTGAGGCTTTCCGACACAGCGACAATATCCAGGACATCTACCAGTGTGTTGAGTTACACTGACTCTGCGCTGTTCTTCGGGTCGGACATGCCACTCGGTGCATCGCGCTGTGAGCGCATTGAGCTCGGAAAATGAGGCTGCTCCAATAGCTTCTCTTATTCGGCGCTTGCCCAAAAAGTACTGCATGTCGGATTGACAACCCGTCAAACGCGGTGTCGAATTTTCCGTTCTCCAAACCCCGACGCAAACAAGAACCTAGAATTCAAGCAATTCGTCCCAGATGGACCCGGCGTTGTTCCCAGAATTACCTGCTATCGCAGAAAAGCATCACGTATATACCTACCACGGGAAATGCGGTTACATCAATGGCTTCACATCTGGGTGTGGCTAATCCTGTCGACGGACGCAACGCCAGCGCTAGCGCCAGCCGGACGGAGATCTGACCGATTGGAACTAGACGTACGGGAGGAGTCCGAGGATGGCAAACCATTCAGGTGGGTTTGGCAAACACATGCACGCACAATCACCTCGGCAGAGATCTAATCCACACCGGACTCCTCCCAGGATCCCCGTAACCTCCCCCGGCATGCGCGCCCACATGTCCAACCTGCAACGCATACAACCCCGCAGTATCGACACCGAAGGGATGACTGAGCTGGAGCGGCGGCAGACTGTTAGTGAGGGCCTCATTGGGCACCGGGACCCGATTTTGGCGTTCTTTGGGAATGTGACGTTTGGGACGGCGAGGGCGGGGATGGGGGAGCAGGTTTTTAGCACGCTGGTTAGTGTTGTGCGGGAACATGTAGGATGAGTCAAAAGCGCGGGTTTGAACGGCTCAAATTTTCGAGCATAAATTGCTATCCGATACTCATTCTTCGAAAACATCCCCCCCCAGTTCGACACAGGCTCCTACCAACTCTGGATCCGCTCCACAAAATGCACCACCCCCACCTGCGCGAACCTCCCCAAATTCAACGGCTCCCGCTCCTCCACCTACATCCCCTCGACCTCCCCAGCCCCCTCCATCTCCTACGCCGACGGCACAAAAGTCAGCGGTCTTTACGCCACGGACACCATCACCGTCGCGGGCCTCTCGGTCCCTGCCCTCTCGCTTATGGAAGTTACGGAGACGAATGATCCCACGGGGGCGGTGTTGGATGGGATCATGGGGATGGCATATCCCACAGGTTCCGGGCGTCGCACGTTCTTCCAAGAGCTTCTGGCGTCCAAACGGGTGGCGTCACCGACGGTGGGGTATCACATCGACGCGACGGGGTATGGGGGCGCGATGGTGTTTGGGGGCGTGGATAGGGCGCAGTTTGACGAGGAGGAGGTGATGTGGGTGCCGAGTTTTGGGTTTGCGCCGGATGGGAGTGGGACGGCGCCTTTTATCTTTTTTCAGGGGTTGACGGTGGGTGCGAGTTATCGGTGGGGGGCTGCGGGGGAGAGGGTGAGTGATGCGAAGTGGGGGCAGAATTTTCTGTCCGTTTTTGATACGGTGAGTGAGTGTAGAAGAGCCGTTTTACAAGTCAGGCAAAACTGGGGGAGCTTACCGAATATGAATTTGCAGGGGACGTCTTTCGCCATCCTCCCGAAATCGGTAGCTGATGGCATCCATCTGAATATGACCGGGGTATTCCCAATACAACAAGGTACGCACTTCCACTCACAACCCACATCTCCCAGTCCGCATATTCCTCAACATCTCACCCCCTCCCAGACGCAAGCACAACAGTCTACGTAACCCTCTCCACGACCACTCTCGGCAACGTCACACTCTTCTTCGTCGGCCCCACCGGTACCCCCGTCCCCCTCACCGTAACCCCCGCCGAATATATGCTCCCCTACACCTCCTCAAACGGCTTGCAGGGCTACCAATCCATCTTCGTTGGCAGCGACGCCGTGCGTACATCGTTGGGACCCAACGTCCCCGTTGTGGCGGCAATACTGGGGAATGGGCTGTTGAGGAGGTTTTATACGATATTTGATTGGGAGAATAATCGGACGGGGTTTGCTGTTGCGGAGAGGAGGGTGGGTGTTGTGGGGGTGTTGGGAACGGTGGCGTTAAATGGGGGGAAGGCGGTGGACGGGAAGAGTCCGTTTGAGAAGTGGTGGCCGACGGGGGCTTCTTCGGCGGCTTCGTTGGTGGGCGGAGGGTGGTGGGTGAGGGTGGGCTTGGCATTGGGGCCGACGTTAGGTCTGGTTGTGATGCCTGCCGCGATGGATTCTCTTTGTTCTTTTTGGTATGCTTTCTTTTGAAGTATGAGACTCTAGAACGCTGAACCTGTACATATTGACAGTACACGCCATGTATATGCTGATGTTTCACAATAAGGGGATGATACATCTACGTGCACCGATTGACAAAAAGTCATCTCCTACGGATGCAGTACGACTAACCTCACCCAAAACTCACAATACGCCGACCTGTTCTCCGTAATCCCTCCCCACAATCAAGCGTCCTTCACACGAACAACTCGCATATTACTCTTCCCCGTCCGGATCACACATACGACCCCTTCAATGAGATCCTTCTCCGAAACCACAGCATTTGCTAGCGGCGTCTTAGGGTCGACCTGCCGTTGGTTAAGGTATAGACCACCCGACGAGTGAAGCTTACGTCCTGCGGCTATCATACGTAACGACCATCAGTAAAGAAATCCTTGATTGCGAGAAAAAAGTCAGGCACACGTACATCTAGACTGGACGGCCCCAGCAAGCAAAGCGACACTGACGATATCCGCTCCGACCACCTTATCTCTCGGCACCGACACCATTCTCGAGTCGCCTTCGAAGGCGTCAATGATGTTTGCGGAAGAAGTATCTGTCAGGCTTTCGTCAAACATGACCGAGCTCATTGTTGATGCTTTTTGGCATGCGACCTCTGTTCAACGAATAGGACGTAAGAAGCAGAGCACGTCGACGTTCGGTACATCAGCGAGTTCTCACCTCCATGAACCATCTCGGTGACTTCGGCCGCCAGTAGCCGCTGGGGAACGTGTCGGCCAGGCTTTTCCGCATGCCGCGTCATAGCGTCGGCGATCTTGTCGCGGGGCAGGAGGGTGAAGTAGTTCAGGTACTTTTCTACCTCCGAGTCGGGGGTGCGTCGAAAAAACTACACGGTTACATATCGAATAGCGTAAGATAAGACCTCGACGCAATACTTGTGAATAGGCGAGCAACTCCTACCTGGTAAAACTCATACGGGGAAACTAATTCCGGATCCAGCCATATGGCGTTCCCTTCTGATTTTCCAAACTTTTCCCCTTTGGCGTTGGTAACCAGCGGGAGGGTCAACCCATATGCATGCGGTTCGGCTTCTTGCCCCTCCTCAGCAGCGTTCGCTCCCGCTGGTGCTGCTACCCCAGCTTTCTTGCGAATCAGCTCCATCCCCGCCATGATGTTACCCCACTGATCACTTCCACCGATCTGGATACGACAATCCCTCGTCTTTTGCAGGTGATAGAAATCGTAGCCTTGCAGTAGCTGGTACGAGAACTCGGTGAAGCTGATCCCTTCTGAACTGTCGAGCCTCCTTTGCACGCTTTCCCGGGAGAGCATTATCGAGACGCGTGCCAATCTTCCTGCATCGCCGAGGAAGTCTAACAACGTCATGTCCTTCAGCCACTCCAAGTTGTTGAGGATGGCTATTGGCGGGATATCGCTTTCGGGAACCGTATTTGCCCGCCGCTTCGTCATGTATCGGTGGGCATTTTTGAACACAGCTCGTAGTTGCGCATCGATTCCCTTAATGTTCGCATTCAGAGTTTTCGCGTCTAACGCATTTCGCTCGACGCTTTTTCCACTCGGATCGCCTATACATCCCGTTGCCCCTCCTATCTGGCATCAATCACCCTTAGCTGGTAGTACCTAAAACAACGAAACATGGAGGCGTTCATACCAGTGCTATCGGTTGATGCCCTTGAGCCTGAAAGTGGAGCAGTGCCACTATCATCAGGAGGTTGCCTACGTGGAGGCTCGTGGCTGTTGGGTCAAAACCGGTGTAGACGGTTGCGCGCGTCTGTTTTAGGTAACTGGACAAGGTTGGACTGGGCACGACGAAGGTGGTAAGCTTTGGCTACTGAAGAGTGTCCCCTCTCCCTCGTGTGCCACTGTCGCAGCCGGGCTCGCAATACTCACTCACTTTGAAACTGCGTTGAGCAAGCCACGTCCCTTCAGCGCCTCGACTGGAGTTTGCAGGGCATCATCACGGCACTTTGTTGTGATGTGGAAGGACCGTCTGTCGGAGCATAGTAGAGACCTCCTCTGACCAAGCGCAAGGCGCCGTGCAGTCGCCACCACCGCCGTTAGTGAGCGCATGTCTCGTCTGGATAAGCCTCAGTTTTCTGCACACGAGTTCCTAGTCCGGTTGCCCTCAGATGTTGCGTTCGCGAGAAAGAAGTTGCCATGACGATGCGACGCGCGTTTCCCCCTCGCCCTTCCTCCGTTCTCTCGAAATCGTCCACGTTCCAACAGCTTCTTCGTTCGCAGGGCAAACCCATAACACACGAACTAACACCCCGTTTCGGCTAGACTCGCGCGCCTCTCCTCGGTCGCTATCGTCGAATACCAACAATGGTTCGCACTGGCCACCTATCACCTACGCTGGTCGGCAGATTCCTGCCGGCAAAGTCATCGGCGTTTTGCGTCCAGCCTCGCTTTTTGAAGCAGGTCCGCACGTTACACACAAACTCAATCACCAATAGCAACAGGGCTGAGCGACGGTCGGACCGGAGGTCTTCTGCACCGGACTGTCGCACTAGCTTCTGCAAGCAGCAGGTTAGTTCTTCTCTCCTTCCCGTGGCTCAATGAAACGGCAATTGGCTTACCAGTGCGTCAACTTCTAGACACGGTCGTTTCACTCTACTCGTGAGTTCGCGCAGAGAACTTGCCTCGATTGTGACGAGGGATTCTGCTGCTGACGCTCACCCTCTCTTCCTCATCTAGACGTACCGCGGAAGGCGAAAAGGGATGCGTATAAAGTCCTGGGGGTGGAAAAGAACGCGACTGCGAGCGATATCAAGAAGGCGTATTACAAGGTATGGCACCTTTTCATGGACTGCGCGCAAACCATAGAACTGCGGCTGAACTCTTTATCATTCCTTTTAGCTTGCTCGGGACTTCCATCCAGATACGAGCAAGGACCCCAGTGCAAAGGAGAAGTTCATCGAAGTGCAGGAGGCGTACGATGTAGGCTCCATTGTCCAAAATTCGTCGTGCCGGATTCCGTTTACTGATACGAGCGCTCGGTTTTCCCCATCCAGATATTATCTGACGACTCGAAACGTGCAAACTATGACAACTTCGGGCATGCAGCGTTCACTGGAGAACAAGGGCCGACGGGGGCTGGGGGTTTCGGCGGCGGGTTCGGTGGCGGCTTCAATGGTTTTGCAGGGTTTGGGGCAGGCGGTGGAAATCCATTCGGGGCTGGTGGTATCGGCCCAGAAATCTTTGAGCAGCTCTTCGGAGCTGGGTTCGGAGGGCCGAGATCTGGCGCGGCAGGCGGTCGGAGTGGATTCGATGCAGTAGCCCGACCCATCAATGTGAACATGCAAGTACCGTTCATGGATGCCGCCAAAGGATCGAAGAGATCTATCACGTTCGAGGCCATCCAGAAGTGTAAGCCGTGCTCCGGAAGCGGGTTGAAACCGGGCGAAAAGTTAAAACGATGCTCGGTTTGCGGTGGAAATGGCCAGGTGGGTTTTTATCGACAATGTCCACATCCCGACGGGAACACAGGCTTACCTTTCGGTTGAAACTTTATAGATATCCTATGTGCGAGGCGGTTACCACATGTCGACCATGTGCGACGCATGTGGCGGCGCAGGATCCCGCATACCGCCAGAGTCAAAGTGCAACACCTGCGATGGGATTGGAAGAGTGAAGGGCAGGCGAACAGTGGAGATCCAGATCCCGCCAGGAAGTTTTGATGGACTGGAACTACGACTGCAAGGGCAAGGGAATGCGCCTCTCGAAGGCGACGGACGGGATGGCGATCTGTTCGTGCGTCTGAAGGTTGGTATCTCCCATAGGAGCCTTTGATTCCCCTTCTGCTTTTACTGACGGCTGTTGTTCTAGGTCCAAGAGCATCACTTGTTCAAGCGAGATGGGCCGAATATCAAAGTAGAGGCCGAAGTACCTCTCGAGAAAGCCTTATTGGGAGGCTCAATACGCATTCCCACTATCGACGGCGAGGTCGAACTCACCATTCCACCAGGAACACAACCCATGGAGCAGAAACGCCTGAAGCAGCGCGGGGTAGCCAAACTCGACGGCCGCCCCGGCGATCGCGGGGACCAATACGTGACATTACGGGTCAAGCTCCCCAAGCACTTGACCGCGGAGCAGAGGAAGCTGCTGGAGCAAGCCTTTGGCGCCCGGTCGGACAAGGCATCATCCTCTCAGGCAAGTAGCCCCGGGAAACAGACGTCGACTACTACTGCAGAGGCTGACGCGAATGCCGACGATGCTGCTGCCTCTCCTGCCAGTAAGAAGGGGCGCAACAACTCCCCGAAGAACCGTGATAGTGCCGGTGCGGAGGAGGAGGGGAAGGATCATAAGGGGTTCTTCCGCGCTGCTTTGGATAAGCTAAAGAAGGGCGTGCATGCTGACAAGGCGGATGCGGCGGCGGATGATGCCGCGAAGGGGCAGAAGAAGGCTGGTGCTGGGGAGTCGTCGTAACCTGCGAAGCACAGCACCCCTTGAGATGCGACATCATTCACATCAATCAACGCGTAGGGATTGATGTTGGGTCGACGTGACCCCCCCCTGCGCTCTTTATTTCCTGTCTATAGTTCATCAGCGACAGCATAGCGAGAATACCATCGATAGAGCTACCTTCACTTGTGGAAGAACGAATACATATGTGCATAATCTTAACCTTCATTCATACCTCACGTCGTTAGAAGAAGTTACAAATCCCATCCACATGCTTTCTTGCGGGAAAAACTGTGGTGACTCAACTGCGACGCGCGGTGCATACTATCATGACCTCAGTTTCCCTCCAGATTTCTCGTCCGGAAATTATCACTCTCGCAGGGACCGTATTTTGTGCACAGAGAAGTGCGAATCGCCGTCTTCAAAGATCAAGAACAGACACAAGAAACAAGTTTGGCATCTTTGGGCCTGCAGGGTAGTATGACGGCACGGGAGCGTGGTACGTATCCCACAAGCCATTCCACATGTGACGCGATCTCCAAGTAGTGTGGGAACTATGAAGTCCGCAAACTGACCTGCGAAAACCCCGTTTTCCCACGTCTCATCCATCACAGAAGGCAAGAAACGCAAAACCCTCGACACGACCCAATCCACGCTCGACAGCTTCGCTTCCCGCAGCAGCAGCACCCTCAATCCAAACCACAACGGGGGCGGAAGCGGCAGTGGGAAGAAACTGAAACTGGGACATAACCAGCAGCAAAAGGGGAATTTAACCATAACCGCAAAAGACGGCGCGGCGCAGATGGATAAAGGGAAGGGGAAGGAACCGGCGTACTGCGTTGCTGCGGATGGGGGTGGTGCCGCTGCCGGGGCTACGGGGACTCGGCCGGGGCTGGCGAAGCGGGATGCGCCGAAGAAGTTGGTGATCAAGGCGTTTAAAGGTGTGTGGGGTTTTCATCATCACGCGCGAGTAGACGAGTGACTGATCAATGTATTTCTTGTAATGTACAGTCAAACCAAAACTCCCCGAAAACTACGTCGCAAACACCTGGTCACGTCTCGAACAAGCCGTGCGCGCCATCCACTCCCAGCAGTCAATTCCGGATAGTCTGGAGGAACTGTATCAGGCGTGTGAGAATCTGTGTTATCATAAGAAGGCGGATGAGCTGTATGGGAATCTGAGGGCGTTGTGTGATGGGCATGCTCAGGCGGAGTTGAGGAGGATCGGGGAGAGGTGGGCGTTATGAGAGGGGGATTGATTTTGATTATGTGGGATGACAGCTTACGCCAAATGGGATCTACAGCACAAGTTCGACTGCGTCTATCTTACACGTTGTGAACGACTCGTGGGTCACGTACTGTCGGCAGATGGTAAGAGCCTGCCATTCAGGTGTTGAACCTGCACATGCTGGAAACGGACTGACCGCTCGGGGTATCACTCTAGATCTTGATTCGAAGCATATTTCTCTATCTGGATCGCACATATGTCCTGCACACCTCTGGCTTACGGTCGCTGTGGGATATGGCCTTAGAACTGTACCGGCAAAGGATATTAGACGACTCGCATCCGTTGAAATCACGCTTGGTACACGCTCTTTTAGCGGAGATTGAGCGAGAGAGGTATGCTATATTCCAATGCTGGTAGTCATCCCGCGTACTTCGCCTCAACATGTACGACAGAAATGGGGAACAAATCGACCGCAACCTCCTCCGTTCCCTCCTCCGTATGTTCATGGACCTCTCGATCTACTACTCAAGCTTCGACACCGTGTTCCGAGATGCCAGTGAAAAATACTACCAGCGCGAAGGAGGGCGGCTGGTATCGGAACTCGAGGACCAGCCGGCAGGCGGACCCGCTGTGGGGCGGTACTTGCAGCATGTAGGAGCAAGATTGGCGCAGGAGGTGGAGCGGTGTACGGCGGGCGTGGGATATCTCGATTTGGGAAGCCGGAAGGGGCTTTTGGCGATTGTGGAGAATATGCTGGTTCGGAAACATGTGAAGGCGTTGTTGGATAACGGTTTGTTGCAGTTGCGGACGTGTCTTGGTCGTGTTGCGGGAAGTGACCGGTACGGCATTCTCATGTTCTAATGGATTTCAGGGCTGGACGAATTGATGGACTCATCAAGTATAAAAGAGTTGGGCCAGCTGTATAGTCTGTTCTCCCGTGTTGGAGCGTTGGACCAGCTGCGGACGGCTTTCGTCTCCTATCTGAGGGTACTGTCACAATCGCCCCCAGAGTTCAACTCCTGCATAGAGCCATGCAAAAGCTAACCGTCAATACCAACCATACCCAGAAAACCGGCCAAAAAATCGTCACATCTCAAGACGAAGTCAACATGGTCGACGACCTCCTCGCCTTCCGCGACCGCGTAATCGACATCATCAAAGAATCCTTTGCGTCCAGCGACACGATGCACAACGCCATGAAGGAGGCGTTTGAATTCTTCATCAACCAGCGGCAGAACAGGCCTGCTGAGCTGGTTGCTAAATGGATCGACGCTAAGCTGAAGACGAGCAAGGGCGTGACGGATGAGGATTTGGAGGCGCAGTTGGATAAGTCGCTTTTGTTGTTTAGATACATCCAAGGTATGGAGAGCTATATGTGAGGTGGGGAAGTATGTCCGCTGTGGCTCGGATGCTGATGACGTACGGACTGCTCGCAGGAAAGGATATCTTCGAGGCGTTTTACAAGAAGGACCTTGCAAAACGTCTCCTTTTGCAAAAGAGTACCAGCGTGGACGCTGAGAAGAGTATGCTCAGCAAGCTCAAAATCGGTAAGTTTCCTTCATGTCTCCTTAGTATTTTCTCATCCGGCACCGTCCCCTAACCGCGTGTTGTCTGAAGAATGCGGTCCGGGTTTCACATCGAAGCTCGAAGGAATGTTCAAAGACATCGAAATATCAAAGGACTACATGACGAGCTTCCGGGAGGTACTTTGAATCGACTAGCCATAAGCCCTTACGTGCCACTTATGCCACCTTATAACGCTACAGTCAGCAAAGTATACCACCCAACTGGGCAACATTGATTTCTCGGTCAACGTCCTGACACATGGGTACTGGCCAACATATACGCCTGTGCCATGCCTTGTTCCTCCGGAGGTACATAATGGTTCGCTTGGGGGTGCTAAGGCGGACGGATGACTCACTGGGATGGGGACATCATCAGATAGAGCAATGTCAGAAAGTGTTCTTGGAGTTCTACGAGAGCAAGCATAAGGGACGACGGTTAACGTGGCAGAGTCTGCTGGGATCTGGGATTTTGCGATGCGAGTTCAAGAAGGTAGGGACGCGAACTGCATGAAGGGGGAGGAAATAAGGGAAGAAACATTTGGCATACGTCCCATTCTGACACCGACGACAGGGCAAGAAGGAGTTATCGGTCTCTCTCTTTCAAGCAATGGTTATCCTACTCTTCAACGACTACGAACGTCTCACCTATGCCGACATCGTCAAGCTAACCGGCCTCGACGACAAAGAAGTCACCCGAACCCTCCAATCCCTCAGCCTCGGCAAACTCCGCATCCTGAACATCGACCAAAGCGCCTCGTCCCCCACATCCGCCGCCTCGCCGCGCACCCCCACAAAAGCCAAAACAAAAGACCTGCACTCCGACGACGCCTTCACGGTCAACGACAACTTTGACAACCCGCTGTACCGCATCAAGATCAACCAGATTCAGATGAAGGAGACGGTCGAGGAGAGGGATAAGACGGAGGAGGGCGTGTTTCAGGATAGGCAGTATAGTGTGGATGCGGCGGTGGTGAGGATTATGAAAAGTAGGAAGAGGTTGAAGCATAGTCAGTTGATTGCGGAGCTGGGGAGTGCTTTGAAGTTTACTGCTAAGGTGAGTGCGGTTTGTCCGAATGGCCTCTCGTAACCTACCTGACTGACCAACAACGCGCTCCCAGCCGGCGGACCTGAAAAAACGCATAGAGAGCCTGATTGACCGGGAATACCTGGAACGAGACGCCAAGGATTCCGATGTATATGTGTACCTGGCGTGAGAAATGCTGTTCGCGTTGAACCTGCTCCCCTTCGCCGCACTAGTGTACCTAGCTAGCTCGCCTAGATGTTTTCCGTATACCATCCCGGTTTTTGTTTTCATGGGGCGCCACAGGCACGTTTTTTGTGCTTCCTTTCATATGGAATATAATACTGGTGCCTTTGGAGGGTTGTATATACCCTAGCATATTTGAGCATCCTTGCAAGAGACCTGAGTATATTTGATGTATGCATGCTTTCATTGGGATTCTGGGGCCGAATCGGGGAAGCAAGCCACACAACAAAAGTTGTCCGATATGAACGTGGCCGTTAGTCAGTGCATCGCCGCGTCGGGAAGTAGTCAACGCATCTAGAGACACCCAAGTTCTTCTCAGACAGGGTGGTGCCTGTGATGGACCGGGTCATAGTCGTGACCACCACGACATTCACCGTGTCCCTCCCACAGCGCAAGGTCTCCTGCGTCGGCCACACAGCGCCAGACGCACGCGGGGGGCTACATGCTTCCCCCTACTCGTTCTTGAAACCAGTCGAGGCTGCTGATGAGACGCCCGGACGCATGGTCGGATCAGACGCCGGCGAGCATGCCGCGGCTGTACATACATAGCATCCAGCACTGCCGTCATCATAGGGGCTTGCGTACCCTCCGCGTACAGTACATGCCTCCGTGCTCAGTGAGGCAAGTCCGCATCCGATGTTCCACCACATCACCGATATACAATTGCTGCCTTCGTTGAAGACGCTCTCGGTAGGCCGCGAGCCGGTGACGACAGGCGCGTAGTCTGTGTCCGACCAGTCGTTGCTGGGATCTTCGAAGCTGCGATCGAATACGGTCTGCACGGGGTCTTTGTGTACAAGAAAGTCGGCCTCGGGAGTCGGGGAAGCACGCCCCCATTCTGCTGTGTGGAAGAGACGTTCCAAATTCGCAGTAAAGCCGAAAAAAGAAGATTAATCTTAAGGAGCAACGACGTGCCGATCACGTGAGCAGACGATAACGCAGTCCATGTCCGAAAAAGTCAAGTCGTGGAGCAGCATCTCATCTCGGGTGTGACTCTGGCATAAAGAGCGAGGGAGTTGAGCTTCCTCCTCCTCCTCCTTCCCTCCTCCTCCTTTCTGGTTTAGCCTCCGTCAGAACTGCGCCAGAGGTCCTTTCACATCGCGTTTTCTCTTTAGCCGACCTTGGATCATGGATACATTTTGCAGAGAAAACCATGCAGGCGACAGAGGCGACGCCAGCCGATGGCTTGGAATGAAGAGGACGAATTAATTTCACCCGGAGCCTGAGGCGAGCGAGAGTCGGATGGGCGCCAACCGACGGTTCCGATGGCGCCAACAACTGCAACCAAAAGCCAAGAAGAGCCGGCGGGGGCGCCACTCCCCATGGTTTCCCCTCTTTCGGCCAGGGATATCATCATCTGGCAGTGGCAACGTATGATGATCGTTGGTGATAGAACGGGATCCAGACGCATTATCCGTGGATTGAGAGGGCGCTGTCATTTTATGCGCACGACTTGCAAATCAGAGCGGCGCCGGAAAGGCAAGCCTCGGGGTCCAGGAAACTCACACTTGCTCGAAGTGTGGAAAAGCGCTTTTGACATCTCACCCGGGCACACACCATACACCTTGTCCATTCCCCTTTGTCTCCACAGCATACAGTCTTTACAGCCATGGCCAACTACCAGGACGGCGCTTCGTTCTATGACGGTGGCGCTCGGCAACAGCAGCAACAACAGCAACCTCCGCCAATGCCTCGTAGCGCATTGAAGAACGGCACGGGCAAAACTCGGCAGAAGGACCCATACCTGCCCAACATCCAAACCAGCCAGTTCGACCGCCGCCAGGACCAGCACCCCCAGCAGGGTTACAACGGGTCCCAACAGCAACAGCAGGAGCAGCCGTATAGCGGCTCGCAGGGTTATGGCAGCTCGCAGCCTTACAGCGGCTCACAGCAGCCGTATAGCAGTGCGCAACCATACAGCGGTTCGCAACCTTTCAGCGGCTCACAGCAGCAGCAGCCGTACAGCAGCAGCCCGCAGCCTTATGGCGGGCCACAGGCTTACGGCGGTCTTGGCGGCTCGAACGCCAATGGCGCCGGTGGTGGCCGTGCCAAGTCGGGAATTGACAACCTCCTCAACGACCTAATGGGCGAGCTGGACGACGTACCAGACCCCGCCATGGAGCACGAACGAGGGGCAGGCCATACAGCCCCGTCTCCCGCCCCAGCACCAGCACCAGCACGAGCCCCGGCATCCCAGTTGGAAGCCCCGCCGCGCCGCCGGCCCCCATGTGCCGGCTGCGGGCAGGAGATCGCACGGTCCCGGGATGCGTACCGGATCGAAGCGCTGGGGAAAGTATACCATATCCGCTGCTTCAGGTGCACGGTGTGTGAGGGCGACTTTGACGAGTCGCGGCCGTTTGTGCCGCATGATGGACAGGCGTACTGTGAGGAGGATTATCAGAGAGTGTTGGAGACGAGGTGTGCTGGATGGTAGGTTTTCGAGACGAAAAAATGCTCCTGGTTGTTGACGTGCGAAGGTGACTGATCGGCACCCGTCATTTGGTGGGAAATAGCAATAAGAGCATCTCTGGGAAGCCTGTCTACGCACTCGGAAAGCCATGGCATCAGGAACACCTGAAATGTTGCGCTTGCCGCAAACCCGTCCGAGGCAAAGTGTTCGAGAGCGAAGGCAGGGTGAGTGATAAACTACGACCGTTTTTGTGGGGACTTCGGGAGTGGTAACTCATCTCACCCCACACCAGATATACTGCGAAGAAGACTACCAAGCCCTCGTCGCCGAAACCTGCCGCGGCTGCGGCACGCCCGTGCAAGGCGAGACGATCAACGCGCTCAACTCGACCTACCACAAGGAATGTTTCGTGTGCACGACGTGCCGACAACCCTTCCAGGGCCGGCGCTTCTACGTGTTTGACAACGACCCCGTGTGTCTGCTGCATTACCATGAGCGTAATAACTCCCTTTGTGGGGGGTGTCAAACTGGAATCGAAGGTAAGAAACTCGTATAGGTTGCATGCACGTCAGCGGTGATGCCTCACCCACTCCCGTTATATCATCACACACAGGCCCCTGCGCAGATATACCCGAACTGGGCAAACGCTTCCACCAAGAATGCTGGTGCTGCGCCCTCTGCCAGGCCTCGCTCATGGACAGCTACTACTCCTTTGAGGGCCGCGCTTACTGCGAGAAGGATATCGCCAAGGTCTACCGCGCGGAAACCCCGGGGCAGAGGGCTAATAAGCGGCAGACGCTGCTTTTGAATCTCTAGGGATGCAGAAGGGGTTGCACCATAGACAGGCCGGGCGGGGTGGATGCACGAACTGGATTGGGCGTTGAGATTGCGTACCGGTCGATGGGACTTTCGGCTGTGGCCCCGGACAAATTATCCCGGGCTCGCGGCACCACAGACTCCAAAACGAACCATGAGATCAGGACGTGTTCCAGAAACTTTTCTTATAGATATTTCCCTTCACATAGTCACAGTAAACCATTACACTAGATAGACAGACAATAGCTTACTCAAACCGGACACCTTTTTCTCTCAAATGGAGTAGTAACGTAGTACAGTATATATGCAATGACAATATGATAGAGGTTTCGATATGCAAACTGCGGAGCGCGATGTGAGCTACGTTCAAATATTCATATTTACAGGACGGATGGTGGGTCATGAACAACAGCTGTCGTGGGGAACGCTCTCTGTAAGGTTTGCTACTGTAGGTACATCCATCCGTCCGTCCCATCCCTATGTCAAACTGCACCCCATTCGCCACCAGCCAGCTAGTCAACACGTCCCCGCCTTCGATGAACCGCACCCATCGCCCCCGTGGCAACCTCCCCCCACTGATCCGTTGAATCCAATCCCCATCGTCTGCTTGCCGTTCACCGCATGTTGTCCATGAAATCGTATCCGCGAAGGATCAGCAAGAGGGGCCCGGTTGGATGCGTTTCTCGCACATTTGCGGTAATATGCTTCTCTCCCATGAGCGGAACAGTTCTCGCGTGGTTGTGTCGTCTCGCGAGACGGGCGTTATCCCTATGCGTGTCGTAATCACTCCCCTCCCCACCTTTCCGCGCGCAACAATGACTCCCTCGCAGTCATCCACCCTCCATTATATATACATACATCCCTCGTCCCACTTCCATCACGCCTCCATCTCCTAATGCAACCGCTTCTCGACATTGACCCCCGACTCCTCATACTCCTGCTTCGAGATCCACAGCTGGTGGAATGTGCCGAGGGAGGCGAGGATGGAGCCGCCGATCCAGGGGCTGAAGCGGCGTTCGGTTGTTTGACCGGCTGCTTGGATTTTGGTTTTGAACTGTACGGGAACCAAGAGCGGATGATTAGCTCTACGTACATATGGAGTCACACCACACTCGGGTAGGACGCTCTAATCAACTCCGCTGATACATACCCCAGGCGCCGCAATCAACAGCTCGGAGTGCACACGGTCCGCAAAGCCCGGCAGCAGGGTATTCGCGCCCGTGAGCACGACATTGGGGTACAGCAGCGTCCGTAGGTCCGGATCGCACATGTTGATGCTGTTCTGTATCAGGCGGGTCACGCTGATCGGTTCTAGGTTGGCTGCTTCTGGGGGTTGTGATGGGTCCTGTTTGCGATGAGATTGGTAGTAAGCGTGGGCAACATATTGCAACGGGCCCAGTGAAACGAGTTGAATACGGTACCGGCAACACGTATTTTGGAGAGAACATGGATTCGGTGATCTTGAAGCGCTCAATGCCGAAGATGTTGTTGTAGCCGTCGGGGAACTCGTAGTTCTTGACAGGCCGTTGTAACAATGCTCTGGGGATACGAAGTTGCAAGGTGGTTAAGTACGTACTATCAAACTTATTCGTGCAGCGCAGTGTACATTAAATGACATGAGGACTTACGTTTCATCGAATTGGAACTCGGACACGTGGCATACTGTTTCCTTGAACTCGTCGATTGCGCGCTAGAGCACGGTAGGGGATTGTCAGCTTACGTGATTCGGGAAGTCCCCTTTCCCCCGCGGGCGCTGAATCCTAACCTCAACAGCCAAGCGATGGTACGACGGACGCGTGTTTGGTCGTTCCCTCAAGTCATACTTGGCGGGCTGCCCGGCATCGACGGCTTGTTTGTTGGCGACCAAGTACTGTGGGGTGACTTTGATGCCCAGTTGGTCGAGGTATAGGAGAGCCTGATCGGAGATGAAGTTGCCTGCAAAAGGCTGCTTTTGTATGGCTGCGGATATTCAACGGTCGGTTAGTCAACCATTGCTCGGTGTGCATTATGGGGAGGGGAGAAGGTTGGTGGTTTCTACGAACCTTTTTTCAGAACGTATCCATCGACGACCGGCACAGCGCTTGTCATCGCACCGCCCGAATCCAATACCAACGCCGTCGACCTCCCAGCCGCGAATCTATCCACCGGTGAAAAACCCCAGTCAACATCTCGCCACAAGCACATCGCTAAAACCTGCATCAAAACACATACGCAGCCAGGACAGCATTCCTCGCAAGGTAGAAGCAAGGCACGTTATATTTTTCGAAAGCCAGCTCGATCAGCTTTTCCCTCGATTCCCGCGGATTCCATGATGGCTCGCTGAGAAGTAATGGGTGTTCGCTGGAGTCCACTCTCAGGCGCGAAAATGCGTGATCCCACAGCGCTTCATATGTCTCCCAGTCTTCCACTAAACGTGACCGCTGGCGTGAGCGGCCATAGAAATGTACATACGTCCAAGCAAGGTCTGCCGTCCATCTCACGTACCGACACCCTCCTTGAGCGGATTCTTCAACTCCACGTTGGGCTGCCAGGGATACAGCTCCGTCTCGCCCACAAAGCGCTTTGGCTTCAACTTTTTCCCTTTCGGCTTTGCAGAGTCCTCGCCCTCTGCTTTGACCTCCGACCCATCCTCCCCTACCATCCCGCCCGTCGTCGCGTTATTCGACTCGTCGGTGTCCATTGGCGCCGCGCCCGTGTCGTCGGGGTATCCAACCCATGACGGGTATACTGCTTTCGGAGTGTCTTCGCCCGCGTATCCGACTTTGCTGGTCGAGGAGCCGATGTCGAAGACTAGGGCTGAGACTTCGTCTGCGAAAGGAAGGGCATTTTGCTTTAGCCGTAGATCACCTCGGGGATCGACGCGATGGTGGTGGCACGACAGACAAGTAACTGCGCCCACGTACCTCCCCCGTAAGTAGCTGTTGTCATTGCGACGAAGGATTTGTATTCACGCTGCCCCAGGTTCACAGAGGCTAGGATGCAGGGTTGTTGCAGAGCCTGTGCACCGAGAAGTGCAACCTCGAGGGGGGGCATTTATTGTCGCGGCACGTGAGCGCAGCCTCGCATTAAAGTGCTTTCGGACATGCGGTCTCCTCATCCATAAGCTCCCATCTTTGTCCTGGAAACTCCTTCCAGACGCAGCAGAAGATTGATAGATACCTCCGTAGCCCTTCAATATGGTGAACATCATCTTCAAATGGCTTGTCCCTATTCTTGGAGTAAACTGAACCCTTTTCGTCAAATAGACACAACCCAGGCGCTCGAATCGGCGACACGTGGTATGTGGCGGCGCGATACTGCACAAGATGCAGAGTAAGAGTCCATGAAACAAAACCTGGGAAATCTCACGCGATGGTGACCGAACTAGCAGGAGGACCACGAGGAAGAAGAGGAGGAGGAGACACAGGATGTTCCCGAGGCTCAACAACAGAATCAGCCTTCGCAGTCGGTGCCGGCTGCGTTGAGATATGTGCAGACGAATATGTCGGAGGAGGTAAATCATCGACCCGCCGGCTTTTATCCCTTCACCCTGAGGGTCTGACCATTCATGTAGGATGTAAATCGAATGGTGAAAGACCTCGTACGGCTCGCATTAGCGATGGAGCAGCGGCGGCAGCCGTTGAAGAGGGAGGATATCACCAAGCGAGGTGAGACATCATTTCACCTTGTCCTACATATGGCGCCCGGGATCGGCTGACGAGACATCTGGTGATTATGCTAGTACTGAAAGACCATCCCCGAGCATTCAACGTGGTGTTTGAGCGCGCGCAGGAGCGGTTACGGAGCACATTTGGGATGGAGATGGCGGAGCTGACGACGAGGGACAAGCGGCAGACCGCTACTCAGGCTGCGCGGAGAGGTGAGAGAGGGAGAGAAGCAGGGCTTTTAGGAGGAGATTCCCGTAGCAGCATCCCGTGCTGAAGACACCGCCCATTTACGAATGTGCAGCGGCCACAGCGACCCAAACAGCCAAAAGCACATCGACCAGGAGCTACGTCCTCCGCTCCACTCTCACACCACAAGAACGCGCGGCCGTCGTCGATTGGGGCGATGAGGAGTTCGTCATGGTACTTCTGTGCATCATACTGGGAATCATTCTCGTGAATGGAAAGCGGATCGAAGAAGGTAGCAGAACAACATACGTGTCATGCTTGTCTGAGAAGTAAGCTCACAAACCCTATCTTCCTCCCACCAGGCGACCTAACAACCTACCTAAAACGCCTCGGTCTCAACCTCACCTCCCCCCGCCCACACCGCACCCTCGGCCTCATCTCCGACCACATAACGACCTTCACAAAACACGCCTACCTCGACAAAGTCAAAACCCCCGGCGTCGACGCGGACGTGGTCGAGTACTCCTGGGGCCCGCGGGCGAAGGTCGAGTGCAGTGAAAGGGATATGGTCGCGTTTGTGGTGGGGGTGTATCCGGATCTGACGGTGGAGGTGAGGGAACGGTTGGAGAGGGATGTGGGGCGGTTGGCGGGGTTGGAGAGGGAGGAGGAGGAGGGGGAGGAGGTTGGGGCGACCGGGGTGGGGGCGTAGAGAGGTCGAGATTTAATACTTGCGACGGACGGGAGGGTGGCGTAGACGACAGATGCCGGCTCATGTATGACGCCCGGAGGGTTGCTTGGACGTACCCCCATGGGCGTAGCACACCTCACGACAGCTTCATTCGCAATTCGAAGAAGGTCACTGCATATGCATTATATACCGAACGACCCCCGCTTTCCCACTACATACAGAGTAGGACCACATCTCCTTACATACAGTGTACATAATACATACAAAATGCATCTCCCTGCGCTATGCAATACCTCTCCGTCATCCCCTGGTGCTATGCGTGAATAAATATAAAGATCGGGGGACAAAAAAGGCTATATACGGGGCCTAGCTACTATCCCATCTGACAAAGACGCAAGCCTCCGTCTACCTCCTCCCTTGAGACCCCCTCCCCATCCAACTCTGGGTCTTCCCCCCTCTATCCCTCGCATCCCCACTCCGCCTCTTCGGTCCACTCGGCCCACTCCTCTCCGCAACATACCCGTCATCCCCACCCCCGCCCCCGCCAAAGAACGAGTTATCATCGTCCCTATACCTGCGCTGCTGGAAGGGCTGGCGGGCGGGTTGGGGGTACGCGTCGAACCCGCCGCGGACGGGCGGCTCGGAGAGGCCGAGGACGCCGGAGGTGAAGTCGTCGATGGCTTGCCTTTGCGTGGCGGGGTTGAGGCGGAGGAGTTGGGAGTTTTGTCGTACTGTAAAAAAACACAGAGGGGAAGATCAGACATGTTCGAATGAAACGTGAAATGGGGGGGGGGGGCACATGAAGCGGAATACGTACAGTGTCCAATATAAGCAGAATAGCACTCCCTGACTAACCCCGGCTCAGCCCTCTTCTGCGCGACGCGGATCTTTGCTAATATCTCGTCATCGACATCCGCATCCTTCATGTCCACGTTCAGCTTGATCGGGACCTCGTCCTTCAACGCGTTCAGGAAGCCGCGTTCGTAGGCGGAGAGGATGAGGAGACCTTCACCTGTTGCGCCTGCACGACCTGTTCGGCCAATACGGTGGATGTACGAGTCGATGGATCCCGGGGCGCCCATCTGGATGACCAGCGTGACGCCGGGATAGTCGACACCCCGCGCCGAGACGTCCGACGTGAACAGAACGCTGGACGTGGCCCGACGGAACTTGTGAGCGACTTTACTGCGCTGGTTTTGGTCGAGTTTGGAGTGCAGTTCGAGGACATCCATCCGCCGGAGCTCGTTGAAGGCGCGGGCGAGGTAGGCAACGATACGGGTGGTCGGGAAGAAGACGATGATTTTGGCGGTCGGGTTGGCGTCGAGGTGCTTGCGGATCACGTCGTACAGGACCGGCAGTTGCTGCGAGTACGGTACAATGCTGTAAGTTTGTTTGACGGTGACATGCGTGGGGACGTCGTTTTCGGGGACGGTGTCGACGTAATCGTAGGAGGGTTTGAGGACGTATCGCGCGGTGGCTTTGATTTGCTTGGAGAGGGTGGCGGAGAACATGAAGGTTTGGCGGGTGCTAGGGAGGAAGGCGGCGATTTTCTCGATCTCGTCTTTGAAACCCATTTCGAGGAGCTGGTCGGCTTCGTCGAAGATGAGGGTCTCTATTCCCATGAGCTTCTCGCGGAGGTGCGCGGAGCCTTGCAGGAGGTCGAGGAGCCGGCCGGGGGTCGCGACGAGGAAATCGACGCGGCTTTGCTCGAGACCGTCGAGTTGGCGGAGCCGCTTCTCGCCTCCGACGGCGTGTTTCACGCGGTAGTTGTGGGGCCGCAGCAGCTTCTCGGCTTCGGCGGTGATCTGGAAGGCGAGCTCACGGGTTGGGGAGATGCACAGCACGGTGATCCTGTCACCCTTGAACCTCTGCCCTTCCTTGCGCGCGATGGCGGATTCCAGGGCAGCGATCAAGAACGCTAGCGTCTTCCCGGTCCCCGTCTTGGCCCGCACGAGCAGGTCCTTGTCCGTGGGTAGCAGCTTCAACACGGCTTCCTGGACGGGAGAAGCGTGTTTGAATTTAAAATTGTGCTTCATCGCTGCCAGCGTGGGTTCGCTCAGCGCCAAGGAGTCGAACGTCGCATTGGCGTTCTCTGGGATGTCCTCCTGGGCCTCCTCTTCGAACACAAGCTCCTCGTCGTCCTCGAAAATCGGCCGACTGCTCTGCTTTTGGGCCGCAGCCACCCGCGACTCCAAATCCTCCAGATCTACGGCCTTGTCCCCTCTACGGTTGATAGAGTCCAAAACCTCGTCTTCCAAGTCCTGCAGAGCTGGTGTCGACTGCAGTGAGCGAGCTCCGACGCTGAAGTTCCGCAACAAAATGCCATGACGACCAGCGTTGCTGCAAGCCTTTGAGAGGTGAGCAGAGGAAGCTCGCACTGGAGCTACTGAGAGGGAGCGAGCTCCGAGTCTAGCGGAAAGGAAAAGCTTAACGGAAAGGACGCCCCTGAGGGACCTTTGCGAGGCCAGCGCCGTGAAAGTCTTCATGGCGAGCGGGAAACCTTGGGATAACTGGCCTAGAGCCGTGGTTCCCTTTCGAGATAAAGAAGGGCGGAGAGAGACGACCGAGCAAGCGTACTCAGACTATAGTGCTTCTATGTCTACGTTACGTAGTAAGGTCTTCTCCTGCCTATCGGTGAAAGTTGTGCTAGTGGTCCTTGAAGCTCAGTCAGTGAGTGCAGGGGGAGAAAAAGCCCGATCGACGGGGCACGCGAAGAGCCCCATTCCGCACATCGCTCGAAGGAAGGCAGCAGCGCGTCGCACGTGACGGGACATTCCAAATCTTCCCCCCGACTGGCGACAGACTGGCTTCACACCCAATCATGCTTTTTCAAATCAATGTACACTATGATGAGAGCATTGTATGTATTATGGGAGCATACATGCATGCAGCAGCAACTCCAACCTGCCCACACTCTATTTATCATCTATCGTCTACCCAACCAATGGCCCAACATCGTATTAACGTCCTCCACGCTGGTCCAGGGTCCCTATTCAAAATTTCAAAAGTCGCCCCCTTTACCTGCAGCCAGCTGATCGGCTGGATCTTTGACATGGACGTCTCCAAAGGAAGTGATTTGATCTCCCTCAATCCACAGGCAGGGCGAGGCAACAACGACCCCACATCCACCGTCGGTTGAGGGACTGCCAGCACCGCACCAGCGATGTTATGGACGATGCGCCCATACCATAAGCTTACCTACTGACAGCCACCAATGTCAACCGCCAATGTCAATGTCAATGTCAGTGTCAATGTCAGTGTCAATGTCAATGTCAATGCCACTCCCCCTCTCTCCTCTCATTTCGCCAATCCTCCCGCAATATCGCCACTCCTCCTCTCTCCTCTCATTTCTCCAATCCCTCCTTGGCTTCTCCACACCCCCCACTACTTCCCCATAGCCAGCAGCTGTAGCAATGCTCTCTACGCTCGCCACGCACGCTCTAGGAGCATAGCTGGCGCCCCCCCAGTCCCCTCTTGTTGCTGTTGTTCTCTGGCCTGCTGGGTTGCCTATCTATAGATAGCCGGCCTCTCTTCGTCCATTCCCTTCCTCCCCAGCAGATCAACACCGGTTCTTCTCATCTCCTGTTCTTGTTATGGACGACGCGCCCATACCATAAGCTTACCTACTGACAGCCGCCAATGTCAACCGCCAAATGTCAAACGCCAATGTCAATGTCAATGTCAGTGTCAATGTCAATGTCAATGCCACTCCCCCTCTCTCCTCTCATTTCGCCAATCCTCTTGCAATATCGCCACTCCTCCTCTCTCCTCTCATTTCGCCAATCCCCCCTCGGCTTCTCCACACCCCCCACTACTTCCCCATAGCCAGCAGCTGTAGCAATGCTCTCTACGCTCGCCACGCACGCTCTAGGAGCATAGCTGGCGCCCCCCCAGTCCCCTCTTGTTGTTGTTGTTCTCTGATCTGCTGGGTTGCCTATCTATAAATAGCCGGCCTCTCTTCGTCCATTCCCTTCCTCCCCAGCAGATCAACACCAGTTCTTCTCATCTCCTGTTCTAGTCCTTGTTTCTTGTTTCGCCAATACAATCTCTTGTCGCCTATCACACTTGCCCTGTCTTCTCTACTTCGCTTCCGCCCCCGTCGTTGAGATCATAACAGTTTGATCTGCTCCAACACTGCGAAGTTCAGAACCTGTCCAGCCCTGCATCCGACAAACCTTTTTCGCCATGTCCCAACCCGAATCCGTACCTTTCACCGCCAAGCAATGGAACGATATGTGCCAAGCCATCGCCGCCTTGCAAAGCCAAAACGCCAACTTGCAGGCCAACCGAGCGCAAGCCCAAGCCGACGCACAAGCTGCCCAGAGCATCGCCGCCCAGGTTCAAGCCGATACGTACACCCGTCCCCAAGTCGCCAACCCTGCTCTGGAGCCAAGAATCAGCTCGCCCGAGAAGTTTGATGGTACCCGCAGCAAATTCCGTGGGTGGTTGAACAACATCCGGTTGATGTTTGCTCTCCAGCCCGACCGCTACCCCAGCGACATCATCAAGATCCAAACTATTGGCACCTACCTCACCGGCACTGCGCAAGCCTGGATGGCGCCCCTAGTCGAACGCCAAGATCACAGCCTTCAGGCCTTCAATAGTTTTATCAGTCAGATGCAATCGGTCTTCGGAGACAGCGACAGGGTCCGCACCTCTGAAAACAAGCTCCAGAACCTTCGCCAAACCCGTGCAGCCACCTAGTACATCGCCGAGTTCCGCCAGCTACAATGCAATGTCTCCTGGAATGACCAGGCCCTGATTGCTACCTTCTGCCGTGGCCTCAAAGAGGACGTCAAGGATCTGATGCTCACAATGCCTCCTGCTGCCACCATTGATACGGTGATGGAGCAGGCGATCCAGTGCCATAACCAACTGTTTGAGCGCCGCCTGGAGCGAAACAGAAGCCGCCAGACCTTCCCGGTTTCCCATACCTCGTTTACTACTACCACCACTGTCGACCACAGCGAGCCTATGCAGATTGACGCCACTCGTCCCCGCGGCGCTCTGAGCCCCCAGGAACGCCAACACCGCATTTCCAACAACCTCTGCCTCTACTGCGGTGGCGCAGGGCACATTGCAAAGGCCTGCCCAGCCAAGAACAGGACCACCACCCGTGCCGCCAACGTCGACATCAAAGAACCCTCCACCGAACAGGGTTTTCCCAAAGTCCAGCCGCAGTAAAGCCCCGGCGACTGGACAACACACACCGCCCCAGGCCTCCTAACCTCGCAGCTCCTGCAACGGGAGAGGCCACCCCCCTGGTTCCCGACTCCGTTATAGCCGACACAACCCTCCTAGCCGCTGCCCATGTCGAAAACTCCGTAATTAACCCCCGCGCCATGCTTGCGCTGGGTCCCGTCGAACCCTTCAACTACCCCGTTACCATCATGGTATCATCCAGCCGCGCCCCGATACCTACCTCAGCCATGATCGACAACGGTGCCCTGTCCTGCTTCATCGACAGAGACTTTGCCCGCAAACACCGCATCCCCCTAGTCCCGCATCAGCGTCCCCTGACGATCGAACTCGTTGACGGTCAACCCAGCTCTGCTGGCCCAATCACCCATCACACCCAACCAGTAGGCATGTGGGTCGACGACCACTTCGAAGAACTCGTCTTCCATGTCACCAAATCACCCCATGCTCCAATCCTCCTTGGTCTCCCCTGGCTCCGCCTCCACGACATTAACCTTGACTTCAAGAACCTTTCGGTCGGTTTCCGTTGCGACTGTCAGTACCATGAATTCGCGAATTGGGACAACTCTCCAGCACCCCCGAGCCCAGCACCCGCCAGAACCCCCGAGCCCTTGATCCGCATCCCCCAGGATGAAGTCCCCGTCGACGAAACATGGTCGATTCCAGTACCCAAGGTATCTCGCTCCAGCACCCCAGAACCGGCTCCCACGCCGCTCCGAGTCTCGTTCATCTCCGCCCCAGCCTTCCGGGTCGCAGCAAGGCATGACCAGGTCTTTGTCGCCTACGCCAACCCTGCGAAACCCGATCTCCCGGCCTCGCCTAGCCCCAGTAACCCCCCGACACCCGAGAAAGACATCAAAGACTTCCTGCCCCCCGAGTATCAAGACTTCGCCGACGTTTTCGAAAAGAGAAATGCTGACACTCTCCCCGAGCACCGGCCCTACGACTGTCCAATCGATCTGGAAGAAGGCAAGCAGCCACCTTTCGGCCCGATCTACAGCCTCAGCGAACCAGAAATGAAGGCACTCTGCGAATACCTCGAAGAAAACCTCGCCAAAGGATTCATCAAACCCTCAAAGTCCCCTGCCGGTGCGCCAGTCTTATTCGTGAAGAAAAAGGACGGTTCTCTCCGCCTCTGCGTCGATTATCGAGGCCTGAACAGCATCACGGTGAAGAATCGCTACCCCCTGCCCCTGATCAACGGTATCATGGATCGTTTGCGCGGCGCCCGCCGTCTCACCAAGATCGACCTCCGCGGCGCTTATAACCTCTTACGCATGCGCCCGGGCGATGAATGGAAGACCGCCTTCCGCTGCCGCTACGGCCTATTCGAATACAATGTCATGCCCTTTGGACTCAGCAATGCTCCTGGCGTCTTCCAGTACCTGATGAACGACATCTTCTGCGACATTCTCGATGTGTTTGTTGTCGTCTACCTCGACGATATCCTGATATTCTCCAAGAACCCCGAAGATCACCCCAAACATGTCCGCGAAGTCTTGTCCCGCCTCCGACAGCATGGGTTGTACGCCAAACCAGAGAAGTGCGAATTCAACCGCGAATCCGTTGAGTTCCTAGGCTTCATCATCTCCGAGAAAGGCATCCAGATGGACCCCAAGAAGATCGCTGCCATCACGGATTGGGAACCTCCCAAGACTGTCAAAGGCGTCCAGCGGTTCCTCGGCTTTGCCAACTTCTATCGCCGATTCATCCAAGGTTATTCCAAGATCGCTACCCCGCTCACAGCCCTGACCCGGAAAGACATCCCGTACGCCTGGACACCCGCCGCAAACACCGCCTTCGACAACCTGAAGAAAGCATTCACCACCGCCCCCATCCTTGCTCACCCTGACCCAGAGAAGCCCTTCGTCGTCGAAACTGACACCTCCAACTTCGCTCTTGGCGCAGTTCTCCTCCAACCTGACCAGGACAATCAGCTCCACCCCGTGGCCTTCCACTCTCGCAAATTCACGGCCGAAGAGATCAACTACGAGATCTACGACAAGGAACTTCTGGCCATCCAAGACTCCTTTGCCCAGTGGCGACACCATCTCATTGGCGCCCGTCACAAGATCACCGTTTACTCCGACCATCAAAACCTTCAGTACTTCATGACCACCCGCAACCTGAACCGCCGCCAAGCCCGCTGGTCGATATTCTTCTCGGATTTTGACTTTGTCATTACCTATCGCCCCGGTTCCCAGCAGCACCAAGCCGATGCCCTCTCCCGACGCTCCAAACATGAGCTAAAAAGGGGGAAGAAGCGTTCCGCTCCCAGGCAACCACAATTTTGACTCCCGAACGCCTTCGACTCGCCGCGGCCTACCTCACACCCATGGATACCACGCTGCTTGACAAGATTAAGGCCGCCCAGGCCTCTGATCCCCTTGCTAAGACCATTCGCAAACAGCTCAAGATACCCCTCGCCCAACGAACTGAGGAAACCCAAGATCGTATCAAGCGGTTCTCAGATGAAGATGGGATCCTGCTGCACGAT